TCTTCCCTCTAATTGGGTTGAAATATCACGCTTTACATGCCCGATCGGCTACTTCCGAGCAACCGCCTTCCTACTGCTCAAACGGCATCAACTGATGCCACATTTTGAAAGCTTACAAATTATCGAAAACTCGAAAAGTATCGAAAAAATCGCCTTGCAAGTTTATCAGAATTTATTCTTGACAAACGCCTTTCCCATATTCGTCTCATTACTAAGCAGAGGGTGTCTGTCCATGGTAGCAACAATTAACGCGTCGTCAAGCGGCGATACTCCTATAATTTAAATGTCTCAGTGCCGCAGCTTTCCCATGTAACATAGCCACTTGCAATCCCAAAGCATGCGGACTTCCATTATGTCATGTATCAACACCTGCCAAAAACGCACAGTGCATGCGAATCGAAAGATACACGGAATTACGGCACCATATGCCAATGGCTAGGTTGGACTATCTGTAACTTTCAAAAAAGTAGACTACTCGTCAGCTGCTTTCAACTCTCTAGAAAACATGTAGATAATTGTGTCCCATCCTTAGCGGCTATCACGGACACTGCTTTTGTGGCAGTTTGCAGCCATTGCTAGAGAGGCAACACCTACCAACCAACCAAGAGCAAAAATAAAACAAATCACGGCTCAATTATAAATTATGAAACCAAATTTCATCAACTACACCCTCGGCGATTCCATCAAAGGGCACTTTTTGCCCGTTCCTGGTGCCCTATCAGGGTCGTGCCACGCCCATGATAAACGCCTGCTCCAAAAATCCAGCGAGCATGTTTCACTCCTTGATCTATTCCTCAACACCCTCACTGAGTACACGTTAGCCATTCTCCCAGGAACACCGCTCTACTGGACCTTACATTTAAAACCCTTTGACCCGGACACTCAAGGCGTCCCAGTAGCACCTCCTGGTTTCCCAAAACTTACTATTGGCTGCCGCATAAACAGTACAAATCATCAACACCCACAGCATCCGGCATCCCCACCCATCCCGCTACTCCTTTCCACATCCATCTCGCATAAGTGCCCCCCCGGTAGCATGAATACTCCTGTCGGAACAGGATTCCCTCATGATCCGAAGGCCTCCCTGCCTCAGCTGGACTCTGCTCCGCTTGATGCAAACCTCCAGAGTCATCCGGCTTTCGCCAGCATGTATGGGAACCAGATGAACCCAGCTCAGCAGAAACGCCAGAATAGCATGTCGGCGTACGTCAACAACCCATCCAGCAAGCGGACCCCTAACCCCTTGCAAATGCAGCTCTCCATGCAGAGCAACGTCCCTGGCGCCAACCAGTTGGGATCCACCAACCCAGGTTCGCCTTCAGGAAGATTCGCTCCAGCAGCGCTGCGTGGCAAGTACCGCAAGTCCGTCCAATTTCCATCTCTGCAACAGCAGCTACATAACCAAGCGCCGCTGCAAGGTCACGGATCACTGATGATTAAGACTCCAACTCCATCCAACTACGATGTCCCCTCAAGTCCGAACGTCACACAGTCCACGGCTCAAAACAATTCGGATCTGTCCGGATCAAGCCCCATGGTGGATTCGATGACCCCTGCTAATACCTCCCACAACAAGGATACCGCCTCCGCCACCAGCCAGTCTCAGTCCATGCCCCTACAACAGCAGCCTTCGGTACAATCCGACGCGCTGACCAATCAACAACAGCGAGTCATGACAGACGAGGAACAGCAACTCGCCACCAAGTTGAAGGAGACGTACAAGAACATCGTGAGTTTTGAGGAGATTGTCCAGAAATCCATTGTGGACCTCACTCACAAGATTAATCAGTCTAGCAACTTCTACTCCCCTTACACGACGTCCATGTACGTCCCTCAGCATCAGGCGCTACACGGATCGGCGCCCAATTTCCAGGCCGCAATTCCTACAAACACGACCGAGCTCTCAAACAACTTGTGGACCATCTATCATCATAATATCACCTTGTTGAACAACTATTATGATTTCCTCACCACTGCGTTGAAGCCAACGGCAATTTCCACGCATCATAGAACAGGCAAAAACATTATTGATTTATACAAAATCCCCCGCCGAATGTGGGTCTACGGTATTGTGGGATTTCTAGAATTGTTAAAAAACATCATGAGCATATTTCAGGAGCACGAGGTCTTTTCTTGCTTCATCGCTCACTGCTTCAGCATAGTCTCGAGTCTCACCGATCCATCATGGGAGATGGAGGGCTGGTGGTGTGAGAAGCTCGGCGACCTCTCCAGAATGGCCATCGCTTTATATTCATCGCGGTTCATTGATTGGAAATCCAGTTCCGAATACTGGTATTGGAACGCTTTGAAAACACTTTACGGCCATGGTAAGATGTATTACCACATGAGTACTGTCCAGCAGGATAATCTCGAGGCACTCGTGAACATCAGTAAGGCAGTTAATTGTCGTGATCCATTTGTTCCAACAGCTCAATACCTAGAGCTAGTCGTTGAAAACATTTGTACGCAAAGGAATATCCTTTCTTTGCTCGAGTTACCCATCATCGACTTCATCAAGATCCACAAGGTCTTATTGTGCATCAACACCAGCAACCCAAACTCCCGTATCTCTCCTAACCAAGGAGACATGTTCCAAGAAACAAGACTCAACCAAGGAATAGATCTTGTCTCTCGGTATGCTATGTCTTTTGGCTCGGACTCCCATGGGTACAACTTTTTCTTGCGCCAGTTCATTTACCCTAATCAATCTGACAAACAGAACTCTGATCCGTTCACTCAATATTTGAAGCAACAGCATGAGCAAGATCAACAGTCCAACTCCATGGATACAATAGAGAAGGTCAACTTTTGGTTCAACAAGGGCCCTCTTTTTGCATTAGCCAACATTAATCACTTGATTGGCTTCGGCGATGCCAGAAATCCTTTTGCTAAGTTATTCTTGCTTCCGGAGGCTCTACGCGAGCGAAAGGACAAAAAAGAGAGGAAAAGAAAGACAAAATCGACCGGTTCACAAGAGCAAGCCAACATGGAGGCCTCTTCTCAATTTGGTGGTATGAGCAACGGCGTTGATAGTGCATCAGTAACTGGATCTGACCTTTCTGTCATGGATTGGTTCTATTGCTTAGCTTACCTCGACAAGTCAGTATTGGAGCTCAACTTCCGAATTTTGAGATATTTCTTGGTTGGTCCCAAACAAGCATCTGCGTGTCATGTTATTGTCTGGCTTTACTTCTTGATAGCTCTCGGTGAGGCTATAAAGCGCTACCCTGAGTCTAGGAACATGTTCCTATGGTTGTTCCAGAAGTTTTTCCCTTGGGAGGCATTCATCAACTACACTAACAGCATCACCGCCATTGTGAGGAACAATGCCCATATTAATGATATGTGTCGTGAGTACATCATCAACCATCCTAACTACGTGCAACATTTCAATGAGAACGAGCACTTACCTGAAGTTTGGAAGTGTTGGGGTACGCTTTGGTTTGACTTCATTTGTGTCAAACAAGATTATGAAGACTTCGAAGCTGCAGGTATTCTGAGTCATGAAATGTTTGACCAGCCTATATGTGGAACTCCACCCATGATGAACCTCAACAACTTGCAGCAAGATGGTTCGGGTCCCAGAGATAAGGGCCAGAAGGATAATGAAGAGAGACTTGTTCGTATTGTCTTGCTTTCACGTTTACTTGCGGACAATTATGACTTTGGTTTCATGAGAGACAAAGATGGTTTCAAATTTGATCAGCAGGTTTATGAGGATTCGAAGAACGACACTCTTCTTTCGTTTCCTTCTTTCAAAGGCTCTAGTGATATGTACCAGTTCATCAACGAGGTGATCTACGAAGACAACCGCTTGACGCTGGGAAGTTTCGTCACACCAATCTCGACTTCCAATCTCGGGCAAAGACTTCTGGAGGATTCCCTCACACCAGAGCTTCTTGATGAGTGTTGGTTCCACATCGCTGCGGGGTCATCGTGGCTTAATGGTACTGATGGCATTGATTTCAATGATGTGATACCCAATCAGGAAGCTTTGGAAGGTTACGTCGACACTGAATCGAATGACAATGGAATTGATTTGGACTCTGTCGGGCAGGCTGGCCATTTGGAGAATCATCATTTGTATCACCTCCTGCAGCATCAACAGGCTTTGATGCTGCAACAAAGAGGGGCTTCACAAGAATTTTATAACGGCATTATTGAGGGTGATTTGGTACCCTCTTTCAAAAAGAATTCAGTTGAAGGTGACCTTGGTGACAGAATGGATACCTCCTTGACTTACATTACCTTCGACACCAATATCTGGTTGAAGCACTGCGGCAGAATTTTCAAGTGCGCTCACAGCGGGGCTTTTAAAGTGCTGATTCCTCTTATTGTTTTCCAGGAGTTAAGATCTCTTCGGAAGTCGACAGAAGCCACCATTGCTGATGCTGCCACGAGATCAGTTATCATTATTAGAGAGTTGTACGCCAACAAGGAAGTTGTGCCGTTGAGATTTGACGGAACAATTGCCAGCGACATAAATGAGGTGACTGAATTTGAGAACAATCCTTCTTGGCTTAATAACGTTGACCTGACTGTTCTCAATGTGGTCACAGAGCATGACGAGTTAAACAGAAAGATGATGAATGGAACCAATGCCATTCTTAGAACCAAGCCTCCTATTATGCTTGATGAAAAGATGGCCAAGGTATTCCGCTACTGTGTCCTCATTACAGACGATAGAAATATGCGCTTGAGAGCCAAAACGACTGGTCTAAGCAGCTTCCAAAGCCGGTGGCTTTTCGGTCAACTCGAGTCTATTAGCTCAAACATGTGCATAGACTGAGTTGGCATATACTTAGCATAAACCCATTACAAAAATAAGGACAGTCTGTCCAACCTTTATAGACCAGACATGAAATACAACGGTTAGTAAAGCAAGCAATTTTCTAAATTTAACATGTTATTGATGATATAGTGCTGAAATATAGGATGATGGAACGCAAATGGTTCTTGATGCTATTCGTAACGATTGATGCATGTGTAATGTGATGAGCTTAGAAGACCCAGTCCATGATCTTCTTTCTGAGACCGACCTTCTCGTTGTTGGCCTCCAAAGCAGCATAGAATTCATACTCATGCTCCTCGATCTCCTCAAGACCAGTTTGGAGGTCAGCATCTTCTGGTCTGATGTACTTTGGTCTCTTGATAAGTTTGTAAGCAGCATAAACACCAATGGCAATGAAGACCATAAGATAACTGAACAAAAAGTGGTCGACTGTCCAGTGGCCTGGAACGAAAGCCTCGTAACCCTTAATGCCAACAATGATCCACAAGAAGAAACAAGCAAACATGGCGGTGTATGGCTGGAACCATGATCTGTAGGTGAAGTTGTTTCTGTCAATACCCTGTACCTTCACGGCTCTGTAGAAGTGCAAGTAAGTGACACTCATGAAAGCATAGTTGAGCAATTGAGCACCAGTACACAAGTTCACCATATAGTTCAAGGCATTCTCACCAGTCTTACCCAACTGCATCAAAGACAAGAGGGAGAAACAAGCAGACACGGCGACACAGAAAATTGGAACACCGCTCTTGGTACAGTATCTGAAGAACTTTGGCACGTAACCCTTCTTGGAAAGAGCATAAAGGGCTCTGGAGGAACAGTAGGTGTACGAGTTACCGGCGGAGAAGGCGGAAGACAAGACAACACCATTGACAATGTGAGGAAGAACCTGGATTTCCAAGTTCTGCATGGCCACAACGTATGGAGAAGAAGCAGCGTTACCACTGTTGTCATCGTCACCATGAACAATCTGCAAGTAGGTTGGGTCGTTGTAGGCGAGCAAAATGGTGACGGAAAGGGCACCACCAATGAAGAAAATAACCAAACGGTACAAGACAGTCTTGAAAGCAGAGGCCATGTTCTTTCTTGGGTTCTTAGCCTCACCAGCGGTCATACTAAGGTACTCAGAAGACACGACAACGAAGTTAGCAGAAAACAAGCCCTGCAAGAAACCCTGGAAACGACCAAGAGAACCCGTTCTCATGTATTCGGCGATTGGGCCGCCCTTGGCGTGCCAGTGTCTGAAACCAAAGGCATCGTTTTGTGGGTTCGCACCACACATAGTGATGACGGTGAAGAACAAAAGTCCGATACACAAAATCAATTTACCCAAAGACAACCAGAATTCCGCTTCACCGTAAAGCTTGACGGCAAAAACGTTGATGGCACAGTAAATGACAATCTGGATAACAAGGGTGATGGCAGGACTGTAGTCATCTCTCCAAAAGTGAATCATACCATTAACGGCAGTGATTTCGAACGGAATGTACAAACTCTGCATCAACCAAAAATTGACGGAAGCGGCACATTCGTAAGCTGGGTCAACCACACGGCCGGCCATGGTCAAGAAGGGGGAGTCAACGGGCAAGTAGCAAACCATCTCACCAACTGAGACAGTCAAACACAAAATCACAAAAGTCCAGAAACAGTAAGCCAATAAAAGACCCAATGGACCGGCCTCAATTAAACCAGAGGAACCAATGGTGATGAACAAACCAGTACCAATGGATCCACCGATGGCAATAAGGTTGACATGTCTCTGTTCCAACATTCTGTGGGTGTGATGATGGACATCATCTTCCTTCTTTTCCAGGGAACGGCCCACGGATCCCTGATTAGAGGAAGTGTCGTGGAAACTTTCATTGAAATCGACATTAGTTCCAGCGGAGGTGCTGGAGAGCTCTTTCTCAGCATCTAATTTTGACATGATGATGAGGAAGTAATTAGGCTTTTTTTTTTTTTTGGTGGGGGTATGCAGTGGTAATTATATGGCAGGTGAGGTGCGCCGAAGAAAAAAGTAAAGATGTTCGGGATGCGCTGCGAAAAAGAAACAACAAGGGTCTGTTCTCAAAACGAATTTCTTTGCCTACGGAAAGCAAAAAAAAAACCTAAACAAGATTACCGAGCGACATCATCTCTTATATAAAGGCTATTCTGGAACGAGAGCTGGAACCACTGCGAGCAGCTCAGCGGAGCGGCGTAAACAGGCTACTCATCCTGCCCCTAGACCGGTATTTTAGGAGCACTTACATCATTACACAGTTGAGGCAACGGCATCGGGTCCGGCACAATCATGGGGAAAATCTCAGTGGCCCGTCCCACACACCACTTCCATCTTCATGCAGGCAGAACAATCTGCCCATCGATTCCCCGAGCAAAACGCCGTACACGGCCAACCTATTCTTCCGAGATTGTTTCCTTCGAACATTTCCTCAAGTGGCATTGGCGGGCCGTTGGTGGGGCACTGCCACGCCGGCGGAAGATGACAATGAGCAACTCTCGCTGCAGGTTGCCTCATGCGGCGATGTCCTTTCGAGCTTGGCATGGCCGCATGTCCATGTCTGTTTAAAACGTTCTGTACACACTTTGGCTAGTGGCCCCAGAATCCGTGGGCTGTTTGCAGGCCTGGATGCTAAGTGCTGCAGGGCATAGGGAAGCCTCGTGACTGACTCTGCAAAGCTTTTTAAATTACGACTGCAAAAATGGCCAAGATCCCCGGTCATCGCCCGCCAAGACACCCTCAAGGGTCCGAGATCTTTGTTCGCGGTCTTCCGCTGCCAAGTGCCTGCGACCGTTATACCTTAAAGCCAAATAAAAAAGTTCGGCGGAAGTACAACTTCCTAAAGATCCGGCTCACTAAGCAGCCTCGACAAGGGCGTTTACGAGCACAAACAAAGTCGCCAACTGCCTGAGTCCTTCCAGAGCAAGCTTATGTTCCTCCTCGTACCTCCGTAAATCCCCCTGCTCCATTAGTTGGTCCCGCTTCATGACACCGACAACAAGAGGACGGAAGTGCAGCATAAGTTCTTTCGCTTGCATAATTCCTGGCTGGAACGAGGGCCCCATCGCAGAGAGCACCGTGGCCACCAATTGGAAAGCAGGCACTAGCAACTCGTAAAAGGAGATCGTCCGCACGCTGTGGGTGTGTTTTGTCTCGTCTGCAAGAGCTGCCGGAATATCCAAGCTCAAGGTGATGAGTGCAGTAGCTCTTTCCTCTTTGGCCCCATATACCGGGGTGCTGCTCGGCACGCTGTCGATCTGAAGCTCCAAGCCCAAATCGGAGTCGATGTTTAGAAACTTAAGATTGCGTACGATGGAGAAAATCTCGTTCTGGAAAAGCTGCACCGCTCCATCTCTCGTGTGTGCAATTCTTATCAAAAGATAAAGCGTGGCCTTGAACGCTGTGAGCTCGTAGAGGAGAGTGTCGACGCGGATTCCAGACTCGGTTCGGCCTTCGCAGGCCTCAAAAAGCTCGCCTGTACGCTTCAACAGTCTTGCCAAAAGCGACAAGGAATTATTTTCCACTATTGCGTCGAGAATGGACGTCAGCTGCTCCAATCCCAGAAGATTCACAAGCGTTTCCATAAGAATTATCGACGTGATGCGGGGTGCTCCTTCCAGATAGATCGAATCGTTGCATATGACGTTGATGAACCTTCTATCGACAGATCGGAGCGCTGTGAGTATTTGACGAAGCAACGGTCCAGACAGTGGTGTTTTCTGCGTGAACTTGTTGAGCAAGATGTACAAGTCCGATCTCAAAGCCGGCGTGGAATTAGTGCAAAGAACTCCATTCACGCATGTTTTGAAAAGTGGGAGGAGTTTCTGTAAATGGTGCTCCCCTCCCTCCTCCGCTGTAGCGAGTGTTTTCGAATCTTCTTCATACATGTCGAACAAGAGCATGCACAACAGGATTAACTCTTCTGCAAACAATACGTCCCGCTCGTAGTAGTCATTGTTGATCTTGGGAAGGATGTACTGGAACACTTTGAGGATAAAGTCGGCCCGGTCCGCCACTCCTTCGTTGCTGAGAACCTGTATGATTTGCACCCACAGCTGCAAGCACCTCAAGTGACGCTTCTTGAGCTCCTCCACAACAAATATTTTTTGGAAAAGCTCGTCAACTCTCGTAACCTCACTCATAATGTCGATGGAAAATGCAGCTTTTTCGTTGTCAGTTGAAAGCCTTTGGTTGGCATTTTGACAACGCAATGCTGCAAACTTCTTCAACAACTTCACCTCCTTCTTGGCCTTCCTTTCTTTGGTTAACTCGTGCAATAGAGCCGGAAGATTGTACTTGTTCTCGAATTCAAGGAATTTGTGAGGCTCAAAATTGTAGAATTGATAATTGAGAACGTCCAAAAAGTTGAGGATCTTCGGAGTACCGTTGAAAAATTCCGTGTCGTCTAGAAGTAGTTTGATGTACTGCTCCTTCTTCGTGGCACTTCTGATTTCATGAATTTCAATAGACAAGTATTGAAGGATCAGATTTCTGTACTTCATGAACTCAAAGAATGTCTCAAGGCTAGCATGGTCCTCTATGAACCTGTTGCTGACACCATCTTGAACATTGCCCTCAAATTTCTTGTCATGCCAAAGCGTAACATCGTCGATTTTTGGTTGAACGTTAAGCAATTTCGATGACAAGTCATATTTCCGGATATGGTTCAACGTCTGGGCAGAGATAACGGAATTTTTGGTCAACCGCACCAACACTTGCATCGTCAAACTTGCCAACTTAGATGGGCCAAGACCAATCTTGGTGACGTAACCGTGGGTGTAATCAATATCAAAGATTAGGTCGATGGTCGACATAAGCAATTGTATCAAGCTGTCAAGGAGTGATAATTCGTTGTCATCGTTGCTTAAAGAAAGGTTCCCACTGCGAGTGTCGTAGCCGAGAAGGAAATGTGCCACAGTGATCTGGCCGGTCACAGGCAAGTTCGCAAGCAAGAATTCCAAGATATCGTATTTCACCTGCAAGGAATCCGAAATTGTCTCCAACTGTTGAACAAACGCATATCTGATTTTGATGGACTCGTCGACATTCTCGAATACACTCAAGAGTCTCGTATTCCTTAACGAGAGATCTTTGGAAAGTGAGCTCTTAGTACTGAAAACCTTGGACTCGGAGAGTTTGCGCAAGATTGAAATTGCTGGCTGGGAAACGTTTGCTTCATCTGAGCCAACGTATAATGCAATGTGAACCACACTTGATAAGTTGAATAGAATTAATTCATAGTAATCGCTCACACCATGAGTTCCAAGGCCCTTTGGATAATACACGTTGTCGTATGGAAGTCTTTGAGTCGACACTGTAAGACTCAAACTAGTTCCGTACCCCAAAGGCTTCTTGCTATCCGACTGAGAATAAATATCGGCATTCTTGAGTAGTGGCAAAAGTTTCTCAATGTATACCTCCTGAAGTTGCAAGATTTTGTCAACAATGCTCAATGCATCCACCATCAAATTTTGCAACACATTGCTGCTACCGATCACTTCAACTCCAGTGTTCACAATGTCGAACAAAACGGCGGATGCTTTGTCTTCAAAGAGGAAGTTCAACATCGCAAGGGAATGATGGAGCCTGACGAAGGTCTCAAATGAGATGGTCGTAACTTCCCCATTAACAAGTCTTGCTGTAGCAAACACTTCTTCGGTCGAAAGTGTCTGTAGCAATATTTGCGGAGCTGTTTCCACTAGGAACAACCAATCAACTTCATTCAATGAGGCTCTGACGATCTTGAGAATGGTTTGCTGCAAATATCTTCTGAAATCTTCGTCTTCAACATCTGGAGTATGGGTAAACACTTCGTTGATGATATATTCAATGTAAGGCCAAACGCCAATTTGGTTTTTGAATCTGTAGCCGTCGCCGAGATTCGACGGATACAAAAGTTGCAGTTCATTGAAACCATACTGCTCTGTACTAGAAGGTTCAAGTAGCTGTGCAATCAATTGAACAAAATTAGACACCTCTGATGGTCTCGTGAGCGCCATCTTAAAGGCTTGATTCATCGTCAATCCTCTGTAAAGGTTCCTGAGTTTCTGAACCTCTGTCTTCGCAGTATTTGAGACAGCCGTCAGCACTGAGCTCCTACCGGTATACCTCAGGCTATCGGCGGAGGTAAGGTTGTCGCCATCATGAAGTGCATGGCAGATCCAGCGGTCAACAGTGTCCCAAATCTGAGTCCTGATGGTGATATCATTGGTTGCGGCAAACTCCTTCAAACAAAACATGACAAGGTTGAGGATAATGCTTCTGTTATCGTCGCTGAAGATGTTGGGAGGTGTGTTTGTTCTCTTCTGAAGATATCCCTTCGCACTAGTAATCAAATTATCAAACTTGAGAAAGGAGACGAGTATAGGGTGGAATCTGGCAAACGCGGACTTTTTAAGACCTTGTGAAACTGGTTCGTCACCGGCCGAATTTTTGACGACCTGTGCAATGAGCATAATGAAACCTGCAATGAAAACCACTGAGTCCTCTGAGAGTGTGATAGGACTTTCAGTGTCGGTATCATTCACCCGCTTATGATGGCTACTGGAAAAAAGAAATTCCAGTTTCTGTTGTTCTAACTTTGACCTTGAGTTCAACTCCTGTTCCAAGTTAGTTGTAAGTGCGTCCAAGTAGTAAGTCAAGGAGCTTACAATGGAGTCGACTGAGATATATGAGTAGTCGTTTTTCCGAAAAGTATTGGCGTTTACCAAAATATCCCAGACTTTCAAGCTGGCCACTGTTCCACCAGAGGTCAAGCTACCCAACAAAAAGCAGAATGTTGCAGTGATGAGCGGCAGTGTATTCTTTGAGATGCCCCAATCAACAAAACCAGTTACGTTGGACTCATCTGCAGCCCAAAATGCATCGCAAAGGGTGGGTCTATTGCTGTAGGTGTACACGCAAGCCATGTAAAATCTTTCCAAATCAGCACGGCTGGCTATATCATTAAGGTCGTGACTTGAGTCGGAAGCATCAGGGGAAGTCTTTTCTAACGACTTCGATGCGAGGCTTTCGTAACTGTCATTAAAGCTCATGGAGTTTCTCGTTGAGTCCTCAAGCTCTTTTTTGTTGGATGATAAAAGATAATCCTCCTCGTTATCCCTAAGCAGGGTCAAGACTATGGCTGCATGATTCACAAAACTGCTAAAAAACGAGTGCAATAGCGGAGCAAGTATATCGTCAGCAATAGCTCTCGATACCTTGAAGCTCGAGAAGTCACAAAGTTTGGCAACATTCAGATACTGTGGATTAGACTTCGCTGCGTGGAGTAGCTCATCATTGCCTGAGTACACAAATTTGGCAGGCCACAACAGAGGGAAGCTTCTTTGCAAAAGAGCCCTAAAGTCATAAAGATCGCTTTGCTCTAAAAGAGCCGTAGTTTCTTGGACTGCGGTTTCAGCTGAGTAACTTAATAGCTGTTCGGTAGTACCATAGCTAATTAGCCATTCGATGTACTGAAGAATGTCCGTCTTGAAATCAAACTTTTCTGTTCTAGCTGGCACTGCTTTGCACCACGGAATGAAGGCGACGAAGAAAAAAAGTTTTGAGCACAAATCAAATGGTCGTAAAGATGATTTAGACAAGTCGATGAGGTCATTATCCTTAACTTTTGGATAATCGGCGGAAAGAGCGGCCACGAATTGTTGATGAATTTTGTGTATCTCCTTTTCTTCCATGTCCTCCAACCCTGTCACACACCGCAAAAGAGAAGGAAGGTAATGCAAAAGTAGAATATCTGAATCGTTGGTGATATTCTCGTTAACATGTTTGATGATGGCACTGTAGGTGTCGTAAGTTTGGAGCGATTGTGGGAATGCATCAATGAGCAAATACAAAATCTGACTCAAAAGATCGTGGATATGGAATAGCTGCTGCTTCACGAAGTACACTTTTTTAACGAAAGCTAGATTGTTGATATCTGAGGTCGCTTTCTGCTTGTCGATCTGATCATTTTGAACCTGGATCAACTTGTAGATTTTTTTGTAACTTTCGAGAAATTGCTGGAATAGTTCCTTCGCTGGATCTTTTGAAGGGTATAGCATCTGTACTCTGTTGTTTGTAACCATGTAACCCAAGATGTTGAGGATGTAATCGTACCTTCTGAAAAAGGCCAAGATCCCCGCATCTTCAAGGCTAGAACCTTTTGAAAAGCTCTCGTTTGTGGCCAGCAGAAGCAATTCAGCTGTTGCAATCTCGTCTAAGTCAAGCTCACTAGCAAGAAGGTATGCGGTCTCGATGAAGGCTTTATTAAGCTTATAAGACAGTCCGTCAGAAAAATTAACGGGCTCAGTATCAGCCTTCGCCAAAGTTTGCCTGGCTTTGTCAGACTTTGGTGGAACCACGAGTAACTGTCTTATGTCCGTTCCAATCAAAGCATCTATCTGATCTGGGACGCTGTCCAGGAATTTGACAGCATTATAGCAATCAGAGAAGACGCCAATATCCCACAGATAGGTAGCGGCCATGATTTTTTTCTGAATTGAGGCTGGGGAACAGGCTATCTTACTCGATGTTGTACATGAAGTTTTAAATTTTTGTTAACTACAAACATGTGTTGTGTGCAGTACAGTTGATTTTCTTTACGTAGAAACTGAACATATTTCTTTGATTAACTACAGGAGCAGTTTACCATATGGTACGTGAGCATAATAAATATATAAGTCTAAGTAAGACTGATGTTGGCACCGTCAAACAAAGACATGGTCAAGTGGGATGCCTTCTTGGGGTTCTCGCAGTGGTCGAAGGACTGGATGTTCTTGAACATCTGCAAAAGTCTGACAGTCACGTAAGACGCTTCGGTCAATGCAAATTGCTGGCCCAAGCAAATTCTTGGTCCACCGTTGAATGGGAGGAATCCCCAACCAACCTTCTTCATTCTCTCTTCACCCCATCTCTCAGGCCTCCATTGCAAGACATCCTTGCCGTAAACCTCCTCCAGTCTGTGAGTGGCGAAGATTGTGTACGTGACGGTCTGACCCTTTCTGACGAACACGGGTTGGTCCTTGTTGGGGCCACCACCGCGTGGGAGGGTAGTGTCTTTCGTGGCCACACGGAAGTTCTGTGGCACGGATGGGTAGAGTCTGAGGGTCTCGTTGGTGACCCACTTTAAGTATTCGAGTTTCTTCAAGGACTCGAAAGTGATGCCCGACAAGTCAACGTCGTCACCCTCGCCAAAAGCATCGACAACCTCAGCACGCAATTTTTGGAACACATCAGGGTTTCTAGCAAGCTCAAAGAACATGAACGACATCAAGCCAGCAGTGGTATCTCTGGCAGCCAACAAGATGTTCAAACACTGGTCACGCAACACCTTGGGGTCTCTGGTCTGCTTAGCCAATTCGTACAAGAAAACGTAACCGGAGCCGCTGAATTTCTCAACCTCCTCTGGGGTGGAGTTCAAGGCCTTGTCAACGTAGTAGTCGGCAAATTCGTGAACAATTTTGTTGTTGCGCCAGAAGCGAGGGTTGTTAACAATCCAATAAAGCTTCTGGAAACCGGCACGCATGAACAAGTAGGATTGGGAGATGTTGAAGGCCTCAGCAAACTGTCTCTTGACGGCAGGTCCGCTCTCAGCAACACCGGGCTCGTCCTCGCTCAAGGACTCACAAGATTCACCAAACAAAAATTCCGTTCCCGAGTCAATGGTCAACTTGAAGAAGAGAGGCTGAATGTTGAAATTCTGGCCACCGGTTCTACGAATAAGCTTTGCGAGTGCCTGGACGTGGGGCTCCAAGGCTCTGACGTGACCAACCTGCTCTCTGGCAAACTGTGGTCTCAACATGGCTCTCGAGTGCTTCCAGCCCATGCCGTCCAAGGTGAAAATACCATCACCGAGCAAAATCTGGAACTGACGGTGGCGGAGTCCAAGGATGAAGTCGTTGAATTGCGTACCCAAAAGGGCCTTGATGTTCTCCGGGTCCCGGGTCGACACCACCGGCGTGCCGGCCATGGTCAAGTGAACCGTGTCGTGACCAGTCTCGATAAACCGCTGGTACAAGTAGTCGGGCATTTCGCCCTTGGCCTGTTTTTCAACCACAAGCCTCATGAGTTTAAAGCCATACCAGCCATCCAGTACAACCGGAGCAAACGAAGCTCCGGAGCGCTTGTAGGCAACGTAGTATGCGGCAACGTTGAATAAACGGTATGCCACTAGGGCGAGAATGATAGCCGCCCACCAGGGGATATTGACTCCTAAATCAGCAATTACCAGCATGTTAGTTGAGTGGAAATAGCGGACAAGCATGCTTTTATAATGTGTGTGGAGATAAGCGATGCGCCTGCAGCCCGCGAGGGGAAGCTGTCTGTAGAATCAACAGGAAGAGGCAATGAGGAAAGCCAATGAGGGGGCGTATGAGCACAAAACAAAAAAAAAAAAATAGAAGAATCTCTTGACGAAGGATTCTCGGACCTTGTCACTTCCGAGTTTTCTGGGGGTGTCCCCCCTTACCTTGGCGTAATTGGTTTCACTCTACTCTTTGCACCGGCTCATGTGCTGCGGTTGAATGCGGAATCGCCTTAGCCTTGAGAGCTCCGAGACGTGCTAGTGGATATTCCGAAGTAACGCCGCTCCGTCTCTGAGCGGGCAAACAGGACTGTGCGTTTCATGCTGAAATCGGAGAAAGAACCCTTAGTAAACCCGGCAGCGACCCTAGGAGATCCCCGACAGACAAAATCCTAACTCCAATGCCATGTGAATGGCTGCGAAAAGTGGTCAATGGCACACTCCTGTAACGCTTAAGTCCGTCAGCAACATAAAGTAAAACAAAAGAGAGTAATTGGGAAGTGCGGAGTTTAGCTCAATCGAGCGGACCATTGTGGCCATGAGATTTTAGCAGTGGACAATGCAAAAAGGCATAGAAGTAGTGGTGACAATGCCATGTTGCGAAACCGTTAGATCCTGCGCTTTTGTGTAATCAGACATCTCATAATCCGGGGTTGTCTAGGCATTTTAAGTCACTTGACAGCGACAAAGATCCGCCGTTTTTTTTTTCTCAACTTCAAAAAGCGTTTGCTTGATTGGACGTCGTGGCGTGGTACTCGCCTTGCTTTCACATGCTCCATGTGATCTACATTGTGGTCTTACCTTATGTGTATGCACTATATGCGAAAAGAGTTTAGACAGTGGGGCCAGCAGCCTGCACCTCAGAAGTGGCCTGGTCAGCGTACTTCTTGAAGTTCTCCACGAACTTGCCAGCCAAAGAGCTGATCTCCTTCTTGAAGGAGGCCTCACCCTCAGACCAGGCATTGATAGGATTGAGAAGCTCAGATGGAACACCTGGACACGTCTTTGGAACATTCAAGTTGAACACTGGGAATTGCTCGTACTCAACCTCGTTCAAAGAACCGTTGTGGATAGCGTCCAACATGGCTCTAGTGTACTTCAATGGGCATCTCTTGCCGCCTCTAGCAGCAGAAGCACCAGCCCAACCAGTATTAAGCAACCAGGCGTTGGCATTGTGCTTGGAGATCTTGTCAGACAACTGCTGAGCGTACTTCATTGGGTGCAAAACCAAGAATGGTTGACCGAAACAAGCAGAGAAAGTAGCCTGTGGCTCAGTGACACCCTCCTCAGTACCAGCCATCTTGGAGGTGTAACCAGAAATAAAGTGGTACATCACCTGGGAGTTGGTCAACTTGGACACTGGGGGCAAGACACCGCTGGCGTCACAAGTCAACAAGATGATGTTGGTTGGGTGAGTGTCAGCCAAACATGGGATCTTGGCGGATGGAATGAAGTCGATAGGGTATGCACATCTGGTGTTTTCCGTGATGGAAGAGTCGTTGTAGTCAACAAGCTTGGTCTCTGGGTCGTAGACAACGTTCTCCAAGATGGAACCGAACTTGATGGAGTTGAAAATCTCTGGCTCCTTCTCCTGAGAAAGGTCCAAACACTTGGCGTAACAACCACCCTCAATGTTGAAGACACCGTTGTCAGACCAACAGTGCTCATCGTCACCAATCAACTTTCTGTTAGGGTCAGCAGACAAGGTGGTCTTACCGGTACCGGACAAACCGAAGAAAAGAGTGACGTCACCCTTCTCGTTACCCTGGTTGGCAGAAGAGTGCAAAGTCAAAACCTGGTGCTTGATTGGCATCAAGTAGAACATGACAGTGAAGATACCCTTCTTCATCTCACCGGCGTACTCAGTACCCAAGATAACCATCTCCATGTCCTTGAAGTTGATCTCCACAGAGGTGGAAGAGGTCATACCCTTGGTGTAAGTGTTAGCTGGGAACTGACCAGCGTTGTAGATGGTGAAGTCTGGCTCACCGAAGTTTTTGAGCTCCTCCTCAGTTGGTCTAATCAACATGTTGGTCATGAACAAAGCGTGGTAAGCTCTGGCACAAATAATTCTGACCTTGATTCTGTAACGAGGGTCCCAGCCGGCGTAAGCGTCCACAACGAACAACTTCTCTCTGGTTCTCAAGTAGTCCAAAGCTCTGGATCTGGAAATCTTCCAGGTCAACTCGTCAACCTGCTTGTTGACAGGACCCCACCAAATGTTCTGGGAAGAGGTCTCCTCATCGACAATTCTCTTGTCCTTTGGCGATCTACCAGTCTTCTTACCGGAGTAGGCCATCAAGGCACCGGTGGAAGAAATGGTGGTACCCTTCTCCAAAAGACCATCCTCGTACAAGGTTGGTGGAGGAGCGTTGTGTCTGATGGTAACGTCGTCTTTAAGAGTCAACTGCTGAACCAATGGGTCCTCAGTAGACTTGATCGATGGGTGATCAGTGAAGTTCAAAGAAGATTCAACAGCGGTAGGTGGAACCATGATTGATAGAGTTTTAAGTCAGAGAAGAAAAAAAAAATCCGTAAATGTGGGGGAATGTGTGTCTTTATATATTCGTCAGGGCAAGACGCCAAACCAGGCGTTGCACATTTTTGCAGCTTGTCACAAAGTAAGAAACGCCTGGCGTGCCCGGGACTGCGGATCCACATGCTGGGGTAGCTGGACTGCAGGTAGAGGCTTTTTGGCCGGGATAAGGGAACGTAATGTATGGAGAAGGCATGCGCGGGATAAAAAATATGGGGTAAAGAGCGAGGACCAGCCTCCAAAGTAGCAGGAAAAAGTCGGGTGGCGCGACTTTTCCACCGGTTGGTCACGGAACAGGCGACGGCCTAGATGAGCAGCCCGGAAGAATGGAGCATTCCTGCAGGAAATACCTGTATTCCACCACGCCTCCCGCTTTGCCCCGGGATCCTGGCCTGGCCAGCCTGGTGGGACTCATCCCAGTCAAACATAAAGCGAAAGTTTAGTTGAAGCGGGAAAAGAAATGTGTGGGTAGCGTGATCCATTTGCTCATCTCCACTTTGCTGTAGATCTCATTGGCCGTGGGCGAAGCACATGCTTGAGCAAGCTGGTGTAGGGCTCTTAATGGTGTGAGTGTGCCGTGAGACATACAAGGCGTAACAATGTCCTGTAGTGGAGAACCAGAGGCACATCGGCCTATGTGATGCTTATTTTGCTACCCTCTCGGAATATACCGTTCACAACCCTTGTTGGGGTAGCAAGACCCACGTATGCCCGGGCGCTTAAACCGAACAATACCCCAACAGCTTCGCTGGCCAGCCTACTCTTCGCTTCGGCCTCGGACAGTACCGCCAATCTTCCCCTCCTGATTATTCGTCAATGTAATTTCACGTCAATGATGCGTCTCCAGCCTCCATAGATCAATTTTGGGTCGCTCTTACTGTTGACAAGTGCAAACCCCCCGGGGATCATTATTTCTGAGACACGCGATAGGCTGGTTGCAAGTCGTAACCAGAATCAACGTTCTGCTTTTCATAAAACCTATTAAAAATTATGAGCTGATGTCATGGCGCCATCCTTCATCTTCATCTGGTGAAAATCTACTCTTCAGTAGGTAGCCTCGGAAACGTCTTGCGAGGCTTCTTCGCACACTTCCGTTGATCCGAACGCACCGGTGTCTAACGGCTAAACCTCTGTCTGTGCCAAATTCCTTCCATACACCCTTTCGTGGCATCGGCTTAACAATCTGCCCCTCAGCAAACGAATTTATCCGACCGTTGTACGAGGGGCTGTAGTGGGGTTTCCGATTTAGACCGGCATGGTTAATTTGAATCGCCTAGAATAACCTCATCTTCCCGTTGTCTATCATAGTACTGGTGGTACTGTTGCCACGGCTCAAAGCCTATTGCCTTGATTCCTGTGAAAGATTTACCCTCCATGACTTCGACCATCATGCATGAGTTCATACTTGTAACAGAATTGGCATCGCAGTAATTCGATTTCAAATACGTCACCGCGGAACAAATAAGACCAAATTTGAAGATCTCCGTGAGGTTAGAGTAGCTCGGATCAATTACCGGCCCGACAATTCCTCCCACTAAAGCCTCTTTTTTGTAACTCCCAGTACCAAGACACGCCTCCTCGATGAAAGGATAGTATTTTGCAAGATTGCTTCTGTTTGTAAAAAGAACAATACTACCAATAACATTCTGGTTGCTTGGCTCAAGGGCAATGATGATCTTCGCTTCAAACGCAGAGTTGGTGTCATTGCAATGCATTGCCTCGCGATAGAGTTCTCTCAACCATCGATTGTGTGTCCTGACATCTGTCACTGTCGGATTCAGATCCGGCGAATTGGCAGTTGATGTGGATGCGGGCAGAGCTTTCTCTTGCGTATCGCTTTCTGTCGCTCGCAGAACCAATTCTTGAAGTTTCTCCATCTGCAGACAAATGTCGAATCGTACACCCACTATCATCAACTCACGGAATATCTTTTGAGGTACCGACCACGAGGAAAGCTCGTTGAGCACCATGACATGAGCGGGCCACAGCTTGGATTGTTCGTTAATGTCCCACCCAACGTTGTTGAGGAACGACAGGTTTCTTTCTTCGAATCCTTCCTCAAAGAAAACTGGCATCGGAAACAGGCAGCCCAAATTGACCAACAGGCAACCTTGCTCCTTTAGTAGGTAACGCATAGCACGCAAATGGAGATTCTTACCTATCAGTTGCAAACGCTTACTCTTGTCGACCAACAAGTACACTATGCTTCCTGTTTTCTCCTCATCTCGATAGTCTTTGGACCCTAGGTCTTGAACCCACGTAATCACGACACCGTAAAGAATGTTCAAACTGGAGTTTCTGATGACGAAATGACGCTGAGTGGCAGATGTTGAATGAAGGAAAGATACAAGTAATCTGAAGGTTGACTCACTGAAGTTCGGCTGGTTGGCTTTGAAAAGTTTTAGAAGACCACGCCAATCTCTATGGCAATCAAAGTCATCCACAAGCCATTTTCTCTTCGGTGGTAAGTATCGACGCGGCCTTTCTGGCAGTTTTCCTGGGCTCAGTATCAATCGTCTCTTCTTATTTTTATCAACAATAAATTTCTTCTCTCCAGGTATGCATCCTTGTGCCGTGTAAATACCCATGAGCACCCCCACAAGCTCTTTTAAGACATTCTCCGTGTAGTCATAACAGCAGAGGTAAGCCGAGCCTATACTTTTGTTGTAAAAAAAATCATATGGAGACAGGGTTGCCACAATAATCAAAGGCTTTGAAAGGTGCGATTGGCCTGATTGTTGCGAAAGTGACAGTGGTGATGCACCACATAGTATCGATACATATTTCACTATGCCGATCTGATACATATTCCTGGAAGCTTCGGATGTGAAGACAATCACGGCCTTGGAATGTTCAATGAGTGACTCGTGTAGCGCAGTGAGCCCATTTGCTGTATATGTCGTATGAAGCACATTAAAGTTTTCTGAGTTAGAAAATTCTGAGAGATATTCGCCAAACTTCAGAAACACAGCTTCACCAGGATACAAGTTCTTTCTAGAGGGCTCCTCCAGCTGCGGATATATTGGGTTCAACAAGGGCGTAAGGATCAAGATATTGTTTTTCTCCCCTTTGTCGCCGAGATACTGTGTCAACGGTAGGACGCCCTCATAATCCCTGATAAGTGTGATCGAACGTCTGTAGGCATACTCAGACAATGCTTTGTGTTGTTTCCAGGCATCTGGGTGTGCAAGTCTGTATAGGTTAGTGTCAATTGGATTATCGTCCGGGAAAATCTTGCTCCATTGCGGAAGTCTTTTTTGTATGTTTTCAATCCGGCCCAAAGATGGCGTAAGCATATATTCCTCCAATGTTCCGTTGTTGAGAGCAATTGAAATTGATTCAATTGCCTCGATTTGTAGTTCAAAGTCATGGCACACCATAACCAAGTCACAACCAGCACAGATGGCCAACATCACGCCCTGTCCCAAACCAATTGAATGGTATAAAGCATCCATTTCCAAACATTCACTTATCACGAAGCCCTCGAAGCCGATTTCTTGTCTTAATAATTGGTTTATGAGAACAGGCAGAAGACAAGCGTGTGTTTCGTCCGGAGAAATGGTAGGAACTCCACAGCCAGCAGCGGAGATTCCGTCTATTAAGCCCTCGTGTATAAGTTCTGCAAATGGCACAGAGTTGAAGCGTCTGATTTGTTCAAGCGAGTCTGCCATCATCGGTACTTCCAATAAAGAGTCGACAGAGGCATTACCAATACCTGGAAAGTGTTTGCCAACCGTGATAAGGCCGCCATCTTTGAGTCCCTTGGCACAAGCCTTGCCATATTTGGTAACCTCATCAATCGTCGTACCAAATGATCGAACCAGTACGAGTTGATGAGAAAGCTTTGTGATGACATCAAGAACCGGGCCGAGTATGATGGAGAATCCAATGTAACGAAGCTCTTCAGCCAAAGCTTTTGAAACCTCATAGGCCAACTGGGGGTCTCCGGTGGCTGCTAAAGCCATGGCACCCGGGAATTGGGTTAAGTTTTGCGAATCGAACAACGAATTGAGCATACCACCCTCCATATCCACAGCGAAAAGCAAAGGATACTTGTATCCTGCGTGCTTGTAGGCGATGTATTGCAAGTCTCTAATGAGCTTGGACATTTGCTCCACCAGCTGGGCATTCTTCCTCAGAAGTATCATTGTTGAAACTTTGTACTTGACGATGAGTTGATACGCCTGGGAGGTAACAGTGGTGCCTTGAAAGCCTCCGCAGACAAGCTGTCCAAGCGAATCTTGCGGTATCATGGGTCCGAAAAGCTTGTGTGTGTTGATGTGGATCGATTCTCCTAAGCGTGGAGTAACTCTGTTAGTAAAACTGGGACATGCCTGCACGAGAGATGACCCATGGAGAAAGTGGCCCAATTCGGAGCTGCTGTTTTTATGCCGAGAATCACCAAGGGTGTCAGGTGGTGGGGTTGTGGGGAAGTTTCGACAACCTCAATGGTTTATTCTATGCTTTTGTGGTGTCTCGGCAAGCTCCATCATCTTCTGCATTATAGGTAATGCTACAGAAGCCGTTAACAGTAGGCCGGCCAATGCAAGAATTCGGCCATTGAAATAAAGACATTCATTGTCTTTCAAATAATTCAATGACTTGCGACCATCTGCTAAAAAATTCTACAATCTTCTGGCCCACACGTGAAGCGGGTGGTGAGTTCAATTTGAAGTCACTGGTGATGCGCAGTGGACTCCGAAATCCACCGACAAGTGGAATGCGATGCTTGTGCGTGCGATGAGTTGATGAGCTAATCTGTCTTTGTATTCATAATCCTCTTTTGTATTTCTGTTTTTCTCTTTGGGTAAATTGCGCTTACTAAGTTTGACAGTTGTCGAACATCGATGGATTAGCGCAAGATCTTCGCTTATCATAATATAGGCTCAGTAAACCTAAGCATTTCTGTGATGTACAAACAACATCTTCGACAAAAGAAATTGTCATTTGAATGGGCCCTAACTGGCTCACTATTCTTGGCTGGTACTGCCTTTTATTGCTTCGAATACATATTTTTTAATTTGTTCATGACACTTTAGCATCTTATCCTTATCCAGATTCTGAGTTCGCATTTTACTATTTTGCAACCAAATGGCAACCATTCACTCACCTCAAAAAAAATAATGGGGTCTAAAAAAACAACACTACCCATTATAAAAAGAGACAACAGCTTAATAAAGGATCTTAAAACTTGAAGTTCCCCACAATGTTCTCAGATCATGACAAGCCCCTCTTTGTGCCTCTATATTTGCCATTCAGTAAACGCGTAATTTTGCATCTACAACTACTCCATACTTCTGATGTCTAATGGGTATTGATGAGCTCTGGCCCGTGGTGAGCCCGGGTTGTGATCCCAGAATCCCATTTCCAAAGTTCTTAGCCCACTTTATCGAGGAAAATGGTAGACCACCCCGCTTTGCCATAGATGCCTATATGTTCATGTTCTACTCTCAGCTTCCGAACGTGGACCCCGAGGACCCTGACGTGCAGAATAGAACGATTCGAAATTTCATGGCCAAATTATGGTACTTCGTTCAGCATAACGTTTCGTTTGTCGTTGTGTTTGATGGGAAATTCAAGCCGAGCAAGCTTCGCCATGGCAATCTTCCTGAGATCCAAGGCTCTATCAACTATGATGAAGTCCTCGAGCACTTTCACAAGGTGCACCCTTCGAACTACGGCGAGGGTCTGGGGCTTGTGGAGAGAATGAAAAGGATCTTACAAAGAAACTGCATGGATATCGTACAAGCACCTGGGGAAGCAGAAGCCGAGTGTGCATGGCTTCAAAGACTAGGTGTTGTTGATTTTGTGATATCTGATGATTCCGATACTCTTGTCTTCGGAGCAACGAAAATGATCCGTCAGTTCAATCGTGTAAAGTACATAAATGACGAAGACAAACCCGTTTTGAGCAATACAGACTACTATGTCACCCCTGTTCGAATGGAGAGGATAACTGAGGTGACTGGGCTAGATAGAAACAGATTGGTCTTGATTGCCATACTACGAGGTGGTGATTATTCGACTGGTGCAGAAGGTATTGGTATGACTCGTGCAAAAGAGATCGCTTTATGCGGAACTAACTTGCTTTCAAGTCTACCCAGAAAACTAACCCAGGACTTCGGTGCGTTACCGGACTTCTCTGCTATGTTTTCTCTGACATTCATTAATCAAGAAAAGGTCAAGGCTGTGCTGTTACAACCTTGGAAGAACATAAAATCCGAGCTAGATCGACTGGACAGTCTTCACTCATTCAACAAATACCTCGATTCGGCACTCAGAGAACAGCATAAGGAGATTTTTGGAAGACAGACGACAATGAAGGCAGAAGTGAAGGTTGATGAATATTTTGCTTTGCTTTATTTTTTTCCATTAGTCAATCCCAAAATTTTCAAGTTTACACCTTACTCGACAAGTTTTGGAGAACTTGAGGCTGTCATTGATGATATGCCTGGTCTCACACCTGACGATGAAACACAGACTGTGAAGAGGTACAACTATGTGTGTGATCCAGGTGATATTGGCCAGCTGGTAGTCAAAAATGGCAAATTCGTGTTTGAGGGCAAGGGCAGGGCAAATGTTTTGAAGAGAGATCAATACGCATTGCCGAGAGAGAGGAAATTTAATCTCAAGTCGTTTGCTCTCAAGCTTCTTCTATCGCCAAAGGCTTCTTCTGAAGTTTTTCTTGCCAGATCAAAAATTGCCGATGGCGTTAAGATCGGTGTGCTCAAATTTCAGAAGTCGAAACTTCATGAGAAAGTTTATTTGGTGCAGAAAACCCGACTCGAGGAGAAGCAAGAGAATGACGAGATCGAGGATGATGAGCGAGAATCACAGGATCCGGATAACTTGGTGCAAAGAGACGATGAGGATGACGAAAAGCTTACAGCTGTAAACGTGACGATGGATTCTATTCGCTTGATTGCGCCAAGCTTAGTAGATGAGTTTGAAAAAGAACAGCTGAAGAAAGATAGATTGAAGAAATCACCGAAGAAAAAGGCACCACCACAGAAGACAACGCTAGACCGCCTATGGCCAGGAATGTCACCCCTGAAGAAGCTAAATAATGCTATTGAGGTGATTGACCTCGATGCTGATGACGTCGTGGAGGTGAAAGCTGAAAGTCTTGATGGTTCGCCGACGAAGAACAAATCGCTTGTGAAAGTTGAAAATGGACAGTCGCCGGCGAAAGTGGAGAATCGCTCGGTGAAAAAAGAGACAAGGAGAAGACGCAAGACATTGAAGGAAAGATATGAGCTACCGAGAAACCAGCTGGACGTGACAGCATTCTTCCTGCAAAACAAGAACCCTTTCGAGGAGCAAAACCCCTTGTTTGTTCCGGAAAGTGAGGACGAAGACAGCAATGCACTGGTAAAGAAGGATAACGAATTTATGAAAATGAAGAATACTTTATCGAACGTGCCCTTTTTGCCTGGTCCAAATTTGGCTGCGAAAGCACCAGTCGAGGCCCATATAAGTTCACCAGAACTGAGCCCCTCGAAAAAGATACGAATGACGTTATCCCCTGATAATTCTCCTATCAAGACTAAAGGATTGCCTACTGGGAAGCCGCCGACCTCTTAACGAATAAATATTTGATGATCTGAAAAATGACGTTGCTAACTGATAACGATCATTCCTGTACGAAAGCTGCATTGTATTACCCTGTTGAACTCACGGATCTCAAGCACAACCAAGCACTCAGAAATGGCGCCTCAGTTCTCGACCCCAATCAAGTGCATCTATGATGCCTCCGACTTGCTGAATTTCAAGAATTCCATTGCATTCGAAAGACTCCATGACGTCATCAGAATTATCGTACAAAAAGTGAAGGGCTCGAGTTTGCCAAAAGGTGTATTCGACTTGTCACTAGTAACTAGAGCAGACGTCAATAAACCACCTTCAAGAAACCTTGGAGATGATCTACTAGAGACATTGTCCGAGTCTGGTCGTGCTATCGTTGAAATCATTGAATCCTTCAATAAACTCCTCGATGAAACTCCACCACTAGAGGGCCCCAGAAGATTCGGCAACATGGCCAGGAGGGAATGGCAAGACAAAATCGAGGCTGACGCTGGACCATTGCTTCAGAAATTAACGAAAAAGGAGGACCTTCAACTCGAGCTTCTGTATTACTTGGTCAATTCTTTTGGCTCGCCAATTCGATTGGACTATGGATCCGGTCACGAATTATCCTTCATAGCATTTGTTGGAGGTCTAATGGAACTAAAGATTCTTGACGTCTCCCAAATTGAGGCCACCGAGATTCTTATCATATTCGCAAAGTACTATGATTTGGTCCGTCGCTTGATTTTGGAGTACAGTCTTGAGCCAGCCGGGTCTCATGGTGTTTGGGGGCTTGATGATCATTTTCATTTTATTTACATCCTTGGGGCGGCTCAATTTAATGTCGACGGTAACAGTAAGCAATATGTGCCGCCGGTTCTGCAGGTTCTTTCTTCACTCATCATCGAGGACTTCAAAGAAACAAATCTTTATGTGAACGCCATTGCATTTATTTTCAAAATCAAGCTGGGGCCCTTCAACGAACATTCACCTATCATTTTTGACATCCACAAAACTGTATCGCTATGGTCGAAGGTTTTATCGGGTTTACTCAAAATGTACGAGGTCGAGGTTCTTGGTAAATTTCCTGTCGTGCAGCACTTTTGGTTTGGCTCCGGCCTCTTTCCATGGCTCGATACAGAGACAAGGCAGAAGCTACCGGTCAAAGATATTGCAAACGAAGAAAAGGAGGAAAAGGAGGACACATTACCGGGCTTTATTAATGGCTATGCTGGCCAGAAGACAACAAAAGCTAACATCACATTGACAGGCGCACCTTGGGCACGCCAAAATCCTGGAGCAGTGCCTCACGCTCTACATTCACGTGGACCTACTCGTCCTATTCCTAAAAACTCCCGAGGCTAAATAGATTTATTGTTCAAGCTCTTGAAGCTCGGCTGAAATTAAATGCTGTACGACACAATGGACATGTACTGCTTCCAGAACTCTTAAACCACTTATAAAGACAGGCAGCATGAAATTTGTTCAGACAAGTAGGACAAGTTTTGGATGGTAGAGAGTGGTCTTGATGCAAGATCGAATAACAGATTGCACATTCTTCAAACCCTGAGAAATGTAAGTTGACATTTCTGTTAAATAACTCAATGCAATCTGTGATGGAGCCATTTGTGAGGGAAATGACACGCTGGGAGGCCAACAACCAAGCTTTCCATTGATTTTCCTTGACTCCCAAGCGCAAAGGACCCAGAACCAGGACGCTAGAAAGGGGAAATGACTCCGGTATTTTGACAACCATTTCCATTCTCTGCTCATCGATCAAATAGATGGTTTTGATTTCGTTGGTGACTTGGTTAACCTTGATGCTTAGGTTTTCATCATTGTCTGTGAGTTTGCGCTTAGTACTATCTACCTCACTCAACATTCTGGAGGTGAGAATAGGGCAGATGAATTTGACCGAGAATTTCTCAATTTGCCTTTTCAATTGCAAGTCTCTAAGCTCACTGAACCACTGTTGGCTGTGAGAGCCTAGGTATTGTAGACACATCAAATAGAGGTGAACGAGCAAGAACTTCATCTCGTACAAGAGATCCTCGCCCACACAGCCAGTTGCAACTGAATAATCTGAAATCTTGCAGTTCTCAGGGTCGACTCGAATAGCGTTTTCCGAATTTCCGTCAACCAAAGTCTTTAAAAATTTGGAATCTGCAACGTCGACATGGTCGAAAATAACATTCAACAAATGCTCAATTGACTTGTGCTCTTTAAGTTGATTGATGTAGTCTGTTCGAATTCCATAAGTCGAATCTTTAAAGAACGCAAAGATCAAAAGCCAACTCCACAAGTAAGATGTCACAATATGATCCCTTTCTTTTCCAATTGATGTTTCGAGATCCTCTCCAAACTCGGTTACTGAGTTAATGAGCTGTGTGGGTAACTTCGCCTCGGCTAGGTTCTCCAGAGAGTCTCCCAAATTGGATTTGTTAAGTTGGTATTCGACAACGAATTCATCTCGAGTTGACAAAATATGTCTCTGCAAAAGCATTGTAGAAATTCTTTGCATATCCACGAAGGTTGAGTTATGGATAATCTTATAAAACTTCTCCAGATTGTCAGCAATGAGATAATCGGGAACGCAATTGCCGCTCATGATTCTTCTCACAATCTCGTTGGTCATTTTGATGGCCTGGTTGTCACGCTGTTCATCATTTCTTTCAACTTCTTGGTTCAGGATGAGATCACAAATCTCCTCAATTAGAGACTTTCTCGTCTCCTTCCAATTACCTTGCTCATCTGCTGACTTCAAGAAAGTGGCCGCAAGCTTGATGGTGAAGAATCGCAATTCAATGTTTGAAACTGCAAGCTGAGCAGTGCTGAGATTATTAAGGCACAAGTCGTAAGCAACTTCCCAGCATTTCTCAGAAACGGCGTTTGAGTGCTCGGCCAACAAACTCGAAAAGAAAAGAGCCAATAGACTTCTGATAACATGAAAATCGTCATCGTAGGCAATGTCAGAATCCAACCACTCGGAAATATGGTTAATAAGCAAGCCCATCTTGTGTGGAGGCAATACCTCGTACTGGGGACTTTCATCATGATCAACATTAAGGAAGTTTATGGCCAAGGAGAGCCATGTCTTACCCAGATCGAGAATATCAGGCGAAGACTTAACACCAAGGATTTCTGCGAACACAAAACTTCTCAATCTGTCGAACTTTTTCGACACGCCAGTAAACTTAGTGGCCGATGATAAGAAAGAGGCTAAGAGAAGAGGTTGACGAGCGAGCTTTGTGAGTTTCAAATCAAGAGATTCGAACTCCTTGAAAGACATTACCTCAAAACTTGTGGCAAGATGGCGAGTCACATAGCGAGCGAAGAAGATTTGGGACTTGTTAAAGGGACCCTCCGCTGATATAACATTCAACAAATGATTTTCGATTGATGAACCTTCTATCTGTCCATTCAAAAAATCGGCAGGGTTGCTCGAACTGACGAACACATGACGTTTGATCGAGGTGTCCAATTGTGCTTTATCATTCAAGATAGACAGCATAGATTGGTTTGATTTGGCCAAAAACAAATAATCATCGATGTATTCGCTCACCAAAATGGCCACTGCTATTAAGTCCGTCGCAGAGCTCTGGGTGGAATCGAGATGCGATGCAAGAAGTTTTGCCGTGCCGACAACAAAGCGGTCTAAAATAGGATCTTCTGTAGATTGACTAGCCAAGTGAACGTTTTGAAAAATAGGATTTGATATAGCAACGGTGGTAATGTCCACTAAGCCTGTTGCTTTGCTAACTCTCTCCGAAATCTCTTTCATTGGAAAGTAATTGGGGAATTGCGATAAAAAGTTTGTAACTTCGTCAAATTTTGAGTCAGATTTCTCCATACCAGTGTAGAGCGTATGTGCAATAAATGGTACATCACCTATGAGCTCCAAGAAGGAGGCAAGACGGCTCGCATCCACGGTTGTCAAACCTTGGAGAATTATTTCAGAAATGCTTCCCTCAAAATCACTTTCAAGATCCCGCAAATTTATCTTCCTCGTGATCGTAGCGTCAATAAATTGCTTTGGGTTAGCTCGAACAGCAGGAGAAATTATAAGGTTCCGAAGAATTTTTGGGTCGTCAATGTAATTATAGACCATTTCGTTTCCCTGCGATGAGTCTGTATTAGCAGCTGACAACGATTCCAAATACTCTTTTACCTCAGGAATGTCTTTTTCTGATATTGTCTCCGTCTGCTTCAAGATTTGGAGAAGTTCAGGCAATGCACTCTTGACATCCGTTGAAACTTTCGTGAAAATATCACTTATCAATTCCTGATAATCAACCCAGTCGACGTTGGCTTTGAGGATAAGGCGAAGGACTTCAAAAGGAAGTCTCGTAAAATTAGGAGTGCAAAATGAAGGAAGCAATGGCATCCACTCCTTAGCCTCCTGACTAAATCCCTTCTGAAGACAACAAATCAAAACTTCGAATGCTTTGGTTTGTTGCAGGATCTCGAAGATGTCCAGCAATGCAAGAAGTACACTATCTGCCAACTTGTTGCTTTGTTCAACATTGAGAGTGGCAACATAGGTGGGTACCACTTGATCAAACTCACTTTTGAACGAATGGCCCGCAAGAGTGAAAGTACCGCTGCGAGTTATATAATCACATATCTCTTCGCCCATCTCATCAAACTTTAAGTTTTCACAGTAAGAGGCAAGCAACTCAATCGCTTCATTTTTTGTACTTGCGTCTGCTTGTCTTGATCTTGCAGAGAGCCCATCTAGAGCTGTCAAGTATGCTTCCATCTTAAGCTCAAGAGTGCTCTTAGCCGACGATAGACTTAGCAATGTAAATATGCAACCAATTGCAGACTTCTTGTAAGGCAATGTGTTTAGCTTTATGAATTGTGACAATAAAGCTTTATTGATGCTTTTAATATGCTTATTGGACGCGAAGTCTAAAAACACATCATCAGACTCAGCTTTGTATTCCACCTGAGATGCGTTTTTGAAAAATGCTTTGAGCACGTTATAATATATGGGATCAGAGTTGCAAGGACCCAATTTAATATAGTCCATGAGACGAGAGTGAGCCTTCGATCCAGCCAATTCCCAGAAGTTTTTCTTAATTTTTAGATTTTTATTATCCTCTGCATCCATGCTGGAAAACGTCGTCAAGACATTCAAGGTGTCCCAAAATTGGATGATAACATTTGAGTAGATGATAGACTGAGTCTTTTCAGTTTCCTTGAGTTTGACATTCTTAATGAACTTCTTGCTGACAAGTTTGTAGAGGCCTTTGACATCGTCTAAAGCGGCTGTGAATGGGGAAGGATGATTCTTATTGAGGTGAAAGATGGTCTTTAGGAGTGCAAGGTATGTTTTGAAGAGACCAACATTAATAGTCTCCGAATCAGAACAGGAAGCCAATGGCCCCCAGAGCTCCTCCAGATGTAAAATGTCTTTCACTTGCTTCTTAGAATCAGCAGTGAGTACAAAGGACGTATCATTATTACTCATGTCGATAAGTTTTCGAAGCATTGATACTGCTCCAACAAGGGCCCTCTCATACTTGGCAACCGAGTCCTCCTTCTTCACATACCTGAGATCAGACAAGCTTTCGTCGGACTCCACACAAATTATGGTGTGGATGAAGTTAATAATCTGTTCACAAAAGACATGCCAAAGTTTGACATCAACCCGTTCCTTCTCATTATTGAAGCTCTCGAGAAGCTCTTTGTAGGAGCCATTGGCAACAGGAGAGTCAGGATCATAAAGACTCAGAAGCCATAGTGGGATCGTGCTTTTCAAGTACTTACCAAACTCCTTGCCACCCACTCTTCTTAGCAAGTTGCCTTGAACCTGATGCGCAAGTAATCTGACAGGCTTGGAATTATCAAGTGCTAACTTTGGATATTGCTGGATCCAGCACATGATCACGGAATCTGTGATTGTGCAAGATGAGTCATTGAAAACTTTGACCAAATCAGTAAGGTTTTTCTCCTTGGTGACGGAGTTCTTCTTTGATAACGCCTTGAAGAGTACTGCTATATTTGGATCTTCGATGACCAGCACCTCTGGTGCAGCCACAAAGTAGCTCAATGATACAGGAAAGCCATTGTAACCCAAATCGCCTGACGAAGATGAGCTTTTGAATGACATTTAGCTGTCTCAGGAAAGATGATGGCAAATGACGACCTACGGCACTGAGAAATTCGCACACACTTAGACCTACAGTACAGTTTGGTTGCGAAAAACTGGCTGCGAAATCTAGCCAGTATTTTTTTATATTGTACATTCACGGATTGACGCGGGTTACGTCGTCTGTGTTAAGGAAGTCGAAGAAGTTCGAGAAGACATTATCTGATAACGCCCAGTCCATATTGGCGTCCATGCCGTCGAAGAGTTGGTCCCAATCGGTCTGCGAATGATGTTCTTGGTAGGCCTCAGCTGCGGACGTAAAGATCTTGTTGAGGTCATTGAGTCCCAACTCTGCTATTTTCTTTTTCAAGTAAAGAAGTGAGCGCGTGGCGAGCTTCCAGTTCTGGCACGATCTCGAGATCGTCGTATAATACACTTTCAAGTTGTCGATGTCCTGGTCTGATACCAGCATGATAGGATTTGAGTGAATCTTTAATAAAGTGACACTAATTCCTAGGATCGACAGGTAGACAACGAGGATTGAGGGTGGAATTCCTGACATGTTAAACTTATCGAGACAGATGGCAAGCTCAGAAATGGCAGAATTGCATAATGAATGTGATGGGTTATCTTCCACTTTTATGTTCATGAACGGTCTGTTCAAGCACAAAATCAAGATATAATAGTAAAGTCTGAAATTCAGTACTGTGGGATTGTAGTTTTGTCTCTTCAAGGTAGCTCGGTTCCAACGCATCTCCACTGGAATTTTGCTCCTCCACTCCGCCAAATACTGATTGAAGTCGTGGATCTTTCGTTTGGTAAGATAAGACATATCATCACCCGCTGAGTCCTTTGAGAAAATCTCCGTGAGAACCAGGCCGATGCACTCACTTAACGAGCACAAAGAAACCAATGACTGTGAGGCATCGATATTCTCCACACTGGACGGGTCTTTTGTGGGCTGGAAGATGAAATTGTCAATACCAGTAGAGTTCGGTAGATGCTCACTGGACGGAATTGTTGCTTCAGACTTTCTCACCGTGACTGGTCGTCCCATTAGAAGACTGACAAAGTGATCAAACACAAAACAACCCCAATAAACACGAGAACGGATCATCACGTCCAGGTTTGTGATAATAGCCTGGTGAGCCTCGCCTGTGCCTTGTTCAATTGCCCAGTCTTGTGGATTCAACTGAAAGCCCAAATCGTACCCCATTCTGAATGCCATACCCGACAACATCCAGCTTGCGGAAGCATTGCCGTCGCCTAGCTCATAAAGGGAAAGACAAAGAAGTGCTTGAAGGGTATTGACGTGGGGAACACAGATCTTCTTTGAGAATATTTTCGTCTTGGACGTTTCGAAAAAGGAGCCCGCCAATCCACGTAAATTCTCGTCTTCAGAGCACTTTGCACCTAACGCTGCGATTGCATAAATGAGCTCTTCGGAGCAGTAGCCCCTAAAATTCAGTGGATGTAGAAAATCGTTAAGGAAACTCTCTCTGTGAATAAAGGTTGCGATGTCTGGGTACTGATACTTAAAGAAGTTCTCGAGGCAAGTGATCAATGACGACGAGTTCATAAGCATATTGTCGAAGGGATCAGCGGAATCTGAGTTGTTCGACATATCCACCAAGTTGTAGAACGCTGAGGTGGGTCCAAAGATGGAGTAACTGCCTCCACTGGTGGCACCTATCGACACCGGAAGCTTTCTCTTTGCCGGCATTTCCACACCCTCAGTTTTATTTATGGAAGGTTCAAGAAGCCGTCTTATCTCTTCGAGAATCGTTTCACTGGAAATTTGCTTATCTTGAAAGGCCACACTGTGGACTCTGGACAAGGTGCTCTGAAGCAGCGATGCCAAGCTACGGAGCTTTTGGGTTTCTGTGGTGGTCAATCTCACACTTCGCTTATCGTCTTCAGGCCTCTCACACTTGAGTCCATGTTTGCGACAGTTCGAACAGACCTCCTCACCATCACATCTTCGCTATCGGTTAGTATGGATCAACACATTTAGTAACAAAGAAGCATACCTTCTTGACTCTGCAGTTGAGGCATCTGGGGTTAGTAGAGATCTAAAGACACAAAAGTTTAAACATACGAGACGGAGCAATTCCTCCTGGAAGACATGAATATCGTGGCAGCTTCACCGCATCTGGTTTGGTAAATATACCGCTCTTATCGTCTTTTCCGCAGTGAGGTACGGCGCCGTATACCGAGCGCTATGTGAAGGAGTCAGAGACCGCCCGGCAAAATAGTACCTAAAAAGTCCGATTTTTCCATCTTGGAATATGCACCCGGTCGCCCCGCCAAAATCTTTTGGCCGGCGAGGTATAATGCTGTATATTATGCAATTTAGTTAGGGAGATTGTAGCTGGATAAGCACTCCCGCATTTGACTCTGACCCGAATCGGAGTGGAGAACCTGACTCCTTCAGCTCTTGTGAACCTCCAAGGAGTCGTAGAAATCTCGAACTTCTTTGGAAACCGCAATGCGTCGGTGATCGAAGTTGAGAATTTCCAAGTGGTCTTTGCAGGTGGCTCGAGAAAGAGCAACATAGACCTGACCTTTTTCAAAAATCTTACGTAAGTCAACTCTGAGTCGATCTATCGACTGGCCTTGCGCCTTGTGGATCGACATGGCCCATGCTAGAAGAAGTGGAAGCTGCTCTCTTATCATACCATCTTTCTTTTCCAGAAAGTTCATTGCCTTGCCGGGATCAACGGTGAATTCCTCGCGGCGCACCATTATCAATGCGTATCCTGAAGACGTACGGAAGTTCACAATAGGTAATAGTGCGTCTGACGCTGGGGCTTTAAAAGCTTCTGCGGCCATTTTACTCATCTTTGACTTCCACTCGGACGGCAAGCCTGCAAACATTGCTCTTTGCTCGTCCGTGTATTCACTTTTGCCCACTAACCCACAGACAAGCCTGACCAAGAGAACGAACTCAGGCGATGCATCCAAAAGCTCTCTGACGCCAAATATTTGACATACTGTACCCCATAGCCCCTCGCCGATAAAACCCAAAACCGTGCCAATCGACCCGTTAACCACCACATCATCAGGATGGTTTTTCAAGTACATAACTTGAGCGCCGACCTTCAATTCAAGAACTTCCTCGCACATCAAGTTCTCATACAACTTCCGTAGGTATGGATCCAGCTCATTGTCCTTCGCCACATACCTTTGTGACACTCCTGGGAGTTGATGCAATCTCGATTCGTTAGCCCTCTTGACCTCTTGCCTTGTAGGGAAGAGCTCCGTAGGTTCTATGCCATCTGTGTAGTGGACCTTGCGCAGTAGCAGATGAAACTTCATCACCATGGTGCCGTCCAACTCGCCCTTACGCAAGGCATTGAGCATGTCAATCAACTCTGTATCGCCCTTTTGACGGAAGACTTGTGTAAGAGTGATTGTATGCGTCATTGCTCTTGCCCAAGATGGACTCTGGAAACAGTACTGGCTCAGTCTGTCTCGAGATACCGGAGGGAGCTGGAAAAAATCACCAGTGCAAACCACCTGGATACCGCCGAACGGCTGCTGTGAATTTCTCAAGATTTGTGCCACCTGGTCGATCTTTGTAAACAAGTTGCCGTCAATCATGGAGATCTCATCGATGATGAGAACCTTGATCGAGCGCCATTTTCTCCTGGCAGTACCTTGCTTCTTGATCTTGTTAGCCAAATCCTGCGGGCTGCCTGTGCCCAACCCTATGCTCAAAAACTTGTGTACCGTTTGGCCGTTGATGTTGCATGCAGCCAACCCTGTTGATGCGGTAACACCCACATTGATCAGGCCGTGCTTTCTACACAACTCTTGCACCAAGTGCCGAAGCACCACCGACTTACCGGTACCGGCAGAACCTGTAAAAAAGACGTTTTCTTGCTTGTGCACCACGTAGTTCACAATTGCTCTCTGCTCGTCACTGAGTCTTATCATCTTACCCTCAGCCAGTGTAGGTGGAGGCTGGGTAAACAGAGGCTGCTGTGGTCTTCTTGTTGGCTTTTTTGAGCCATTGAACAATTCAGTCAAGCTGGAGGAGCCTGACCGTTTTAGAGTGACCTTTTTGGCAGGACCGGGGACTCTGTTTTCTTTCTCATCATCTGAATCAGCCACAACAAACAACTCTTTTGTGGGCAGAGCGGACCTGGGCCTTTCTGGCAGACCAGTGGCGGAGGCCGATCTGGACAACTTGGAAAGAACCGGATTGCTGAAATTGTTCATTTCAGGCAGCCCGAAGGATGTATCGGAGGAGCCAAACTCATCAAATGCACCTTTGGAGGTTGTGATAGACGAAAGTCTCGAGGATGCCCTACCAGCAAGGACCTTTTCAGGAGTAGTTTGTTGTTTTCGACCCGGAGCCGCCGCAAAAAAGCTGGCGATCAGCTGCTGCCGTTTCCCAGCCGGTTTCTTGTTGCTGGTTCTCATGGTGGCAGAAGGTAAACAAGTGCGGGAAGAAGCCTGGGGCAGAAATAACAGTGAGAGTTGGGTCTGGCGCCAGCGCTGGGGCAGAATCGCGGCCGGGCAGGCCTAAACAAATAGTCGCGGCGCCAGGCAAACAAATGGCCAGGGCGTCATGGCGGGAAATGTGGCGTTTTTGGTGGAAAAGCTGAGAAATAAAAAGTGGATTTGGGAGAAAAGCGATGTCAAATTTTCCAATGAAACCAATAAAGTTGTGAGATTTTTGCTTGAATGGGGGAATTGATGAGTGGTGGTGGGGGGAGTTTGTTTGCAGCCGCGCGAGCCTGGCGCTGGTGCCGTGGTGTTGCTCACCAGCGAAGTGAGCAATTGCCATGAGATGAGGGGGGTTCTTTTGAAAATTTTTGAATTTTAACATTTTCCTTTGAAGAAGCTAGATGGTTAGGTAGAAGAGACAGAAAAATTTTGCTTTGTTTGCACGGAACGATGGGCCATACTCGTCGTTAGGGCCTACCGCGAGAGGAACGCATCACCGCGGCGCCAGAATGCGTCGAGTCAAGTCCTTCCAAAACAACCATGCCTAAGTCCAGTAATGAGAGAATGGAAGCGATGAACTTTGCATTGGTGGTTTATTTGAGATGTGAGCATCCTATCTTCCAAGGCATGTTCATTGAATGTGAAATTACTTGAGGGACCGACCAGCCCTATTTCGCAGCCAAGGTGGATCAGTCAGATAGAAGTATCCTATCGTGGCGCCTGTGAACGGTTGATCTACAGTTATTCACCAAAATGAAGCCTTTTACAGATCCAAGAGAATTATCGGAGAACCTTTTTAAAATAAGGAGCCTCTCTGGTTCGCTTCAAAGCATCTTATAGATGCTTGCATGCTTGCAGCTTGATCTGAAAGCGTTCGGCGCCTCCTTCTCTTCATTCACAACACTTCCAATTCTAGAAGGTCACTCACAAAACCTGCTCATCCACGCCCAGCCTTTTGGTCCCAGAAAATCGCAACAAAGGCCGCACATGTCAGGAATCGCTTATCAGCCACTTCCACAGAAAACTTATACTCGTCTTCAGAACGGCAATCGTCAGCAATGCAGGTACCACATAGCCATCCAAAGCCATCTCACTGCCACCCCTCAAAAGTCTATACCACTGATAACAAAGCAGCGATTCGCAGCCGCTGAGTACAGATTTTGCACCCAAGCGTCCATTGTATCGCGCTGATAACCAAGCCATGGATGAAGAAGGAGCTGGAAGTGGTGCCATTGGGCCAATCAAGAGCTGTTTGGCAACTTGAGGGTTGGAAGCTCAATTGCTAGTTGAAATTGGGGATTTTGTTTGCCCCCCTTGCCCCTTGCTGCTTGAACCTTCGTATTTCGCAGCCGTTCTGATAACCACATGGTAGCAACGTCATGGGAACCTCGGGAACACCCTTCACTTTTACGCAATTCATTCGAGATGAAGCTCTCTCGCCTTGGCCTTGTAAATCAAAATAAACTTTTTTCTTTATTTCCTAAAATTTTCGTGCATGGGGCCACTTTCCTCTATGATCTGTATCGTGCGCTTCCTGGTTCCTGTCCCAGACATCGGTTCTGAAACATCCACACCAGCTGGGCAGTAGAAACCCAATTCTACAAGATGAATGAGGGCTCTGAAAACGATCTGAGCTCTCTCTCGCTGCCGGTTTCGGCTCGGCCCAATAAAATGAATGTCTTTGCCAAATCGATACGGAAATTGGGCAGAACAGCATCCAGGCTCAACCTAGCTACTCAATTCAACCAGGAGTCTCTCTCGGGACTGGCACTGCCGCCAAAGCTGTCCAGGCCACAGGAACCGCTGCCGGAAGAGAATGCTTTCCAAGCTATATCTTACAATGCTGTGGCAGATCTGACGGAACCAACTCAGGTCAGGTACCTACCGAGGAAAGACTCCTTTACGGTCCTGGAGCTGCCACAACGGGTTCTGTTTGGATCTGATGACTTTAGATCGAAACCAAAGGCTCCTGCCTTGGCTCCTGTTCATACCAATGTGATGAGCGAGTGGACCAGCGTCAGCCCCGTTACTGCTCACAGTCCTGTGATGTCACGGTCTTCATCAAGAGGCAACTTCCAGCTGGTAGACTTAGCACTCACGGAACACATCATGAGCTCGGCCAATGATAGTGCCGCAAGCTTCAGCTCCCTCGATCCGAAACCTAGATCCACCAGCTTCCCAGACTCGCAAATCCCCCGATCCCAAAGCATAAGCAGCTCCACTTTTGAAGCTCCCAATAGCATAGCCAAATTGGGCCCTCCGGCGCCTTTGTATTCAAAGCCAAAGGAACGCTCCAATTCAAGCTCCAACATCCTCGCCAGCTACAATACACCCAGCTCGAAGGCCATAATATCTAATTCCTTGCATTCCTTCCATGTCGTTACATCCCACATCGACCAAATGCCTGAGCCCGCCGTGGTGGAACATTTATTCGAGAAATTACTTTCCATTAGGGTCTTTCCAGAAGACTCCTTCAAGCAAACTCCCCTTAAACGAAAGTGGGAGCTTCTACTTAGTGAGGGTGAAACTAACGCTGCATTCGATCTTCCACAACTCCTCCAAGAAGCTACCATCTCTGTGGAAGCTAAACCCCTTAAGCTCGATACAAAGACCCCAAGCAGGTCAAGCTCCAATACTCAACGAGAACGCCACTCAGATTCTCTGAATCGCACATTGCATACCCCAATGCCTAGTGTTGCATCCCCCACAGTGACTTCTAACGCGAAGAAAGGCTCTCCTGTTTGGTTCATAAGACAGATTCTTCGTAACTCCTTGCAAGCGAAAGATTTCAAGAAGTTGGATAAACGTCTTGTCAGTCTCAATAAGTGGGTGAAAGAATTTCGTGAACAGCAGGGTGAGTCTGCGTTAGCAAACTTACTCAAGCAGATCAACCAAAAGAGCATTAAGTCGAACGATGAGTTCGAAAAGGAAAAGATTATCTGTAAATGTCTTAAAACGTTAATGGCAACAGATCCATCAAATGATAAAATCCTGAAGATATCATTTGCTCCCAATTTGATCAACCAAGAGCATCTTCAAGTCGTGAGAAGTTTGCCCTTTTCGTTATTATCCCCAAGTATTGAAACAAGAATACTCGCAACCGAGCTCCTCATCTACTTGACACATTTTGAGGACTTCAACTTCTTTCCTCACCTTATGGATGAGTTTCGCAAGCTTCAAGATAAGTTCCTCATGTTTGTTCGGTTCCAACCATGGATGAACGCTTTGGAATCTACGCTAGATCAACATCTTCAGACAGCTCAACAGCATCGTTCATTGCACGAAGGTATATTGAAAGAGTACCTTTTAGTGACAATTATCTTCATCAACCAACTACTTGGACGTTGTGAGAGGCCCAAAGATCGTATCGTGCTTCGAAAAGAATTCTCCGACAGCAGATTAGATAAAATCCTTGAAAAGGTCAAGAGGTTTAATGATGAGGGAATCTTGAGGCACATAGCTCATTATGATAGTCTTGCTGAAGGAGACTATTCCAACTTCTTGATGGAATCTCTGTTCAGAATCGATTCTGAGAATGATGCAGATTCGATGGATTCGTCATTAAGTGACATCCGAACCAAGCTCGACAACGACCTAATTGATCCTACCAAGTTTAATGGGGACCATAATCAAATGAATTCATTCTTGGAGAGAGTGAGATACATCAGGAAGTCACGACCAAAGGATGAGTCTAAGCGACTTTTCAATATTCTTGACCTCGTCGCAGATCATCTCATTGATGATGATCTAGGACATTCCAAATCCGACTCGATTGTCAACGTCACTTTGGAAAAGCTCATTGACCGATTGGAGAGCGATGACACTGCTCGTCGTGCTGTCATGGAAGTGGAAGCGCTCAAACGTGAAATCGTCGAATTGAGAGAAAGCAAAGCCACGCCTCAAGCAACCACTGCTACAGAAACCGACAGCTACCATGTGCGCCGTTTGGAGAAGGAACTCGAGAGACTGAAGATCACAATCATATCACAAGAAAAACAGATAAACCTCATGCTGAACACGATCAAACGCCTCGACGCTGACTTGCAAAGATCCAGAAAGCCTTCAGATGGTGGCAGAAGTCTGTTCACTAGAGCACTGTTTTCTTCCCTTTCAGCAAATGACAAGTCAAATCCCAGCAGTGGCGCACAAGGAGTTGTGTTAGATGAGCTCGAATACAAGTTATCAAGGCAGAAATCCAGGAATACCAATTTGAAGAAGTCGAAGGTAACAAGCAATCTCACGGGGCATCTTGGTGATCTGAAGAGTGAAGACAACTTAATAGCTCTAGGTGCAAAAGGTGGGTTAGGTGAGTATGATGATGGTACCGCTTCTCCACATAAGGAGACTGATAGCAGCCATAAGCTCACTAAAGAATTTCCAGACTTTGGAAAACTCCTCGCTAATAAAGCTGGAGCCGCTAATCAGGCAGCACCCCCACCTCCACCGCCTCCGCCTCCTCCCAAGCTTCCTTCGTTCCTCCCCGATTCATCCAAGCCAACTGCTCCTGGCCCTCCTCCACCTCCACCGCCTCCACTCCCACCAATGCTAGCAGGTACCAATGGCTCTGGGGTACCGCCGCCGCCTCCACCTCCTCCATTACCCGCCTTTATTGGTGTTTCGAGTGAGCTGGGTGAAAATTCAGGCCCTCCACCCCCACCGCCATTACCAGGATTCATTGCATCACCTGATACCCTGACTGGACCTCCTCCACCACCTCCTCTAGCACCTGACTTACTTTCTCCTAACTTGACAGGTGGAAAGAATGACAGTGAAGGCTCTAAAACCATTGATGAAGCGACAGCCGCTGCATCCTCAAGGAAAAAACTGGCTGTGAAGCTTAAGCCAGTCCATGTTAACAATGTCAATGATACGACATCTACAATCTGGGCTGATATCAAGAAGGAGGTCATTCTAGAGCAGCTCGAGACACATGGCGCATACAACGAAGTGCAAACACACTTCAAGGTGAAAGAAATTCCAAAGAAGAAAGCTGTCAATGTCAACGCTGTTAAGAAAGCAGCAAAGGCAAAAGAAACACTCATTCCTCGAGATATTGCTCATCAATTTGGTATCTATTTGCACATGTACAATAATGTTTCTGCGGAGGACCTTGCCCTCAAGATTTTGCATTGCGACAAGGACATTATCGATAACATAAGCGTTCTTGAGTTCTTCACTTCCGAGATTTTCAACGATTTTTCAGAGTCCAAGTTCAGAAATTTTGTTCCCTACTCAAGAGACCTTAGCGATCCTGAGTCGAAAGCCTCCAAACCTAGTGATGATCTTGAAAGGGCTGACAAAGTGTTCCTTGAGATCTACAATATGCGACACTATTGGAAGTCACGGTCCAGAGCTCTCCTTGTCACTCAAACGTACAAGAAAGACTTTGAGGATTTGAGGAATAAATTGACCATGATAGACAATACAGTGAAGGCAATCAAAGAAAGTGAAAATCTCAAACACGTTCTTGGATTGATTCTTGAGGTTGTGAACTACATGAATGATGATGCTAAACAAGCGCTGGGATTCAAGCTCGATACTTTGCAGAGATTGAAATTCCTCAAGGATAACTCCAACACCATGACATTCCTCCATTATGTGGAGAGGATTGTCAGAAATAAATTCTCAGAATGGGGCTCGTTTGTCGACGAATTGAATGTCCTTAATCAGATGCACAATATCAGTGTTGAGCAGATTGAGAAGGACTGTGAGGAATACGAGAGGAATATAACCAACACCCTTGTTTCGTTGGAGAAGGGTAATTTGAAGGATCCTTCCATATTCCATCCAGAGGATAAGATTCTTCGTGTAATCAGGCGACCCCTTATTGTTGCCAAAGAAAATGCCCATCAGCTTATTGAGCAGCTTCGCAAAACCGTCGAAGATCACAGCGCCTTGATGATATATTTCGATGAAAAGCCTGATGACAGCAATAGCAGGAACACCTTTTTTGCAAAATTTGCAGCCTTCGTCAGCCAGTTCAAGCAAGTTCACGCTGAAAACGTCCAGAGAGAGGAAGAAGAGAGAGCCTATGAAATCAAGAAGCAGGCTATTCAAAAGAGAGAGAAGAGCAAGATGTCGAAACGGGCTGGCGCCAACGGTGAGAAGAATTCCAAACAAGCATCACAACAGGCGGGCCTGGAGCAATTGGAAGATCAAGCAAATCACCAAGATGATGACGATGATGACGATGACTTGGATGCAGCGGGAGGTGAGGATGATTCGACTAGTGTTGCTGCTGTTGATGAGCTCTTACGCCAGCTCAAATCGGGAGCTCCTAGAGAGAAGAGCAGGGCACGAGAGAGACATGGTAAAGTGCTTGCTGAATTGTACGGCTCCAAAAATGGCACAAAAACATCGGAGCTGCTCTCTGGTCAGGATGCAACGTCTGCAGCAGATGGAATGCCAGTTAGTGAGGTTCAGGAGAAGGATGCGCCACAAACTGAAGAAGAGGATGTGATGGTGAGAGCGAGAAGTATGTTGCAACGTTTACGAAGCACTCCAGATGTTACGGCCGCCCTACCAAGCCCAATTGTTGAAGAGCCTGCTCAACCTCCGCACGAATTGGTTGCAAAAACCGAAAGTGACTCGGTGCAGAACGACGCTGAGCGTGCAGATATTGATAAGGCACCAGAGGAAGTTATCGAGATAGGGTCCTCGGAAGGTACCCCAGAAAGTGACTCTGTTGTGGAAATTGAGTCTGGGCATGCCGCACCGGTGAACATCTCGCTGCCAAAAGCGATAGCGCCTAACCAATTAGAAGTTGTGAGAGAGGAGTCCGCTAGCCCGAAGACCATATTGTCTGAAAGTGTTGAGAATGCAAAATAATAGGGTAAGCCATGTGAAATGGAGGAGAGAGTATGCATCGCAAGATACGAAGAGGTGCGTTCGCTACAGGATGGTGTCACAGAGTCAAGAACCGAGTCAAGAAACGGGCATTGTCTGCAGCACTAGTGAAGCCGAGTCAAAACGTCTTTACTGTACATGAACGAAGGCATGTCATCTGTGATATCTGGTCTGTGACGTGATCTGAGGCTCTTGGAGGGGTCAAATCACAAAATTGTGTCTATATTTATTCGAATTGGAGTCGAGGGTGTTGATAGGGCACTCGCCCTGCGGATTAACCTAGTCCGACACCCAAATGACTCATGAAGAAAATTTTTCCGGCCAATCTTGCTTAAGCACGTACTGCACAGTATGCAGCTAGCGAGATGCCTATTGATTAATTTTCCAATGCATCATATACCACGGTCAGATTGTCTCAAATCGTATCTCTGTTTAAATCTTTCGATTCATTTGCGGATTCTCTTTTCAACCGAAACAAGGCTACCCTAGCTTTTTAGCGAACTAAATTCCCCCAACTACACGCTCATCGGTCCGGACTGAATAATCCCCAACTACCTACCATGTTGGCCAGATTCTCCAGAACGTGGCAGGTCTCTGCCAGAAAACAACTTCATAGCACCCCAAGGTATCTTGATGCCGTGGTGGTGTCTGGAACGAAATTGGCCAAGTCTATCAAACACCAGGTGGCTCAGAAGGTCATTGAATACAACCGTGAACAGTTCCCATCGCTTGATTTACCCGTCACCAATGACGGTATTACCTTCGAACAACTTACCTTCAAGCCTCAGTTGACCATCATTCAGGTCGGTAGCAGGCCAGACTCCTCCGCTTACGTGCGTTCAAAGCTCAAGGCTGCCCAAATTTCCAACATTCAGCTGAAGCTTGTGCAATTCGATGAGGACCTCACTGAGGAGGAATTGCTTGAGGAGGTTGACCGCTTGAACAAAGATCCTAAAGTCAATGGTATTTTGATCCAGCTTCCATTGCCCAAGCACATCAATGAAACGTTAGTTACCAACGCCGTTGCTACTGAGAAGGATGTCGATGGCTTCGACAGATTCAATGTGGGAGAGCTCTCCAAGCGTGGTGGTAACCCCAAGTTTAAGCCATGCACCCCAAATGGTATCATGGAGCTTATCAAGACCACCGGAGTCCAATTGCGTGGTAAGTCTGCTGTGGTGATTGGCCGTTCTGACATTGTTGGTACCCCAGTTGCAGCCATGTTGAGAAACGAAGATTGTACTGTCACTGTGTGCCATCGTTATACCTATGATTTGCCCTCTGTTGTTCGTGGTGCCGACGTGGTTGTTGCTGCCGTGGGTATTCCAGAATACGTCAAGGCTGACTGGGTCAAGGATGGTGCCGTGGTTATCGATGTCGGTATTAACTACAAGGAGGACTCTTCTGCCAAAAACGGCAAGAAGCTCGTCGGTGATGTTGCCTACGAGGAGGTGGCCAAAAAGGCTTCGTACATCACGCCTGTTCCAGGTGGAGTCGGCCCAATGACTGTGGCGATGTTGTGCTCCAATGTGTATGATGCTGCCATTGCTCAAGCCAAGAAGGCTCACGACCACAAATTCAAGCCATTGCCTCTCGAATGCAAGCGCCCTGTTCCATCTGACTTTGACATCTCCCGTGCCCAGAAACCAAAGAAAATCACCAAGGTTGCTCAAGAATTGGGTCTCTTGGAAGCCGAGCTCGAGCCTTATGGCCACTACAAAGCCAAGGTTGACCCTAAGAAGGTTGCTGAACGTTTGGACGAGCAGCTTGAAGGCGACGCCTCTTCTAGAGGACACTTTGTTCTTGTGGCTGGTATCACTCCTACTCCATTGGGTGAGGGTAAGTCCACCACCACTATTGGTTTGACTCAGGCTCTTGGTGCTCACTTGGGCTTCAACTCTATCGCCAACGTTCGTCAGCCATCCATGGGTCCTACCTTTGGTGTCAAGGGTGGTGCTGCTGGAGGCGGTTACGCCCAGGTGATTCCTATGGATGAGTTCAACATGCACTTGACCGGAGACATCCACGCCATTTCTGCCGCCCAAAACTTGTTGTGTGCTGCTGTCGACACCCGTATGTTCCACGAGGCTACTTCCAAGACCACCAAGGGTTTCTACAAGCGTTTGGTGCCTGCCAAGAAGGGCAAGCGTCTGTTCACCAAGCAGATGTTGGCTCGTTTGGAGAAGTTGGGTATCAGCAAGACTAACCCAGACGACTTGACCGAGGAGGAAATCGAGAAGTTCGCCAAGCTCAACATTGACCCTGAATCCATCACCATCAAGCGTGTGGTTGACTGTAACGATAGGTTTGTTCGTGAGATCACCATTGGTCAGGGCAAGAATGAGGCCGCCAAGTACCCACCTCGTACCTCTGGATTCGACATCACCGTTGCCTCTGAAATCATGGCCATCTTGGCTTTGTCGACCTCTCTCAAGGACTTGAGAGAGCGTGTTGGTAAGATTGTTGTTGGTACTCAAAAGGACACTGGAGTTGCCATCACTGCTGAGGACATTGGCTGTGCCGGTGCCATTACTGCTCTTTTGAAGGATGCCATCAAGCCTAACATGATGCAGACTCTCGAAGGTACTCCTGTTTTCGTTCACGCTGGTCCTTTCGCCAACATCTCCATCGGTGCCTCCTCCGTCATTGCTGACAGATTGGCCTTGAAGTTGACTTCCCCAGCCAACCCTATCAACAACGGTAAAAAGGGTTTCGTGATCACTGAAGCCGGTTTCGACTTCACCATGGGTGGTGAGCGTTTCTTCAACATCAAGTGCCGTGCCGCTGGTGTTTCTCCAGACACTGTTGTTCTTGTTGCTACCTCCAGAGCCTTGAAGTTGCACGGTGGTGCTTCCGACGTCAAGCCAGGTCAGGAATTGCCCGCCGAGTACACCACTGAAAACTTGGAATTCTTGAAAAAGGGTTGTGCCAACTTGGCCAAGCAGATCTCCAACATCAAGCAGTACAACGTCCCTGTTGTTGTGGCCATCAACGAGTTTGAGACCGACAGCAAGAACGAGCTCCGTCTTATCCAAGAAGAGGCCTTGGCTGCTGGTGCCGACTACGCTGTTGCTTCTGCCCATTGGGCCGAGGGTGGTTCTGGTGCTCTTAAGTTGGCCGAAGCCGTTGCCAATGCTGCTGCCAAGAATGAGACCACTGACCAGACCTTCTTGTACGATGTCAACTCTTCCGTCGAGGACAAGTTGTTGGCGATCGCCTCCAAGATGTACGGCGCCGAGGCAATTGAGTTGTCTCCTTTGGCCAAGAAGCAGATCGAGACCTACACTCAACAGGGTTTCGACAAGTTGCCTATTTGCATTGCCAAAACCCAGTACTCCCTCTCGCACGATCCAGCATTGAAGGGTGTTCCTACCGGATTCACTGTGCCTATTAGAGAGGTCAGATGTAGTGCTGGTGCTGGCTACTTGTATGCTCTTGCAGCCGAGATTATGACCATCCCAGGCTTGCCCACCCATGCGGGTTACATGAATGTGGAGGTGAACGATGACGGAGAGATTGAGGGATTGTTTTAGTTTGCATAAGTTTATTGGCATAATAGAAATTAGATAATTTTGTCCAACGCCTTAGGCCCATGTCAGCTCACTGTCAATGGGCAGATCTCCGCCGGTGAAGTTGTAGCTCTTTCCGAAAGTGCTCTTCAAATCCAACACCTGGAAGATCAGCTGAGCAACATCCTGGCGGTCAATTGACTCCTTTTCGGTGCCAGGCTTGTAAATCTGGATCTTACCGGTGCCATCTCCATCGGTCAACAGCGAGGGCTTCAAGATGGTGTAGTCCAACTTGTCCTTGAACTCGTTGATCAAGATCCTGTCAGCGTAGTGCTTGGCAATGTAGTAGTCACGGAGCTTATAAGATTCGAAAAACTCGTGGCTTTCAGCAAAGATTGCACTCACAAGAACAAGACGACGGACATTGGCCTCCACAGCTGCCTCGAATGTCTTCACCACAGCATCCAAGTCAACTTGCAAAAGGTTCTTACCAGCAGAACCCACCGTCAACACAATGGCATCGTGACCTTGAACTTTCGAAACCAACTCCTTCACAGACGTTTGGGCCAAGTCCAAGTGGGTGGTTTTCACAAAATCAACACCCCCAGCGACCTTGGAAATCTGCTGTGCCTGAGCATCGTTTCTCACCACTGCGGTGGTGTTTCTCTTGTTCTGAGCAAGAACGCCGATAAGTCTTTGGCCGACTCTGCCGTGAGCTCCAAATACAATGATGTTTTTTGACATAATTCTGAATCAATTGAGGGTAAAAAATGATGGCGTGGTGTGGATTGCTCCCTACTTTATATATCCTAGTTATGTGTGTCCTGCAGTTGTCTTAGTAAGCCACAGCTCTTGCTTCATCTCGGATCAAGTGAACGCCATTGTACTCCGTGCGTCGAGGCTCCAAGGCCAAGAAGGGACGGAGATTACGTAGGAATTAAGAGACTCTCGAGATCTACAATGCTTTGTTTCATTATTCATGACATTAGAATCGTCAAGCTATGTTACAGTCCGTGAAGTTCTCATCAAGAGAGTTCACGCAACGCCTCTATAATGCTTAGCGACGACCACTCTGCATGGTTGCCGTTGTATACTTAGCGTTGTTATTGTACAGTTGTGTGTTGGCACCAGCATTCCCGTTATATGGCCCTGGAGACATGCTGCCGCCGCCGCCATTTCGCTTTTGGGCGAGATATGCTTGATTGAGCTGCTGCTGGTTCTGTTGCTTCCGGAATTGTTGGATCGCATGAAGCTGCTGTGGTGTTCTCGCCACGGCCGTTCCCATTGTGCCACCATTTTTCTTGTAAATGTTGCTGGCACCTTGAGCAGCTCCTGCTTTCGAGGTGTCCTGGCTTTGAGCTTCTGGTGACGACTGATGCAGGCTTTGCAGGTGGTTTCTATTATTTAGTTGATGCTGCTGCAATGCCCTCATCCGCGCCTGCTGCATCAAGAGCTGTCTCTGGTGTGCACTTTCCCTTAACAAATCGTAGGACTTCGAAAGAAGCATTGAGCCGAACCTGATAGATTGCGTCTCATCACTGATGCAATTGAGTCTCGAGGGATCCAAACTGAATGGACTCCTGATGCCTTTGTCAGTTTCGGTGTAGTCGTTGTCAAATTGCCAACGCGAATCCAACCGTTTAATAGCATCGGCTTTGCTGTCATATGCATTGGTGACTGATGAAGCCTCAGAGTCTGGTGACTTAGCACCGTCGACATCCATCAAATCTTCATCGCTTGATTCATTCATCAGATCAGATTCATTCAACCAAGAGTCAATCTCAGCATCGGGCCTTCTCATAAGGCCTCTTCTATCTATAAATTGCTGGTTGACGCGACCCTGGCGCTTTCTCATTCTGAAGATAGGAGCTGAGCACTTGGAATTCTCCTCATCCGTAACTCCTTTTTTGTTGTAGCCTTCGGTGTACGAGCTAAAGTCGTTATTCTGGATGCTCGTTAGCAAATGTGCAATGTAACTCTCTGAATTGTTCTTCGAATTGATGTGGTCATCAAGTAAAGTCTGCAAGTGTGGGAACGGCTTCGATGGCACAAGCTCTCCGTTGCTTCCCTTGAAAGTCTTCATTCCTGGCAAAGGCTTCTTGGCATCCTCTAACAACCTCTTCAAAGAGTCACTGATGACATTGGTCGTGTTCACCTGATGATAATTGCTAGCTGCAATTGATGAATAAGGAATATGACTCAACTCTAGATGTGGATTCAAATCATTCGTGGTAAGATTGAAGAAAGGCTGGTAGGGATCATATGTAATGTTCACATAACCTCTATCATGTTCCTTCCTCTTGCGCAATTTCTCAAGCACAGCTCTTTTGATAGTCTCGTTCTTCTCCTTCAACACCAAATTCACGGTAACCAAGTCCAAGTCTGGAATCTTTGAAGGAGGTAACTTAACATATGGCTGGTTAGTGGATGCTTCAGGTTGCACCTGGCCTGCGACTTGCTTCTCTTTGGATGACAACGAGGTAGATGGTTCCATTTCTGAAGTTTTCTTTCTCTCTTTGCGAACCTTGGTGGTTGGAGTGTCGTACTCGTCTTCCTCAGTCTCGATCTTTGGAAGCTTCCGTCTCTTGTGTGGGTAAAACAAGTGATCATCACCTTTAACACCGGCAATTCTCTTGACACTCTTCGTTTCACAACGAGTCTTGAATACCTCATACTCAGAATTCCAGTAGTCAAGTTTGAGAAGCTCACGCTTGCAAACATTGAAGACCAAGTCTCTGGCCTTACGCAAGGATTTTTGAAGAAGTCTGATTCTCTCAGCACCCAAATTATCAGCTCGTCTAGTTTTACGTGCCTGACGAAACTCACGACGGCGGAAACAAATGTATGGGTCATTATCATTATCCTTTTCATTTGCATTGGGATCCTCAAATTTTAATTGCGGAGTGATTTGCTTACCTTTGCGCTCGATTTTTCTCTTCTTCCAATGGTCGTAGATTGCTTGACCAAAGAGCTGCATGAGCAAGGGGATGGGTCTCGTCTTCAGCAAACTGGAGGTGTCGCGTGGATTCTTGTCAAACAAAGTGATGAATGGATCATAATTAAGTTCCTTGGAAAGGTTTTCCTTGAGTGTGGAAGTGGACATGTAATTCAAGTTAGGTCCAGGTTGCAGGTATGGATATTCTTTGTTACCCTTGGAGTTGAACTCTTCGAGTATGTATGAGGAAAGTTCTGAGTAAGGAAGGAGGTTGGATGGGTCCATGGAAAGAAACGGTTGTTTTTCCTCAATTGTTTTTTCAAACTTATCCAAGACAATTTCACACTCGATCTCAGAGCACGGTCTTGTCTCGTCTCCATTGGACTCCTTTTTCTTCTCAGTTTTCTTGTTCAACTTTGGGTATTCCTTAACAAGAACATTCTTGAAGAACTCTTCGTCTTCCTCATCCATGTTGTATTCAACACCGAGAGTATCTTCCACAGTTGCACTGAACTTGATGTAGGACTCAGGCTCAACAAAAGTATTATCATTGTAGTATTTCGATGCATCTTTCCAAAGCTTTGAAGCATCTGGTGTGGGGATGTAAACGGAGCTATCTTTCTTATCTTTCTCATCCTTAATGGAGCCTAACAACACTCTTTGAGCAGCATTGATGACTTGTTGGAGATGGACCTCATCTTCTTCGTTCTTATCGACACCCGTCTCTATGCTATGCATATCACGAGGTTGTTGTGAAGAGCTCGCATTTAGATGATGTAGCTGGGATGGTTCTAGCTCGGCATCGCCTCCAACAAGGTCCTTTTGATTATATATGGGTAAGGAAACCTTGACGGAGATTTTTCGCTGTCTAAACCTGGCGCCTGAGCCGCCTTTCGAGGCTGCTGCAGACTTTGGGGGTAAAACAGCCATGATGACGGGTAGAAGGACCTCAAAGGGTCAGATGGCGTGATTTGGAAGCCTCAGGCGGGCTTTGGATGATTGATTGACTAACCTAGTGGCGCTTTTCGTCCTTGACTAGCGTTGATGAGCTGGCACGTCTCTTAACTATGGGTGCACGGGTTTTTGTTTGCGGCCAAAAAATGTCGTTCTCCCATACAACGACAGGGGGATGACAACAACACGTTTGAAACCGGGCGAAAGACAGGCACAAATGTGAGATTAGGCACCGGATTAACCCTACCAGTGAAACCTGATGTAGCAAAAAACCCTATGACGTTTGCCAAAATGCAAAAATTGACCCTATGGCGTGGGCAGGTAGGGTATTAATGTATGGATTTAGGGGTGAAATTCAGGGAGCGAGGAAAAAATTTGTCTTGCCACCGAGCAAGCCAGAGTTGCCGACGACAATGTCGCGCGTGCAACAAGTGCAATGTCTTACTCACTCACGTGTGGTATCACGTGTGTGGAGACAAATGTCTCCCCATATACCCGTTTCAAAATTTTTATCATTGAAAGGCTTTTGCCATTCTATGATTGTCTTTCGATGAAGAAAACTTGATTGGAGTTTGAGTTGGGAGGTGAAAGACACAGTTTAGGGAACAGCGACCAACGAGTAATGACATGGTCATCATCAAGGCGAACCGCAAAAGTCAGAAGTATAGGCCTCAAGCATACGAGAAGATTTTCTCGTTGTAACAAAATGCCATTAGTTTAGCACGAAGTTCTCTATTTGAGACTCTAAACTATCTGACTCCCCAATTTGGTCAAATAAGCCTGGGCCAGGCTTTGCAGTCCCTGTTGAGATTTGAAGGCTTACCTGTAAATCTCGTGATTTTCTTAGCGTACCATGTTGAAGTTTGTCTCTGTGAAACGTTGTTGTCGTTAAAACAGCTCAGTCGTTTGAAGAAAGAAGTAGTGAACTCTCCTCAGTCATCTCTGGGGGCAGCTCATGGCGCCTCGACTGCGAGGCGTATGTGCAGGATGAAAGCCTATTCCTCTTCTCCTCTACCTAGCCCTATTGGCGGAAGTTGTAAGATTTTGGTAAAGGCCTATAAGCCGTCGTAGGCGTACTCAGAAAAGAGTTATACGATTTTATCATCATTTCAGAGGAAGAAGAGTTCTATTGTAGGACGGGGATGTAGATTCGGCCAGCTACATGGAATGGCCCGTTTATCATGTGACTCAGATCATGTGAGTGGAAGGGCAACATAGGAGATAGGCAACTTTTGAAGCAATTGACAGCTACCGCAAAACTTTTTCAATTCATCTTTGATTAATTGATGCTCTGTAAAATTCTTCTCAAGTCTTGCCAAGGCGAACGGTCTTCCGATTGAACCACGTATATTTCCTGCATCCGGACGCCACGGCAGCTGCCTCCTATTAAGCTAATGCACTTCTGAAGCCAACTTTGATAGCCAGATTAGCAACATTTAAACAGACCAAGGCATTGCGACTATCCCTTACGCTTGCTTCCATTTTATGCTAGGTTACGTTCCTGTAACTTTTACTATACGGCCGCTGATAGCCTGGATCCCACAATCCGCCCAAAGATAATACCGAATCCCACACAGACTCCATTTTATGACGCTGATAAACATCCCTGAGCTGCAGCTCCCGCCCGCTCTGCTATTCCTAGAGTCGGTGTGTCCCGGCTTGCTGCTGCTCGAAGACAATATACATTTTTCAACTACCAACGAGGTCCCCAACCATGTCCTCGATCGATTGGCAGAGCTCAATTGGCCATTGACTAGCTCAGCGGCATTTCCTGCTGCTGTTAAAGCCAAGCTACACTCATCATATTTGCATGTGGCGAGACCACCCTTCCAGCACGATGTACATAAAAACGTTGAGTCAACCACTTACGTCTCGTTGCCTTCCCATATCACCAAGATATTCTCCAAGATAGTTGATGGCCACCACAGCAGTGTCAAGCAAGATGGTGGTCTTCATATTGGTGCAAACGTGAACCCGCTTATGCCAGATCCTTATCGTTTGGTGCACATGAACCCCGGGTGTCTAAGTTCCATGATTGTCTTGTCGAACGCGAAGGCTCATGAGCAAAATGAGAATCGTAATCCGTTTCGGAATATGACTTCTAGTTTGAACAAATTTTTGCGCATGGGTACAACTCCGTTGGCCGAGGGCTCGGAATCGCCTTTCGTCTCTCTCATTAATGCGATTCCAGAATCTTCACCGCATTTCATCACACACCCACAGGTCGGTAACAATCAGCATCAAAAGAAGCCTCCAAAAACTCTGAAGTTGTTTGCTAAGCTCTTGGAGTATGACTCAAAAACCTATCATACGCAAGTTAAGGCTCCAACGACAAAAAAGCTTCTTGTATCCACCAACGTGAACGTCATCAATGTTTTTGCGATTGATGATGATCATAATTTTACTGGAACCAAAGAGACTAACTCTACGTCCGCCATATTTCCACTTGCAGAGGAGAAAGAGTCTCCCGCTCCGTCGAGCAATTCCTCTGGACCGGGATCCCAACAGCAACAACAGCAAACTCCCCCGGTGGTCTTGACGACAACTTGTAAGTCTTACAAGAAAATTGTCGAAATTCCAATATTGCGTTTGCAACTTCAGCTGAACTTGATGGTGACTAGCATCTTGACCCTAGTATGCGCGCAAACCCACGACCCTATCGTTATATTGGGACTCAACAGTGGCTCAATTTTAGCTATTAATCTTGCAGATCTCACTTATAGACACTTTGACAATTTTGGTTTGAGACCAAGTCGTGATGGAAGCGCTGATGCGTCCTGGAGTAACACATCCGTCACTTCGCTTTCTGCTATCACGCATACAAAATATGAGCTTCTCATTATTGCAGGGTACGCTAACGGTGAAGTTATTATACTAGATCCCCTAGGTACCGATTCCGAACTGCTGTATGTCAAGCAAAATGTTGGGCATGATAGCTCAATTACTTTGTTTAAAAAGTTCGACTTGAGTCCCCTCAACAAAAAGGTTGAAGAACATGAGGGGGACGACTCTCCTGGCTATATTGTTGGTCATTTCAAGATGAGCCATAAGCCTATTACATCAATCACGAGTACCATCTCATACATGCAGCATCCACCACTGAATCTCATGAAACTCCCGTTTATTGTTGCAATCGCTTCTGATGATGGTCTCGTAAGATTTGTGGATCTCTTGAATACCCATAATGAGAACTTCGGTGACCCGGAGAACTTTTACAATCACCTGATAGTCTCAGACATCGTTGCCAGCTATTTTCAGGACGGGATTCGCCATATCGAGTTTTCACCTGATCATCGCTTCTTTGCAATTGGCGGAAAAGGTGACCTTATTGAGGTTTTCAAGATGACGTACTACAACATCAATGGCTTGATAAACAAAAAATCGAGTCAAATGCGTGGCAGGTCCCGCAGTGGCACAGTCAACAGTGGGAATTCTTATCCTCAGCATGCACCCTCCTTATTTTTGTCGGCAACTGAAAGCGCTACCACTTCAACGACTTATGATTATCGAGAAGATAACCAAGATACAACGAATGAACAAAATTGCTTCTTCCCACCGATGATTAAGGATATTTCCATAGTGAGTCGACTTAAAGGCCATACCAATACAGTTGAGAAGGTAACGTTTGTTCTGGAAGGTGAGCTCAGCAAAGCAACCTCTCACGACGAAACCCCATCAAGCGCATACAAATTGATTTCCTGTGGTGCTGATGGAAAAATCATAATCTGGGATTTTGATAGCAAAGCAGTCTCGCGAGTGAAAAGAGGACATCTTACAACACGGAAGAAGAAAAGTTCCAAAGATAATGATTTGAATCAGGATCCAAATCTGAATCAAGTCTCCTTGCAGCCAATTTCAAGCCGAGTCAAGCCCCTTTCAAATAACGCTCCTCCCAATATAACTGTCAAGAAGGCGCAGCATTCAAGAGCTCGTTCTTTATCTCACAATGACGAAGGTTTTGCAAAACAGTCTGTGGGCACCATCGGCATCAACAAAATATTGAGTCCTAGTCCTCAGCCACTGGTTCATTCTATCGAGGACGATGAGGAGAGACAAAAAATTGTGGTACTGTTGTACCGTTGGCTCTACGAAATCAGGTTGAAAAGGCACTATTTGGCAGGCAATATTGCAAGAGATGGTAAAAAGAAGTACACCAGCATTATTCACAAGATCGTCGATGATGAAGAGCTACCCTCGATTCAAATGCCTTCATTGGAGGTGGATTTCTCGTACTTCATTAGAGACGGTAAGATCCAAAACTATCTGGTCACTAGCGACCAGTTCTTCATTTTTGGAAGAACTGGTGACATTTTTAGTTACTTACTAGAATAGTCCAATGTATGTGCTTGATGCTCTAATGTATTATTATTGATGGAGATGCAAATGTCAGCGCTTTAAAGGTGCTGATTCAGTAAAGAAATGGTCGAAGTGATCATCAATATCATTGGTTGTTAAACGTACGGTCTAAGCCGAATCCGAGCTCCTCCTCTAGCTGAAAAAGCTCTGGGTTGCCATTCTTTTCCTCGATGTGGGAGAACTGGTCAAGCTCTTGCGGCTTTGGGACAGCGTCGTAAAATTGCATACCATTGTCATTCTGAAGCAGATCGGTGTATGTTAGAACACCGGCGCTGTTCATGGAGTAATCAGTGCTGAACATATCAGGAAACAGTTCCATCTGCGCGTTGATAGCATCAGCCGCGTCATCTGGCACTTGGGCAGGAGGCTGGGAATTGTTCTCCTGTTGCTCCTTGAGAAGTTGCTGCTGTTGCATCTGAAGCTGAATCTGATGCTGTTCATGGATTGGTTTTCTAACGAAATCTCTGAAGTTGCGCACCTCATCAACTATGAGCTGTTTCATAGAGTCGAGATCATCAACAGTCTCGAAAGTTTTGAAATCAAATTTCACCTTACATTCTGGTTCATCATTAGGATCGTGCCATACCGACATGTATGGGTGCTTCAAGGCGTCCTCCACCGTGATACGCTGGTGGGGATCTAGGGTGAGCATCTTCTCCAACAAATCGAGCGCCAACGGGTTAGCGTTGGGGAAAAGCTCCGTGAATGGCACTCTTCTCATTATTGGCAAAGAGCGGACGTAGTTTTGGGCTCTGACAGAACCGATTTTCGTGAGGGTGGCCTCTTTTGGAGTTCCCAAGATCATCAATATTTGATTTAACTGATCAACGTAATCTTTACCTCTGAAAAGAGGTTTTCCGCCCAAGAGTTCACCAAGAATACAGCCGACAGACCAAATGTCAATGGCCTTCGTGTAGTTGGAGAAGGAGAGCATGATCTCTGGCGCACGGTACCAGCGTGTGGCCACGTATTCGGTCATGAATTGTGAGTTTTGTTCCACGTCTTCGGAAAAGCCTCTAGCGAGTCCAAAGTCACAGATCTTGAGTTCACAATCAGCGTTGACCAACAAGTTGCCAGGCTTCAAGTCACGATGCAAAACGTCCGCCAGATGGATGTACTTGAGGCCGCAAAGCACCTGGTAAATGAACAGCTGATAGTGTGAATCAGTCAAAGGTTGTCCCAGGCGTATGATCTGATGCATATCACACTCCATCAATTCCTCGTACAAGTAGATCTCGTTGAACTCACCGGTGACGGGATGCGGGACAATGTCCAAGTCGTACAAGCAGGTAATGTTCTTGTGGCCCCTGAAAAATTGCAAGAGCTTGATCTCACGAAGCGACCGCTTACACAAGATCTTTTTGGAGAAGATGTTGGTGACTTTCTTGATGGCAACGTAGTTGCCGTCGCCTTGAGGAGAGCCGAACTTGGCCAGACAGACAATGCCGTACGCACCATGACCTATTTCCTTAACGATCTTGAATCGCTGGTCGATAATAAAGTCCTGGCCGTACACCTTGTTGACCTCTCTACCATTGTAGGGCATTGTGAGTTTTGGATGGTGGTTGCAGGTTGGAGGTTGATTTCAGCGATGGGTGCGGGCCGGTACAGACTAGCAAGAGGAGTGAGGGTCCAGGGCAGGTGCTCGAAATCAGAGGTGAGGAAACTTGAAAAGTACAGGGAAAAAGAAAAACTTTTCCAAGATTCGCTGGGCGACGGAACTGAGTGCGTTTAAATGTTTCAAGACATAGGGGCTGGCATGTACAAGGAAAGAAAAATACAGGGGAGAAGCCCAAATAAAGAAGCATGCCTGCAGCCTTTCAGGCCCCGACGGTTTTTCGGCCGCACGCAGTGCTCCAGCCTATAGTTTGTGTTTCTGTGCGTAAGGTCTGCGTACCAGAGGTAAACAGTTCGAGTGGCCTATTTATGGCATCGGCGTCTGTCGGCTTAGGCGAGCGGCTGCCGTGCTGCAGAAATTTTTTTCAGATCTAGCCCTGATGCCATCATTGGTGTCAATTCAGGGGCACCTTCTGTCAAATAAAAGGTAAGGTTTTACTAAGGCGTGCTAAAATAAATTCCACAAATTACGTAAGCGCAAGATGGTGCTCACCTCGGCTGCACCGTGCGTATTTCTATAAATAGGACCGTCAAATGCGTGCTGTCGTAAATACTCGCTAACCGCTCACTCAGCGCCTACTGCCTGCTCCGCAGTGAGAGCCGTACTAGGGAATGTATGTGCCCTACTTACTGGTATTGTTTGTAAGCCACTGCAACAAGATTTTGAGCCCTTCCTCAATGTCTCGCTCGCTATTTCCGAAGCCAATTCTCACGCTTCCTGGCTCGTTGAACAATTCTCCTGGAACAAGTAAGACTCCATGCTGTGTGGCAAGCTCAGTGGCCATCTCGAGGGTGTTAATCGAAGCATTGATCTTCACAAAACAAGTGCTGCCACCCCGAGGACGCTTCCACTGCAACATTCCATTCAGACCGTCGATTGCACGCTCAATTGCGTCAAGGTTGCGCAGACAGATCCGGTGGCCCCTCTCTAGTATCCGCTCTTTGTTTTGCAATGCAAGCGTAGCCAACATGTCGTCCACCATCAGCACTGAAATAGTGTTATAGTCTCTTTTCTCGTAAAGGGCTTCCACCAACTCTGCATTTTTCGTGACGATCCAGCCCAACCGAAGCCCTGCAAGCGAGAACGCTTTGGACATGGATCCTGTAGAGACCGTCTTATCATACCCATAGCACACGACAGACTTGGTGTCCTTGGCTTCATGGTAAAGCGGCCGGTACACCTCGTCACACATGAGCGTGACGTCTAGCTTTCTGCAAAGCTCAACAATTCTTTCCATCACGTCGTTCTCCCACACGCAGCCTGTAGGATTGTTAGGGTTGTTGATCACAAGAAGCTTGGTCTTCTTTTCAGTGATTTCCTTCTCCAACGCTGCAAGGTCGGGTAAGTAATCATTTTCAAGAAGCACCCTAAATGTATCAACATCCCCTCCGAACATTTGAGGTACTGAGCTCAATTGCTGGTAGCTGGGTTCCATGACCAATACATGGCCACCCTTCTCCACCAAGCTGTAGAAGAGCAAGAAGTTTGCACCAATGGCACCGTTGGTAATCACAACGTCGTCCGCTGTGATACCCTCGCCGTAAAGCCGGGCAATCTCCTTCTTCAATTCCGGAGATCCTCTGATGTGCCCGTAGACTAGCTTCGTGCCAAGCAAGGCGTCTGTCGCTGCAGCCTGTTCAGACTCTGGGATGATATCTTTCATTCTGAGTGAGTCGACACAAGTCTCGCCCATGTTGAATTGGATGGACGTCTCATACTTGTCCATGAACTGTTCCACGCCAAATGGCTCCTGTTTCACCATGATGAATGAAGTTGTCCTTGGAGATTCGTTGCGAACACAGCGGAACTCTGCCCCAGATCAGGCAAGCCCAATTCCGCGAATGCAAATGAACTATATGCTCGATGGTTTATTAGTCGCTCGTTTGCAGAGGTATGGCGAGAGCCATTTAAGCAAGATTGCGTACGTAGCTGCAATGCCGCACTAGAGCTTGCGTCTCCATGCGAGGGCGTTGTTGCTAAAAGCACCTGTCAAAAGGCACCTTAACGAGAAAATTACCTACTTTCAATTCTTATAGGTTATTCGGAAGTGTTATCTCTCGATGATGCTACTACCTGGTCAACAACTTCACTTCCCTTTTTTTCACGGTGTTTTTCTCAATTCGTGACATTGGGCTAGCCCCACAACTGAAACTCAATCCGTTGCGCACAAGTCGATCTACGCGAAAATTGCAAATCATCCATTCGTCAGAGTGATTCCCAAAAATTCAAATTATACTATATTTCGGAATAACAGTCATTCAAAACACTATCCACCATACCAAAAGTGGTACAATTTGAAAAATCTATGATCCAATTATGGTACGATAGCATGATGTGGACATCACAAGAGTTTCAGGCTGGGGATCTCGTTCCTTGCCTAAGATCAACAGTATGCCCTACTCGTCTGAACGGTAAGCACCCTGGTGCATCAGCCCACGAAACTAAATGTATTCATCTTATAGCTCTCTAACATCTTAGACAAGTTTAATGTAGGTTAGATCATTTTAGTACATTACCCCAGGAAGAGAAGCCCGGACTTCGTCTCCTGTACACAGACAGCTGGCCATCACACAGACTGAGCATCATATCACCGAACGGTTGGTCTTCAGTGATCTGTACACTCTTTCAATTTCATCGTCCCATTCCTATATAAACAAGGCATAACATCCAGGCCATGGACGAGCAGAAGGAAAAGATGGACGATCTTGCATCGCTTTTTCTTCCAGATCTTTTACACCCTCTTTCATCGCTCAACTCGGACGCATTAGTCAAGCAAGAAGACGACGGTTTTCATGCTGCCTTGTTTCAAAACGACCAGCCAAAGATGTCTTCATATCTGTCAAGCATGAACATGCAAATGTCCAACACTGACCATGACAATCTGCTGCTGCTGTTCGATCCCGATAGCATATACTCAATGAACATGGGCTCCGGACCTGGCCCAAACCACATGGGAAACTACACAAACCAAGGTAACAATATGCGCTTCCTGCCTCATGTTGCTCCTCAGGAAGAGGGCATGACACATACGCTGCATTACCAAGATTTTGTCCCAGTAGAGGCCGCCGGAATCCAGCCTCCAATGCGTTTCCATCAAATGCAGAAACAGTATCTCCCACAACACATCATACCTTTCCAACAAGCTTGGTCCCCACTGACTGTTATAGGCCAGTTTGACGGCATGAATTATTATGGAAGCATGAGCCCTCAAGGTCCTTACCCTCAAGCAATGGCCGGTCCAATGTCAGGTCACAATGAGATCGAGGAGACTCTGTTGTTTGGAACATCAAAGACGGCAACTCCAGAAGTCCCACATGGTAATTACGCTTATGATCGCTACCCTTCAAATTCTAGAGGAAAAGCCGGCATCAAGCGGTCTGAGTCTGATCAAGACTCATTAACTCTAAATAACGGTAAATCCAAAAACTCAAGAAAGAGAGCAAGGTCGCCCAAACGAGAAGAGCTCAACTCAGGTTCTCAAAAGCAAGCTACGGCATCAACCATCAAGGTGGACTATAATCCAAAAGTTCTCAAAAAGCTTCTAGATCTCGAGGCCACCAACGAACACCCACCCATTCAAATTTTTGACCACGCAAATCAGCCGGTTGATATCAACTTCAGAGGCTTCATATCAGGTCGATTTTATACAAACGATCAGGACAATTTCAATCACATTTCGGCCACGAAAGAGGTACCTCAACTAGATAAAAGGTACAAACCGGAAGTAATTTCCTGTTACAGGCGAAACTTTATTCACATAAACATAAATTTTCATCGCTCAAGTGATTATAACCTTCTAGCTATTCCCGGCAAAGGTGTGATCAACGGTTTTCGAATCGATGTGTTGGCCTTTGCTAACGGCGATGAATGCAAAAGAATTCCGGTCATTATAAACAGAGAGAAGGAGTCAATGAAAGACAGAAGCAAAGGCTATGCAGATGTCGTTCTTCCCCGCCAAATTGATACTTCTCACAAAGTGCTGGTGGAAGAAAGTGCGGAAGACAATTACTTCACCATAAGAAAAGCTCAATTCAAAAGTGCAACTGCAAATAGCATGAATGTGAGCTATCAAACGTTCAACAACTTCACGATCAGATTAATAGCAGAGCTAGATAGGGAGGAAGTCATAGTCAAGGAACTCAGGAGTTCAGCTATAATTGTCAGGGGCAGGAACCCTTCATTTTATCACAAAAGGGGCGATGTTCTGATCGAGAGTAGGCCAGCGGTCTCCAAGTCAAGTTTTGCAATGTCGGAGCAATTGTTGACAGACGGTGAATTTTTGGGACAAGAATTCAGCTCGACTCAACAGGATGGTGATACCCATACCCAAGGCACAGGTGAAGGTCTGCCTGACAATACTGGAAGTGAAAGATTGGAAATCAAGCTTGAGCCGAAGGAATCGTCGATATCAGGACATTCAGATGAGCGCTCTGGTCGTGAGGATGATCCAGTAGAAGAGGCGTTGCAAACGAAGTCACGCCTGAACAGACAGACGCCAGTTCCAAGTGGGGCACCTCTGGCCACAAACCTCAAGGATTTACTAGATCCCAAATCATTCGTTGATGCGGAAGGAAAGCCTACAAGATACCGATACTTCCCTATTCTGAACGTATACTACTTACCTCCTATCAATGTGGTGTACTTCCCTCATAGAGCTCATCAGCTGAAGCAAGAATCTGGCAGCGATGCAAATGCTGAAGAAGGGCAGGGGCAACCGCTGAACATGGCTGATACGAGTGCAAGGAGAGCTGATAAAAAGAAACCCACCTCAAAGTTCTATTTTAAATAGTTACGGGTGAACTATAGGACACAAATGGTGCGGCCTGATCAATTGACAGGTTCCAAGAAAAAATCTTGGTTGTACATACGTCAAATCAACGTTTTTCCAAGAACACTTTATCAGACAGTTTGATTTTCTCTTTTGGGCCAGGTTTCATGTATGTAGCAATAGCCGTGCATTTGACCGGTCAACTTCACAAACGGCGAAAGTTTAAGTTCTCCGACCAATACATAAATGTGATAACAGTGCACGTGACTTTTATTGATTATGCAAGGTATTTTATGTGGATGCCTGTCATTTGCAGGTCAACCGTTTGCTTTTGCGTAACATGGCAAAAAAAAAGTTCATTTAAAATGAGATCGATGACACCAAATTCTGTCGGCATTGAGCAAATCTTAATGGAATGTCTAAGTCCAATATAAATGAAAAGCACAGCGACGTGCCTTCTTTGAACTCACACGAGTCTTTAGAAAAGGCCGATGAATCAATCGAAAAGAAAAATATCGTCGGGTTGGATTTATTTGAGCAAGGCAACGAAATTACCGAGGAAGAGCTAGAACTGGAAATTAAAAGCATCAGATGGAAGGTTGATCTTCGAATTGTGCCCGTGCTTTGTGTCACATACACATTGCAATACTTAGACAAACTCAGCTTGAACTATGCCTCAGCATATTCCCTCAAAGAAGACTTGGGTCTTCATGGACAGAGATACTCCTGGGTAGCAGCCATCTTCAATTTCGGCTACCTTTTTTGGGCCATGCCTTCCAACTACATCATTCAGAAGGTACCCATTGCCAAGTATACTGGCGGCATGATTTTTGTATGGGCCATTATCTTGGTGGCTCATGTCGGAGCAAAGAACTACGGTGGAATGCTTGTCATAAGGTTTATTTTGGGCATGTTTGAAGCAGGTATTCTGCCTTCATGTATGATGATTTGTGGTATGTTCTACTCTCGTCACGACCAGCCATTTAGAATGTGCGTTTTCTTGAGTTTTAACGGAATTGCGACTATTATCGGCGGTCTTCTTGGTTTCGGTTTGGGGCACGCGGACCTGGCAGCCATTGCTTCATGGAAGTTGATTTTCTTGGTGATCGGTCTCCTCAATCTTGTGTGGTCGGCGGTGTTCCTTTGGGTGACCCCAGACAGTCCTACTTCGGCGAAGTTCTTGACGACAAGGGAAAAGACGATTCTAGTGAAATACATTTCGAAGAACAATCAAGGTGTTAAAGATACGAAGTTCAAGAAAAACCAAGCCATCGAAGCCATCTGTGACCCCGGTGTCCACATTGTGGTGCTAATCTCCTTGGCCCTTGGAATAATTAATGGAGGCGTGTCTAATTTTCAGTCTGCTTTGATAAAGGGATTTGGCTTTGACGGTCTTGCAGCCACCGCTTTGCAGATGCCAACTGGTGCATTCGAGTTCATTCTAGTGTTTGCAGCCGGCATTGCAGCCTTGAAGATTCCCAATATCAGATGTCTTTTATTTGTTCTACTAAGCATACCTGGCCTCGCTGGATTAATTGGAATACACTTGATTGAAAACAACCGATGGGCATCAGTTGGATGCACTTGGTTACAATACATTGTTGGAGGTCCCATCATCCTCTGTTGGATTTTCATCAATGCCAATATCGGCGGAACTACGAAAAAGATTGTCACCAACGGTATATGGTTTACCCTTTATGCCGCAGGAAATATTGTTGGTGCCAATATCTTTTACGCCAATGAAGCCCCCAAGTACAGATCTGCCATGATAGGACTTATGACATGCTACTCAGGCATGATAGCCCTTGGAATTGGATACTGGTTCTTGTTGAGAAGCAGAAACTATAAACGTGACAAAGAGCAAGGCGAACAAACGGAAGAGATGAAGCAAGAAGCCATTCGCTGTGGTTTCGAAGGACTTACGGACTTTGAGAACAAAGGTTTCCGGTATGCCCTCTAAATGCGAAGTAGCGTCAAATATACGGGAGCAGCGGCGGAAGCGGCTGCGGAGTGCACGGCGAAGTGCACGGAGAAACGGAGAAATTTAAATACCAAGTCTAAGTACCTCTTACTTTTCAGTGTTTATCAGCCTAATCCAATTGCCCAAAATGCCCAGGGGTCGTATACGTATGGTCTGCCTGTTCTGCAGAAAACGCAAGATCAAATGTGACATGAAGATGCCATGCTCAGCGTGTATCAAGTTCAAGGCTGAATGCGATTACAGCGAGTTTGCAAAGAACCTGACCCCCAATCGCCATGAAAATGATATGGTAATGAAGCCCCTGCCCTCATCAGGTAGCCACGACGAGATGCATATGTTGAAGGAAAGACTTCTAGCGCTCGAGGAGACCGTGAAACGCAGCGCTAGTAAGCGCCGTAGCCAGGTGATCCAAAGTGTTCCTGAGCTTAATGTCGGCACAGAATGCAGAATTAACTTCAATGTTCCTGTCAAGGTACCTGAGCCGAGATATTCCCGCCAACTCAAGCATTGGGGGCCCTTCAGGTGGATAGTGTTGGTGAGTTTAGACCCAGTGCTTTTCAACATGGTCAGATCGGCCTTCAAGCAAAACCCCAATTTATCGCAAGTGAAGACAGCACCAACTAGCACGCTGACATTTTCGCCTGGCTTACTCTGTGGCACGCCATTGGAGAGTCTGGCTCACTTGAGACAACAGATCCAGGGTATTCTCCCCAATGCCAAGGTGGTTTGGATGTTCATTGACCGGTTCTTCTCGGTAGTTTATCCTTACATCCCTGTCCTCGACGAGATCTATATCAGAGAAATGGTGAAGAGGATGATAGGGCCAGAAACTAATAATGAGCAACCTACCCAGCTTTCTGCTTGTGGTGAACTAGATTTTGCAAACTTGGGAATTCTTCTCATGATGCTAAGATTCGCTTACTTGACGATACATGACTGCAACAATCGTGTAAATGTTGCTTCAGCCTTTTCGCCTAATTCGATGCATTATTTGGCTCAGTATGAGATTCCCGAGGAGTACGCCAAGCTAGCACAAAAATGTCTTGGTCAATACAATCTCATCGATGAAAGTATCTTCGATGTCGTACAGCTCGTGGGACTTCTATGCTTATACAATAACGTTAACCCGGAGAACTGGAACACGGATAATGCCAACCGAACTTTGTTCGCCGTCTTAAATCAAATGGCATACTGTCGCAGATTGAACCGAGAACCACACTGTTTCGCCCCACAAGACGACACAAGTCCTAGATGGAACATGCTCTGCCGCAAGATGTGGTATACTTTTCTATATTTGGACCTCTCAGACGCGGTCTTTTCTGGAAACTGTGTTACCATAAACCCTGAAACCTACGATGTTAACCTACCGTCGTATGATGCGGAGTCTTCTAATGCCAGAGATCACGAAATGGAAAAAGTGCTGTTGAGTATGTTTGAGCTCAACGATGAAATGAATCGGTTACTTGTTGACGTGCTTGCGATGACAGGGAAGCTCACCGGAACCACACCCTTGAGAGCGCTCCGAGACAAGATGGACGATGTTGAGGCATTTCTTTCAAAAGTGCATGAGCAAATAAGAAACGCTTTGCGGCACGATCCACTAAGTGAAGTTGATTCTTTCCACCGGAACAGTCTTTTAACTATTTTACTGAAAGTGCAATTCATCCTTTTTAGTGTCAACACTCACATTTACTACAACCATCTTAAGCGAAAAGACTACGGGCTTGCAACCAGTGCAGAAACCAAGCTTATTACGTCCACGATGCAGAACGTCATACCACTTTTGCCCATGCTTCTCGGGCACGTTAAGAATCCGTTCTCCGGATCTACAGATCTATTTTCGATTTCCCTGTTCGTTAATTGCACAACCAACATACCATTTCTTCTCGTGAGCTTGTTGATCAAGTATAAGAGCCAGTATGCCTCGATGAAGTGTAACAATAACCACAATGGCAGAATGAGAGCAGATCTGCGTTACAGCAACTTGTTTGAGGCGCTTGAAAAGTATATTACGACGCTCGATGATTTAATGCTGATTCTTGGCAATTTTTATAGTCTGCTCAAGGACACAAATGCGTTATGCAAGAAGCTTGATTATGGCCACAGGAAGTTACATGAAATGTTGGACGGCGTTGAAGGCTCTGCGGATGACAAGGCGTACATACGCACCTCCACACTGTTTTTGGAAGGCTGCAACCAAATTGTTCGCGAAGGCATAGATCGGGTTGAGTTTACATCTCTCAGGCTGAAGCAGGAGCCGCTGCCTGTGCCAAATCACCTTAACTCACCGACGGACCTTTTTGACAACCGCATGTTTGAAAGCCTCGATTTTACAGTCGATGAGCTCTTAGATATACCGATGCTAGAGAACATTCTATAACGATCGAGCCGCAATACGAGCTTGGCCTGCATTGACATTAGCTGCAAGTAAAACGGGCGCGGGAAAAAGACGGAAATATAACAACCTTCATATATAGGATGCTAATGGATTGCACATCCCCCTCGGAGATACCAAAATGACAAGGGGAAGGTACAAAGTTGTTTGCTCTTTTTGTCGTAAGCGGAAGATCAAGTGTGACAAGAAGTCTCCATGTACTGCGTGTGTGAAGTTGGGAAATCCTCATTGTGATGCTGTGGTGAGAACTGATACTAGTTCGGGGGATGTTGCTGATGCATTAAGGCACCGTATAACCGTCCTTGAACAACAGCTCACCAATAATGGCATGAAACCAGCGACCAGTCTCGAGGAGTGCTACCTGGCTGAGACCATAAATTTTCATGACGCCCTCAGCAGAACCGACCATCGCCATGACGCAAGCTGGAGATACATGGGACCTTTCAAGTGGTTCGTTATGGTATCAATTGACGAAGTCTTGCTTAATGTCTTCAAAACTTTCTACGCTTGCAAGGAAGAACCATCCTTCCACGATGAAGCTCCTCGGATGTACTTGAACCCGCTAGATAAGGAAATCGGCTTGATCCACAAAACTAGCGTTAAGGAGGATCACGAGACGTGACGAATGAAGCTCTACAATATCTTGCCCAGCACAAGAGCGATATACTTGCTCATAAACAGGTTTTTCAAGATTGCCTATCCTTACATGCCTGTCATTGACGAGTATGACTTCAGACAGTCTGTGAGCAGACTTCTTGGAAGCAGAGGTGGCGCCGACGAGAGGGCAATGATTTTGGGTAATGATGATACCGATCCAGCCATTTACGGCCTTCTATTGGTGGTTCTTCGAACAGCCTATGTCACATTAACAGGTGGTTCCAATCAGACGCCTACCTATTGCTTTCACAATAGCAAAGAGGAACTTGAGTATCTCAGCAGGCAGCAGATAGGAGCTGACTTCATTGACTTGGCCAACGTTTGCTTGAGTTTGTACAATGTGGCGGGCGATCTCTGTTTCGAAGCGTTCCAGTTGGTTGTCGCTTTGCGGGTCTACTCCACAATTGGCCCTGAGTACACGAGGTATGACGCAAAGTCGACCACATTGGCATCTCTCCTGAACCAGATTGCTTATAGCTTGTGGATGAATAGGGAATGGCGCCGTGAAAGGCCTGATTTTAATGAGAGGAGAGATTTGCTTCAGAAGAAGCTCTGGTACACGCTTGTTTTCCTCGAGATGGATCAGTCACTATTTTCCGGAAACTATATGTTCATCGGACCTAATACGTTTGACGTGACACTACCGATCTATAAACCAGACTTACTTAATGGATGCGATTTGGAGAGTGAAAAGAAGGCGATCGAAAACATCCATTGGCTTGAAGGATACAGAGAGGTATTCACACAGGCAATTAGCTTAACAGGAAGGGTTTCAGGCAATGTCAATATCAGCAAGTTGAATAACGTTATCGAGAAGCTCGAGCACAAGTACGACGAACTCCTTGATGTCTTGCAATCTCTCAAGGCAACACCTTCGTTGACTACGCTGGACTCGTTTGATCGTTTTTCCAAACTACGGTTGATGCTCAACCAACATTACTTCATTGTTGGAATTTACTCCCATCTTATCCATTTCTACTCTAAGAAAAAGGATGTCAGCAACGCTAGGCATTGGAGGTACAAGGTTGTTACTTTGCTTACAAAGTTTTTGTTCCCCTTGCTTCCCGATCTCGTTCAGCAGACCATGACAATCGTGAGCGGCTCAACTGACCTTTTTGTTTGCGGTCCCTTAATCCAATGCCTCGGGCAATGCAGCTTATTCATTGTATCCTCCATGGTTCGCTACAACCACATCCAGACAGCCCTAGAAAGCCAACCTAACCACAGAGTACTTCTAGAAACCAGCAGCGAGTACCAAGATTTCTTTAACGAGATTCAGAAGCACCGGAGCTTGCTTCGCCAGTCAAACCAGGTGATGCTCAATGTCTACGACCTCATGAAAGATAAGTACGAGGCTGCCAGACGGTTTGGCCTCATCACCAGAAAAGTCACCGATTGCACACTCCCAGCAGAATTTGTTTTACGAGATCGTATGATGAAAGCGACGGATCAGGATGTCAAGTTGCTCAAGGAGTGCAACACTTTAATGGAGGAGTGTGTCGAGAATAATGGAGTTCGTGAGCTTGGAAGTGAACAATGCTCTACACTGCCTACAAATTCCACAACTAGCGAGATTCCCACAGAGCTACTTTGGGAGTCTGGCAGTCTTTCGCCTTTTCAGAAGTATTTTGACATTATCCTGATTGAGGAGATGACTAGAGACATATAGACATCTACTTACGCTGGCCGTAGGCCTTAGTTGCATAATCACCATCGATGACAATGAGATCCTCCTTTCTGTAGTCGAAGGTCTTGTCAAAGTAACTCTTCAAGATCGCCTTGGTGCCTGCTGCATACCTAGCCTGCGCATCCAACGAGGTTCCACTGATGTGAGGAGTCATGGCATTTCCACCGCCATACTTGTTTCTGAAGCTTCTCCAAGGGTGGTCCTCTGGTGCTGGCTGTGGGTACCAAACGTCACCACCGTAACCCTTGAGCTTACCAGATTCAACAGCATCTGCGACATCCTGGGCCACACAGATGGCACCTCTGGCAGTGTTGACCAACCAGGCGCCGTCCTTCATGTGGCTAATGGTCTCCTTGTTGAACAATCCTTTAGTCTTCTCGTGCAATGGGCAGTTGATAGTGACAACGTCAGCCTGAGCCAACATCTCGTTCAAGTCAGAGTAATGTTGAACAATATCGCCACGGTCATTGAAGATTTCCGAAGCCTTGTTCAACCTCTCGGTGGCTGCAGCAGGGAGTTCCTGGTAGTCGTAGTACAAAAGCTTGGATGGGTTGAAAGGGATCATTCTCTCCAACACACGGTAACCGATTCTGCCGGCACCGACGGTGGCCACAACCTTGCCTTCCAAATCAAACTCGTTCTTAGCACAGCCAGCGATATCCCAACCTCCAGACACGGCCTGCTCGTGAGAAGGAATGATGTTACGCACCAAGTTCAAGATGGTCAGAATGACATGTTCAGCGACAGAAACCACGTTGGATCCAGTCACCTCAGCAACAGTGATGTTTTTGGAGTTGGCAGCGTCCAAGTCAACGTGGTCGGAGCCGACACCGGCGGTGACACAAAGCTTCAAGTTGGGAGCCTTGTCGATTCTCTCCTTGGTGATGTAGGCTGGGAAGAAGGGGGTGGTGATGATCACCTCCACCTCGGGCAAGTGCTTGTCAACCTCCGACAGGCCAATTGGGTCCTTGTTGGCGGTTGTGACCAATTCGTAGCCCTTGGATTCCACAAGCTCTCTGATGCCTAGCTCGTTCTCAAGACATCCCAACATTCTGGGTTCTTGCTTAGCGTGGGCACCGCCTTCGTACAAAACCAAAAGCACCTTAGGTTTAGACATGATGAGTTAATTGAGTTGATATGTAGATCGATTGAAGGTCAATTGGGGTCAATGAGTTAGTTAACACGCTCAATGGGGGGTCAACTAGGTCAATTGAAGCAATTAGATAATGAAAATCGAGAAATCAGAGAAATCCTTCTACTTTAATAGTCCCCCCCCAGAGTGCCTTGGCTGGAGCTAAATATCTCGGAAAAGCCCTATCCCGAATGGTCATTGACCCCCACATAACCCTTTTGCATGGCAACCTCCCTGGACCCCAATACAAAGCAGCCTTCTTAATGCAGTCTCTGGGGTAACAGCAAGTGCGACCATAGGACCCTTTTCCGAGCCATTTCCTTCCCCGAGGGATTTTACTAAAAAGTTACACGCAAAGACAAAACGTTTTGGGAGAAGCGTACAGTGCGTATGTGGGGCACCAGGCATGGAGGGCTAAGTAATCTCTCGGAGCAAGATGCGCTCCGATCTCGGCCAGCGGAATACTTTCCTAATGGCTCAACTGGTGGACCTTATCGGAATCTAGGCTTTTCTGTTGCGGCTGAAGGCCTCCAAAAAGGCCTCGGGTGTAAAGTTTATTTTTTAGAGGAACGGTATGCTCCTATGCGGATCCAGCAAACGTGGAGAGGGTTTGGGGCAGTGAGCAGGATATTATGGGAGCAGTACTTCCGCAGTGGGCTGTTTTAGGAGCAATTTTCTTGAGCCTGGCCTCATGGAGCTTGCGCTAGTATATAGAGTTTCTGATCCTCTTTAATTGAAGTTAAGTTTGGTTGATTCTTTTCCTTGAACCTATTACTCAATGGCACTTAGGACTTCTTGCACCGATTTATTGATATAAACTTGGGTTCCTGCTGAACTCGGCTGCTTACGATCTGCAGAAGTCTTCTATGCGCCAGTGTCTCCACATTTCACTATCGCATAGGCACCAACCCTAAAGTGGAAGCTTATACCCAATGGCCCATCATTGACATACTCCACAATTATGGTCATTGAACTTCCTACATCCAAACAACATGGAACAGTTTATTATGAAGGTCGCTGAGGAGTGCTGGTGAATGTCAGGGTATTCGCCCCGCCAGGAGGCCTACAGCTCACTCATGCGTGGTGATAAATAATGCTATATAGACCTAATCGAAGGCCATCAGTTTCTTGATTTCGGCAATGGCACGGCCAGGGTTCAAGCCCTTTGGACACGTTCTGGCACAGTTCATGATAGTGTGACATCTGTACAAGGACATGGAGTTCTGCAACATTTCCTTTCTCAACTTGGTGGCCTCGTCTCTGGAGTCAATCAACCATCTGTACGCCTGCATCAACACAGCTGGGCCCAAGTACTGCTGCTGGTTCCACCAGTAAGATGGACACGACGTGGAGCAGCACGCACACAAAATGCACTCGTAAAGACCGTCCAACTTGGCTCTGTCCTCGATACTTTGCAAGTTCTCTCTACCGTCGGCTGGTGCTGTGTCTCTCTGCAAGTAAGGCTGGATGGATTTGTACTGTTTGTAGAAGTGGGTCAAGTCTGGAACCAAGTCACGCACAATGTACATGTGTGGCAAGGGGTAGATCTTCAAGTCCTTCGACGTGTTTGTATCTATTCTGCACAAGCATGCCAATGTGTTTTGTCCACCAATGTTCATGGCACAAGATCCACAGATACCCTCTCTGCACGATCTTCTGAAGGTCAAAGTAGAGTCTTGTTCGTTCTTGATCTTCAAAAGAGCATCCAAAACCATGGGACCACAGGCATTTAAGTCAACGTCATACTTTTGCATGGTTGGCTCCACTTCTGGGGTGTCAGGGTTCCATCTGTAGATTTGGAACTGCTTGATCTTGGGCTGCGTAGCAGTAGCCAAGCTTCTTGACGTAGTCAAACGTGCAACTGGTCTGAAGAAAGTCCTCAACATGTTATCTATTTGTGGGTGTAGAAGAAGAGGATGTAGCGATATAGCTTTCGCTTTTTTTTCTGGTGGGAGGGCCATACTGAACCCGGCGCTAGTCCGGGTGCGAACAATGTACAGGATTGACAAATGTGAAATTCTCTGCCCTTGATTGGCTCACCCCAGACTTTTGCCATACATCCGTGCACCTCACAGCACCAGCCAGTTGCGACATGTGACATGTTCCATAGCTTTTGATTAAAATGAAGGGGCTAGCAAGGTGCTATGGTGAAGTTGGAACTAATTGTAGGCCCGCAAGATGTAAAATTGTCCGTTTTGGGGTCCCCACTGACGTCTGTAACCGAACTGTCCTCGACCATTGTATGACCCGTTACCCCGGAAGAACTCGCGCACTTAGCGCAAAAATCCTCGGGTCCAAGTTGGTGCATCACCTGAAAGTCACGCATACACGCACTACTTCCCGGGGAGATCGGATTAGATAAAATGCACCAAACGCTGCATTTACCAAAGCTTAGCAGGCACCCAGATATCAGCCACAACGCCGTCTTCGATAATGTAGTACCAAGCGTGGTTTGATGCAGTCATACAAGCATGCTGGGGCACAACCTGGATTTTGGTGCCGTAGGGAATGAATTTCAAATCGTCTGCTTCTGGTTGCAAAACGCCGTGTTCCTGACTAACTCTGGCCACAAACCACCCCTTGTGCTCCGGCGGACTCACAATCTTACCGAATCCAGGCATTGGTCCGGTGTCTTTGGAAAAAGCGATACCTCCGGCATTGATCAACTGTTCACCTGGTCCTTTAGGACCACGGTCTGGGTATTCGGAGAGGACCTCCGCAAGGAGGAAAATTGAGACGTCTTCAATGCCAACCAAATTTGTAGCAGCCTGTTGGAGGTCGCAGCAGGTGTAATTACCAGCATGAAGCTCCAATTTGGCCACAAGCTTCTCCCCAAGTGCATCCTCAATGGCTTGCACGCTTTTGACTTGTTGCGATACATGCGCAGTAGGTGTAGCACCCACAGAAACATGCAAATCCAAATCTGGGTTCAAAGAAAGTGCATGCTTGGCAGCGAGGTTCGCGTGTCTGATTTCTTCCACCAACAAAGTGTGTGCATCCGAGTCAGATCTTGCCCCGTAGGAATGGCCGGCGTGGCAGTAGAAGCCATGCAACGTAACAGCTTTCGACAGCACAATTCTTTGAATCAAAGAATGGAGCCTACTCGATCCCTGCTCAAGACCTGCACGATGAGTGCCCATGTCGACTTTCACAAAAACCTCCCAACTGGCGCCGTGCTCGATCGCGTATGTCTCAAGCGCTTCGATCTGGGCCTCATCGTCAACCATAAGCTTAAACAGAGGCACCAATTTCAGAAAACGGGCCACCTCCGGCAACATCAGTTTTGCGATTGGAATACCAAGCAAAACATCCTTGATGGTGCCATCGTCAATTAGTGGCAAAATTACCCATGCCTCAGGGAGTGTGGACACAACTATCTTATCGGAGTGGTACAGGCCGTCTCCGGTCAATTGAATCCTCACACCTTCAGCAGCCTTGAGTGTCTTGATGTGGACTCTGAAATCAACGTTCAATTCTTTGGCAGCGTCCAACATACGAATGGCATTGTTGGTGAACTTGGTCTTATCTATGAGGAGCGACGGAGTAGGAAGCTCGCTGACCTTCTTATCCTTGTACTCATCAAGAAGCCTCTTCTTATCAGGCAAGATGTAAAAAGAATGGGGATGCATTTTGGAGCTGTGGATCGAAAGCCCGACGAATCAATTAGGAAGAATCGATGTATATATATCTTCTAGTGGAGTCAAGAGCGCGACCAAATGGGCTGATGACTCTGAGGCTACAGGAGCCCGAGTCAGATAAACAGGATCATCGTGCTGGAGACAGGACATAGGGGAATCGGACGTCATTGACTGCTGCGCGGAATCTTGATTAACCTTTTGCAGCCATTCATCATGCATATATTGTAAGGTTCATTAACACTATTTACATGGGGTTTGTTCATAAGCTTTATACAGCCGTTGGGCCAAAGAATTCAGAGTGAATGTCTGTTTTTCCACGTTTGGACAACTCTTCTCTCACAAATTCCATGTAGCCAAGAGGACCAAGCATGTACACTTCCAGGTTGGGCAAGTCTAAGCTATCAAAGTGACTTTGAGAGAGTTTTTCGCTTTTGTCGTCGTTAAGACTGACGAATTTGAAGTTGGGGTACTCCTCTTGCTTCTGCTTAAACCAGTTCTCAAAAGGAACCGCTTCGGCCCGCTGGTTGGAGTATAAAAGTGTGACTTTCTTTCCATCTTGAAGAGCCTTTTCTGTGATGGAAATCAATGGGGTGATACCTATACCACCGGCAAAAAGCACCACGTCCTTATCTGTTTCCTGGTACGTAAATCTACCCGCTGGAGGGGCGACTTTGATGTGATCACCGACTTTCAAGGTACTATGGATGTAGCCAGAAATGACACCCTTGTCGAGCTTCTTCACTGAAATACGGTATTCACCGTCTGGATACTCCGAAATGGAATATTCTCTAGACTTCTCGATATCGCTACCGGGAATTAAGAAGCGGAAGCCGAGGTACTGACCTCTTAAAGGTTTTGCCACCTTGGTTCCGTCGGCTGGCTTGAAGTAAACCAGCTTGACATCATCGGTCTCATTTTCTATCCTCGTCACCACGAAGTCCTTGAATCCTTCCCAAGGCTGTTTTTGATACTCTGCAAATTCCGCGTCAATCAAAAGCTGGGCCAAATTACCGTAGGCAATTGACCAGGCCTCCACAAATTCAGGGGTTGCAATCTCTTCACCCAAGAGCTTGCCCATAGTCGCAATCAAGTGCGATCCAACAACTGGATAGTGCTCTGCTCTGACTTGCAAACCAACGTGCTTAACCACAATTTGGTTGACAAAATCGGTCAATGGAGTTAAGTCATCTATGTTTTTGGCATAGTTGAGCAATGCAAACGCCAACACTTTAGGCTGCCTGTAAGTGATCTGGTTAGTGTCATTGAAAAAAGGCCTAACCTCTGGGTTTCCCGAGAGCATTGAATTGTAGAACGTCTTGGTAAGATCCAAGCCACTTGTCTCAAGAATAGGCACCGATGCCTTGATCAATTCTTTTTGAGCTGTGGTCAATGGTTGTGGTTTATAGATCTGAGGAGCAGAAGCCATGGTGCGAAATGGTTGCAAAATTCGTAAGAACGAGCTGCGCATGAATAAACGTCAAGACAAAGCTTAGCTTAAATAGCGATCAAATTCTCCGTAAATCTGCTCAGTGAGGGTCCTGTTTTACCCGTGGGCCCATGACCAATGAATGGGCTGAGATTTCAAACCATGTTGCAGCACTATCAGGTGAGGTTCCGCGATTCTCCGACTTGCCCAAAGTTGACGGACAACAGGAGGACCCTTGACAGAGAACATTTCGTATTTCAAAGATGTGGACCTCCACAAATGCTATTAGATGCGCTATATCTCATTTAGCGGGTAATAATAAGAATATGAAAAGCATCACATATGCAGCGGTCAGTAGAGCTACTTTCCCCCCGCTGATCTTCAACATCCATATCTCCGTCTCCAAACTGTGCTTACTAATTGAAATTCGAAAAACTCGTAATCCATTAATAGAACTTTCATCGGACCACTACTTCACATTGTGTTTGCAGATACCCGTGTATGCGGATGACAGTGGCCGTTTTTCGCCGTTAAGCGCGGATCAAGAGCTTACAGCGGCTTGACATGACATAGCTACCATTGAACTGCTCCTCTAGTGACTTAAACAGTTTCATTTCCTTTAAGCATTTGGAAGTGCGACACAAGTTATGGCACAGATCCCCGCAAACAGAATTTGCAACCACGAGTTAACCGATTTGATTCTGCACTTCCTGCCAAAGCCGCAGAGTGATAGTTGCAGATTTGTTTCCAGGCGTGACCTTCCCGTAATTAGCACCAGCTAAGTAGAAGCCACAACCGGGTGGGAATTGTTTTGCAGCCGTTTTGTATGCATAGTACAGGTAACCGTACAGAGGAAGCGGGACCTTCTCCTGCGCTTCCAAGGACTCGATAAACGGCGTCTTCACGGTACGGGCTATTTTCCCCGATACTAATGCAGTCATAACTGTAGGAGGAAGATTCAGGGATTCTTTCACGAGATCACCAATAAAACCTGGAGCGTTAGATTCCACGCTAGTCACATAGATGGTGCCCATGGAAACAGCAACGGCACCCTTTTGTAAATACTCCGCAACGTCCTCGGCACCAACTATTCCTCCTGCGGGAATAATCTTTCCAAGATTCACAATATCGTCAAAAAGAGCCTTTGTGGAGAGCTGCTCATCTGGGCTGATGAATGCTCCTCTGTGACCACCAGCCTCGTAACCTTGCGCCACAAGAACATCAGCACCAACATCAAGAGCTGCCTCTGCCTCCTTTCGATTAGTTACACATGCAAAGACTAAGATGCCTTCCTTGTGGATGAGATCGACCGTTTGTTGCTTGGGTAAACCAAAGTGAAACAGTACCACCTTGACATTGAGCTTCCCTAGCTGTTCAACAAAAGGCTCCACGTCATACTTAGCCTCAAACTCTTTGAAAGAAACGTTTATGCGCTCGAATTGTGGAATCGATTTGCGTAACTCCTCACTGCTAACACCTGACGCCTTCTCCATGATCTTGAACCAATTGGCTTGCTCTGTGGGTCCCGGAGGTGTCTGCTCTTTGTAGTCATGAGCAAAGAAGTTCACATTGACAGGTGCATCGCCTGCTAAGTGTTTGAATCGTCTTATCTGCTCGAAGACAGGTTCCGTGCTCTTGGTTAAGTCATATGAGGCCATTGGAAGCGATCCCAAGCCACCTGCCTTGGCTACCTCTGCAGCCATTTCAACAGTGGAAACCCCGGCCATAGGTGCTTGCATTATGGGGGCTCTTAGCCCTAGATTCTCGATGAATGATTTAAATTTGAACATGCTTATAATTGAGATCTGCGAGGCACAACCACTATATATATGCCTCAGAGAGTCTGGGGTAGTTCCATACACCCGAGCCCATTAACATAGATTTGATACAATTTAACTCTTTTAAGGATCGACATCTGTCTAGGATAGTTATGTTACCGGTCGAATGGAAATTACATACCTAGCTTGCTGAAATTCAGATAGTTCATGACGACGACATGATGATCAATGGTTCGACAGACTTCTCGTCAATTGAGCTTCCTGTCGATGCAAACAATCTTCCGAGGAATATCTCCATGTTTCCGCGATGAAATGATCTTTCAGCTCTAATCACCAGATTGACCACCAATCTCAGCTAAACTACCCCTGCTACAGCAGTTTTCCTGTTGTTGCTTGTATTATTTACAGAATCATGACTCGTGCTGGCGCCTTTCCAGCTTCTGGAGCAGCCTTTACCCGGCTGAACCAAATGTATATACCCTTGGCTTTCTTTAGATAGCTCCGATGCTTTACTCTGAGATGGCGTCCTTGAGAGCCAACTTTCTCAGGTGGGCGTCGAAGTATGACCTCAAGTCTTCAAAACGCTTGCTCTGAGGGTTGATTTCCATCACCTCCTTGTCCTTGAAAGTCACCTTAACCAAAGGTTCCTCGTCTCCAGTGAGGATCTTGCGTTCAATGGAGCACCCGCTCTTCAGCGCAGTGGGTATACGGCCAATAAATAGTCTCACGGGCTTTGCGGCCTCGGAAAAGGGGTTAAACCTCACCGACACATGCGTGAAATATTTGGTGATCATGGGAAGGTGTGTGAAGTGTAGTTGAAATTTTTCTCTACTCTACAGTTGTAGGTACTGCACCCGTGCACCACGTACATTTGGTTTCCACCAGATCTTCACTTAATCATGGTAGTCATAACACGATTCAAAAAATTCAATCTCCAAATCCAATGTCTTTTCGAAAAACTCACTGCATTTCTTCTTGCTTTCCTCGTCAACACCAACTCTGTTCACCTCGTCGGCAAGGAAATCACACCATGCGCCAAACTCAGGGCCACTGTGTAAAACAACCCACTCGTTGTGCTTATAAGCGAGGTTTTTAATCTCAGGAGTTCTTTCCAAGTGGTACTCTGCCCAGCCTTGGTAAACCTTCTCCATGACGTACATAAAAGTGATGATCTCTGGGTACAGTCTCAGCTTGAACGTCAAGTAATCGAGGATGTCGAGGTACTTTTGGACAGCTGGTAGGGTTGGTGGATCATCCTTCAACATTGACTTGGCATTGGCTTCGATTTCGTCCTTTGACTCAGCCCTCAATTGGTCCAAGCACTTGAAGAAGTAGGTGTTCTCGGAATTCGAAATGAACCCAATCTGCTTTCCCAAGACAATAGCGGACTCGGGCTTATCACAGTACACCAAAGCATTTCCGAAAAGGTTCAAACCTAATTGGAAGAATTTGAGGTCCTGAACGAGGTATGTAAAGAGCTTGTAGTCTGGAAGGGTTCCTTTGCAAAGCTCATTGGTGAGAGCACAAGTAATCAGCTTATGGAACTTGTCATGATGCTTCTCTAACAATTGATCGATAAATGTCATTGTAGTTGCTAAGAAAGAGTAGACGTAACTTTTAACTTGAAAGTTGCCAATGGTTTAAGCTTAATGCATATATGCGCTTACAGGGTGCGAGCCTAGGGGTTTATGCTGGTATAGGGAACTGGCATTCGAGGTTGTTTTGCAACGACCTCACTCAATGAAAAGCTGACTGCTGATGATGCGTTAAGTAGGGAGTACTCAAATATACCTCAGTGTAAAGATAATGCAAAATTAATTGTAAGGAACGACACCAAAGACATGACCATACCAATAGCATCATCAATCTTTGGAGCCCACGAGTTGAATACATAGAGCCCTAAAAGATCCTTGATGTTGTAACATTACTTCAGCAGTAAGCCCTGACTGAGATTAAAAAATCCGAAAAGAAAGCACTCAGCAGGATACACACTAGACTCTGATATTGACTCACCACATCAACATTTCAGCAACGAGACCCAACCACATGCTTTCGATAAAATTGCTTAATTGATTGATAGCAACCCATCTCTTGATATCAGGGAGTGTTTTAAACCGAATGCAATCCGATTGGCCGTGGATATCGAAACGCAATTTTAAAAACGATCGGTGCTCCGTTTAGAGAAACCACAACCACAGTTACTGAAGCAAGCAGCAAGGTATGTTTCACAAGCGATTAATATCAAAGACTTGCGTCTACGTCACCATTCCATTGTAGCGTGTTCTGGTTCTCCAGAGTAATCAGAGATAAGGGTCACAATGAATGTGAGGATGTCAAGATAAAGAAAGTTCGAAACGTGCCGAACATGGCGAAAGCGTTACCTTCTCTGTCAAATTATGCATGCTGCCAACATCCAAGCCCCAACTTCCAATCAAGACTAGCGTGTTTCGGCTATCGGATGCGCATGGTGGAAACTATAGGCGTGGAGAATAAGCACTGCAGCTATTCTCTCGGGTAGAATCGTTGTGAAATCAAAGAGGCTTATGGGCAACGCTCTCCGTTATCTCTACGTCGGTGAGCATTATTGCCGCATTTACCCGAGTTATCTCGAGGCTTATTCTGGAGCATAATCTCTCGTACCGTTGCGATCATGGGTCAGCCACGGTCTTGTGAATCTACGCCCCCTTGAAGCCACTGTTCATGGTCTTATCACAAAATCCAATCTGCCACAAAAGGTATAACCACAACGGTAAATGTAAATTTATTCAGCTTCACGTTATCTACGATCATCGATCATATTGTCAACCACCAAGTTACGAGCCACTTACGCCAGATCAGATAAAGAAAGGCCGAAATGGTATTATGACACATGCTTGACAGCTTAACGGTTCTTATCCAATGATACAGACGCACGCTTATCTCTGATGCTGCTGGTACTCATTTTGCGCTTTAGCTGCGGCGCATTAAGAATGTCAATTTTGCAGCCATAACCGTGGAGCGAACAAGAACAAAACCGAGGCTCATATGACAAATGAAGTCTTTGAGTGTTCAGCAATGAATCCAAAGAATATTTAAACAGACAGATTCTCCTCGATTTTTCTCATCATCAAAAACTCAATCACTCAATCTCCTCAACAATGCAAATCTCCAAGCTCGTTATCACTACTCTCGCTGCTTCCACTGCTGTCTCTGCCACTCCAGTTGCTAACAACTTGGCCAAGAGAGACGATGCTGTCGATGTTGTTTTGAAGGACGTCGAGGACCTTCTTGGAACAGTTGTCAAGGATGTCACTGGTCTTTAGGCTGACGCTGGTCTTAACGTCACCTCTGTCCTTGAGCCAATCCTCCAGCCATTGGGATTGAAGAAGAGAGAGGAGGAGTTGGCTGCCTTGGAGACAAGAGACCTTTCTACTATTCTCAGCGACGTTGACGGCTTGGTTTCTGACATCTTGAAGGGTGTTGGCAAGATCAGCGCTGACTTGCTTGGCCTCTAAGTCTGTCTCAAGTCAACAACATTTTCAATTCTACTTTAGCTAGCTACTTTACAAAAAAAAAAAAAAAAAAAAAAATAAAAAAAAATTACCCACTTTGACGTGTAGAGAGGTTTCAAACCAAAATAATCAATGCACTTTATATTCTATAACTTTTATTGAATGGCTTACCTGGCAACAGCAGATGAAGGTTGCTGTACGCGAGGAAGCTCTTGGGACTGAACACGGCCTCTATTTCTTTTCTCCATGAATGCATCGTATTTAGTAGCCTTTCTGCCCCGGAGGTATCCAAAAAGAAAGTAGCCCACCGGCACGTATGCCAAAATACAAGCTTTGAGCGCAAGTTCATGCCAGTCGTTTTGAACGAACCCAAGACTCAAGAACACGAGAATCATCTCGCTGATGCAGCTCACGAAGAATGTGAGGTAGAAATGATGATGATGGAGCCAAAACAACCACAACGGAGAGGTTCTGGTTTTGGTCTTGAAGCCGTGATAGAAGCAATCAATCATATTCTGGATACACCAACCCAGAATAAGGAATGAATATGACGTGTGCTTGGCGATCTTGGGATGAGGGTAGATCACGCCGTAACACATCCAGATCATTCTGACAGCATCAAATAAACCCCACAAATCGTTCAAAGTAAAGCTGGGCTTGGCCAAAGCAGCAACCAAGGTCCATCCAATAAGTGGAAACACGCTGACCACATGGAAGAAATCAGCAATACCAGCTGGTAAGAACTTCCGGCCCACCAAAGGAAGCAAGATGAGGAAACGGCAGAAGCAGCAGAACCATAGCGTTGTGGAGACAACGTTGTAGTAAAAGATGAGCTTTCGGGCTCCCGTCAAAGGGTATAAGGCCATGTTGTAAAAGAAGGTGGTTTCACTTTTTTCTTGATTCAGGGCTGTACCAGCCTCATGCACTACAGAACACGACCGTTACTTTCTGCGCGGTGCTACTGCAAAGTATCAACCACCTAGTATGAGAATTCTAGGGCTATTTATATTCACCTTTTGCGCCGTTTTCGTGGCTGCTAACTGGTCCCCAGAAGATTATGAGATTTTCAGCTTGAATGACAAAATCAAGAAGGATCTTGGTCAAGACACCGACTTTTACACATGGCTTAACTTACCAAGAGGACCCAAGTCTTCGTTCGAAGAGATCAACAAGGCATACAGAAAGTTGTCGAGGAAATTGCATCCTGATAAGTTTAGCGGGAAACCAAAGAAACTCAAGAAGAAGGCGGAGGAGCGTTTCCAAAGATTGTCGCTTGTTGGCAACATCTTGAGAGACCACAGCTTGAAGACTAGATACGACTATTTCTACGACAAAGGTTTTCCCAAATGGAGAGGCACGGGCTATTTTTACCTGAGATTTCGTCCTGGTTTTGTTCTTACATTGGTCGTGCTCTTTTTGATCGTGGGATTGTTCCACTATGTCTCACTCAAGATCAGCAGAAAGCAGGACTACAAGAGAATTGTGAACATGAAGGATGAGATCAGGTCGCAGGCTTGGAATAACTCCGGCGTCCCCCCACTAGATGGCTCTGATAGAAAAGTTGAAGCTCCTAACGGTGTTCAATTTCATGTCTCTAATACTGGTGATGTCAGTATCATTGAAACTGAAAAAAACAACAACAGGGTACTCGTTCCTTTGGATGAAAATGAAATCAACGTGAATCCAGGTTTCAAAGAGACTTTGTTCTTCAAAGTGCCTGCAAAACTTTGGAACGTGTCTGTTGGTAAGGCCACCGGAAAATGTATCGACACCACTGTTGTTTATCAAACATCATCTGCTGAAACCGAGAAGCAGTCACAGGAGAAGAAGACCAAGAAGAAAAAGAAGCCAAAGGGAAACAAGATCGAATTGCCTAACGGCAAAGTCATTTATAGCAAACCGAAAAAGTAAGTTTGGTAATTTATTAATTATAATTCTATACATCGAAAAAATTCATTATTCACTATGCTTTGGTACACGGCGCAACTCATTGTGGTCATCATCTTCGTCAGAGGAACTTGATCCTGATAAATCATCAAAGAAGTTATCGTCATTGAGCTCATCTTGATGCCCTGGGAATTTGGATCCATTCAAGTCATCAACCAACTCTTCTTGGTTCTCTACCAGTGATTTCGGAGACATACTCTGGATCCGAACATCCGAGAGGTTCTTATTAGTCTCGGCTTCGCCATCGTCAACCTCCTCATCTTCATCTGCATTCGTGGGCTGCAGCTTCACAAACTCATCATGATTACTACTGTCGCCTAGTATGATGAAGTTTTTCTGTTCTTCGTCATAGGGCTCAAGGTCCATGTAACCAACTGTGGAAGAATCAAAGCCATAAGCTTCATCGTCGGGTTGTCTCCGGTGAACGTTGTCTTCCATGTTATCGGCATCGTCATATTCGGAGTCAGCACCTAATATCGCGTTGTATAGCTCACGAGTTTTTAGAAGCACATGTTCCACAAACCACTCCCACTCCTTGCCGTTGACGGCATCGACAATCACGGGTGAGATCAACCCAGGCTTATACAACGAAGAAAACTTCACCACTTCCTCACTAATGAGAATTAAGTGGCCTGTGTAGCCCGGACGAGGCTCAGCCTTCGTCCTGAAAGTATCAACAATTAGGTTTGTGATATTACATTCATCTCGTTTGAATAACTCCACAATCAAGAACGAGTTATATGAGTTCAATTTGCCGTTGAAAATCTGTTGTATCAAATCGAATACAACGTTGTGAAAGAAATTATGCCAGGGATAATCAACAAATTTTCTTATCATCTTTGGGAGTATTTTCAGATCCACAAGCTTAATTTTGAAGTCATCACCAATGCAGGGATTGCTTCTAAAGATTTGATCGCGTTCTTCACAGACGAAAGGATTCTCTTGCGAGACTGCGGGCTCTTCATCGTCAGATTCCACATACTCGGCGGCATTGAGCTGATCCATTTTGAGCTTGGTGAAGCTCTTTACTGACAAGTCACTGTTGTTCGACTTGCCTCTTCTTCTGCCTCCATCAGCAGACATGCCATCGTGCAAGGAAACATCATCTAGGCCACTCGTCACATCACCAATATGCTCTTTGTCGTGTTCAGAAGTGTCATCATCTAATATGGAGCCAGCCAACGCTTCCTTGAGCCGCGATTCTTGTAAGACACGAATCTGATCACGGATTCGGACGATATCCGCAATCTTTCTCGAATTGAGTAGAATCATATTGGAACAATGAAGGAGCTCAGCGATGAGTTCGAAGAGCTTAAACTTTGTCACACCTAGAGCCTCTGTTCCTCTCTCGGCAGCCGCAGGAGCACTAGCGTCGAGATCAATAAGTTCAGAAATTTCGTCCATACTTTCGGAGAAGATCTGGAGCATGTCACCCAAGAATACCGGATCCCTGAAGCCAGGAGGGTTCTGGTCAAAATCTTTGAGCCACTGATACATCACATAAACACTGACCTCGCCAGTAGGTTCTCCAGTGTTGTTTTGAAGAAGTGAGCTGTATGTGCCACAATTCAAGTCGTAGTCCGAATTGTTCTTCCTGATAAGCTCAATCAATATCGTGACACAGTTGCTGATTCCACTCTTGTTCGTTCTAGGCAAATCTGATGCCAGCTTGCCAGGAAGGCGGTACAAGATGATGTCATGTACCATTTGCTTGATAATCCTGGGAGACGCCAATTCACGAGTCAATTGATTGGGACCAATATTTGTTTCAAGATCCACCGCTAGAGTCGAATTGGATGAAATCGATATGAGTGCCTTGATGAATTCCGCAGCTGCGGTCTGTCTAAAAAGAAGCTGATAGTTTGGAATACAGACGTGATCCTCCTCGAATTGGGATACTATTGGCTTGAGAATGTCAACAAGCTTGTCAATGAGCTGTTGCTGTACGAGGACCTCTATAATGCCCGTGGGCGAGTCTGCTCGGTCGGTCTGGATCACCTTGATAAAGAAATCCATCAAAATTGGTATCTCGATTTTGGCCAAAAAAGTGTCGACCAAATTATGACGGCGCCTTATGAAATTGAGAAACTCAGTAGTATTCGAATCCAAGAAGTGGTCTAGGACCAGTACCAAGTATCCAACGGCCGGGGAACTTTCACAGAGATGTGGCATCAGGATCACCAGCCACAACTTCTCCATAAGAACAGGTGTTTCGATAACTCGGTTGGAGATGACCCAAAAGTCCATAGAAAGAACATCTGTGGCGCCTTGAATGTATCGACGTAGGCGCTCCTCAGCTGGTTCACGTTTGGCATCCTCAGTATCTTGCTCTTGCTCCTCCTCTTCTTCCTCCTCTTTAGCGTCTTCCATTCTCTGTTCTCTAACTTCGTCCAGGGGATTATCAGTATGGAGACTCCCCGTATCACTCTTGTTGACAAGGTCTGCAAGCTTCTGATCTTCCTTAAGTGCAAGGCTGTAAAAAAATTCGACAGATTGATCTAGGTAATCGAGAAGACCCATCAAGATATGTGGCTGGAGCACGAGCTCCATCAATTTCGCCTCCCGAGCGGTCTTTGATAACACATTATTGGAGCTTGCTTCATTCGATGACGAAGCCAACGAGGCGTCATCGCTCATGGAGCTGTTCCTCGTTGCTTCCACCTGCTGGACCAGCGGCAACTGAAAGTTAGTTTTCTTGCCGTATTTGCTCAGTAGACTCTTCAACTCCTCCAAGAACTCCAGCTGAATGGTTCTATCTTCAAACAAATCCTCGACATTGATCTTGCTCACATCAGTCGTAGAATCAAGAAGCTTCTGTAGGTGACTGTTGCTATTGAACGAGCTCGAGAAGGGCCAAAACGACATGGTCTTTCGAGGATTATATTGTGCTTTCAGGTATGACGGCTGCTGTTGTGTGAATGTCTTCGAATTCTAACCCCAGGGAGCTTGCGCAAGCAATTTGAGTTCAGAGCTTCCCGGGTCAAAGGAATAAAATGCAGTTGGATTGCTCGACAATATGTGAGCTCTAGTGCCAGGTACGATCGCTGGCTTGATTTGATTTTGACCAATTGATCACTGCTGATATATGGCCTGCACTTGACAGGAGCCGTGAACCAGATTGTTCCGCGCATACACTATCTTGCACCGCAGAGGCTATATGCTGATTCTATATGCTTTAAATATTTAGACCCCAAAATATGTCTTTACTCTCATCAATCTGTTGTGGGTAAACTGGCAACATACTCGATCAAATTGTCAAACTCAGCAGCGTAGGCTTCAATCATGCGATCGGCAATCGCTCTTACTGTTCTGCCACATGTTGCAGCGTTGTGCTGCATCCACTCCTTCACTGTCATGGCCTCTTCTTCCTCGGGCATAGCCGCAATGAAGTCGGTGAGAATCCCTTCATTGTCGTTATGAAGCTCACAGCTTGCAGCCGAGACTTCCGCGAGATAATCCATAGTATCTGTCAAAGTCTTAAGCTCGTCCATGATGTTTCCCAACTTCGATGTATCAATCCGTGGATAGTACTTGTAGACAGCATCTTCACGAACTTGATTTTTCCGTGGCGTGCTAGATTCAATGAATGAGCCAGAGATATTCTCAAGCTGCTTAGTGGACGGGGATGGGACTCCCTCTTGATGTTGCTGTTCGTTAGAACCATCTTCTCTTCCATCAACACTCGCCGGCAGAGATTCCTCAATGAAGGTCCGATTATGAGGAGATTCGTTATAGCTAGGACTAGACACCGGCTCAATGGCCCCTTCGGACATTCGAAGCACCGGGATATCCGCGCCAACCTTCATTATAGCATCTTTTTTAGCGCCATTCTCATCATGAACCGTATCTGAAGCTCGTTGAGCATGCGGCGCCATCCTGTCATCCGACTCATCAAGCTCCTTTTCTTCATCTGTGGCGATCGCCGAGTCATCTCGCTCCGATGCTTCCGGGGAGGTCGGCTTTGCGCCTTCCATTGACACATCGCCAATTGAGGTCTCAGTATTACCATTATTTGCATCTTCAGTTCCCAGGGCCTCCTCCTCATCGAGAGTATCATTGACTCGTTCTTCAGCTTCAGATCTTAATTGAACATGGTTAGATTTTCTTTCTCCCACGTCAGAGGGCTCTTTTTCTCTCAGAGGAGCTTTCTCCAACACCATGACTCTTTCTGGTTCCTTCTTCGAACTGTGTTCGTCGAATAAAACCATACCCCCTTGTTCATCGATGTTGATGGGGTCTTCATCCACATTCTCGAGTATATTAGACTTTGAGCTTTTCTCAATCATGAGTCCCCCACTTTTAGACTCTTGCATCACGGATGAATCCACAAATTCGTCTTCCATACTACGCATGTCCTTGACATAGTCGCCATACGTGGACGGGGATAATGTAAAGTCACTTTCCCCACCGGAATCGTTGTCTCCATCACTAAGGGTCCCGTTTGCATTTTCTGCTTTAACGCGAGTTGGCGTCTCAGCTTTTGAATCATCGAAATCTGCTCTTGTGTCAACATATTCTTCTACCGTCGTTTCCTTCGATTCAGCGACAGACGCAGGAGCTGCAGGAGTAGCATCAAATTGGTTTTTCGTATCAGGATCAACCTCAGGCACATGAGGAGACGCATAGGGAGAGGAGGCTCTTTTACCGGCAGATGCATGATCTGTTGGAGATGCTTGATCTTCTCCATGATTGGAAGAAGCATTCTTCTCAAGCGAATGCTCCTCTTCTTCTATCTGCGGTTCAGATGACTGTTCATGGTTGCTGGGTCCATCTTCTTCCGCAGCAGATTGTTGGCCACCCTCTTTGGAACCAATATCCTCTTCATTTGAACGCTCATCAGAATGACCAGCGCCAACAATGTGGTCATTTATAGCGTGTAGAGAATCTTTGTCACTGCCTCCTTCATCATCATTCTTGTTCAAATGGCTATCGGGTGCCTTTCGAGCCTCATTCAAGTTCAACGCCTTTTCCTTAGACGTACCCTGTTGGGCCATCTCCACATCAGTTGAAGCTGAAATGTCAAGCAAGGAGTTCTTGTCCAAGGACGAATGGGGTTTATCATTTGCAGGCTCCTCGTTGGTGTCAGACTTCTGGACACTTTTAAGCTTCTTGGATCGGTGAACAAAGAAATCAAAATCATCATCATCATCATCGAAGGCTGACTTCTTGACCTTGGTAGAAAGTTCAGTAGAAAGAACCGGTGCTTTTTTAGTCGAAACTTCATCATTTTGACCTTTGAGTGATTGCTTTTGTTCTTCTAAGTAGGAGATGTTTGATTCGTTGAAGTCCCCAATGTTGTGACCCGATAGATCAAGTATGTCATCTTTTGGTTTGTAAGCGCCTTCTGGCTGATTAAGTTTCACTTTTTTCTTTTTGCCTGGGGACGCAAGTATTTGCTTGAACCGATCAGAGTCCATGCTGCCATCTAAACTTTCCAGCAGACGCTTTCGCGTGTTACCAGACTCTATCTTAGGGATGGGTTTGGCTGCCTTTTTCAGCTTTTGCTGCTCATCAAGCGCAGAGCCATGATCCTCATACGACGAATCATTTTCCAGAATTGTGAATTTTGAGCCGTCATCCAGTGAAGGCGTCATATCATCACTCTCAACTAACGAATTTTCAGATTGGCCCGTAGAACCACGGTTATTCTTTGCGTCAATATCCATATCACTAGCGCCATCAATAACATCTTCGGGGGTATCTTCAACTGCGCTGGGCCCCAATGGCTTATCATTAATGAGGGGGCTTTCTGAAGTTTGCAGACTCTGCTTGTGTTCTCCATTGGTGTGCGTCAGAGTCATTGAATGGTGAGTAGACTCATCAGACTCACGGGACTTATCAACTTCCAACATGAAGGAGCCTTTGCTAGATTTCTTCTTGACAAGTGACTCTGGGGGAGGAGGCGGGGGCTTCCGCAATCTAGGTTTTCTATGATAAACCTTTGCTTTACCATCATCAAATATAGAACCATGATCTGGGTCCTCGATATCTTCGATTGAGAAGTCGTACGCATCGAATTCAGAATCCTTGTGAAGTTCAGGCTCCGTTGAAGGCAGCGGAGATGGCCATTTTGATACGGACTCATTCAATGGAGAGCTGACTGAGGAGTCATTTTCTTTGTCAGCGGGTTTGACCCTTGGTGAGGGTACTGGAGTGGTAGACATTATTGAGTCATCAATGTCATCGATTGAGTCATCAGGTAATGGCACCTTCGATTTTCTCTTTGCACCACTGCGTTTCTCTGAGCTGGTGCCAGGTTGTTTACCTCCCAGTAGAGTATCAAGAAAGTAACAATATGCGTAAGAATTAGCCCTGTGCTCTCGTAGAGGGTCATCTTCTGGATCCCAGTGATCTAGGGGACAATCGCAGTACATGCATATGACACGGTCATTATCTTTATCCAATGGACTGTAGTAAAGGCCAGCTTTTGCTAAGTCTCTGGATGTCGCAGTGCATTTCTTTTGATCATCTAGCTTCCATAGGTCCTTGAACGTAGAAGCTCTCAACATGACGGATTCGGTAGAGTGTGGGTCAGTGACTGAACGAGGAGCTCTTTCCTCCTCGGCTAATTTGCGCCAGAATTCCTCCTTGTCTCGTGCAGAGACGCAATACTCCATGTTCGATTGTATTAGACCATAAGCACATTTAGGGCTCGTTCGTAGATGATGACAGCCGAGAGCCTGAACTCCGACAATGTCATTTTCCTTCTTGCCACACCAAAAGCAGGTTACCTGATCCTGATTCTTTCTTGTGGGGGTGTAATAGAAACCGTTGTCCACTAAAGATGTGATGGAGGGGACTTCATGCTCCCAGACCTTGATGATTCGCGTTGTAGGAATTTTGATGCCATCGGTAAATGACTTTTCTCGTTCATCCCGGTACTGGAATTTATTAGGGGCTTGTTTGGGTGGCATATCATTGAGTGGAGTGAAGTATTATGGTGCGAATCATCTGTTGAAGATGAGTAGCGCGTATCCACAAACACGATGCTGATAGACTACAACAAAAATTCTACCTGAGTTTATTTTCATTTTCTTATGCGTGACCCACCAAATGCTGAATGGTCTTCAAGGCTTCGTACTTCAATTCATTGTCACCGCCATTATTCTCCAACAAGGTCATGATCAACAACTTGTACTGACCACCCTTCTCGGTGTTGAGAAAGTTTATGACGTCGCTGCCGAGATTCTTGATCAAAAATTGCAAGTCGTTCAAGAGGATCACCTTGGCAGTCAGCGTATTATCTGCTGTCAATATCTCTAGCATTCTCTTGACAAGTTTGAAGTTGTTGTCCTTGAACTTGTGGGCATTTTCTTGCCAAAACTCGGATGACTTGTGTGTAGGGGAGGACCAGCTCAACAACTCCGGGTTTTCCAACTCTACTAAGTATTCGTCCATGGAGGACAACTTGCTCGAAACAACTTCCGATAAGGTGTCATTCAAGTAAGCCAAATCAGACGACAATTCATCATCACTTCCATTTGCAGCGAACTTTCTAGTCTGGATAGTCTTGACTATGTTCAAGCCATCGTGGAAAAGCACCAACTTGACAACACTGTATTGTTCCAGGTTGCTCACAGTGACTGCCACGAAGTTCTTCAATGCTGAAATCGCAACTCTCACCACTTTAAGTTTGATGGATTCCTTCGACACAGTCAAAAGATTGCCAACGAGTTGTGGAAAGTTGTGCACGATAGTCTTGTTGATGGTGCTTGAGAAGCTTAGGATCCAGACTGTCAAAAAGACATAGTACAAAAGCTGGAAATTGGTAGTATTAGGCTTCTTGGCCAGCAATTCTATCAATGTGTTGATGCTCTTGAAATTTGACACCAAATTGTGTTCTTGGAAAATGGCTCGGTAGTTCTTGTGAACGATCAAGTCCTGCAACAATTGAACACCAATCGATTGCAGGTTCTGGTCGGCCGTGTTGCCAATGTAGGTCTTAGAGCAAGCCAAGTCGAAGAGCTTAATCAAAACTTCCTTATCAACCTTAATGTCGTCCTTCGCAGCCTTGCCCAACAAGATAACCAAGTTGTAGAAACTCAATGTCTTGATAAGCAGATCGTTATTGTCCAAATGCTTCACGAATGGATGGAATGGCAATGATGAATCAACCTTTGATAATCCCAAAAGAGTCTCCAAGAACACCTTGGCCTCGGGGTCTGTCAACAAATCGCTCATCAACACCAATACGCTCTTCAAGACATCGTCCCTGGAGTTTATCTCCAACTTGTTCAACAAGTTCAAGATAGTTTTCGAATACAAGTCCACGGAGCTCAAAACTGTCTCGCGTTTAGAATCAGCATTTTGTGTCTCTAAGATTTTGATGAGATCAGCCTGGTCGTTATTGATGATACCTGCTCTGGCCAATCCTTCCCAAGGTATGATCTTTTCTCTCACGAGCTTCCGAGAATCGGAGAGTGAAGAGCTCTCAATCACCAATGGAGTCTGTTGTTAGAATTGAAGTTGGGAGATTGACAATCGTACATACATATTCTGAGGCCATGTTCACAATTGGTGTCGAACTTGCTGCCACTAATCCTATCTCACTGATAATGCTAAGTGCCATGGTATTCTCGGTGCGCGCACGCCTTTGTGAGGTGTGCTTTTCGCAGCCATAGTTCAATGCGTCAGATAGTACAGAATACACGATGCCCCGGAGAACGTCTCTTGTTACGCCGTGAAGCAAAAATATAGTGTGATTGATGTAAGATGGAGTAGAAAAAAAAGTACTGCCGGCCCCAGGAATCGAACCTGGGTCTGTTCGGCCACAACGAACTGTACTGACCACTATACTAGACCGGCCGCTAATGCACAGGATTGGTGCGCAACAAATATTACACGCAGCTCAGGTTTAAAGCACTCTCAGCTGTTGAGTGATGAAAACCACAGCAAAACTAATGGGTGCCCAAACTAGCTTAAAATTGTCGAGCCGGACAGTCTGGGCTCTTTAAATCTTCAATTTCTTACCTGTAGCAACTAATCTGGAAGAAAATGTTTCCTTCTTAAGAGAATGCATCGACAAAATCAGAGAACGCCATATATATTAGCCGCAATGCAATACTGTATCTATTGGCACTCTGGCCGAGTGGTCTAAGGCGCCAGGGTAAGGTTACCTTATCATACATTCCTGGTCTCTTCGGAGGCGCGAGTTCGAACCTCGCGGGTGTCATTATTTTTTCAACGGCAACTTCACCACGGTGTGCAGATAGTACTCTCGCCTCTTTCCTCTGGAGTCATAGGTCTGTCTGTCTCCGAACCACATACCATCATGGATATTGACGACGAAATCTTGTCTGAAGAGGAAGGGTTTCATGAAGATGCCCTCAATAACGAGGACTATGACCTACTTTATGAGCTACTTCCGACTGTAAAGGAAGCCATTGCATCCTACAATGACGGTATCGACGAGTTAAGCATCAAAGAGGCTATTTATTACAACTACTTCGAATTGGAGCCCACACTTGAGGATTTGAAGTCTAGATTTCCAAAAAAGAAAGGTACGTTTTTCCCATTTTCAACCGTCTGTGCTCAGCAGACTGGCACCCCCGTTTTTGCATTACAGAGTACAATGGTATTTGACTAAGTTCAAGATTTGCTAATCGATTCAGAAGAGCCAAAGTTGTCGAAGCTTGCAATGCTCGCTAAGAAGCGCAAGGAAGCTAAATCCAATGAGAATACAACCACTGAGGAACTACCGAACCGTACCCCAGTGTCACGAACTGGAGGCATTTCCAAATTGGCAGCCCTAGCAAAAGCCAGGAAGGCAGAGAAGTCAGCAGCATCAAACACCACATCGACTAGCTTTACGCCGCCTGATTCAGGTAAACCGAAGTTGGTGAGAAAGACAAACCTAGCAGGTCTAGCGTTAAAACAGAGGGCACGAGCAAAGCAAGAGGGCAGGGAATCACCAAGCTCATCGACTGAACCGTCAATACCCAAGCCAACCGAAGAGAAAACTACACAACAACAGTCATTCAATTTCACCTTAAATGCGGATGAAATTGATCTTTTGCTCACACCCGAGCAGCTGGTGTCAGTATTCCTCTTCGGTGACGATCTGGAATCCATGGGACCATGTACCAAAAAAAGGCGCCATAACACTGAGCTTTTTTATGCATATACTAACAGCATTCTTACAGCCAAAGCAAGGTCTAATTTTAGCTCACCCAGTCCTGACGATGTCGTACTTACAGCCCAGAAGCAGGCATTTGATACCGACATGAGCAAACTTTCAATTGCCGAAAAAGACAAGAAAGAACTGTCAATTGATGACAAGAAAATTCCTACGGCGACCAAACCGTTCAAATCGATCGATTTGGCGCAAGAGCTTGCAAACAACCCTAGCTTCAGCAAACCTAGCAAGTCTTTCGTGATTATCGGGCATGTTGATGCCGGAAAATCTACTCTCGTTGGTCGTATTCTCTATGATGTGGGCGCCGTTGAGTCAAAGACCATGATGAAGCTTGTTAGAGAGGCCGAAAAGTCCAACAAGGGTTCATTTGCACTCGCTTGGATCATGGATCAAACTCTGGAGGAAAGATCCCGAGGCGTAACAATTGACATCTGTGCTACCAATTTCGAAACTCCAGATACGAGATATACGGCCATTGATGCACCAGGCCACAAAGATTTTGTGCCTCAGATGATCAGTGGAGTTTCTCAAGCTGATGCCGCATTGCTTGTGGTTGACAGCATTAACGGTGAGTTTGAGGCTGGCTTCATGATGAACGGTCAGACCAAGGAACACACCCTTCTCGCCAAGAACCTCGGTATTGATCAGATAATTGTGGCCGTGAACAAGATGGACAAGGAAAGCTGGGATGAGAACCGCTTCAAGGAAATTCAGCATCAATTGCTGGAGTATCTCACAAGCAAGGAGGTTGGTTTCCGTTCTGAGAGTATCACATTCATCCCTCTCTCTGGATTGACTGGCTACAATGTTGTCAAGAACGACCACACTGTTAAAGAGCTTGACTGGTACCAAGGCCCAACCTTGCTCGAGGCACTTTCAAAGATTGATAACTCAGACTCGAAGGGGGTGTCTGTATCGAGTTTGGAAGGCGACTTCAACTTGGCAATAAATGATATTTTTGATGCCACGAGCTCGGACTTCAAGGTTAGAGGCAAGATCAATCTGGGTCTGATACAACCAGGCCAAACTGTGTGCTTTCAGCCAGCCGAAGAATATTTGCAAGTGCAAAATGTATATGTTGACGACAAACCTGCCGATGTTGCCATCGTCGGCCAGAGTGCCCTGTTGCGATTCAAAACGTCTCAATTCCGGAATAAGACGATCGAGGATATAAGCATAGGAGATCTCGTTGTTAGCATGGACTCTCCATTGAAGGCTGTCAAACACTGTACAGCAAGTGTTAACATGTTCAACATCACGAAACCGCTTCTAGTGGGAACACCATTTGTCATGTTTCGTGGCAATGCATCTGTGGCGGCGAGAATAAGCAAGGTAAAGAAGATCAACGGTGTCAAGAAAAAGAAAATGCACCTCGTTTCTAATCAGATAGCTGAAGTTGAAATTGAGGTCATTGGTGATCGGTCATTGCCCTTGGCGAAGTTTGAGGACAATAAAGCTTTGGGAAGAGTTGTTATGCGCCGTGAAGGTGCTACAGTCGGTGCCGGTATTGTTACAGATTTATAGACATAGATAAGCAGATTTGCTTACCACACGATGTAATCTAGAACGAGGATGAGACACCCTAAAACAATGCAAGTTGTGACAATCAAATTCGAACCACGCTTGTTTCTGCTGGTGGCCTTTGTCAAAGTCTTGTTACCCAACCGTAGGTCAATGTCGATCTGATCCTGATTGTCGAGTAGATTGTCGATTTGTTCGGCCTGCGTTTCCAAATGAGTTGACAACTCGGACAGTAGCTTAACGATGTCGAGAATGGAATGATGAAGTTTTTCCACCAGCTTGAACTGGTTAGTCTTTCTTGTGAGAAGTTCTTTGTTCTCTTCCTTGAGTTCTTGGATCTGTTCCTGACTGAGTTGTGATATTTCCCGGTTTATATCTTCGTTTTCCTCAGCCACAACATCAAATTGATATGTCGATTTAAATGGATCTGCAGTGTCATTCAAATCATCGTCATCGATATTTTGGAAATGCAAGAGATTTAATTGCCTTTCTCGATCATATCTTTTTCTTTGCATCAGCTCAAAGTTGCGATTCACGTTGACAGCGGTTTCGTTCAAAAACCGCAACACCTGTGTTCTGTGTGATGCAATGGTGATATCATATAGGGTCTCTGGGTTCATATCGGAGGTGCCAAATAATGATGACATGAAGCCACCTTTCAGTTGCTTGGATTCAGCCAATTCAGTCTGTTTGCGCTGATAGGACTGGAGGAACTTCAACTTCTCGAATGTTTGCTGGATCTTGATCTTGAACTCCTCATCAATTTTATTTTTCTCTTCGATTCCAAGATGGGAAGAGCTTCTGTCTGTCCTCGAAAATTCGTCATTAACTTGCAAATAGAACGGCCGGATCTTGGCGACAAAGGATGCTAAATTGACTAAATTGGTGTAAAGCTGAAGACATTCCTTGATGAAAGTATCCTCGACCAAGTAGGGTGGACGCTTTGTCTTAGGTGGCCCATTAGTGGAGCCACTGAGCTCTTTGGAAACAATTTCAACGCATTGGTTGAACAACGGAGTCAAATCACTCATGAATGATATATAGAACTTTGCACCAGATCTATCAAGAGTGTAATGATTGGTGTACGGGTGTTTATAAATGGCTGCAAACGTTACGGGAACTCAAAGAAATTCGGCATAGTGAAAAGGGTCGTATTATACGTAAGCTATAATTTTAGTCAGCCGGAAAGGTACTCAACACAACGGGTGATTTCCACGGCATCTTCAAAGTCTCTTCCAGCAGTCTTCACTGGAACGGTCCTCAGATCGTAAAGCACATTCCAACGACCAGCATACATCTTGCCACTGCGATTTTCAACAGTTTGGTTATGTTTCTGTCTTTCTTGAGGTGTCGACTGAACGTAGGCCACATATTCTGGTGCGCCAGGGCGGTAAATGTTATCAGCACAGATCACGGTGCCAGGATATATCAAGTTGAGGGACTCCAAGACACGCAAGTCAGGCACGTAGAGATCCTTCCAGTGGTCGATGAATACGAAATCCACAGGAGTATAGGTCTTCTTCTCGCGATTGAGGCGTTGCTCGAATTCCGGAAGGGTGGTGCCCGCTTCACCGATAATGATCTCTACTTCCTCGGAGAGGCCGGCCAAATCGATAAGCTTCTGTGCAATCAGAGCAAACTCCTCATTGGCCTCGAAGGAGTAGTATTTGAAATCAGCGGATGCCTTAGTTCCGCCAGCGTTGAGCCTTCTGAGCTCGTTACCGAAAAGAATAGCAGAATACCCAATGTAGCAGCCCAATTCTATCATGATCTGGGGTGAGACCTTGCGCATTTCCTCAATGATCAATTCACCTTTCTGGAGGCCAATGGTCATGAAGCCGACCTTGTTCGTGTTCAGGTATTCCTCAATTGCTTCAATGACTTTCTGAGGGTTGTTCTTCAAGGACTCATAATTGTCGCTCGATTCGATGTATTTCAAAAGATCCTGTTCTTTTCCCATAATAGATGTGGAAGTCCCTCTCACCACGAGGCATCATCTGACTTAAATGTGTCCAAGGGTACTTTCGGCAGGACAAGGACATCCGAACTCGCACCGATCGGAACGAGGTCCGAACATATTGCAGCCGCTATGTCAAGTTGAGTCAAAAGTCCGACAGCATACCGGCGGCTAACCCAATTCGATACCCATTGTGGCATTTTCGAGAATCAGGTCTGGGAATTTCTTGGGCACTACTCTAGTTCGCACGTGACTCCACCCACGGAATATAGTTCCGTTTTCGACCCTACGCATCGAGAATAAAGATGGCAGTGAGTCCGCCATTGCAGAACCGATTGGACCTGTTCCGAGAAAAGAAAAAAAGTGCCATTCGAGAAAATGACGTTGCAGTACAACAAGAGCTAAAGAAACAGCGTGATCGTTCCACATATAACGAAAGCCTCGAAGAAGAGGGTCCTAAAGATGATCGGGAATACACCCTTCAAGAATGGAAAGAGTGGGCGCAGAAGAAGGGGAAAACTAAAGGCGGCTACAAAAACCTCGACGAGCTTGCTCACGCAACTTATGAAAAGGAGATTGCTGGTTTGGCGAACAAGGAGAAGTATGCTAAGCTGAAGGAAGGTGGTCAAGAGGACATCGAGGGCATGGTTCAAGGCCTCCAAGAGGCCAGCGAAAGGAGACTCAAGAAAAGAAGAAAAGAGCCAGTGGAGAGCAATTCTGTTAATGAGAAGAACAGGCAATTCAACATGAAGCTAGAGAGGGAGGCCAAGGAGCATAGGTAATGGCTACATGCATAATGTGAGAGAGGACATACCAAAATGGACAGCCGAAAGCTCGACTATTGCATGGTTCCTGCACTATCGTTTCCACGAAAGCAAACGAGATTTACATTTCCGAAATCCAATAAAAAAAACGTTTTGGATTTTCGTGCTCGGCTTTACCTCGCTGAGTACGCCTACAGTTTCATGCATGCCTCACAGTTGACATTTTCGCATGCGAGTCTTTATCGGCTTCGCTCTCCTGCACCACTCACAGCTTCTATATCTCTCTCTTCAAAGATGAACTTTCTAGACTTGCCCCAGGAGCTAATCCTCAGGGTGTTTCAGAATTTATCCCTTTCCGATAGCCGCACCCTCATACAGCGTCTACATACATATAATGATCCGAAGGCCCACAAGGTGATAAAGCTACTATGGATCACCTGTTGCTCAGACAAGGTCATCATCTCATTTCCGAACACGGAGACCCCACTGAACGAACCTTTTGAGTTTGTGTCGTCTGTGGACGTTTATGATACCATCAAAGCGCATGTCCAGTACGGAGTTGTGCCAAAGCACCTACAGTTATTTTTCTCCCGAAACCCTAGAGACTACACCAGGTTTCAAAACCACCTTCTGGAGGTCTGGGAGCTTTTGGATTCCAACACTGTTGTTAAGTATCTCCATGCTGTGCAAGAGTTGGATTTTGAGTTGAGAGGGAATCTCATCACCACAGAGTCACCCACCCTGTTGGTCTCACTGATTCTCAACACATTCGTCAAGCTCACTAGCCTCAAACATGCCAACTGGAAGACCATCAGGATCTTGCTGACTGACTTGGGTGATTACTTCCCACAGAAATGGGGCAGGGTATTTGAAGAGTTTCGTCTGACCCAAGAGCTTGTATTGGATGACAATTTAATTCGCCTGCTGCATCCGCTTGAGAGCTATTCGTTGCTAGACGGGTACTTCAAGTGGCCTTCACAGCTTCGTGTATTATCCTTGAGGAGAAACCTTATATCCAATTTTTCAGCCACAGCAATTAAGCTATTGCCAAACACTCTCGAAGTGCTTGATCTTGAGAACAACGTCCTCGAACAGTTTGGAACTCAAGGAACATTGAAACTTACAGACGAGTTACCTCATCTCCGTCTTTTGAACCTATCGAATAATCGTGGCTTGGTAAAATTTGAGCCTACCCTTTTGATCGATTGGCACCAATTGACAACAGGTTTAACTGTTAAAATTGAGAACTGTAACATTTACGCCCCAATACTTGCATCCATAACCCGCATTGCTAAAGAAGAGGGTATTGTTTTAATGGTTTGAATCAATCAGCACTGGCTGCAAACCAACAGGGCACCTTACTGAGAACCTGGAACGCACACTTCAAAGCACGACACATTGCATTCATTCACAACGAAAGAAAACAAACACTTTATTTATAAGAAGACGCCTTTCAATATCCAAAGGCTTGTAAATTATTATCTAGCTTTCGATACGATCTTGCCTGCGTAGAAGATGCTTTTGACATCTGCCTCACATTCACGTAATCCGAGCAAATCGAACCGCATAGAATCAAGTACACGAGCTTAAATGTTCCTCTCTCGAGGCATACGAACTCCACTATGTCGATTAAATCATTTACAAATTGGCAGAAGACCCTCAATTGCTCCACTGGCTCGTCTACTCCTTTCTGCCCCTTGCATTAAGACGGGTCAACTGTACAACTATACGAGGTTCTACTCCACTGAGAATAAAGCGGAAGAACCCGACAACAACAATACCAAAAATTCAAAAGACCCAAGAAAATCGCTCTTTAAGGACCTCAAACGTTTATTTCGTCTTGCAAAACCTGAGTATGGCCTACTAGCGGGAGCTTTACTCTGCCTTGTGGGAACTTCCACAGTTTCAATGTCCTTACCATTTTTCATCGGCAAAATAATTGACACTACTAAGGAAGATGAAGAGGAAAGACAAAAGAGCGACAAGTCAGATGAACCGAAAAAGATCTTGGGGTTCACGGAGGTGGAGTTTTATTCAGGCCTTGGTGCCATTCTACTCTGCGGAAGTCTATTCAATTTTGGAAGAATTTACCTACTACGGTCCGTTGGCGAAAAAATGGTAGCAAGGCTACGGTCACGGCTATTTGCAAAAACGCTCTCGCAAGATTCGTACTTTTTCGACGTTGGTCCTACCGGAAAAGGAATGAATACCGGCGATCTCATATCTCGTCTATCGAGCGATACCCAGATTATCAGTAAGTCATTGAGTGGCAATGTCAGTGATGGTGCTCGCTCCTTGATAAGTGGTATTGTTGGCCTTTCGATGATGTGCTGGGTGTCCTGGAAGTTGTCACTTGTCATGAGTTTGATGTTCCCGCCACTTGTGTTACTGTCGACCTATTTCGGACGTAGAGTGAAGGAGCTTTCTAGGTCTATTCAAAGCTACTTGGGTGGAATGACAAAGGTGGCGGAAGAGAAATTTAATGGCCTCAAAACCATTCAAAGTTTTGCACAGCAGAAAAGTGTGACGCATGACTTCAACTCTGAGGTCAAAAGTATCTTCAACAAGTCTATGACCGAAGGCAAGTTAAGTGGGGTTTACTACTCCATGAATGGCTTCGTTGGAAATATAACATTAATTGGGCTTCTTGTCGTGGGAACAAGACTTATAGCTTCTGGAGATATCACCATTGGTGATCTTTCTAGTTTCATGATGTATGCGTTGTACACTGGGTCTTCGGTGTTTGGCCTTGGAAATTTTTACACAGAGTTGATGAAAGGAATTGGTGCTGCGGAGCGTATATTCGAGTTAGTTGATCTGAAGCCCAAAATTCCAATTAGCAAAGGAAAGAAGGTTGATAATTTACATGGTGACGTTGAATTACGTGACATTCAGTTTAGCTATCCATCGAGGCGCGATTCGGTCGTTTTCCAAGACTTGTCTATCAAGATCAAGAAGGGTGAACATGTCTGCTTTGTCGGACCAAGCGGCTCTGGCAAGTCGACTATTTCGCAGCTTCTCTTACGGTTCTACGACCCTAATCGTGGCCAATGCCTTGTAAATGGTCATGACATCCGCGATTTGAATCTCAACTTTTACCGAAGCAACATCGGCTACGTTCAACAAGACCCATTGTTGTTTAGTGGAACCATAAGAGAGAACATAGTGTTTGGCAAACGTGATGCAACCGTTGAAGACATCGAATATGCAACACGCCTCAGTAATGCACATGCATTCATTCAAGGTTTCCCCAAAGGTCTTGACACCGTCATAGGGCCTACATCAAGTGGAAGTGCACAGCTTAGTGGAGGACAGAGGCAGAGGTTATCGCTAGCGCGTACGCTTATCAAAAAACCCAATGTTTTAATTCTAGATGAGGCAACTTCGGCCTTAGACTCTCGCTCGGAGGAAATTGTCATGAAAAACTTGGGACGGCTTGCCGACGAGCAGCAGATAACGGTGATCCTGATTGCGCACCGTCTCTCCACAATCAAGAACAGTGAAAGAATCATTGTCCTTAGTTCTCATGGCGATATTGTGGAGGATGGTGAGTTTGACGAACTTTATGCAAATGAAAACAGTCAGTTGAACAAGTTGCTCAAAAGTGACTTGTTTACCGAAGATGCCGAGTAATGGTTGCGAAATAGCTCTGGAGCTAGTAGGCCGCACTGAGAAAGCCCCCTCAGTGAAAACGCAATTTTGGAGCAGATGCCCAGAGATAATGAGGGGTGGAACGGTCAGTTTGGGCCATGCGAGGTCTACTACGTCTCACATTTCATCAAAGTTGGGTTACTTTTAGTTATTGCTGACGCATACCGTTTGGCAAACTTACGTCAGCGGGGCAGTTTTGCCAATTTGAGCAAAATAATGACAAAGAGCGGCATTGGCACCCCACAACTGGCAACCCAATCCAGTTGCAACATTCCCCGGTGGACAAACATGTGCCCAAATACTTACCTAAAATTCGCTAAACGGGAAGATTCCATGCCACATTATCTTACCGGCTCGCGGCGCCTACTCCGGCCAGATCTATTATTCTCACATGCTGTGGCCTTACGCACCAGCTAGTACAGAACCGGTGTGCACGCGCTCCAAACCTGGCTGTATTGTACTTCTAACTAGATACATGACATATAGAATCACAGCATCACTCCATTTATAATTGCAACTCTCCCTTTTTTATCTGAAGCCTCATGCCTAAGGACTCCAAAGCTCGCCGTGAGCGAAAAGTCCTTTCCAAGTTGGGCCTTGAAGAGAAGCTCTCGAAACTTGGCATAGAAGAGAAGCATGAATATCTCCAAAATTACCTCCCTTTATACCGCAAGATATCTGGAGCTGTGATCCCACCACTTCAGTCATCATTGGCGTACATCAATGGAGGTCATTTTCCAGATGGCGACAGCAGCGATGCACTGGCCGATCCAGATAAGTTCATTGATGCAGAAGATGGTAGAGACGAGCTGAAGAAGAGGGATATCCCAATTGAAGATGACGAGGACAATTACGATGCTGCCCAGCCATTGGGTGAAGACCACGCCTCCAATCTGTTTCTTAACACATTGACCATGGCAAACGTGTATGCTGGTGTTGGATCTCTCAAGAACTTGAAAAATCTTATCGGCGACATTTCCAATCCGAGCTGGCTCGATCACAAGGGAGGTCGCCTCATTGGATACTCGATGCTTAGCAGCAGTGAGTCCGAAGATGAGTCCGAGGACGAAAAGCCGGAGTCCGACGTTGACTCGAAGTACAAGCTTGAAGAGGCTAAACCATCAAAGTCTCAATCTCCAGAGAAAACAGCCTCACCTACGAAAACACTGTCCAGCACACATGTGCCTACAAAGACCTCAGGAACCACGACCCTGCCGACAGCATCAAGCACAATGCTGCAAACAGCAGCTCCCACACAAACGGATGCAGAATGTGAGGATATGGTAAGCGGTGCAACCCCAAGTGCCAATAACCCGCTTGTCCTCGATCATGTGCTCACTCTTGATACCCCTTCCAAAGACTCCAATGAGGCCTTCGAGGCTGGTTTGGACCCAGAGGTCCCTGTGGATGGTACTCTTGGGCCTGAGGTGGCCGACTCTTCGTTCAATATCCCACCCAAAGAAGAGTGGTCGGCATGGCAACATTCTGTAATGGAAAACATGAACATCACACCGCTTAGGGAAGTGGTCTTGATCAAGTTTAAAGACAAGAAATCAGCAGACACCGAGTCAGAGAAAAACGCCAGGCAGAGGTTGACATGGCTTCTAGGTACAAGGACACAAGATGCCTTTGACTTGGACAGCACAGATACATTTCACGCTAATTTCGATGCATGGCTTATTAAGGATGTGCTTTTACAAGGTCATGCATTCCTTACGAGAGACGCTTTTTGCTTCTATTCATTACTACCGGGTACTACAGATCACAATCCTAATCAACAGGAAAATCCAGATTTGACCCTCTTTCAAGGAACGCTTGGAATGAAGGTCGGCGAGGGTCTTCTTTTGTCAAACACGCATAGGTTTTGGGCAGTGCTCAGGCCTGAGACATTGAGTCTCTACACATCTCCCACTGATATGTATTTCCCTGATAAGGTTGTTGATCTCCGCAATGCGCTTTACTGTGAGCTCTCGAAGGAGCCTCCAAACCCAACTAGTCCGCCTGGCGGAACCTCTGACGGGTTGGCCTCTCCAAGAAGCAGAATCTCCAGTGCTCGCGACTCATTCTACCTTTCAAACAACAGCAGCATGCCCACTTCCCAGCCCGAGTCAGAGACCTCAAGTATCAACGAGGCTGATTTAGAGGAGGCCACCGAGGAAATGTCAACCGGGGTTTGGTTCAAGGTCGTTTGTACCGAAAAGACTTATCGGTTCCAAACCGGAAGCTTGTTTGCGGCACGTCACTGGTACAACAGTATCACTAAGGCCATTTTTCAACTTCATAATTGTAATGCCCGCAGGGAAGTGTTGCACAAAATTCCATTTGATCAAGTCGTTGAATTCCAAAAGAACTTTGTCTTGGCGGACTCGGGGGGAGACGCTTCTGAGGATAACGAAACGCCTGTTTCATTTTCGGTGAAGTATCTTTCGCCTCATGAACAGCAAGGTTCCAAGTTCATGCGTAAGATCAACAATGCAAAGCCATCGCCTTATGAAACCGTTCATTTTGTGTTGTTTCACATGGGAAAAGATTTTGTTGACATGTTCACCCGCTTGCATGAGGAGTTCCAGGCCCAAAAGCATACTCTCAATTTAAATCAACGTATGAAACGCAGAGCTAAAAAGGTGTTTCATGATGACACCTCCGATGAAGAACTGCGATCCACAGTTTTCACGACACTTCAGCCTGAATTTGCGTCCGGTGTTTCACTTGTCGATAGGGTTGCTAAGGTTAATGAGCATATCATTCAGCATAGGATGAACGAGCAGTCGCATTCCAGTTTCGCTTCCGATGAAGAAATTTCAGCTTCGGAAGGTAACGAACGTATTCGAAGCATGGCAAGGCTCCTTGGGATCAACAAGCAAGTCTTCTCGAGACATGATTCGGAACAAAGCAGTACCTCGAGTCTTAGAACCCCACCAACCATCTCATCTGTGTGGGGAAATGCCGACAAGGTGCCTCCAGAGATGAACCCCATTCTGGATGATGGTGTGATTCTCCAGTTCCCCAAACCATTCTCACTCAGTACTTTGAAAAATCTCAAGTTGAACATGATCACGACCAAGAGAAATTTTAACGATGTTGAACAACGATTGATTGCCATCAATCAGTCGAGAAAGAGACCTTACTCGCATAGCGTGGGTGAGCTCTCGATGACGGAATCGTATAAGGATTTCACCGATAGCTTTTCTGATCCTGATGATGGCAGTGGAGCGAAGCATAAGGATGAGAGTAACAAGAAAAGTAAATTTGGGTCCCTTAAGAAGAAGATCAAGACTGTGTCTAGCATGGGTGGTGTCTGGTCAGCAAATCCAGATCATTACGTCAGGTTTGATGATGACGACAAGTTCTTCGTCACAAATTCCGAGGAAAGAGACGTTAGTGAGAAGCGATTTAGGAAGCATTTCTCGCTCAATTCTGAGAGCAGATTAATAGCGACTTATTATTGTCATTTGAAACGCTCAATCCCTGTCTACGGTAAGCTTTACCTTGGAAGTGACAAGCTATGTTTCCGATCATTGATTCCAGGTATATCGACTAAGATGATTTTACCACTCAAGGACGTCGAGACCTGTGCGAGTGAGGGGGGCTTCAAATATTCAGGTCTTCGAATCACAATGCTGGGAATGGAGTCATTAATTATGGAGTTTGGTTCTCAAAAAAGCCGTGATGATTGCTCACACATGGTATTGAACCAGCTTGAGATAATACATGGTGATGAGTCTTGGGCACCAAAAGCTCACGAATGGGGCCACGCTGGTCAATATAGAGATGCACTGCAAAAAGAACCCCTTGAAAGGCTTACAAAGAACCAACTGCGAGAGCATGATATTGCGCTAGCGAGGGCTAGAGTTAGAATCGCGAGACTCAGGCATTTGGAAGATAGAATAAGTACAGCGTCTGGAATTGAGTTCCCGCTTATTTTCGAAGACTCCTTGTTTTACTTCACTGAAGTCAAGCCTGCAAAGTCTTACAACATTACCTTGTTGACCATTGGATCTAGAGGAGATGTTCAGCCATACATCGCCTTGGGCAAGGGGCTCTTGAAGGAAGGCCATACTGTGACAATTGCGACTCATTCTGAATTCAAAGAGTGGATTGAAAAACATAACTTGAAATTCAAGGAGATAGCGGGAAACCCAGCGGAACTCATGTCCTTAATGGTGACTCATGGCTCGATGTCTGTTGGTTTCATCAAAGAAGCAAGCTCTAAGTTCCGCAATTGGATCACTGAATTGCTCGACACAAGTTGGGAAGCATGTCAAGGGGCAGATCTTCTTATTGAGAGTCCCTCGGCTATGGGTGGTCTTCATATTGCAGAAGCTTTGGGCATTGCCTACATGAGAGCTTTCACAATGCCTTGGACTCGTACAAAGGCATACCCACACGCCTTCATTGTCCCAGATTCCAAACGAGGAGGCTCGTATAATCTTTTGACCCATGTCATGTTTGAAAATGTGTTCTGGAAAGGTATTTCGAGTCAAGTGAACAAGTGGAGAGTCGAGAAGTTGGGCCTCGCAAAAACAAGTTTGGCCAAAATGCAGCAATACAAGGTTCCATTCCTTTACAACATTTCACCATCGATGTTCCCACCATCAGTGGATTTCCCTGAGTGGGTGAAGGTCACGGGATACTGGTTTTTGGACGAGGGAGATTCTTCCTACAAACCTCCCCAAGAATTAGTGGACTTCATCGACGGTGCGGAGAAAAACAAGCAAAAGATTGTTTACATTGGGTTTGGATCAATTGTTGTCAATGACGCTAAAAGTTTGACTAAGGCAGTTATCGAGGCTGTTGAAAACCTGGGGGTGAGATGTATCTTGAACAAGGGTTGGTCTGATCGATTGAGTAAAGATAAAGGAGAGATTGAAGTGGAACTTCCTCCTCTGATTTACGATTGTGGACCTGTTCCTCACGACTGGCTCTTCCCAAAGGTTGATGCTGCAGTGCATCACGGTGGATCGGGAACAACAGGAGCCACTTTAAGAAGTGGTACGCCTACTATCATCAAGCCCTTCTTTGGTGATCAATTCTTCTACGCTTCGCGAGTAGAAGATTTGGGGGTTGGTCTCTCACTAAAGACATTGAATGCCAAGTCGCTCACAAAGGCTCTCAAGCTGATTACTAGAGAATCAAAGTATTTGGAGAAGGCGAAAGCTGTTGCTCACTCCATGGAGCATGAAACAGGAGTTCTCACTGCAATTGATGCAATTTATTCCGAACTTGCTTATTCGAAGTCCTTGATGCTTACCATCAGATACAACACCGAAGCCCGCAGAGACGATAGATCTGGAGCACAGACACCTAACATCGCAGAGGAAGACTACTTCATGCATGATGAAGACGGCTCATCTGACGAAGATGATGACAGTAATCTAAGCGACGAGAGTGACGAAGTGGACGAGTACAGCGATGAAGAGTCTGAAACTGTGAAAAGTGCGCTAGATGATGCAGCATGTACTATTGGCAACAAGGCGGAGAAAATCAAAGACACCTTGACCAGCCGTAAGTCGGGGAACAATACAGCGGCTGCGAAATCTTAGGTGCCAACTGTGGATCACTTTTTAAAGATACATATATAGTTATGACGAGACAAAGAGGCATTTAACCAAGAAAGCCCTATCACGAAATTGACGAAAACATACAAATTCGCGTACTTGACCTGTAACCTGAAAAAGTAGTCTTGATTATACGGCAGAATACGTCAAAGGTAAGTCACGTGAAATAGTACAAGGTGAGTAATACAGGAATACATTGTCTGGGTTCATGCCAAAAGGTGATTCATAGTATTTTACCAGATATAAATCGTTTAACCTCAGATTGCAGATTTCTGGCTGCACTCCACAACCAATAGAGCTCTGTTGCAATCTTGCAATAGCCCTGAACCAAAAAGCTCATCAACACACAGCTATATCTTGAATCTGCAACATGAAAAATTCGATCTTCAAAGATGTCACGGAGGAACACCGGAAGACAAATTCATATGCTGCCATGGTTCCAGGACAAACAATTGTTGAAATTCCAGAATATGAGCTAGAATGTGGAGAGACTCTCTTCAATTTCCCGGTTGCTTATAAAACCTGGGGTAGACTCAACAAGGATAAAGACAACGTCTTGCTAATCAACCATGCACTCACAGGATCGTCGGATGTTCAAGATTGGTGGGGGCCACTTCTAGGTACTGGTCTTACGTTTGATCCCTCTAGATTTTTCATCATTTGCATCAACTTCTTAGGGTCACCATATGGCTCTTGTTCACCGGTAACTATTGAGAAAGCCACAGGAAAGCCTTATGGACCGCTTTTCCCCTTGGTTACTGTGAAAGACGATCTCGGCATTCAAAAGCTTATTTTAGACTCCTTGGGAGTGGAAAAGATTGCATGCGTCATTGGTGGGTCAATGGGTGGCATGGCTGCGCTTGAATATTCTTCAACGTATAACGGCACGGGCTACGTGAAAACTGTGATTGCTCTTGCCACTGCAGCAAGAGCTAGTGCCTGGTGTATTTCATGGAATGAGACTCAAAGGCAGTGTATTTTCAGTGATCCTTTCTACGACGACGGGTACTACTTTGAAAATCCAAAGGGGTCGAAACCAGATGGTGGACTTAGTGCCGCAAGAATGGCTGCGCTACTCACCTATAGGTCCAGGAACTCTTTCGAAACAAGATTTGGCCGCAAGTTGCCTTCACAACAGGCTCGGGAGCCGCCTAAAGACGACATTAGATTACCAAAGAATAAGGACGAGGAGAACTGGCTCATTCATAATGAAGGATCTCGTAGATCGAGATCTTCCTCCAGCACCTCGTTAGCTTCTGACAAGCCTCAAACATACTTTACCGCACAGTCTTATTTGAGATATCAAGGAGACAAGTTTGTCAAGCGTTTCGATGCCAATTGCTATATCTCAATCAGCAGGAAGCTCGACACACATGATATTACAAGAGGGAAAATTGAGGCAGATGATGGAGAAAATGATCCGTTGCCTAAGTACTTGGAAACTTTACTGGCGCCACATCTAATCATTGGCATTCAATCAGATGGTCTCTTCACCTACGGCGAACAACAGCTCTTGGGTGCACATATCCCTCAAAATACCTTGAAAAGGTTGGACTCACCAGAAGGCCACGATGCTTTTCTTCTCGACTTTGAAATCATTGATAAATACTGCCGCGAGTTTTTAAACAATCAGCTTCCGGAATACTTCGATGATGCTGCCGGAAAGGTGGAGGTGTTCGAAAACTGGGCTGATCATGTGGTGTCTGTTGACAATGAAGGTGAATCCGTTTTTGGAGAAGCAGAAAAGAATATCACCAATTGGTAATCTCCCAATTATTTAGCATTTAGAATCAAATACACTCCAATGTTGCGAAACTACGTAAATGACATATACATTATGTTCTCAATAAAGAAACAAGAAGACTTTGCAGTGTAGCACAAAACAAATAACGTTTTTATTTTAAAAGAAAAAATTAAAAAATTGTACAGTCAATTGATCGATACTCTTTAGTTTTGTGGGGTTGAGGTTATTACTAGTACTGCAAGATACTCATCGCACTGCACACCAGCAGCATCGAGTAAGATCGTTACAAGGCTTCCATCGTATGCTTAAATTTGCAAAGGTCAACAATCCCACCCATGGTATCACTGGAAATGAAACAGTATCCACCGTCAGTATTACTGTCAAGTCACAATCAGTTGACCTAATTCCTTTACTCAGAGCATCCTTCTACTATGAGGCTACCGATTTCAATGGATTAGACGAACTTCTACAAGAAGCAAAGGGTGCATCATTCTGGATCCAATTGACCAAAGGTGACTCTAAGCTTACATTTGACTCTACAAACAGAAGCTATTGCGACCTACATTTGAGTAAGGATGACTTTTTTCACAACAACTACATCTACCGTTATTTGAAATTCAAAGAGCACAAACCAGTCAAACAGTCCATCCACACTGAAACATATTTCACTGCTTCTGCTTCATATCCCACACCAAAACAGTTAAAGTACGGAAGAGATGTCAGCGTGCTAATATCGAGAGTATTTTCTGATGCATCAATTAAGGTTTCACTGAATAGAGATATCCAATCTCTCGCAAAATTCCGGTGCAATTATGATGTATTATCAGGACACATTCCACACAACTCTGACTTGAGGCCTCTTGCCAAAGATCCATCCTTAGAGCCACATGAATTCTACGAATACTGGAGTCTCCTTCACATGAATAAGATTCCTAAGATCGAACCTAATGAGTATGAAAGAATCACCAGTATGTACGAAGTGCCATACCGTGATGAACTTGAAAACAGCGAAGAAAACGGCAATGATGTATCTTTAATGTTCACCAAGAATGTTCACCCAGAAGTGCTTCAACTGATCCTTCAACATCAGGACATATTATCCGTCTTATACAGTAGAGGCAAAGATACTGGGCTTATCACAAAACTTCCAAATGGAATCTACAAATGGGAGAACTAAGTGGAAAAATAATTAACTATGTACAAAGTTGCCCACTACAAATAGACTATGAGGATCTTCTCATAACGGCATGCATTTATAAAACTGGGCGTAATCGTAAAAGCGTCAAATAATAAATATAATTATTGAGTAGATCTCTTCATTGAGATCTCACGGAACCAGCCTGATGATCTCTTCAAGATTTTGCGAGTCAAGAAAGTTCATACTCTCGGGTCCATTATCACCATTCATTTCCATTGGATCGTTTGTAGTTTCCCAGTTCTCGAATATAAGGTGATCAAATGTACCCAAACCATAGTCAATATCCATTGATGGCGGTGTACGACCAAAGAGATTGCGGCTGCTTCTTTGAGGTTTTTCGGTCATCATCTGCATCCAAAGATTGTCAATTTCTTGCGATTGATATGGCATGTTCATGTTATCTTCAGGTCCAACCGAAGGGTTTCTGGTTACAAAACCGTTGGATGACGGAATCGCATCAGGAGCCGTCTGAGCGCTGTAGTCTGAGTTGACAGTCGATCCACTCATAACTTGAGGCTCCAGCTGCTCGACTGATGGCTCCATATCTTGGTCCTTAGTAGTGGTCACACGATCTAGTGATCCTTGCAAGATCTTATTGAGATCTTCAAGCATATCATTTGAGAACTTGGAATAACACTCCTTACCTTTACACCAATTGAGGTAAAAATCGGTGCCATTGAAAGTTTGTCTTAAGGCATTCTGAGCCTTTACACATCTCCAACTGTAGTAGTATCTACTACTCAATTTTGTCAATGTATCAGTGATGACTCGCAAGCATTTGAAAGCCAAGTTGTAGGTTGTTTGAATGAGTTCATATCGGAGTTTATAATCAGGATCGGTCATTAAACTGCTATTGTGGGTAGGAAGACTCTCGAAGAAAAGTACAGAAAATCTTGCTCTGGCCATAATTGACAGAATGACAATCAAGCACTTGTGTACAAGAGACTGGAAACCCGGAGTGATTGCGAGATCAGTTGTGCCCTCAAAATATGAACTGCTTTTCTCGACATAGTTTTCATAAAACGGCATCATGTTGTAGACAGCTACCACTATCACCTTTTTCAAGTAGAAGTAGGCTAAATCAAAATTATTCTTGCTCTCGTAGTAGTTGAAAAAATGGAAGTTCACTCCAAGGAAGAAGAAGTTTGCCTGGAAGTATATCTTGGTCCTCATTGCGTTAGCTCTTCTTTCAGCAAGTGAGCATTCCAGATTCAAATTTAAGCTGACATTGGTCAAATCCTTGATAAAGTCGACTTCCATGTCATTCAACCTGTTTGTAAGTTGCGACATTGGAATTGGTTGCACATTGACGATAGCCTGAACCGTGTTAATCAATGGCTCATAGGCGAGTTCAACTCTTGAGAATGCCTCGATGACGGCCAATTCGGACTCCATATTCCTGAGATTCTCGTTGCCCGGTTTGTGGTATGGTGGCTTAGTGTCAAACAGACCCTTCGATATGCATATCGGAGTTCCATTGGCGATAGCGCCGTTCAAGTCGAATACAATTAAGTAGTTCCAAATTTTGCGGCAGAGATTATTGGTACGTTCGTCTCTCACGGGCTGGTCAAAATGATCTGGATCGCGATGCATACCCAAACTGATGGCCATGTTAATCAACAAGGCTGTGAAGGATTGTGAATGGGAGTCTTCCGGGACTTCTCCGTTCTCGGGCGAATACATGTAATATAGCTTGATGTACAAGGCCAATTGCAAGATTGGGAGGGTACAGTAACGCAAGAAGCTGAATTGATGCAAGCAGGACTCGGCAATTTCAAGAATATCAATGTCAATAGGGTTATGCATCAAGTACTTTTCGGTTTGAGCTTCTGGCGTGGGGCAATTCGAGTTGAATTTGGCGTCGTTCTCTGTTTCAATATTGGAGAACAAAGTCAAGTAGGCAAACCGGAGAAAAATAAGAAGCATACCTAGCTGAGGAAAATCTGTCTTTTTGTCGACGTTGACTTTTTCAATTTTTTCATGTGTATAACTTCTGGGGCCTAGGATGCGTTCCATGTGTTCGAGGAAGTCAAATTCATCAACAAACGGGAAAAAGAGTACCACACGGTCAAAGAATCTATCAAGCAAGAGCCAAATCACCTTTCTCGTGGGTAGAATGAGTTCGATCTTATCAAGCAATTGCAAAGAAGAGTCAATACCACCCTCGTAGTATGTGAGCCCTACGGCTTTTGCTCTGTCATTGATCTTCAGTCTGATGCGCAGCCTGTCTTCCGGAGTGGAGCGTAGGGAATCTTTAAGAGACATGTCATTGAACGCGTCACTTTTAAAGATCTTCTCCTTAAAAAGCTTATCAGACGGTTGCATCTCACCTTGCTCCTGTTCCTTCAAGAATTGACGCTTCATCTGCACGTTTCTGTGCTGGTACGCCAACATGCCGTTGATGGCATTGTCAATTTTAATCAACGCAATCCAGCTGAGCGGACCATAGTGACGAGGCAGGCCAACGCAATGGTTGAAGAAAGGCACGTAGCGGTCGTGGAAGGAGAACTCCTCTGTCTCGGAGGCGTATGGGTGGTAACCGACCAAGTACGATAGGTCGTTGAGGCCCCCGCTCCAAATTTGAGAAGAATCGCTTGTTTTCGAAAGTTTCACGGAGTTCTCTAGTATGGAGATCTTGCGCTTGAGCATTTCCAATTCTGTGTGGACATCAGCTGGCGCGTTGGCGGGAGCCTCTGAGAAGTACAGCAGCTCGTCCAGCAGGTTATGGTTGTTGGAAGCCGAGCGAGTCTGTTGCAAGCCGGGCCTATTGTTCTTGTAGAAGCCATTCATGATGGTTTCGGCGTAAGTCTCCGAAGAGCGCTTGACAGGTGGAGGCCCATCGTACTCGCAATGGGGGTTGTTGTATTTGATGCAGGTGCTGCAAGGATTGCCCTTATCACACTTTGTCTTGCGCCGTTTGCAAAAAGTGCAAACGGACGAGTGTCTCAGGCGCCGTTGGGGCATTGGGGAGGAAGCCTGGGGTAGATGAAAGATGGAGGGAAGAGGCCGTATGGAGGCAGAAATCAGCGCGCTAATATGGGTCTTGCTCACGCAGGACCCAGATGGTCTGAATAAGTACTCGCCGGGGGGCATGACGAAAGAGCGGCACGGCGCTCTTTGGAATATTCAGCCCTCCGAGCCACTGAGGCTCCGAGAGGCAATTGAGGCAGGTCAGCGTAAATATTGAAGCATGCAGCCGGGCATCCAGGCATCCCCTAGCGTGGGAATCACAATGGTTCTTGGCCGTTGGTGGATAGGTCAGTGTTCTTTGCAGCCTGCCTGCGCGGACCTTACACCATCGAGGATGCTTCCAGTGTGCGCTTTTGATGCAGACGGAGGCTGTAGGAGACAATTACGAAAGCTTGTGCTGAGAGGAGGCGAAGCGATTGACCAATCCAAAACGTAGTCACCCCCTGTGTTTTCCTTTCTTTTCTGGATGATGACTCACCGAGCTCGGGCCCGTAACAATGCTTTTGGTCTGTCTACGACGCTGCTTAGGTAAGCGCACCGCAGAGCGGCTTTCCTGGGTCCCAAGCCTCCCAGCCCCAGTGGATCTCGCGAACTAACGCACTGTATCCATGCGGGCTCGGGGTCTGATGGCGTGAGACTTTTACTTTTTTGGCTGCCGTGCTGGTACCGGAACGTGGGAAAAAAAATGCACCCTAAAGGGTTTCGCAGACGTCCAGATTGTCCACCTGTGCCGCGCCAATCCAGATCTCGCAAGATCCATGAAACCACACCCTAGGAATAGGCTAAAGCGTATTACAATAGTCTTCTCTGAGTCCGATAGCGGCTCCGATGTCATCACGTCTGCCACTTTCGGAGACGGGTTTTTCTTTTTTTCCCAGGCCTGATGTGACGATCTCCTTTGTTGACTCGACGAGAGGGGCCAGCTCGTAAATAGAATGAGGCCTCCCAAGCCTGTACCGCCAACGCACGGTAGGTTTGTTTGGCAAGCCTGGGCCCGCACTCCAGCTAGGCTTTCCTATTTCACTTTGCCACCGCCTGCGAGAATTCCTTCAGATATTTTGGAGAGCCGCTCACGCCGCGCGGCTTCCTCTTTCAGCGGGCCGTTATCTGAGCGGCTCTTGTTAACTTTGACAGGGCCTTTTTGGCAATTCGCTTTTTGCAACATTGACAACTTTTGCAATTCGTAAGTCTATGATTCTGGCTTAGAATGGGCCTTGTCGAACATGCAGCTGCCCGGCTCGTCAACTCTGTTACCCCATCCGCCAAAGCCTTGCGAAAAGCTAGAAGTATGGCTCAGGGCACATGGTGAAAACGCCGTTGCAAACATGGCTGCTTTCTTACACAAAACGGCTCCCCTCGTGGAGACGGCTGCATCGCTGCGTCTAACAAACAAAGAGTAAAAATAAATCCCGCCGGCTGCCTCTTATCGTTCCTTTCGTCCTGTGGCTTGTCTGACAAATACCACCAAAGGGTCCTGTGGGAACATTGGCTGGATTCATTCCCAGTCACCCATTTCGCTCACCTCTCTGCGTATTACCACTGAGGTGCATTTGCGGTGGGTGCCGTGGCGGTCTATTTTTATCATGGGGGCCTTATCTTGTGGAGGATCTGATATCTACCGTGTTTCTGGAACTACCCCCCTTTTCTTTTCATTAACCACAAGAGGTCGGCTCCGCCCGTTGTCGATGCTTCCACACACCTTTTCGTTTTTCCATGCATCGTTTGGTGGTGGCCTGAGGCACGGGTGCGGGCTCACTCTCCCCCATATTCTTCTCTACACTCTTTCCTCTCTCCTCCATTAAGCATGTCTCACGACTTCCAGCTCCAGCTCATCCGCAAGACCTTGGAAGACTTGGGTCATGCGCCTGTGGCAGACATGCTAGCCAAGCGGTTGGCTGCAAACAACGATTCCTCGTCCACGTCCGACCTGTGGGGCAAGTCTGTTGCTGGCGACTACTCACACCCCAAATCCCAGGGCATTCTGTCTTCGCTTACCGAATTGGTCAGTGATGGTGACTACGAAGGCGCAATTCGTGCTTTTGATAGCTGCCACGATGAGTTTGATTTTGCCAATTCCCATCTTCAGTTGTCTGCTTCCCAAAAGGCCTTGTGCGTCTACTTGGTACACCGCTTTGCATTCTTGGAAAAGATCGTTCTCAAGTCGTTCGGTCAATTGCAAGATACTCCAGAATCGCTAATAAAGCTCTTGCAGAATGAAGTGACAAACGCCTACAATTCCGTGGATTTGACCGCCGCAAGTGCCGAGGCTCCCAATATCGCATCGTTCTTGTCTCGTGAGAAGGAAGCGTCTCTCCTTCTTGCATTGGTGTTACAGACTCCCTCACCAGAAGACTTAGAAGCTCAGCTTTTTGATCCCAAGGTCGCATTGACGGAATCTCATGCCTCGCAAGCACGCCTTGCTCTCGAGCCCTCGGCATTCCTCAATCGCTTGAGAAACGTACTCTCCCACTTCCTTCACACCATATTGTCGGCTGGATCCAACGATAAATCCCGCTCCTCTGCCCAATGGAGCTATCATGACATTCCCCCCAATTGCCTTGACAGCTTGATCCGCAGTGCTACTTTACACAATTTGCTGAGATCACTTTATTACTTGCCTCCTCGCACGGAGCCCTACTTCACAGATAACTTACCAATTTCAATGGTTCTACCCTCGCCGCTCAATGACGTAAGCAGAGACGACCTCCCAATCCATTTACTTCATACTTTAACAGATCATACGGATGAAGTCTGGTTCACTAAGTTTTCCCCTCTGGGTCGCTTCTTAGCTACAGGCTCTCTAGATGGGACCTGCAATATCTATGACGTTCAAAATGGGTTTGCTCAGATTGCAGAATTGGACGCTAACGCCGAGGACCAAGAAAGTGTCTTCGCCAGCGGGACTCACAAGCCTGCTCTAGATAAAAAGAAGGGAATTATCTACTTCTGTTGGGAGCCTCATGAGAGATACATCGTCACTTGCTGTCTTGACACTGTAATCAGAGTCTGGCATGTGGAGAACATCACTCAAAGCAAGAGAATCACTAGATCCATGGACGACACCAAACTCACTTCGCTTCTTTGTTGCTTCACACTTGGCGAGCGCATGCGTACATGGCCATGTGAATTCTTGCCATACAAGAAAAGTGCCACCCCACATTTCATCGTGGGATCTCCTGATAAAGTTCTCAAAGTGTTTACGGTCGAAGGAACTGAGGTGCTCGACTTTTACAGTGATGCGGACGAATGGCTGGCAGTCCTTGACGAGGAATCCACTCAGCCATCAGCACAGAACTTATCTGGAATTACGGGGAGTTACATTCGCTCAGACCCTGACATCTCTGGATCATCCGCCACGGGGAATGATACGACCGCTAATGCTGCTTCTGGAGGCGATGAAAAAAATTCCGATACGTCTCTGCAACAGTTTCACCGTATCAACGACTTTGCTATTACAGCAAACGGGAAAGTGCTCATAACTGCAAACAATGATAAGCAGGTATTCTTCTATAAAATACCGGATCTTTTCGATCCTGCTGCAACCACTTCTCGCATTGCTTCGCTAAGTCTCAATGGCAGATTGACATCATGCACCGTGTCCGCTGATTTCAAATATATGTTATTGAGCATAGCCCCTGAAGAACTACAGCTTTGGGATATATCTCCCTTGGAACAATATCAAAGGCCCTTTTTGAAGCAGAAGTTTGTTGGTCAAAGCCAGGCAACCTACATGGTAAGATCGTGTTTCGGTTATCTCAACGTTGCTGAAAACAAGGAAGAATTGATCCTTAGTGGTAGTGATGACGGAAATATTTACATTTGGAAGTTGGAAACCGGTCAGCTTGTCACAAGAATTCGGGGACACCATGGGCTCTGTAATTCCGTGGACTGGAATAGATTCTATAAGCCCGCGGGCCAAGGCAAAGACTACGGCATGCTTTGGAGTTCAGTGGGAGACGATAAACTCGTCAAGATCTGGGGTCCTAAAGCTTCATAAACTATCGGGTTTGTATTTAGACATCAAAAAAGCACTATATCTTACAATTCGTCGTGCTCAGCAGCCTCCTCAGCGGCCTCCTCAACGACTTCCTCTTCCTCGCCATCGTCTTCGACGATCTGCTTCTCAGCTCTCAACTTCTCTCCATCAACACCCAAACCATTCTTCTTAATGTAGGCAATCAAGCTTTCCAAGTCTCTGCCATCAGTGTAAAGACGGTGTTCTCTGAGACCCGTCTTTGGGTCGACCTCGCCATTGGCTGGGTAGAAAAGAAGAGTTGGGTAACCCTCAATTGGAATAGGAGTGTCAACATCATTCAAGGTGTGGTCGATGTGAGCAATGACAACATCTGAATCCTCATTCTTGGAACCATAGATGTCAGCCAACTCTTCCCAGATTGGAGCCAACTTCTTACAGTGACCACACCATGGGGCGTAGTACTTGACAAAGACATCCTTGGAGTTGTCCTTGAGGATGTCCTCGTAGTTGTGAGAGACCAACTTAACAACGGCCTGGCTTGCAACCTCCTCCTCGGAAGGCAATGGCTCAGACTTGATGATTGGCTCAACCTTACCGGCCAAGAAGTCCTCAACGAACTTCTTAATGTCGTCAGTGGATGGGTTAGGGTTCTCGGTTTGGTCAATACCGTACTTTCTGCTGTTGGAGTTATCCTGGATAGCGAACAATGGAACAATCTCTGGGTTCATGTTCAAAATCTCAGCGTGACGGCCGTATTGAGAAGCATCCAAACCAACAAAATTGATCTTGCCAGCGTACTTCTTACCCAACTCGGTGAAGAACTTGTCGACGGCAGCTCTCTCGTCAATGTGGGAGTAGAAGTAGTAGCCCAATGGCAAAGAGGAGGTCATGTAGGTCAAGTAGGTGTCTCTGTTGATGTCACCAAAGTATGGAACCTTGGCGTTGACAGAGAATTCCTCCAAAGAGCTCTTGTTCACTTCACCGGAGAAGACTCTGACATCGTCCAACTCATTAGGGTGGATGACCAAGTAGGCTGGTTCCTTCAAGCCGGACAACTTGGCGCTGACGGCCTTGTCAAGCTTGGCAATCTGGGCGTCGTCCTCGATAGAGAAGAATGACATGGACTTTCTCTTCTCGTTGGCCAACTCACCGAAGGTCTCGTTGTGAGAGGAGAACTTCTTCTGCAACTTAGATGGGAAAACCTGAACAATGAATGGCTGGTTCTCGGCCTTGGAGGCGGCAACGAAAGCGTCGGCGTCCTCGACCAACTGCACAGGAGGAAGCGACTGCTTCACCATGTAGTTGACAATTCCGTCCGCGTCACGAGGACCGTCGTAGTCGTCAGGCTGCTGGAATGGGCCTCTCATAACCTTCATGGTTGGGTAACCTCTGATCTCGTGCTTGTGACACAAGTCCTCCTGCTCGGTACAGTCGATCTGAGCCAACTTGATGTTAGGGTGGGACTCGTTCAAGATGTCAGCGGCCTTCGAGAATTCAGGACCCAAGATCTTACAGTAGCCACACCATGGAGCGAAAAACTCAGTCAACACCAAAGGGTTTTCCTCGAGGAATCCCTTGAACTCCTTCTCGGTCAACTTGACGACAGCGGAGTCTGGATCAGCAGCAGCCTGTCCATCAGCGGGGCCACCAGCGGAAACCATGGACACAGAGGCGAGCAAAGCCGCAACAGCGGTAGTTGAGAACTTCCAAAACTTCATTTTCAGGTGGTTATGTTGTCACAGAAAAAAAAGTGATGTAAAGGGAAAAGATAAGTAACGCACTTGACAGCGATCTTACAAATATATTTCGCAGCTGCCTTCTTGACACCGTGTGCCCAACCAGTCACGTGTCGCGACCAAGAGTTTCGCGTCTCTACAGGTTCATGAGCTGCAAAGAAGCGCAAAGAAGGCTCCATGTATTTCGGAATTCTATAATAAATGAAGTGTTGTAGGTGAATCGTTTACGAAGTTCGACCTTTAAAGGAACAGTTCAGTCAAATCAGGTGGTTTTCTTATCAAGCAAACTTCGTCTGTTGTGCAATATTACACAAGGCCAGTTTACCGATAGCTCCAGATTACGCAGATTCGCAGCCACTCAAAGACACGGACCAAGACCGAAGCATAAAAGCCAAAAATAAATATATTGAAATCTAAAGAGAGGGCGAAATATTGTTGCAATGATGCGGCCGACTGTTCTTTGGGCGGAATTTTTCCAGGCATCAATTGCATAAACTGCATCGGTTGGTACTCTGTATATTCATAAATACAGTAAACACCGTTGCGGAGTTGAGAATCGGCGGCTGTCTTAGGTGAGTCCAAAGAACTGTGTCCAGTTTGCCCAGCTGTCCATCTCAGTATCATAAATGTACGCCATAGAATGTCTCAAAGACGACTGCAAGTACTGTGGGTGATAGTCGTAAATGAACATGACGAATGCCCACACGAGCACGGCAAAATACTTCCACGATTTGTTGTAGATCTTTGCCTTAAAGCGCTTGGTCTGAGTTTCTGTCAAATCTTTCCACAAGACATCCTCGCCTCTAATTCTCAAGCTTGGCTGGCGACAATTCAAAAGAAGATCCAAAAGAATCTTACCCAACGCCAAAGTTACTCTCGAGTAACAGTATAATGTGATTTGATGGGTGATACCGGGGTTAAAGGCTCCAAAATGCTGCGAATATACAACCCATCCACCAAGTGCACCAGCAACGAACTTGATGAGACCAATATTATCACCCATGAGTTTGTCTTGCTTCAAGAAGCTGACCAAGGTTTTGTATATGAAGGCAAAAGTGGCTAGAACGATGGTGTGCTGCTTGGTTGCGTTCAAGACCTGCTTGAGACGAGGGGCCAAGGGTCCAGAGCGGTATAGCAAGTTGATAACCAAAGCATGGGAGAACCTTAGTTTACCTCCATACACTATACCATTACGAGACGATCTGACGGCCTCAAGGACGGGCCTGTAAAGTGGATTTGTGAATATCGACATCGATAGGCAGTTTCAGCAAGGTGTTTATTTTGAGACCTGGGGAAGTCGGATGATGCTGCAGACTGTGCTGTAGGAGTGCTGTGAGTGTGAAGACGGGATTGGCTCTTTCACACCTCGCTGTTAAGGTATCTTAGAAAAGAACTGGTAAAGTTGAAAAAAAGCCTGTCACTACTCAGCGAGTGGGTATGGACGTTTTTTGTGGAGTAATTTTACGTGCACACAATGGGGGGACCCCGAAAAGGCTGGTGAGGGTGTCCCAGATTTAGCCGAGGGATCGGGGCAAAGGAAGATACGAATATTGAGCTGAGAACTGTTGAATTCCAAAAACATATTTCAGATCCGTTAAATTTGGCATCCCGAGAATGTCATCACCCAAATATGAATATGAAGGGTCTTTTCGCCGTAACTTTACCCCAAGATCCACTGCCGCGAACCTCTCCAGTTGGTTGCAAAGAAAAAAGCCCAAGACTGCCCCACAAGCACAATTACATACACATAGAAAAATAAATTTTTTTTTTCTACAAACATTTGTTTGGACGAGCCCTGTATGGCTGAAAATGGCAGAACTTCAATGCTATAAATAAACACAGCGACAGGGCCCAAAATCAGAGAGCTACAAGAAATCTCTATACCTCTTACTTCCACGGCGTCTTCGCAGTCACTGGCGCGACATGGGCGAATTTCCCAGACTTAGAGTTCCCTGCCGTCTCTAGGTCTGGCGTTCGTGCGAAAAATCCATAATTTTTTTTCGTTCTGTTCACCTCGGCTACTATCATCCACAGAGTTTCCTAGTTGGTCATTTTGATTTACAACTGAAGACCTTCCTCCGATCCCAACGATTTGTCCCATTCGACAGTTTTTTTAGTGTGCAAATCACCAATCAGGCACACGTTATTTTCAGCGACATTCGAACTTTCTGTCACTGCGTTTAATTTTTTTTTTTTTTTTTTTTTTTTTTTTTCATTCAGGTGCCAGTCCAGTTTTTTCACAGGTCTCATAGGCTCACCGAACAAAAAATAGGGAAAAGCAGTCATCTAGCATACCTTCAATCAACCACCTTTAATTGTTGGCTTCCCTAATCCTTGACCAGATCTCGTCATTAATCATCCAATCAGGCGGTCAAGATGTCATACGCTAACGTTGCCGCTAATGGCTCCAGTCCAAAACCTGACCAGGCCTCAGAAACTTCCCTTACTTCGTCGACTTCTCCCTCTGTCTCCAACTCCGATGTGGTCGCTGTGGAATCGGAAAAGCCTTCTGATGCTACCACTCAGGAAGAGCAGGCCGCTCCCGCTCCAAAGAAAGAAAAGAAGTCTTTAGCTCCCGCTCCTGTTCCTACGAAATCTGTTTGGGGTGCCTCTGCCGCTAGTGATTCAACTGCTGTGGATGAACACAAGTGGCCAACCCCTGACAAAGCCCCTGTTCTTCTGCCTGTGGCTCAGCCTGCCAACAAGGCTGCCACCAAGTTTATCAAACCTAACAAATGGGTGCCAATCAATGCCAAAGTGGTTTTGCCATCGCCTAGATCTCAAAACGTTGGTACTGGTGGCCAGCAAAAATCCAAGAGAAAGAACAAGGCCAACCGTAAGAAGACAACTGGGTCTGATTCGCCCTCCCAGGACGACGCTATCAAGACTGAGAAGAAGAAGGACGATGAGGATCTCGATCAAGAGGCTCTAAAAGATGTCACTGGTCACGATCTCGAAGGCACTGCTCAAGGCTACTCACAAGATAGAAAGAGGTATAGCACTGGTGCTGCCCAGGCCTCCGGTCAACAGGGCCAGAAACCTAACAGAAAGTTTAGCCCTCAGGGTGCGCCAGTCCAGAACGGCAAACCTCCCCAGCAAAACCGTCAACAACAGAACGGTTACTACAATCCTTACGGAAACAACCAGGGCTACAACAACTTCAATGGTCAGAGGCAGTACAGACCAGGCAACCCCGGCCAGTACAGAAGAAATAACAGCTCTGGTAACATCCAAAATGCATACCCAAATGGTTACCGTGGCCCTATGGGCATGCCATTTGTGCCTCACATTCCCCACCATCCTATGCCTCAGGGCATGATCCCAGGCTTGCCTTATGGCGCCCCCATGCCAGTTCAGATTCCTCCTCCTATAAGCCCTAAACAGGAGCCTCTGCAAGCATTGACTCAACAGGTTGATTACTACTTCTCTCTTGAGAACTTGCTCAGAGATATTTTCTTGAGAAAGAACATGGGTACCGAAGGTTGGATTGATTTGGACTTGATCCTTAGCTTCAAAAGAGTCAAGATCATCACCAATGGTATTCTGAACGCATTTGAGGTCACTGATGAGGAGCAAAGGGCCGAATTGTTGGACCAGACCATTTTGGCTGCCGTCCAGAGATGTAAGAATGTTGAGCTTGGATATTTGAATGGCAAGGATAGCAACAACGCAACCGCCACCGAGGTCCAGTTGAGAGTAAAGAGCAACTTTGAGCAGTGGTTGTTGCCCGACAACGTTCAGTTGTAAGCTTGATTCTTGATTCAAGACCATTTCCGGCACTCGCCACTGAGCACACTTTCCTTTAGTTGCCAGAGTTCTTGCACCCTTCTGCATATTTATTTCATCCTCCTCGACTCGTTCAGCATGTACATAAAAGGACCATCAGGGCAATTTGCAATCTGTTTGTTCCTGTCACTCCACCAATGTGACTGGCATTGCCATTCTTCTACAATTGGACAACTTCGGATATAAGAGTGGAGCAATTGCCTAGTATCCTATATTCAAAAGGTACTTGCAGTATGCCTCTACGGTATGCTTTCAAGTTTTGTTACCCAAGTTGAAATTTATGAAAAGAGAAAAAAAAAAGAAAAAAAATTGAAAGAATTTTATTAGCATCTAGTTGACTGTCCCCGTTTGATAACTAGCTGTCCTCCAGTCTAGATTCCAAACATCCTTTTTTTTTGCTTCGACAACCTTTTTGTTTATGTTATACGTGATGTCAGCAGTCAATAATTATATTTAGTTTCTATATTAATTTCACGCTGTTGTCGAATCTGAAAACTCGTTGAACTTCTCCTCGGGTGCCTTGGGATGAACGTCTAGACTCTTTATAATAAAGTCTTCTGCGACGGCACCATCAAGATACTCCAAATCCTCCTTGGGTATAAATAAAGGCCAGACATATTTGGCACATAAGGCGAAGAAAACCAATACGGCCGGGAAACCGATTGCACCTTCTGTCAATGTGATGGCAATTTCAGCACCTCCTGCAATGAGTTGCAAAACAAGATAAATATAAAACCATTTACGCTTTTCCTTCGGAATGGCATGCATGGCCTTGAAGTATTCAGGACATTGTGGATCATGAATAATGTACTGTTCATCTAAGAAAATGAATCTGATTCTGTTGACAATAATATTGCCATGTAAGCCATTGATTCCCATAATGAAGAAGAGTCCTGCCAAAATTGCTTGAGGAATGAGATTCAACACAACAAGAAAGGGCCCACTCATCAACACGAAGGTTGCAGCTCCTTGTGCGGTGTTGGTGAAGCGCTGCTCCACAACCGAGACCGGCTGGCCAGTTTTGAAGTCCTCCACGACTAATGATGCAGTGTGGAGTGGTGCTTGTGGAATCAATCCGTTGGGGGCTGGGATTCCTATGAGGCCAGCAACTCCAGTTGTTAATCCTAAGAGCATAAAGTCCCAATGGAATGATGCTGGTTTTTTCAAAGGGAATTCTTTCAGCTGACACATCAATGACGAGACGTTGTGATCGAAGTAAAATAAGAAAGTAAGCAATAGTGCAAAAGGTAGAGCCAAAAACATATCACCCACAGATATATGTTCGTTGGGCCAGAAATGAATAAACCAGCCATGTGCTCTACCAAGCGCAGCACTATCGTTTGTGGGCTGGAATGCTCTAGTAGTCGGTAGACGAGCAAGATCGACATTGTCCAACCAGCCACCAAAATGAATAAAACCAATGAAGAAGATTACGGCCAAGGGTACACCGTAGTCAACAAAAAGCTTTCTTATTGGGGCCTTGAAATAGTGAAGGGTCGAGCCAAAAATTGTAGAGCCAAGGCCAAAGATGACCATGAGAAGTGCGATCATCACCGAACAGAATCCTGAAGCAGCTCCCATGTCGCTGAATTGATTACTCAATATGGCCACGGCCTTCTGACAATAAATGACACAGATAAAGAATCCAAAGACCTCGCAAGAAAAGTTTGAAATGATCTTCAAGTACGTTACCCAGTTGAGGATTGCGATGATGAAGTGCATCACCATAGACCAAAGATAAATCCAGCACATGAACGGAAAATACGGAGTTCCTCTATCCTTGATGATATCGTAAACCGTATAGCTGAAGATAGCGATCGGTCCTGTTACACCCACGATACACAATGGTTGACCGGAAAATAGACCAAACACCACTCCGGCGATTGCCGAACTCATGAGCACCTCATTAACGCCATAAGCGTTGTCGGTTCTATCGAACATATCTTGGGCAAAGGCTATAGCCGGTAGGATGTTGGTGAAGAATATGAAAACCACGGAGGGTATAACCCTGTAGTTGTAGGCATCTTTGAAATCGGAGACATACACCCTAGCCCGAGCCTTCATATCATTGAAGATGCCTCGACCTAAATGGGGATTTCGTAGCTGAAACGTCATTGTGGATGGGATCTATGGGAATCTATAATGAGCAAAAGAGAGAGTCGAAGCACAGTGGAAGTATTTAGGCAATGATTAATCAATAAAAAGCGCTGCAGGATATGTCATCCTCTCTTTGTGTTTTGATTTCCTAACTCAGGAATCGAGCGGAAAAGTGTTCGAGGCTCTTAGCTACCCTCGGAGTGGTATTTGATAGAAAGGAGATTTCTTGACCTTTACTTCTTATGAACTTAATCTATCAAAACGTGCGTGGAAAGGTTATTACTCGTATTGTTAGCTCGCAAGGACTGCATATTGAAGCGAGGAGATAGCGCCTGCGTTGGACTTGTCTCTAGAGTCTATCGCAATAAAATGCTTTTAACATCCCGTTTTATTATGATTTATTTCTTCTCACGAATAAAATTCGGTGGAATTCGAAGAGTGACTTCAAATCCGTAAGTGACTGAAGTTCATGCCGGCAACTTTGGGTCATAAATGAACGAACGGCGCATTTTGGGCGTCATATGCGCGAGAAATAGGTCATCTTGCCGTTAGAGGTAGAACATTTAAGTAAATGCCTTGGCTTCATGCCCATTCAACTTAGATATAGGGAAAGCGGCCCAAACACCGAGACGGCGGGTATAACGGTGGAAGATCTCGATTTTAAGCTATACGTCAGACTGGTACACACAAAACTCCATCATGGCCCCAGCAAGTTATATCCAATCACTTTTAGTTTACTTGTTTTCTAACCACCTGACATATTAAGCAGCAGTGATTGAAACTCGTTTCGTATTCCTTGCCTTGTGGTCCTCACAGGATAACTTTCGAGCACCTACGAAAAACATCGAGGTCCTTGCTTTCGACAAATTTCAATCAAACTCTTCTCAAGAACCTGCTAGACAATATATCTACTCTTTTATATATACTCTTATATAAATGTTAGATTCGGTAGCAATGGTAAAAACAGTGAGGTGTCTGGGTTTTTTACCGGGAGGTCTGGGTTTTTTATGTTTTTTTTTGCGCGACTTATATTACCTAATTTTGCGTCCTCCCATAGTCGGTCCCTTGGCCCAGTTGGTTAAGGCGTGGTGCTAATAACGCCAAGATCAGCAGTTCGATCCTGCTAGGGACCACTTTCCTTTTTGCAATACTTTCAAACATCCCTGCAACCGGTATCTAGCCCGGGACATGTCCTTTTTGGTGGCTCACGTTGGCGCCGGCAACCACTCTCCGTCTTCAAACGATCGATATAAAAAGCTACTCAAGGCGGCTCTTCGCACCAACTCATTTGTCCAATGCAGCTCCGTTATCGAGAAGTCACCCTTAACTAATACCGGCTATGGCTCTGCTCTTGACAGATTTGGTGATGCTTCCTGTGATTGCACTGTGTTGACTTCATACGACCAAAAATATGAATCACTTTCACTCATTGGGATCGATGACAAGGAGTGCCCCACACTGGAGTGTCTCCACATAAAGGGTAAAATCCATGAGGAATTTCAAAAATCCAAAAGCCTTGGACTACTGAAGCCCTCAATGTTAAACTATCAGCATGTTAGAGATAGCTATGGAACAGATGGAGCTTCGACATTGATTCTGCCTGCTGCTAAATCGTTATACGACAAATTCAAAAACCTACCGGGTGCACCTCCACAGTCAGTGCAAGACACCGTTGGAGTTATTCATTTTGAGAGACACCTTTCACTATCTACATCCTCCGGTGGCACTTTCTTGAAGTTTCCTGGACGAGTTAGCTGCGCCGGCGTTTATGGGGCCGGTTTGGCAGTGGCTGGAGATGATAGCATTCGTATCAGTTGCTTGTGTAGTGGTAATGGCGACGATATCATCAAAATGAGATTGGCAGGATTTGTTGCAGACCTTCTTCTACGATGTGCCCAATCTGATGAATGGCAAGACTTTCTGGCAGTCATGGTGCAGAGCATTGTTAATCATAGCGAATCGACTCAGTTGTCAGGGCTCAGTGATAAGCACGAAGCCATTGTCTACGTTGGTGTCATTGCAATCATTCAGCAGGGAACGCGAACGACTTTGGCTTTCTGCCACAGTACAGAGTCGTTTTACTTTGGGTTTATCGATAGTGCTGGGAATCGAGAGGTTGTCCTAAGCACACAACCCGATGAATCTAGAGTTGGCCACTTCGTAGGCGGACAGTACAAACTTTGAGCATCTACATCTTGTCGGTCTTTATGAAACCGTATGTATTAGCATTTAAGTTACAGAGTTAAACTTAACGAGAGGTAGCGTGGACCTTCTGGAAAGCACCCTTCTGCTGGGCCTTAGAGAACTTACCCTGAGCACCCTGAGCAGCGGACTTGGCGTTCTGCTCCTTTCTCTCAGCCTTTCTGAGCTTAGCAGCCTCCTTGGCCTTCTTCAATCTGTCCTCTCTGGTGGCCTTTCTCTCAGCTGGCTTCTGGTTTCTCTTCTCCTTGATCTGCTCCAAAGAAGCACCGACAATAGGTCTCTGGTGCTTGACAGTTCTTCTGGTTCTCTTCTTAGAAGTCTCCTCAGAGATACCCTTCTTGTGGTGTCTTCTGTACAAGACGGTCCAAGCAACTCTTCTTGGGTTCTTTCTCTGGTGGAACAAAGAAGCAGACTTAGAGGACTGGAATCTGAAAATCTTGGAGTCACCTCTGACAAACAAGGTACCTCTACCTGGGTAAATCTTGGAACCCGAGAAGGAGTCGATTTCGATCTTCATTTTTCTGGCCTGTTAGTATAAAGCTTTGTGGTTGTGTTTTGATATAGCTCTTGCTGGAGGCACAAATTGACAGCAATTAGGACTTTGGATTCTTGAGTTTGGGTAATGCAAACGGGTGTCTGCCGACTTGAACTATAACAAATTTCTGTATCGGTACGTACCAAGTCTATGGTTGAGTGAAAAAGAGAATGAGAATAGAGAACGAAAAATTTTACTTGGTGGAGCCCGCGGGGGTCGATGCAGGATTCACTACGTTCAATCTTGAGGTTCTTGAGGTCAAACTGGTCACGTGAGAGAATCTTCAAGAGGCTCTACCACCGCCATTGACGAGCATGAAGACTGGTTGAGATATTATAAATTCATGAAGCTCACCAATTGTTCATTTGTATATTCCAGTGGCTGTGTGAATGTCTCATGGTGCTTTGTGCTGACAGCAAAGGATGTGCGTCATGGCAATACTAGATTCAGCCAAGTTCACCATGAGCTCTAAACCTTCAAATACTTGCCATTCATAAATGGACGCGTATTGAGAGTCTTCTAGCTCATCACACTTTCCTTTGGCCGAGGGCAAGTTAGATTATTGTAAGTGGTGTTGTTGCGTCGTCTATGCACGTGATCAAAGTGACTGCGATTTCGAGCTCTCTCCCGGTGCACCACCCTCTGCGCACAAATTTTCAAGATGGTTTTCTCTCGCTTTTCTTCTTTATCTTCAATAGACCGGAGTGAAACACTAAATACACAGAGATGGTCAGTATCATTCTTTGAAAGAGCTGAAAAGGGGCTGATTGGCGCTGGCGCCATCATATACCCTCGGCTTATTACATCCCACCAACTATTTACTAACATGAAAAGGCCCCAAAGAACAAGAACACTGACAACGTCAACGCCAAGTTGGGCTTGGTTATGAAGTCCGGTAAGTACACTTTGGGCTACAAGTCCACCGTTAAGGCTCTCAGAGCTGGTAAGGCCAAGTTGATCATCATCGCCGGTAACACCCCAGTCTTGAGAAAGTCTGAGTTGGAGTACTACGCTATGTTGTCTAAGACCCAGGTCTACTACTTCGCTGGTGGCAACAACGAGTTGGGTACCGTCTGCGGTAAATTGTTCAGAGTCGGTACCATGGCCATCTTGGACGTCGGTGACTCTGACATTTTGTCTGCTATCTAATTACGCCTGTAATATAGTTGGTTCGATATTTTTACGTGTAGCTTAGTACCTTACCTTATATTCCTATTATCAAGTTCTGGCAGCCTCAAGCTCTCTTTCAAGACCTTCGATGAGCTCCTCTTCCCCTCTGATAAGCTCATCAACGTTTCTACCTGGAGATTCGAGCTCATAGATGCTGTCGCCTTGCGCTCCGAGTTGTTCCTTTTGCTGCTTCACTGCTTTCTCAAGAGACTCAGTCTCTTCAAGAAGCTCATCGTACGCAAGCCTTATGCTTTTGATCGTTTCCTTGATGTTTGAATCATTAACAATGTTGGGGTATCTCAGTATCACGTCGTTCGCAGTGTCATATATTAGCTCAAAATCTTCAGACTCCAACACATCAGCCGAAATGAGCTTATACTGGCTCATGAAACGCTTTTTTGTTGGTGATGACATTGCCTCGATATTCTCTTTCTTGTCGTCGTCGGGAACATTCACCAACCTTGGCACGCTAACCACAGCACCGGACGATCCACCTTCAACCTCTTCAAAAACACGTTTTCCGTCAATTCGTTGAGGTTGTAAAAAGGAAAGCTTTTCTCCATTTCCTTGGTCGTCCTTCAGTCGTAGCATCAGGCTCCCCAAACCAGTACCTTTATTAATTTTATAGAGACTCGATTCAGCTTCAGATGGGTCGCGTATTAGGGAAGTCACATCTGGTTTGTTTATGATAGCGTTAGTGAAAATGCCCGGAGGTTCGAAATTTAGATTATTCATTGTATCACACAGCGCCTCGATTGAGGTAAGGATATCTCCTAGACGAGCCATGGAGTTATTTGAGATTGGAGTCTGTTATGAAATGTTGTTTTTAATTTCGTACACTACTGTGTGCGCTAAAGATCTTGCGAGGCATCCACGATATGAGTGTACTGATACGTCGAATTGAGTGTTTGTGCTAGAAACTCTTTTAGTTTATGAGTCATATTAGGCAAATTGTTAGCGCTATATTGTTGAAGCATATTGATAATCTTTCATAACCTAGGTAACTTTGCGTAAACTTGATGTAACAAGCCTTTATCGCCTTAACCCAATTTGATGAAGATGTAGTCTGCCGAAAGGCGATCTTAGACTCAAAATATTGCAGTAAAATCGCTAAGATAATGAATGGTTCCAGATTCTCGTGTTTGAAATTAGTTTATTATGTTTAGAGATTTCTCATTTTGCAGCCATTCCTCTGTCGCACAGCAAAGTCAGAAAGGTAGCAGCGTTTCGAGAATTAGGAAGGCCGAAAAAGAGAAAAAAAAAAAAAAAAACTATAGCATCCAGTAAAAAACTTCTTTTAGCCAGCTTACTAGTTACAAGCGATTTCATTTTGCTTACTTCGGCAGAAAATGAAAACTAGTCCTATACGTTGAACTCTGTCACCTGCATATCCTCCCTACATATCCATCTTCAGCATCATCGACCCTCTCGAATTATAGAGCCATGACGGTTGATCTAGATAAATATGTTCGACCTGGTCGTGAATACTATCTTGCATTGGGACTAGAAGGATCTGCAAACAAGTTAGGTGTTGGTGTAATCAAACATCATACTGGGCCACTATCTGAAACAAACCGAGCTGAAGTACTCTCCAATGTTAGGGATACTTATGTCACGCCCCCAGGAGAGGGATTTCTTCCAAGAGATACCGCAAGACATCATAGAAATTGGGTGGTACGCATTATCAAGAGAGCACTAGCAGATGCAAATATTTGTGGCGATGATTTAGATTGTATTTGCTTCACACAGGGACCCGGGATGGGTGCTCCTTTGCAAAGCGTTGTCATCGCTGCCAGAACATTATCACAGCTATGGAATAAACCTCTTGTTGGCGTCAATCATTGTATTGGTCATATTGAAATGGGGCGTGAGATAACAGGTGCTCAGAATCCAGTGGTTCTATATGTCTCCGGTGGCAATACCCAAGTAATTGCCTACTCCAAACAAAGGTATCGCATCTTTGGTGAAACCCTAGACATTGCTATAGGTAATTGTTTGGATAGGTTTGCTCGCACCCTCAAAATCCCGAACGATCCAGCGCCGGGGTATAATATCGAGCAGATGGCCAAGAAGGGGCGTCACTTTGTTCCTTTACCATACACTGTGAAAGGAATGGATCTTTCGATGTCAGGCATTTTGGCACATGTTGACGAAATCGCTAAGGACTTGTTCAAGGGCAACTCCAAAAAGCTAATTGACCAAGAAACGAATGAGCCAATCACTCCCGAAGATTTGTGTTTTTCTCTTCAAGAAACTCTTTTTGCTATGTTGGTTGAGATCACAGAGAGAGCTATGGCGCATGTACAGAGCAATCAGGTGTTGATTGTAGGTGGAGTTGGCTCGAATGAGCGTTTACAAGAGATGATGGCTTTGATGGTGAAGGACAGAAAGAATGGCTCCATTCACGCCACCGATGAAAGATTTTGCATTGATAACGGAATAATGATTGCACATGCCGGCTTACTTGGATACAGAATGGGCCAAATCAACGACCTACAAAACACGGTGTGTACCCAGAGATTCAGAACAGACGAGGTGTTCGTTGAATGGAGGGATGATTGATAGGAACAACCAAAAGTTTGATAGCGCAACTGTAGGCTGATCCGGCGATTGGATGGCACAAACTGTCCAATTGTCTTGTGAGGTCAAATATCAAACAGGCTTCAAAAGGCCTGAAGAAGCTTCTAATGTTCTTTTGGTCAGATACGGGTCTAACAAATAGCTGGAGATTATTCTCTATGTACGTTTTCCTATCACTGAAAACCGGCCAATCTCCTCTTTGTAGATAAAATTGTTTGAGTCAAGCATCTTCATCACAGGCTTGCGAAGTTTAGGGCCGCCCGAAGAATGAAGCCCTCTGCCTACAATCACATCAAGTGGATCAACGAACTGGGCTTTGGATCCAAACTTCGACAAAATTCCATGTGCTTGTCTCTCCTCGGTCTCATGTGCCCACCACTGAATTACCCTTTGTTTCGCTAATTCCACGGCCTCACCAACCATAAGGCCATGAAGGTCAACTGAAGCCGAATGAATGATTGGATGTGTCTTGTCTCTTATACCGCCAAGTGTGGGTTTCTGCGGTCTTGTCGAAGCACTAGGAGCTAGGTTCCACGACTTTTGCGGTAGTTTAACTTGTTTAAGAACTTCAGCGGCCTTCAATTCTGGCTTGAAGGCAACATGAAGATTCAAACTTTCATCGTAGGTTAGTTGAACAACATCGTGATCCACAAACATGTATGCAACTCGTAGCACTCTATCCACGGCGCCCTCGAAAAATTCGAGACATTTGATGAGAAATGCAAAATTTAGTTGCTGTAAAGGTTGATGTTCATGTACCAGCTGCCGTAGCTCAGAGATCTCTTGGCCGGATTCGTCGAAAGATTGCCTCTGGTCTTTCACAATGCTTATCGAGGAGGCATTGCGAGAATCTTGAACACGAGATCGCTTTACCTTCTTCGTTTTCCTATAGTTGCACATGATGTCTGCCAATGCCAGCATTCGACAGGGGTTCTTTTGCAAATAGGGTTCTAGGACAGCTTCCAGTAGACCCGTAACTATCCCCAACTCATTCACAGAGGCGTCCTTCAGCATGATCGCTTCAATTGCCAGCTCCACGTTATTCTCATTCTCCTTGAGCACTCTTTCTAGCTTCCTTGAATTTGTTCCGGGAAATAACAGCTGTAGCTGCCTCAACTCTGAGGATACCACATTGGAATCGTGCTCTTGCTCTTGGATCAAGTCGTCGATCACAACGTCGATTCGATCGCAGCTAACCAACCTTCCAAATAGTTCACTTCTTGACTTGTGTGGAAAGAGGTCTGCAAGAGTGTCCACCAGCAGCGAAGGATCCATTGGTGTGTTAGGCACTTTTGTACACCTTATATTTGGGTTCGCATATAGTTTGTCTCAGCTTTGAAACAGTGAGTATGCATAATAGTGTCTACGTAGTGTTGGAGAAATACATTGGTTTCAAATTATGAATCAATTTCGCTTTTTCAGCAAAACCACGGCTTTGATCGCCGAAAGCCATTTTGTCATGTCGTGTTCGTCTTGTGCACCCAAGTAGATGCGCTTCATCGGGGTAATTACCATGATACACCAGCTCTTCCCTCGCGTGGCATCAACTTCGATAACATCCATAACATTGTCCATCTTGATGATCTTGTATGCTCTGTCCTTGTGTTCTTTCAGTTTGCAGAAATAAATGGCTTTGTTGGTAACCACCACATAAAGCTTACGCCATTGGCTGTATCTCTTTCGAAGCTTTCGTAGTTCGCCCTGCTCAACCAAATATTCACCCTCCCTCTTATCCTTCAGGAGGTTCGATAGATGGCTTGCCGCTGTCTCGTGCTCCTCATCCTCATTGGAGTCGTCCTCGTATTGTCTCACCACACTCTCCAAAGCCTTCATCCAACTATCCTGAAGCTGCTTGCTTTCCACACGAAAGTGGTAGACTCGGCTGCTCGTATAGATGGCGAAGTGATTCTCATGCTCCTTGTGGGCATCTTGAACGTCACTGAATGCTAGCAACTCAGATTTGTTGAGCACTTTGCTAGGCTTGTGTTCAGAGCTCTTTTTGTAGTAGCTGAGCTGACAATTTCGGAGAACCATCCAGCGTTTATTCCACTGATGTGTCTTGAAGGATCGTTTCTGGACCCACGACAGGAACACCACCTTATTATCGTCGAACTGGGTCTCCACATTGTTGGCTATCTCGGACTCGGAGCCTGTAGTAATAACTTTTGTTGTCATTCAGTGGTGTAGCGTACTTATGGATGAATGAAAAGTGGTGTAATCGGAGAAAAAGGGGGATAGTTCGTTATTTTTAATTCTTAAGCTATGTGAAGTTCTCTTACATGCGTGAAACCTGCTCCTCAAAAAGCCACTACCAGGCACACAAACTAAAGCCTTGAAGCGCGCATTACTCTCTCAGTCTGCACTAAGGGCACCCTTTGACAGCCATTCCTGAACATGGTGCGGCTGGGAGATAGGCTTTTGCATCCTCGAGGACAAGGCTGTGTTCTCCTCACAGCGCTTAAGCTTGATTCTCCATGGCAGCCTTGATGACCCCAATGACTGCACTTGTTTGTATTTTTTCGTTACCGCCCCTTGATACCCCGTACTCAACATCTGCAAGTTCTTTCAAGATTGCTATTCTGGCGGATGGCTTGAGTTCGTAACCTTGCAAAATCTCGACGAAGGCTTGGACAAGGTCAATCAAAGCCAACCCCTTCGTTTTCTTGAATTTTTCAAACGTCAAATAACTTGTGGTCCAGTCATCTCTAAGGATGGAATCTAGTATGGTCTCAATGTCTGCTGGATCCGGTGCTCCCACACACTCGTATATCATTTTCTCGTCTATCTGATCATCTGGGCTATCTAGAGCCGCCTTACATGCCTGAAGCACGTTGAGAGCTCTTCTCATATCACCACCGGATAACTTGAGAAGCGCCTGTTCTGCCTTCTCCGAGATGACGAGACCTTCTTTTGCAACCACACTCTTGATCTGGTCACGCACAGCACCCTCGGTGAGGGGCTGGAAACGAAATCGCGTACATCTTGAAATAAGTGCTGGATTCAACTTGTGGGCGTAATTGGCTAAGATACAGAAACGTGTGTTCTTCGTGTATCTCTCGATGATTCTTCTCAAAGAGTTTTGAGCAGCAGAAGTCATAGCATCCGCCTCATCCAATATAATCAATTTGAAACCACGACTGAAGATTTGCATCGTAGAGGCGAATTCTTTTATTTGATTTCTGACGACGTCAATACCTCTATCGTCGGAAGCATTCAATTCCAACACCATGTTTTTGTAGTTGGGCCCATAAATTTCCCTTGCTAGCGCGGTAATCATGGAAGTTTTACCAGTTCCTGGTGGTCCATAAAATAAAAGATGGGGTAATCTGCCCTCATGAACGAACTTTCTCACGGTCTTCACGATTTCCTCTTGTCCATAAACGTCGTCAAGGCTCGAAGGACGGTACTTTTCAACCCTTTAAATTAGTATAATTCCTCAAATAATCTTCACACTTTCACATACCATGGAAGGTTCTCTCTATTCTTGTTGGTACTCATTGTTGATGGAGATGAAATACTACAACACTTGTTGAACGCCCTACGCGTTACTAAATGTTGAAAACCTGCACACGACGTGACTGTAAAGCCAACATTATAGTCAGAGGAACTCGGGAAATGGGAAGAAAAAAACTACATTCATTTCAGCAAACTTCTAAAGAATCCATAAAAAAAAAAAAATAATTTCATTTCCATGGTCATTTGAGCTTGCAGCCTTGTGAAGGGGACCAGAAGAGCAGCGCGCGCCAGAGTCGAACCAAAGGTCGATTGTGAGAGTTTTCGCTCAAGATCATCAAGAAGCCACTTGACTTTCAAGATCTCGTAAGTCAGTTGAAGAAACTTAGTTTTCGATATGATTCGGATACAAATTTGCAAAAAAAAAATGGTAAATCTCTTTGTATAGCGTGTCATCTTTATGCAAGGACAATGCTAATCTTCTCTGTATTGTTAAAATTGACAGATGTACTATCGCGAACGATAGTACGACTTATAGAATGCGAGGTAGTAGATATGAGATAAAGGTAGTGCAATAACCAAATTGCATTTCCTGCTATTCTAGTCGTTTTTCAACTCAAATCTGTATCTTAGCAATCAGGATCCCTTCAGGACCCTACTGTCGGGTAATTCGTTGATTTAAAGAGCCCGAATGTTTATAGTTTTTAAAGCTGAGGAGTAGGTGAGTGAGACACCGATCCCGAAGCGACCTTTAATCAACGTCTTCTGCAAAAAAAAACAAAAATGAACCTGTGAAACTTCTTACAATAGATACCACAAGCCAAAGAAAAAAAATTGTTGTGATAGAATGGGTCGAATAATTGATGTATGCTATTGAAGATATATTGATGTTGAGAGCCACAATCAAGATACGGTATTGAAGCGATCTAAAACCCTATTTTGAAATCTCAAGTCTTATACCAAAAGAAACTGTAAGGATACCACCAAACCTAAAACTGTCCAGCTTAATGCAGTCAATTTGTACCCCATACTCTTCACTGGATGAAGCATGCCAACGAAGTTACATGATGCGTACTCCCCTCCGATATCCCAAAAATATGACTTTCTAATGGAATCATTCTTCTGGGGGCAGTTGAACTTAAATTGTGATGGGCAATCACGCACAATTGCGTGACAGACATTCACACAAGGAAGAACCTCAAAGTAATTTTGCGGAGGAACGATTAAATCATTCACGAAATCACTTCTAGATTCATTGTAGAGCCTTTCAATATACCCGGTGACATTTCTTGTCGAGCACCGCGGTATTGTAACTGAACAGAGCCAATTCTTATACAGCCTTGCGCAATCCGAACATTTCCTTATAGGTGAGTAGATAGCATCCATAGTTGTATTGCAAGCAATCTGCTGCAAGGCTTTGGAAAAGTTTGTGTAAAGATTTTTGGCTTGATCGTCGTAGATTCCAGCTAGAGCGCTTTTGTCTTGTAGGTGGTCTAGTGACAGTGCCGGCACTGAGTAAGCCACTTCATCACAAAATTCTAGATCGTAAATCAAGTTGCACGAGGTAGGGCTCATTGTCTCGAACTCAAACTTGGAATAGACGGCACCACCCAATTTAGAGCCCGAGAAGTCAGACACCAAGAAGCCAACATACTTCGTGCTAGCGTTCAATCCACCGACAAGAAACTGTTGACGAAGTGCACCACCACGATTGGTGTAAGAACTATTAAACATACCTGTGCTGAGAAGGGCCGGCCCATTTCTCACTGCGCACCAGGAGCTATTCAAGTTTTTGAAATGATCGATGTCTTCATATGAGTAGATAAAAAGCTGAAATCTGGACAATGATGCGTTATAGTCTGAAGCATGTTGACCATTTGAAGACAAATTACCAGTCACAATGAGGGCCAGTTCAGCATCGGTATCAACAACTTGAGCGAATGAGCGATTATCCCATTGATACACCAAATCGTTTTGAGAAACACCAATCTCATAAGACCACGAAGCTGTCACATTGGTGCTTTCCGGAGCTCTAACACCAATGTACAAGATTGAATCCTCTCCACTTGAAACAGGTACATCAGCCAACGCCAGGAAATACCCATTCTCAAAATGAACCATCGTACCGAGTTCATAATTCTCGAACATCGAAGCATTGAATGAATAGTATAACGTCAAACTTTGGTTTGCACTTGCACTTAGATCATCGGGCTGGTCACAAATGTTGCCTGTAATGAAAATCAAATACTCGTAGTATTCACCTAAACCAGTACTCGTGTTCACATTAAACGAGTACTGCTGAAGCTCGGTTTGCTTGATCCTGTTACTGATGGGGGTAAACTCCTGTAATCCTTCCGAGTCCTTGTTTGTATCTAGATCATTATCAAGTATTCCGAAATTGTTCACATTAAAGGATGAGTCAAGATCAAAAGCAGCGATCAGATGGCCCACGAAATAATCTGTACCTGCTAAGCATTTTGATATCAAACAAAGTGAAAGTAGTAGAAGACTAAAAATGGAATTCATTTTATACTATTCTATAATGCTGCGTATGTGACTCTAAACTAATTGCATACTAATCGTGATGATATCTCAGTAAGTATCTCATACTGCATACAGGAACATCGGTCTTTCCCATAGGCGCAAGCCGCTTAGTCCGCATCAGAAAATCCAGAACTTCTTCTTTTTCTTCTTCTTCTTGTCATCGTTATCATTTGAACGAACCTCCGGGTTGGACTTCGTTGGTTTGATCAGACTCTGGTGCACGGAACGCTCATCATTGGAGAAGAACTTTTTCAACCCGTTTGATCTCTCCTTCAGTCTATTAGGGGTACCCAGATCGGAAAACTTCAACGAGTTGGAATTGGGAGCTGGAGTTGGCGACTTGCTTGGTTTTGAGCTATCATCAATGGTAATACTGGGGACGTTCCTGTGATTCGCAAATTGAATTTGCTGGGGCGGAGAACTAGAAGTTGGAGGTGCGGGACTATTCCTCGCTTCATTATTCTGAGCATTTCTCGTAAGGGTCTTCTTCAACTCACTGTATGATTTTCCTGTGGAAGGTCCGTTATTGCTTGGTGCAGGCTCTGGTTCGAGCAAAGATTTCGTCTTATATGGCACTTTGCCAAATGAGTTTGACCCTGTGATAGCGCTGGCGAGTTTAGCACCCTTACCCTTAAAGTCAGGATCAATTCCTCTCAACTCGTCACACAATTGAAGAGACTTATCTGAAATAGCCTTGGCAAAATTGACGAAGTAACTTTCATCGATTTTGTGCACCTTCAACTCGTCTAGCTTATCATGAAGGTCGAGCCGGTAGTCTTTGTAAACATCAGCAATTTCCTTGAAGCTGCAGTAAGATGCAGAAGATGCAACAGAATTGCCGCTGAAACTGTTAACAGAGTCGCTATCGTCAGAGGAAAGTAGCGACTCGAGATCATCATCGTCGTCCTTTTTCTTGCGTTTAATGATGTTCATCTTTGATCCGGTATTCCCAGCCGGCTGGGTGTCATCAGGTTGTTCTTTTGTTTCTTTCTTGCCAGTAGCTTCCTCTTCCAATTGAAGCTGAACCTTCTTCTCGAAATCACTCATGTTCAGCGCTGGCACAACTATCACTGGCAAGGGGAAATTCTTGACAAGTCTGTCACTTAAACGTGAGGATTGCCAAGATTTGAGCGGAGCACTATTCTTTGTATTCACCTTGGATCCAACACAGACGATATTGGGTTCGTAAAGTTTATACATGTCCTTCAAGGCATCTTTGGTGTTACTATCAATGATCTCTACCGAAACCTTTGCGATGATATCCTTATTGATGACATTAAGGACGTAGTGCATCACACTCCTAGTGATCTCTTTGACGAATTCTGGTCTTCTGCGCTGTCTTTGTCTAACTCTCGGAGTTTTCGGAGCATAAGCATTGGGTGAAGGATATCTGGTCTGTCCATCGGAAGGTGGAGCCAACTTGTGGTTAATCGCAGATGCTATAATGATTGAGTCACCGTGTTCAATGAAGTTACGAAGAATCCAATCAAGTGCTACCCAAGTGTGTTTTCTGCCAGAGATGTAGATCAATATGACACGACGGGGCAACACAGGACCCAAACCTTTATGAGCGAGATTGCCCAAATACAAATCCTCAAAAAGGTAGTGGATACGAGTGAAGGCTGTACCTCTGTGAGTGATAATTGGTGTTGTTGGATACTTCAACATGCCACGAAACATAGATGCCATGTTTCTATGAGGCGACTTCATTCTCGTTGGCGAAGCGCTGGGAGATCTGACTGGGGAACGGCCCGGAATCTTCAAATCTGACTCTCGGCGTCTTCCTCGACTGTTATCATGGTCTTCGGACATGCGACGCATCCTCAGGCTAAGCGAGTCGTCGTCGTAAAATTCTGCCATGGGGTCATTATCTTCATAGTAGCGAATGTCGATTGTATCAAAAGAAATGCGCAGTTGGTATGTTTTATCCAACTTGTGAGGTGGGAAGGATACATCTCTGTAATTCTCGTTACTCCTATTTTGTACCTCAGCCAAGAGAGCATCAGGCCCGCTGTTTGACTCCACAGACAGACTGAAGCGTCTCTTACGCTCCTCGTTGGTATGAGTAGGGATACCAGGATTATACCGCCCCCCGACCAAGTCGGGGGTGGTCTTCATGTGTTGAAGTTGGGGTCTTGAATGCTTTACTTCAGTGTCCAGAGTCATCAAGTGGTAGCGGACGTGAAGAAAAAGTGTAAATTCGGGCTAGAGGACAGCTTATCGAATTAATTGACGTTGGAGGATCTGGCAGGTAGGAAAAAAGATCGATTCACAATGAAGCAAAGAGAGATAGCGAGTGACCTGCAGAAAAAGAAGATTCGAAACGGCAATGACAAGACTAAGACATGCACTCTTCTTGGGTGCAAATGAAAAAAATGTGACTTTTGTGCGCAACCTTCTGCACAGCGCCGCCAAGCTAGAACTTGGAGAAAGGTTGGAAATGTTGCTGCTATTTACCGAGATCTGCTATCGTAGCCAAGGCTGCCTTAAAGGCACTCAGGTGCAAGCCAAGCTTGTGAGCATTGTGTGGCTATTTTATGCAGAGGTGATATTGATATTATGTGAGGCACGAGTGTCCAGCCAGTGTGGATCAGGTGATACTGCCTTATGTTTTTTTGTGATTTGCTGAGGCTGTACGAAATACATAGGGCAGCCAATGCTTGTAATGAGATAGCGGCTAAACCCTGCCTCAGTATCGGCAGTTTCGGATCGCTGCAGGGTCAAAGCCACAGTCTCAGTGCATCGAGGGGGATGAGATACGCTTGAGAGCAGCAACGCCTATTGACGAGCCTTTTTTCCTGAAGCGTAGAACACCATAACGGCTCGTAAGTGCCGATCTGCCGAGGAGTCCACAAAACCAATTATCAACATTTTATTTGGTTTTGCAGCCCGTGCAGCAAGATCACTGGGTTTGGGGCCCTGAGGACGGTTGAGGGCCTTGGAGATCGGACGAAGGGTCCAGTTGAGGCTGGTGTTCGTCACCCTGATAGTTGTTCTGGGCGGCCCATTGCGGCAGAAAATTGAGCCCGCCCGGTCTATTGTATAGCGAGGCGAGCACCAGGCCAGAAGGGTTCCTGCGCTTGAGATTCTCAATGATCGACACTGTCAGTTCTGAAAGCGAGCTCGGCTCTGCGTAGCCGTGTGCAAGGTATTCGTCCAACTGGACACCCTGATTTACCGGATTGTTCTGCCACTCGCTCCATTGAGCGTACGACGGTGCTTGGCTGCTATTGGCGAATTGGCCCTGGCTTCCTTGTTCCTGGCTCCCAGATTCTGGGAACAGCGCCTGGGTCAATTCCTGTGTCAAGCGCTGGCCCAATTCCTGGCCTAGTCCACTCATCAAATCCTGGTCAGTCTGCGACTCGCCAGCGCCAGGAGCCAAGTTCGCACCCAGGTCCTGCCCCGCCTGTTTCGCAGCCATTCGAGGCATTATTTCAGGCACCATGATCTCGTTGCTCGCGAGCGGTTGGCTCAGAGACGCCAAGCCAACCGTGGTCAACAGACTTTCATCGTGACTGAACCCTTCGCTTGGTGCCGGTGTCGATGCCAGATCTGAAACCATCTTTCTCTCTTCCACCTTGTCTGCTTCGCGCCGCCTGCCGCGACTTCTGGTAGCCGTGGGCCCTGGGGCAGGAATGGCTGCCCGCAGCCGTGGGCCTGGTTTTCTGCCTCGAACTCCACCACCCCGTTTCCGTGGTCTACCTCTGCGTGCTGGCGGCGGAGGCGGTGGTTTATCTTCTTCACTATTTCTCTCTCGGTCGTCATCCAGAGGAACAGGCAGCCCGGTTTTCGACTTGAGCTCGTGCGCCGTGCGGAAATCGACTCTCTCGCCCATGGCTCTTTTTTTCCTCACTGCCTGAAGAACCTTGTATGTGTCTCGTAGAAGCTTGAGCCGCTGCGCGACGTTGGTGAGGTCGTGATACCAGTTTTTGTCGGCTTGTAGGGGATCTTCTGGATCAATGTAGCTTTCGTAGTTTCGAAGACGAGCCAATGACTCGGCAACAGGGCGTACAAGGAAAGGCTCGTTCTCGTCGTGCTTGGGTCGCCTGGCTTTCTCTTCTCGTTTTTTGAAAAGCCATGGTACTGGCGAAAGTGCCGGCGTCGGCGTTGACAGTCGTTCCTTGCGGTAGTTGAGTGTGATCATTTTCGACGGCAGATTCTGCGCCGACAGGTCTGACCCTCTGTTGAGCTGGGCCTCATGCCATTTGTCCGGGTTGTACCGTAACGTGACTAGGCGGGACATTTCTTTTTGTGTAGTCGATAAGGGGAGTGAGCAGACGTCTTGAGGAAGTGCTCTGTCAGTGGTTAGAAATTATGCAAAGTGTGCTTTGTGAAGAGTCCAGCGTAGTCTAGTTGAGATCTGCTTTTTGCAGTATCCTTACCAAAAATGTTCTCACGTGAAGGTCACCCGCCGTTTCAAACTACAAGGCACCAAAAGTCGGCATCAAAGGTGGCAGAGAGGAAAACATTGGCTACATGCTTATACTAATGAAGAGTTTCAAAAACATCACCTTGAGTGATCTCACTGGCGGAATTTGCACCTTTTTGACAACGGTCGTGCTGCATAGTGCCCGAAGCGGTAGAAGTATCACTGAGTGCGAAGAATTACTGGGAGGCAGACTATGACCACCTCTGAACTCACCCAATCAGACGAGAACGAGCCTCTTCAGTCCACTGCTGCTCAGCTTCTGGCACTTATAGAATCGACTATAGAGCTTGGTGTCCTCGTGCACGACAACCAAGGCACGCACCAGTCGCATGCTGCCTTGACCCACAGAACGAACCAAATCATAAGTCAGCTCTCCGGCCTAACTCATAGCCCGTTTACTCAGCAGTTTCCTGTTCCCGTGGATGTAATAAGCTACATTGAAGATGGGCGTAATCCGGACATCTATACCAGAGAGTTCGTCGAAGTGACTGCAAAGAGTAACGCCAGACTCAAGGGCAAAATGCTTGGATTCGAGAAGCTCTGCGATGTTTTGGGTAGTAAGCTAGTTGAAGAATTTCCACATTTAGAGGAGGCTGTCAAGAACGTTAAAGAGCGTACATCGCTAAATCACGAGAATCTGAGCTGAGCGTTGAACGTATTGCTAGGCAACACATTAAATAATATGCCAATGCGCCAAAGTGGTCTCATTTTCGGTTACGCATCCTGCTCGTATCTTATTTGGCGCTTACAGCTAGCGTTTTCGAAGAATTCGGGCTACCTTACCCCGGGTGGCTGGCAGTGCGACCCAATAATGGGTGAGCCTATGGCACCATAACCCGCCACTGCCGAGCCAATTACCCGTCAGTGAAAAAACTGTTGTGATTTTAATTCATCAAGACGCTCAACTTTATCAAAACTTGCTTTTTGTTCTCTCATTTGCTCGTTGGTGACATCTTCGATTCATGGCGATCCCACCGTCGGGGTGCGCTTCTCTCAAGGCCTGTAAGCGAGGGCCTGTACCGCGCCGCACCGCACAAGAACCAGCACTTTTGACAAGAAGGCGACTAAGCCAGCATCTGGATCAATGAGAGTGGCTCAAACAAGGCGGTAGAGAACCAGCCTTGCCCTCTTTAGGCTTTGTCTAATCTGTTTTCACTCATGTTCAATGCACCCTGGTTTAGTCAATGCACCTGCGTGCCATTAAATCTCGGATGCTGCACCCTTCCCCAATCGGACTTGTCCCGCCAATAGTGCCCCCAGTATAAAACCAGCGCTGTTTCAGGTTTCAACTGCAACCCACTTTATACTTTCGTTAAGCCTCCGCCTTCAATGCTCAGAACCACGCTCCTTTCAAGTCTCCCACTTCTTGCATTGCTAGGCTCGGTGAAGGCTGACGAGACAGTCTTCAGAACCACAACCTACGATGTCGTCGCCAGAATCCCCGTGACTGAATACGTCTGGACCAACGACGTTGGATCGCTCACTTCTACTCAAATCACAGGTACTGCTACTTACGTGCCTGCTGATGAGACTGAGTCGGCCACCATCACCAGCTCCACCACACCTCCAGCCATTCTGGCGACCGTCCTGGACTTCTCGTCATACCCATCTGACGACTACTCCTCGATCTACGAGTCGGCCGTGCTGGACCCAAGTGCAGTGGCTGCTGCTCCAAGCGAGTCGGAGCCATTGCTGTCTGCCGCTGCTGTCACCAGCGCTCCTTCGTCTTCCGCTTCACCAATTCCTTCTGGTGACTACTTTTCGACCGGTTCATCTTCCACCATCACCACTTTAGAGGACGGCTCCTCGGCCGTTATTGAGTACGTTGTCTTGTACACTAATGTGTGCTCCGCCTCGGACTATTAGATGAACCACCTTAACGCTCCTTAACACTACTGTACTATTAATTTTTTTTACTTCGATGCTTGTATGAAAAAAATATGATGCTCAACTACAATGTAGAAAATCAATCGTTCATTACAACATTTCTGAGGCTAGTAAACTACCATCTGCCGCCTTGGTTACCACCACCGTAGCCGCCCTGGTTTCCACCACCGTAGCCGCCCTGGTTTCCACCACCGTAGCCACCTTGGTTTCCACCATAGTTGCCCTGGCCACCGCCATAGCCACCCTGGTTTCCGCCCTGGCTGTTGTAGCCCCAAGAGCCGCCGTTATCGTTGTTGTTGTTGTATCTTCCACCGCCAGAATGGTGGTTACCGCCTTGGTTACCAGAACCACCAAAGAAGCCACCGCCCTGGTTGTTTCCACCATTGTAGCCGCCATGGTTGTTCTTGCGGTCGTCACCACCGAGAGCACCCATCACACTGCCGAGAAGACCGCCAGAGTTATCGTTATGGTGGGAGCCAGAGCCCTGGTTGCCGTTTCCGTAGTTGTCATATCTACCGCCGTTTCCACCTTGGTGGTTCTGGTTGTTGTTGCCGCCACCACCAAGCATGCCCATAAGGCCACCGAGGCCGCCTCCACTGCCCTGGTTCTGGTTCTGGTTGTGGTTGTTGTTACCTCCGCCGCCGAGCAAACCACCGAGGCCACCTCCACCAGAATTGTGCTGCTGATTGTTTCCACCGCCGGAGAGCATCAGTCCAAGTTTGTTGCCAATCATGTTCTCAATGCCACCGCCGCTGGAATGGCCACCCATAGCACCGCCAATGGCAGAGGTAAGAAGAGAACGGTCACCGCCTTCTCCACCTTGGTTTTGGCCGCCTTGGCCACCAGGACCACCCTGGTTGTTGCTCTGATAATTGTTGTCAGATCTTTGGCCCTGCTGGCCGGAGTTGTAGAAGTCGTTGGCTGACATTGCTGAAAAAGAAGTAGGGGCAGCGAATAATTATCTTTCTTCGTTCAGGTACGGCTGCGCAGAAGATTCAGCGTGCGCAAAGCCCCCGCGGTCATGTGAAGACATCAAACTTGTGTCACCACGCAGAGGCGGAGCAAACGGTGTCATACTTCCGTTTTATCATGTTTATGATTGCTTTATAGATTTTACACCAAGTGCTTTGATTTTGGTGACTTGGAAACGTGGCTGCGTATCAATGCAATTATCAATGCTGTCAGTGCGGGTGCACAATGGCTGCGAAACGTTGGGGCCAAGATAATTAATGGAAGCTTCGATTAGCCGGCCCACATACCGCCGTACCACGGTCTAAAGGGGAGGATAAAACAGAAGATTGATTTACTACCATCTTGAGTTTGTAAAATCAGTTGTTGATTATTCGATTTGTGCGGTGCAAGGGTGAATATGGTGGGTGAGGCATGGAAGCGGAGAGACTAGACCCGAGCAATCGTGCTCGGTGATCAGCGGCCAGGCTTTCTATCGAGCATGAGAGATTACGGTGCGAGTGATACTCCAACGAGAGATTCAACGGGAGGATACCATATAGGGGGCAGATTCTTCTTGATATCTTTTGATTCTTGAAGAACCATGGAGGGATCTAAGATGAAAAGAGGAATCATTTATTGTAAAAAATTGGAGGAATGATTGTAGTTCATGAGAGAATGCTACTGGATCTGCTCGCAAATCTTCAAGGAGAGTTCCACCATCAAAAGTTCCATTCATACCGTGGCATTAAAACCCAGTTCTTACCCTTGCATTGATCTCAAATATTAAGCATCCGTTTCTGCCTGCCAAAATTTTGATCACCACCTGGCCGTAGCGGGAAAACATCGAGACCCAAACATCTCAGAGTAGTATCTGGCCTGACTTCGAAGAAAATCGCCACCTAAATAAATCCAGAATCGTTTCCCGATTTTGGTTATTCACTTTTTGCAACCAATCCTGCGCACCGCTTTTTCAGTCCCTTAATCACCATCAAACAGTGGGTGCGAACGATTTCCTCTTTGAGCACTTGTGTAAACACAGAGACAAGAAGGCATCAACAGTACTAACAAACCTCACATCGAACCTCGTACTCAACGTTCTTGTTTTGGTCTGCTCAAATCACATTCCTTATTACCCGTATATGCCAATTCATGAATTGTGAATCCACTTCCACGTTCGATACCTCGAACATCCTCGATGATGATGATCTCCAAATAAATGATTTCAATGAAATCCCACTACATGCCTCGCCAGTGAAAAGGCCGTCCAAAGCTCCATATGACACTTCGCCGTCAAAGTCACCTGCTTTCCTCAATATGAATAGCTTCCCAGATCTCCGAACGCTGCCTAATGAGCTCTTTCAGGTCACACACCACCTCCGATCAAGAGAATTGCTCGATAAGCCACTCAAGAACGACAAAATTGAAAAGCTCCTCAGCGAGCTAGAAGAGAACAACAGCGACTTTGAACTTGATGATCAACTACGTACAAGAGTGTTTCGTGGTCGCTTGAGGAAGCAGCCTTCAGACTCATTAGACATGAAGTTGGACTCCTTTCTAGACGACAGCTCCACAAACGGGTTTTCTCAACAACGAGTGGCAAAACGATTTAATGATGAAAACAAAGAAAATAGCCTACGTCCCAGCAAGAAGCCCAGGCTCTCTGACAGACCGAGAAGGAGCATGTCCTCCATTCCTTCTCTACAGCCATTGTCCAATATCACTGATACAAATTCAAGAAGTCCTAATCGTTCCCCTCAGCGTATATGCGTGCCTAGGAGGCGAAGACCTCTGAGGCCCTGTCTCAAAGAGCTGCTGCTGCGGCTGCCAATACAAATATTTATGGTTGAGTCACTGACAGGACTAGTCAACGACGCTACTCAGTTTGGCACAGAGCTCAATGCCTCCAATTGTGAGGGTTTCCTCATGCCAGATAACGTTAATGAGATTGTTCAGATCCCCACGAACGAAGTGGGTCCGCTGGCAAAGAAGAAGCTAGCTATCATCAAGGCTCATCATAGCAAACGATTTTGCGAGAACAGACCTGAAGAAAGCAAACAAGAAGAGAATTCATCAGGCTTTTACCTGAAACGAGAGTTTGAAGAATACAAGGCTCCAAAAGCGCAGAGGCAACTGCAGGTGCAAGTACACAGAGACAGCAAAGCTGTGCGTTGGGCAGACGAATTAGAGTGGTAAAGATGCCCCTGATTAGTTGTTGCCTTCAGCTTCATAGAATTACGCGATACGACAGACCCAGAATCAACGATCACCTCCTTTACACGTGTAGATCCACACCAATAGACGACGTGCTTACACCTCTGGCTAGATTTAATTTAGTGCAAATTTTAGATGAAAATTAGCTCTATGTCCCTGGAAATCCTCAAGTAGTTTAAATAATGATGTCTTTTTAAAAATTTCGGAAGTTTGTTTTGTTTTGTCGGCGTATTTTCATGGTGCCTCAGCCCCACTATGAGGCGTCTGGACAAACTTTGCGCGACCTTATCGAAGTTTCGTATATACTTGACATCAATCACCACCACATTCATAAACTACCATAATGTCTACTTTCTTTGATGAGATGAAGCGTTCCTTTGCTGACGTGCCAGTCACTGACAACAAAGTGGACACCGCTGCTTTCTTGCAGGCTGCCGAATCCTTGGTCAAGCTCTTCGACTTGTTAGGATCCTCCGCGTTCACTGTTGTCAAGAACGACATGAACGGTAACATTGAAAAGATCAAGGCCAAGCTTTTGCTGGATCCAGCTGGAGCTTCTACTTTGCAAGACTTGGTCTTGTCCGAGGCCCCAACCAAGAGCAAGAAGGCCACACAGGGTCTCTTGTGGTTGTCCAGAGGTTTGCAATTTACTGCTCAGGCAATGAGAGAGACCGTCGACAACCCTAGCAAAGAGTTGACTGTTACTTTCACCGATGCTTACACCAAGACGTTATCCCAGTACCACGGTATGTTGGTCAAGCCAGTGTTCAAGTTGGCTATGAAGGCTTGTCCTTACAGAAAGGACTTCTTTGAGAAGTTGGGCGCCAACCAGGAGAAGGTCAACGAGCAGTTGACTGAGTGGTTGAAGGCCTTGGAGAACATTGTGAAGATCATCATGGACTTCTTTGCCTCTGGTAACTACGGCAAGGGCTTATAATGGAATTAGACTAATATTCGACAGCGTGTAAGACATTCATATTCTATCCGTGTATTGAAATAGGGCTTACTTCCATGCATGTACTTATTGCTGACCAATACGCTTGGTCTCTTGCATCAACTCGTAGAGCTGAGAGACTTGCTCCGGCGACATCTTGTCTAGGTCCTGTTGGGTCATCTTTCCCTCCTGCCAGGTACCACCGTCGATGCTTCTCAAGTAATCTTGCCACTGGGTCAAGAATCCAACGATATGAAGGGCATTGTCTGTATTCTTGTGGGCTTTAAATTCTGCTTTCACGTACTCATCGCCCAAGAATCGAAGTTCCGATGGCAACTTTGATCTGTGAGCTCTAAGAATCGAGCGATAAAGCTTCAAAGGCGGCAAGAGCGGAGGTGTTTTCCTCTCGGGACGACGTGGCCTGATCAGGCGTATTAAGCTTGGTCTCATTTCAATTTGATTCCCCCAAAGTCGTCTGTGAACAAAATGAGCAGCCGCTGTGTTGTCACGTGTGGATCCACCTAAGGAATTTGAATGTCCTTTGGATCAATGGGAATGTGGCCACGTCAATAGAAGAAAAATTTTAAGGGTCAAGAAAAGTTGGCCTAACGTTCTATTATGGTCTCAATAGCTAATTGTGTTTCGGAGACATCGAAGTCAGAGCCGATCTCAGCTTTCGCAGCCAAGGCCTTCAACAACATAATTGTTTGTTTGACACCCTTCTAAGTCGTTGCAATACACAACAAGGACAGCCAACACAATAGGCTTTGCAATAGCCTCTTTACATGATCTGGCCTCCATCAGCTGGGCTTTTACTCGGCTACAAGCTAACACTACTGATTAGGGGAGTGGCTGCATGGGCGACTTGCGTGTTTGGGTATTTTCTAAATTTACAGCAGTGTAGCCAGATCCCATTTCAGGAATGAAAATTCCCGGTTTTACCATTCCCCTTCATCGATCAGTTTCCCCTTATGGTATATGAATCTATGATCGAAAGAGGTAATTTTATTTTATGCTTCGAAGACGCACCTGCACATTGGCAGACAGAAGAACATACTTTTTATGGCAGTGGACTAAAACGCACTTATCCCAATCCAGTAATTCTCAACCTCGTGCATCTAGATGGCTGCAAATGGTAGGGTCCCTTAAAAGGTTCCCCAGTCCCACCATTTTGCAAGCCTTAACAGCCTCGTCTTTTTGAAGCTTGTACTTTTTTTTTCTTCCGTCGGAGACATACTTTCGTTTTCTATTTCTTCGAACCCGAGAACATCCTTCAATTCAAAACTCACGTTTGATCAGCTGTTCCTTCGCTTGAGTTATTTACAATGAGGTTCGCTTCAGTTTTTACCATGGCGACCGCCTTCACGGCCTCGCTCGTGTCAGCTGCCCCAGCCACTGGCTCTGCCGTCAACATCATGAAGAGAAGTGAAAGTGGTGCTGAGATCATTGACTTCGAATACGTTGCCAAAGCTATGCGTGAACTTAATGAGAGAAGTGCTTCTGGCAATGTCAATGCCGCCCAGAAGCGTGACGATGAGGACTTTGTGGACCAGTTGTTGACTCAACTCCACAACTCCAACTTGCTCGAGGAGTTTGTTGACCAGTTTGCCAACTCTCCTCGTTTGAAGCGTTCTGTCCAAGAGGGTGTTGCCCAGGCCATCCAGGACGGTAACGTCGACGACATTGTTGTCTTCAAGGCCTTGAAGAACAGTGGTAAGATGCAGCAGTTCTTCGAATCCGTTCTCAACGACCAAGACTTGAACGTCGCTCTTTCCTCCGATGCTAAGAACATCGTGGAGGAGGTTGAGAGAGACGGTGTTGAGGCTCAAAAGAGAGCTTTAGAGAGAGCCCACCCATTCATCAAGAGATTGTATGCGGAGCTCCCCAACGCCAGAGAGAAGAGAGACTTCCACCCTGACATCTTGGACGCTTACGGAATGGAGAAGAGAGACCTTGTCGATGCTATTGGATCCATTGTCAGCCTGATCTTTGACTCTGGTATCATCCAGAACATTATTCGCTCTATCTTTGGTAACACCAACTTGATCCAAGGTGCCTTGAACTTGCTTACCGGTGTCATTCGTGCTATTCCATGGGGTAACTTGTGGAACGCTTTCAAGGAGAGTGGCATTATCCTGAGAATCTTCCGTTGGGGTTTCAACTTCGTTGTCGGTTTGTTCAGTTCTGGCACCGTTGGTAAAATCTTCAACACTCTATTTGGAGATGGAGCCTCTGACACTTCTTTCCTTAGTCGCTTGTTGACTGTCTTGGTTGACGTTGGTGGTGAGCTTTTCCAGAGTATTGTCAACAACGCTGGCCTCTTTGGTGAGCTTGCTAAGACTATCTTCAGCGGTCTCTTCGGTGGATCTGGCTCTGGTTCTGACGGCAACTTCTTGGAGAACCTCCTCGGTGGTTTGGGCTCTGGTTCTGGTTCTTCTGGATCTGGCTCTGGTAACGATGTTTCCTCTGGCTCTGGTTCAGGTTCTGGTTCCAGCTCCGGTGGTTTCTTCGACACTATCTTCAACGATATCTTTGGCGGTGACTCGAGCAGCTCCGGCGGTTCTGGCTCTTCTGGAAGCTCCGGCTCCTCTGGTTCCTCTGGTTCTGGCCTTTGGGGCTCTGGTTCCTCTGGCTCCTCTGGCTCCTCCGGCTCCGGCTCCGGATCTAGTGTCTTCAGTGGAGACGCCAAGGCTTGTTGCTGTGACGCCAAGTTGATCAAGACCAGAGCTCTCAAGAGAGCTTTGCACAGAAAGATCAAGCGTTCTGTGAAGAGAGCGATTGCCAGCAACCCAGAGAACAGCCACGACATGTTCTTGAACTACGCCTACGCTAAGGTTTAAAGAACCACAGAGCACAAGACAGACTTGCAGCATATGGTTCTGACCGCATATTTCCCATGATTCCCACAAAAGAAGATCCGTCTTCCTAATTTTCTTGTTCTTTTTAGGTAATTATTTTCAATAGTTCTATTTGGGGTTAAGCTTGATGCTATGATTCCCACCAATAAAATTGGTAACAAAAACTTATTTTAGTAGTGCTTTCAATCAACACATCCGGAGATTCGGATTTAAAAACAAGTCTCCTGCCAAAAACAGTTACGAAGAAAGCCAGGTCTGGAACAAAGCAGACAGAGAATATTCAATTGCGCTTCGATCATATATGTTATCCATTATTGGTAATATGTGATGCTCAGGGTCCGCATAATATTCTGTGGTCTGTTCCCAAAGGTGTATTACCCAAAGAGGAAGTGGCGTTTCGGCTTGAATTTCAAGCCGTAACCTTAAAATAGCATACCTACGTGAACTAACGCTGATTCTACACAAATGGCATGAGAAGCAGATGCAATGTAGAGTATTTGCAAGAGAGAATTGAGTGGATCATAGGGGCTTTAGTAGTTTTACGACAGATCTGGCGTTTGTGGGCCTTGTGGTTGTCAAAACTTTTGACAGCCCGTCAAATCAGAATGGCTATAGTGAGCTCTAGACCGTTCTTCCCGTCGCATTGTATCCTGAACCAAAATTAATGTTTTGCAACTTCCAGAACTGACCATTTGAATGGCTTCCATATTTGTAGAATACCAATTTGAAGGAATTGCTTGATGTAGTCAAGCATGCACAATGAGCCCCAGACTAACGAGCGTGCTTAGTTGTCTGCAGGCTGCATCAAAGAAAATGTTCCTTCTTGGGTATATTGTCTGCGAAGAATCTTTACCTAATGCGGTAAGACAGGAACGAGCTCCAACTATTCTAAAGTGGCAGAAAATGTATGAGGGCTTTATAAATCCTTGAGCCCCAAAGCCCTTGCGTATTTCACAATTTTTGTTTCTCTTTTGTTCACCAAGCCCAGCCTTCGGATTTTGACACCCTTCTTTTTATTTTAATTTAATTCAGTTCGCTCCAAGGGTCTACCGAAACATCCTTCCACTCGTTAATGGATAAGACATGAGGTTGTCCACTCAAACATTGACTTTAGTTCTTTGCGCCTCTGCCTTTGCTCAGGTGCAAAGCGAGAAGGACAGAGCAAACATCAAAAGAAATGCCGTTGAAAAGGACTCCTTCCAACAGGCTGAGGAACTCGCCAAGAGAGGTCTCTTTGACTGGCTCACTGGTGGTGGTTCTGGTTCTTCTGGTTCTGGTTCCGACAGTGGTTCCGGTTCTGAATCTTCCAGCGCTGCTGCTCCTGCTGAGCCTGCTGCTTCTTCTGAAGCTGCTTCCTCCCAGCCTATCGCTGCTGCTGCGGTATCCTCCAGCTCTTCTCCTGCTGCTGCTGCTGCCCCATCTTCTAGTGCTGTCAGCTCGGCTCAAACATCTGCCCCAGTTTCCCAGAACACTCCAGAGGAACTGACTTCGCTGAGCTCTGCCTCATCTTCGTCTGCTTCCTCCTCCTCCAAAAAGGGATTGTTAGATGGTTTGTTCGGCAATGGCGACAGCACCTCATCTGATGACTCGGGTGCCTCCGTCACCTCCTCCGGTTCTGCTTCTGGCTCGGGCCGTGCCCTTGCTTCTGCCGCTGCCGAGGAAGACGACGAGGACTGTGAGACCATTGAGACTGAACTTCCTACCACCGATGCTGACCCAGTTACACCTAACCCAGGCAACAGCAACTCCAACTCGCGTACTGTGGCTGCCTCCTCCACCTCCGTTGACTCGAGCGAGTCGGACTCTTCTGCTTCTGGCTCTGGCTCTGCTAGTGCCTCTAGCTCCTCGAGCACCGGTGGCTGGTTGGACAACATTTTCGGCACCACCACTGCCAGCTCTGCTTCCGAGACCGACTCTGCTTCTGAGAGCAACTCGGCCTCTGGCTCTGCCAACTCGGCCTCTGGCTCTGCCAACCCAGAATCTGACGATGCTGCTGCAATTGCTTCACGAATCACCGAGGATGACTGTGCCTCTGACGAGCCTCTCATTCCTGACGAATCCGAAACCGATGCCCCTACCACTACCACTAACGGCGGCTCTGTTACCACTTCGGGATCCAACAGCGTTTCCTCTAGTGCCAGCAGCGGCAGCTTGATTGTCACCACCGAGTCCGACGGCACCACCACCACCTGGGTGGACGGTGATGAGGAGGACTGTGAGAGCGACATCGACCCTATCCCAGGCTTGTCCACTCCAACCCCAGAAACCACTTCAACCAGATCCACTGGAAGCTCTTCTCTGTCGGCTGGTACCCCTGTCCACACATCTCTCACTGTCATTACTGAGGGTGGTAGCACCACTACCTCTTGGACCACCTTGCCTGGCTCCACCACCAGATCTTCTACTTCCTACGAGGTTGTGACTTCGAGCGACATTCTCGGCATCAAGACAACCATCACCCAGGCTGGCCAGTACACCACCACCTCCGGTGCTGCTGTCTGGATCTGTGACGATGAGGAAGAGTGGACTGACACTAAGGTGGTGAACGGTGACTCTGGTTCTGGCGGAAAGCCTGCCACCACTACTACCAAGTGGTGGTCCACTCCAAGCTCTGGTTCCGGTGGCTCCGGCTCTGGTTCCGGTTCTGGTTCTGGCTCTGGTTCTTGTGCCAACGTGAACTGTGACAACGTTGACTGTGGTGATGACGACTACGACTTCTGGGACAGTGAGGATGAGGCTGACGAGCAGGAGGCCAAGACCGAGGTTCACACCTACACCACCAGACGTCCTTACACCACCACCAGCGCTGGCCAGGTTGTCACTGGAACCACCGACGAGACTGTCGTTTCCACATACAAGACCACCGAGGTGAATGTTGGCACCAAGACCCACGTCAGTGTCACCACCGAGGAGTGCGAGGACCAGGATGAGGACTTCTGGAGAAAGATGGAGGGTGACTCCAACTCGGCTTCGTCTGCTTCCTCGTCTGCCCGCTCCAGCTCCAGATCGAGCTCCAACGCCAACACTTCCACCAACTCGGCTTCTTCCAGTGCATCTTCTGTCGCTAGCTCCAACTCCTCCAGTGCTTCCTCTAGCGCTGCCTCCAGCTCTGCTGCTTCCAGCTCCGTGGCTTCTAGCTCTTCTGCTGCTTCCTCGAGTGCTCCAGCTGACTCCAGTGCCCCAGCTTCTTCTGCTGCTGGCTCTGCTGGTGCTGCCGGTGCCGCTGCTGCCGAGACTCCATCCCAGTCTGGTTCTGAATCCTCATCTTCTCCATCTTCAACTGGAGGTTTCTTGTCGAACTTGTTTGACAAGAGACAGCAGATTGAGGCTCGCTCTGGAAGTGAGAAGTTGCTTCCTGGCGCTGCAGGCTTGATGCTTGCCGTGCTTGCGGTTGCATTGTAATGAGACCAGGCCCAAGTTCCTTCTCTATTGAGAAATGTATCATAATTGGATGGTGAATGACGCTAACATTGCGTGGGCGCCCAGTTTTTCTGGGGCACCAAAATTCTAAACAAAAATTATTCGATCCGTTATATCCTTTTATTTCGTTATGCATTGAGTCTATAAGACAACAATACATTAATCAGTACCATTGTGTTTGTAGCCGCGCTTTTGCAGCCATTTCCTCGCTCATCTCTATATGTCTTTGACTCCTCAGAACATCAGAACCTGAGCAATCGGGGGCCTTCAAGAGCAGTATTTCTGTAATGAGCGTATTTGTTACCAGCGGGGTACTTTAGATCGGTCGCTGTAGTTTCTCCTCATTTCCCAAAAGAGGCACCATCGGTAGTACGGCCATGATGTCAGCTTCCAAACTCACACATACAATTGAAGACGTTGCATTGAAGCAATAAAGCACCATCTTGTGGTCTGCTTTGTGACCTACTACATAGATCAAAGCAGCTTTGGCTAACAAGCTGATCGCCGTTCCCGCCTAAACGGCGTGCAAGGCCAAAATCTCCCCCTTTCTTATAATCCAATCTAATAATCATCGAAATATTATTAACTAGCTCAATCCTCCATATATTGTCAATTCACCAAACCAAACCCTCCGGATCTAAATCTCTCCATCGCTATCATACTGCATAGGCGACATCCGTATAAAACAGAAGGTTGTTCACGTGATACTATTATCAGTTGAACCTGAAGGCGCTCCGAGTTCAGCAGTTAGTATTCACCCGAGACAAAATGGTGGACAGACAAACCATTCTATTAGTCATCATTATGGTGATGCTATTTACCTTGCCTCCAGGCTCAGATCAACCATTGGCCTCGGAGGATAGGGCCGTTCTACAAAAATTCAAGTCTAGCCTTATTCAAAGCCGAAAGGAGGTGCTAGATTCACAGTATTGGCTAGGGTATGGGAACCTTACAGGTCTAAAACTCTCTTATCAAGACAATCTTGAAAAGAAGAATGTTCTGCTATGGCCATTTCGTGAATACTCGAAAAAGAACCCTTGGCAGGAGAGGGAACAGGACAGTTTATTACCGGATGTGGTGAGTAAGCGAGTCAAGGAGAATTGGGGAAATGATCCTGTGCTTTCTCATGATGATCATGCATATCCTCTCAACATATCCGGTCACTTGTACGGTGATTTCGATGTTGTAAAGCCCGACAAAGCTCTCAAACCCTTCCGCATGAGGCTACCGAGGTATTTGAAGGATTACTACCTGCTTTATAAGCAAGAGAAGTATGAGGAAGAGAGACAAAGATACGAGCTGGACCCGGAATCAAACTCTCCTCCTCAGGAAATAGAAGGCAGCAGAGAGAAGGCTGGCAACATCACCACTTACAAGGAAGGTATTATAGAGCTTGAGCTACATTCCTTGGGTTATAACTTCATGAACCCTGAGCTAGCCGACTTCGTAAAGCTGAATCCAAAATCCAAAATTGATGACTCAGTGGTGGTCACAATGAGCATGAGTTTGAAAGACTATCCTGAGAAGCATGATGATGAGTTCAAAATGTTGGGAGTGTATTATCAGTCTACAGGCGCCTTAATAGCTTCGACAAAGTCAGCAAAGTTTGAAGGCGGGCATGCACTTCCTCACTTCACGATGAATGAGGAGAATTTCAATATCTCTAAGGCTCTCATGAGCCAAATTGTAAATGTTACCGACATTGAACAAGAGGTATCTATTGATGATATGAATAACGCAATTGAAAGATCTCAGGATCAGTGTGAGTACATCTCGTACTTCCAGCTTGAGAGAACAGATTTCACCAAAGATCAGCTTCGAGCAATAGATGACGAGCTTCTCCTGCCACAGGGGGCGCCCATACCAAAAAAGCTACCACAATTGGAGATCTCACATGCAATCGTATATTCACCAGATTGTGGTATACTTTTAGAGAACAAGAAATCGGAGGTGTTTTCTGGTCTCCGTCTGGAGATCTCAAAAACCAGATCCCGTCAGATGGCAATAGGCGTCTTGCTTCTAGCTGTAATTGAGCTCAATCTTTTATTGAGGCAAATGAAACGTTGCAGAAGCCCGGGACAACTTTCTAATGTTTCATCAGTAACCGTGTCATTGCTAGGTTTCTGGACGCTGGTGACACTCGTTTACTTCTTGTTGAGATCTTTGCAGCAAAGTGAGTTATACATATTATTGACTTGCGTTTCTGTGATAGCTTCGATACTTTGTCTACACGAAATGAGACTTTTGGTTGGTATTTTCACTGCACAAGAGAACGAGAGAGGAACTAATTGGTGGGAGATTTTGAGAGGGTCGCTGGTGGAAGGCCAAAGCAATAGAGAAGGTGAGGCTGCGCCGGCTGGTGGGGATCAGCCCAACGAGGAGGCAGTGGCGGCACCTGTCCCAGCTACCACCGCCGCCACAGCGGCTCCACAAGTGAATACGGTGCAGCAACTCTCTGATGAGGCTCGCTACCCTAACATGATTTTCTTTGCTGGGTTTGCCTTGACATGCATAGCAATGATGTTGATCTCGAGTATTACAAGATGGAGGATTTCATACAGAAGAACAGCTGAGTATGTCATCTTGATATTTTTCAATTCCTACTGGGTTCCTCAATTCTTCCGGAGCACATTGAAAAACAGAGTTCGTGTGTTTCTGTGGGAGTATGCCATCGGTACGTCACTTGTTCGGTTTATTCCTGTTTTCTACATGTGCCTTGATAAAAACAACGCAATCCGTCACCATTATGATCCTGTTATGGCCGTGGTGGTATTCAGCTGGATTTTTACACAGCTCTTCTTCTTGTACTTGCAAGACTGTTTGGGTGCTAGGTTCTGGGTAAAGGATAAGTGGTTACCTGAGCAGTACAACTATCACCCAATCATCAGCATCAAAGATTTGGAAAGTGGATTTTCGCTGGACATTTTGGCCAACATGAAGCCTCAGACTGCTGACAAGGACCTAGCAATTTGTGATATAGATTGTGCAATTTGTATGTCCACACTTCAGGTTCCTGTTGTCTCTGGAGAGGTTCTGTCGGTGTCCAAGAAAAATGTTGATAGCATGATGAAGGAAGTCATGGTGACACCATGTCGCCATATTTTCCACGGCAAGTGTTTGGAGGATTGGATGGTCTACAAGCTTCAGTGTCCGGTGTGTCGTTGCCCCTTGCCTCCGGTCTAAACGGCGGAAAGTAAGGCGGGAAGTTCTCCAAGAAGTCTTCAGATGATGACTAGAGCTTGGTGCCGAGGAGCATTTTGTGTCACATACAAGCGGATTTCATATACTTTAAGCGACCGAGGCTACTTAAACGGAGCCGAAAGCGTCATTGTCGGAAAAACCAGCAACTAATGGAGCTTGGCAAAAGGTGCATGTTCCGAGGGCCAAGCGCGAGTGGTTTGTAATGAGCTACAGAAGATCAACCCGAGATAAATAAACCTTTCCTATTTACTGCTAAACCCTGCAGTGATATGCAATGATGTAAAAAATGCTAATGAGTTCTCACGAAAAGAAGTTAGACCATGTAGATTCGTTGTAACCAAGTATACATCGACAATAACCTTGAATCGTGGAGGTGATATAGGCGAGCTGCAGCATACCAGATGAACGGCCCGCCAGTAGAGCCGCATCTAGTCGTTAGCTCCGGGAGGACAGATTCATTTCTAAAGGGAGGATGAAATCAGACGATAGCAAGTCGCTTGTACGAACCAGCAGTTTGCGACGGCCACCCAGACCCCGTCTCTCTGGAGAAGGGGCCAACGCCTGGGCGGCTGATATATTGTGTCTCGTTAGTTGGGAACGAGTAACCACTTTCGTTTGAGGAGACTGTGAAGAGCTCAGAGACCGGCGCCAGAGCTTCATGAACAGACCCGTCCGTGGACGTTTGGGAGGCTCCTCCTTATTGGAGCGCCTGAGGGCATTGAGCGGGTTGAGTTTGGAGAACATGCGAGGAGACGATACCGAGAGCATGGGCGAAGAAGCCAAAATAAATAACAAAGTGAGGATATCAAAATGGCAGATCGCAGACTTATATACGACGGGAGACCGTTTGGGCCCTGGGCCGCAGAATGCAATACGAGCGGCTACAAGACAGGTCCTAGTGCGCCCGCTCCGAGGGGCTTTCCCACGATGAATTTCCCGTCGGATTCCGCACCCACAGGCCACAGGCCACAGCATCGAAAAATGAAAGACTATTTTCATTCATAAATTAGAAAGTTGCGGGGTGGCCAGTGCAAAAAGCACCAGTCTATGTGACCGTTTGATTCTTTTTTTTGTTTTGGTTTTGCTATCCACGGGCTACATTCTCGGTTGCTTAGCAAGTCTTGGTATTTCTGGGCTGGTTAGAATTTTTTGACAGATGCTTGCACTTCCTACTGTGGTCACAGCGCCGTCGGACAAGGCGGGTTGACTCACGGTAGCGGAAGATTAGTAAACCCGGAGGTGCGGCTCTTGCCATCGGAAGACGGTACGGACCTTTTGTGTGTTCCGGAGGCGGGGGGCGAATTTCACCCTGCGGATTCTTCTTTCGGTTTTTGAAGCGCCTGTGTTTTTGTCCCTTGTTCTGGAGGGGTCTTGCTTTCCCTCACTCACGACCGGATACGGCTGTAAAACGGCTGCGAAATGATGACGGCTCGGCGTGCGCACACAATGGGCTCCATCATGACAATGACAGGTACCCGTGGGATGCATTTCATCCATAAAGTATAATAAGAGTGTTGTATAGTGATTCAGGGGATGTATTAAATGACTACTTTTGATTTATTTGGCCAGCTCGGTGTTTGAAGTTTGCGGGGTGGAGTCATAATTTTTGTATGGAGCGGCGAACTTAACGAGAAATGCGGGCCCCGATTGAAAATGCAAATAAAAAATAGGGTTTTCGTAAATCGACAATAAAAGTGGCATAGAGAATTACTCAGCGCAGTTTGCTTATATCGGATTGCTACGGCTAGTGGCGGTGGCGAACTACCACAAAAGTGGTGCTTTATTACCTTTGGCACGTCGCAAACTATGCGGCCACTGCTGAGTAATGCTGCCGCTGAGTAACGCAAGTATGGTTTGAGAAATTTTGAGTCAAATCTGTTTCCGCTTTTGATGGTAAGATTTATAAGAATTAAGCTACTTGCGTGAAGTAACGACGCCCATAGTTTAACAGCCAACGCACAGTTCTGCTCATTTGCGCCATTTCGACAGACAGCAGTCCACATATTACATATAGTAGATCCAGGAGGATGCACTACTGAATTGGATGCCTGTTGAACCGCTGAATCCCGTGACATCTGTAAGTGATCAACTCAGCTACGGCGAAGAGCCGGAACATCATCCTCTTGTGACACTAAGTTAGTAAACTTTGACTCATGCTCTTATGGCTTGCTAGACATAGCCTTTCCAGAGTTCCCGCTACGTTACGGAGAGGCCAGGCGCAATGGTAAACGGTTCTTTCGGATTTTGGTTCCTAACCACATGATCAGGCGTGATAGTTTTCAAGGTTTATCAAGCGACCTACCGCCAGTGCGTCTAACATGCAATCAAATATCAATAAGTATTTGCACTTTCAAAAAATCGTTAGTAGTCGTCTCTGTGGTTATCTCTCGCGCTTAATTAGGCAGGCTGGTGAGAAGCGCTAAGATTGACTGCACCAAGTAGTGTGCGCTAAGCGCCTTATATAAGATTGATAGCGTAGAAGCACCTGCTATACCAATGGCTCCACAGCTTAAAAACCCCGAGCTTCTTAGAACCAAGCCTTTCATTAACGGTGAATGGGTCGAGTCCAAATCTACCAAGACATTTGATGTCGTGGATCCCGCCACGGAGGAGGTGATAGCGACGCTCCCAGATCAGACACCCGAGGAGATTGACCATGCAATCCAAATCACAAAAGATGCTTTTGACAGTTACAAAAAGACCAATGTTGTGGACAGATCGAGATGGTTACGCAATTGGTACGACTTGATGCTTGAGAATCTCGACGATTTAGCCACTCTCATCACTATGGAGAATGGTAAGTGCTTGAATGATGCACTTGGAGAGGTGAAATATGCTGCCTCTTACTTTGAATGGTTTTCTGAAGAGGCGAAGAGAAACTATGGCCACACTATTCAGCCAGCTAACAGCAACAACAAGATCATCACCTACAAGCAGCCTGTTGGTGTGGTGGGGCTCCTCTGTCCGTTCAATTTTCCTGCTGCTATGGGTGCAAGAAAGGCTGCACCAGCATTGGCAGTAGGATGCACGTGCATCATGAAACCAGACGCTCAGACACCATTGACTGCTTTGGCGATGGCTCATTTGGCCGATAAGGCCGGTTTCCCCAAGGGAGTATTCAACGTTGTATTGAGTTCCGTTGAGTCCACACCAGTCTGTGGAACAAAGTTTTGCGAGTCACCATTAATCAAAAAGGTGTCTTTCACCGGATCCACGCCAGTGGGAAAGCTTTTGATGAAACAGCTGTCGCTGACGCTCAAGAAATTGCTGATGGAGCTTGGTGGAAATGCTCCAATTGTTGTGTTTGAAGATGCGAAGCTCGACCAGGCAGTTGAGCAGGCAATCGCCTCTAAATTCCGCTCCTTGGGCCAAACATGCGTTTGTGCCAACCGTATTTACGTTCAGGCGGGTATCTACGATGAATTCTGCCTGCGCTTTGCCGAGAAAGTGAAGGCGTTCAAAATCGGCAACGGTTTCGAGAAAGGCGTTACCCACGGTTGCTTGATCAACACGCGAGCGATTGATAAGGTAGAGGAGCACGTCAGAGATGCCGTTGGCAAAGGGGCAGAAATTCTTGTGGAAGGTGGCCGCCTCAGTGATCTTGGCAAACACTTTTACAGTCCATACGTGCTTGGGAAGGCCACCAAGGAAATGAAATGTTTTGGTGAGGAGACGTTTGGCCCCCTCGCGGCGATCGCCAGGTTCGAGACCCAGGAAGAGGTTGTTGCTGAGTGCAACGATACGCCTTTTGGTCTTGCGGCTTATGTGTTTCTGGAGAGCCTCAACCGGGTGTGGCAAGTTTCCGAGGCGCTTGAGACAGGCATGGTGAGTGTGAACAGCGGAATTTTCACTGATGCCGCATTGCCCTTTGGTGGAGTCAAGGAGTCAGGATTCGGCCGTGAAGGCTCCCTCTATGGCATGGACGACTACACCGTGGTGAAGCTGATTTCTCTCGGCAATGTCTATGGCTAGAATGGTTGCAAATTTACATAAATAACGTGCGTGCGTTGTGCCGGCATTTAGGGCCAAGCGAGCAGGAACCGCAGCGCGAATTGTAACCACCACTCTTCTTCCATAAATGTGTATGGGGAGACCGCGGTGGACAGGCGTGGTAGAGCTGAGCAAGGAAAAATGCTTACCCGTACCGGTCACGTGTACTAGGTCCAAGAAGAGTCCGCGTTATCTAGATTTCCTATATGTGGTGCTCGGTGGAGCAGCGGTGTGGGTGTTGATAACGAGGTTCATGGGCTGAGAATGTCCCCACGTCCGTCACCCCAGTATAATTATATCCTGACACAATAAATATAAAAGTACCCCTCTGTAGAAATCATGCCATACTCGCCGGCGTCAACCCACTTTTTTTTAGACACCTTCTTGACATTCTCCAGTGCCAAATTCTATTTATTCTATTTGAGCCGGTCTGGCCTGGCTAAAAACGGCCTGGGCGCACCGCCCCAGCGCGCTCTAGACTGGCTGCGCGGTGTGCCTTCCAATTGCACTATGCGCAGCGAAGCTCGTGTTTCTACACGCTTGACGCTAATTCTAGGATATGGGCTTTTCACCATGGAATTGACGAAGTTTTTGATTCATGGCTTTGGCGAGACACTTGCGAAGTAAGGCTTTTCTCGGGCCGCCCGATTTCCAAAATGGGAAGCTGAAATATGCCCCCTTGTCGTGGGGAAACCTTTATCTGGGCCGCCCAGCGCTGGTGTGTAGGCATTGTCTGGGTTACCTCGTCTGGAACTTTTTCGTGCCTTGCCTGGGTCTGGGGCGGCGCGCAGTGCCAATATTGTGCTGCTGCTATTTTTTTTTTTTTTTTCCCTGCTCTTCCTTAATTACCCAGAGGTCCACCCGTTCTTTATTCCCGTTATACCCCCATTCTTTACACACCCCCATCCACTCGTTTCCCGGCTGACATAGCTCAACTACTTCAACACAAAAACAACCAGGCCCCTTCTTTCAGCCGGCCTTTTCCCTCCCTAGTGCCTGCTTTCCTCCCTATTTAACGGTGCACAGTGTAAACGGCACCACTAGTCATGAAGTTAGTGTACCTTTTACTTGCCTCCGTGGCCCTTGCCGCCGACACAGGCTTGGGCTGCTACTCTCTGGTCGATACATCGAATTTCGAAGGCGAAGGCCAGTTTGAGACGTCTGATACGTGCAGCAAAAAATGTGAGAACTATCCTTACATCGCTATCAAGAATGGTGGTATGTGTTACTGCCTATCGTCTAGACCATCATCCAACCAGGTCTCCGATTCCCAGTGTTCCACCCCATGTAACGGTTATGGTGACGTGAAGTGCGGAGGCGCCAACGCGTTCACCGTATTCAAGGGTATGGCCGAGGACTCGGGCTCAAGTGCTGGATCGCTGCCCCTGTCATCGTCGAGTGGCCCGCTGAGCTCCTCAACCGCTCTGTTTAGCTCGTCCACCGATGGTCTGACTGCCGTTGGCGCCACGAGGACATCTCTGCTGAGCCAATCCTCATCCACTCACTCTAGTTCCGTGGCCACATCGAGCTTCTCTTCTAGCTCCTCCGCAACACATTCAGACAGCGCAGCCACGAGAACTGTGACTCAAAGCTCAGAACCCACAGCCTCCCCCACATCTTCTGCATCACTGGAACCAGACAATACACAAAGGGCGCTGTCCACTAACGTTGGTGCCATCGCTGGCGGCGTTGTTGGAGGTGTCGTGGGCTTAATTTGCATTGCACTTGCCATCTTCTTCTTCATCCGTCACAGGAGAAAGAACGACGAGAGCGACGACGAAGAGTTCTTCGAAAAAGGCTCTGGCTCTGGTCTCTCGAGAGGCAATGGAACTGCCAAATCCAAGAAATACAACTCCGCCTTTGATATGCCAATGGCAAACCCCTTCTCCGACGAATTTGCGGACAAAAGAGCATCCAAGATGACCACAAACGGCTTGGCAGACCCCAGACTCAACCCTGCTATTGTGGGCAGAAGAAGACTCTCGGACGGCTCCCTAGCCGACGAAACAGACTACTCGCGCAAAATCCTAGCGGTGGCCAATCCTTGATGTGTTATATGTGACGAAAATATTACGGGTAATTGTAACTTTAAAAGCTGATTTGATTTCAAGTAGCTGTAGATTATGGCGCAGAAAGGGTCTAAAAAGTGGTCGCATGTGGGGGGAGGCACGGGTCTGCACCAGTGAGAATTGATTGTCAAAAATACTACAGCAAGTTGTCTGCGTTAACTAAGCTAGCAGTGGAGACAAACCAAATACACTCCATGACCAAGTCCATCCCCACATACGAGAAACCACTCCATGATTCACTTACAACATTGTACAATAGCTTGTCCGACCTAAAGAACAATAGAACAAGGTACATCAGCTCTAAGCAGGTGTATGTAATTTATGATGAGTTCTTGAAACAAGTGCACGAGCTCAGCATCGTGAGAAAAGACGAGGAGCTCAAGGGCATGAATCTTAACCTCCCTAATCCCACAGACTCCCTCATTGATGACATCTGGCAATTGTTGTCGCTTTCGTTTGTCACCTGTGGGCTAATCAAGTTTGCCCCTGCCACTTATTCATCTCTCAGCACAGTTTCCAAGCTTCTTACACATTTGAAAGAGTGCCAAATTTACAGTTTTGATGACTTAAAGCCGATTGACGCCCGTCTCAAAGAGATTAAGAACATCATTGACACAAGTGAGGATGCGGAAGATAGTAACAGCGATTCAGATGATATGATAGACCACAAGCGTGAGGAGAGCTTGTTGCTTAGAAATAAGTTGAACAAATGTGAGCAATTATATCTGGAGCTCGAGGACTCTTTCCGCAGAATTCCCGACGATTTGGAACCAGCATACGGTAAGCTCATCCAGATCAGAAAAGTCTTGCTCAATTACTTGACCCACGAGGAGCTTGGTCCAAGTAAAGTGGGCGAAAAACTACTGCAAATAGAGTCCGAGATCAAAGTGATTGAAGATCAAAGAGACGACACTGGAAAGTTCCAGAGCAAGGTCGCCACCGAGTCGGAATTGCACACGACACAAATTGTTCTCAATGCTTTGTTGGACGACTGTCATAACTTGGTTAAAGACTTGGGTATTCAGCAAGATACTACTGGTATTGCAAACCTTTTTGACGGCTTGACCCTAGGAAAGCCAGAGGATGAGGAACTTGAGAGCATTGCCAAGGGTCTCAAGAGCGTCTACGACGAGTTACTTACTTTGAGACAAACGCTAGAAAATCTTCTCATCACTCGAAGATGGACCATGCGTGAGACTGACTTGTACAATTACCAGAAATCATTGAAGAGAATAGACGAGCAAAGACTCGACTTTAACAAAAGGATCGCAGCCTCTTCAAGCGGTCCAATACCCAAGAAACTCAAGCGTGCCCAACTTGTTGTACTTTACCTTTTGAGAAGGTGCTACTCATTGATTTACAAGCTCTTGGAGAGCTCGGAACCGGTGTCTGAGTCGCTTCAGCCTATACATAATCAGTTGCTGACCGTGAGAAGATGTCTTCTTGAGATTAAACGTGTGGACGGCTTAAATAATCTCCGTGAGCTCTACCCCTTCCAGTTTAAATTGGCATCGTTGGATAACTTACGGGACGACGGTAAATTCATCGTGAATGGGCAGGTCCCCGAGGGCCAGGGTACTTTGAATGCGCTTCTTGCAGAGTGCTTTGACATTATTCATGAGCTCAAGATCGAATTAGAAGAAAAAGAAGACAACGAAGACAAAGAAGATGGAATAGATGATGATCACATCACAGACGAGGAAGACAAAGAGTCAGATGACGAGGTTGAGTTGAAGAGAAACCGTTATGTCGGATTTAACGAGGCAGACTATGACATGGTCTATGACAGCGATAACCTCAGCAACTTATCTGACTCTGAGTTCGAGAGTAACGACTACTACTGATACCAAATAAATAGCCAATCAGTGAAATTACTGTAGATGGAATTGTGCTCACAACTTGCCCTCGTTCGCACGCAAATGGCTCTATCGCCGTACGGCATATTGTACCATAGGAAAAAGGAATCTTGCGGGAGGCACAACCACATTAATTTATTTAACCTTCAACATCTTTTCATGTCTGCTTCCACAAACATAGTCTGGCGCAACTCTGGCGTTTCGGAAGAGCAGATGCATCATCTTTCAAATTTGCGCAAAATACAGAAGAGGAAAAGAAGGTCTTTGGATGAACCGCAGATAGCAGTTCAGAGACTGTCGGTCTCAAAGCCAAACCATCCTCTCCCTTCCCAGCATCAAGCGTCTCTTCAGCCTGGGCCTAAGTTGAAAAGAACCAAAACACCCAAGATTTACGGCCTGGCGCTCCCGGTGAATAGATTGATTGAAACATTGGACAAGGAATCGCTACTGGCGTTGCTCCAGCAAATCGTTAATCATCACCCGGAGGTCACGACAACCATCACCAGAGTCGCTCCCAAAGCCACTTTGGAAGATTCGGTGGTTTTGATGAAGGAGAAGTTTCAGAGCATTATTGACCATTTGCCATACAAATGTGATATTGAAAGCGACTATTCATATATTAGAGTGAAGGCGCATCTTACAGAGTTTTTGAACTGCCTCTCTGACTTCATTTTGACCTTGCTCCCACCTATGGATGCGGGCTTGGCCAACGCATGTGCCATGCTAGATGTTATCACCAACATGATTCATGACTTACCCAACTTCACCAACAACGAATTCCAATATACCAAGTCCACTGCATACGAACAGATAGCAAACCTGTGGCTCATAATCTTCACTAGTCAGGCGAGCCGAGATGACGATAGCGATGCTGTTTGTGATGATTTGAGTTCGCTCAATATGGAGAGAATTTTTGAGTTTGTGAAGACGTTGAGAGAGCATGATATCCAGAAGAAGATAGAGAAGCATAATGAAATTACCCTTGGGAAGTTCACCGCTGTGTTGGACCTCCTCAAGTCTGAGCTTGAAGCTTATGAGAAGGTCAGCCACTCATTGAACAACAACGGCAGATCCTTATTAAGTGATATGATATCCGTCGACTACTCCAACTACTCAATTTCTGCAAGGACGAGTCACTAGAGCAAGTCTTTCTTTGGGCATATGATGGAAACAAGCTTTGTATAGATTACAGAATTTATAGGTTATCGGGAATTATTGATTACTAGTATACAATTTGTAGAATGTGTTTATGCAAATCTTCCAAGAGCTGGGCCTAGCTCGTCTTTCTTGTCAGGTACACCCATCTCCTTCAATCTCAACCTCTCTCTCCTCTCCTCTTCAAGAGCCAAATTTCTCTCGGCTCTCATCTTCCTGGCATCCATGACATTGCTTTTGTTCTTTTGCAAATATCTCTTCAACTTGGACTTCTCAGCAGGAAGGTCCGGTCTTATCTCAAGGTCTTTACTTTCTTTTTCTTTGGCCTCATCAGCCTCGGCTTGTTCAAGGTCTCTTTTATTGAGCCTGACATTACGGGCTTTTTCGTCAACCAAACCGATAAAGTTTGGATCCAAAGCGATAGTATCAGGAGACAACTTGTTGATCAAAGCCTTGACTTCACCTTCTTGTCTTTGCTTAGCGGACTCGTATGGGTTAATCTCCATGGCGTCGAAGTTGGCTTCACCGGCACCAGGTATGATCAAAGAAGAGATACCCTTCTTATGCCCCACTCCAAGAAGATCCTCAAATGGAACGAACTTGGCTTTTTCTACCTTTGAGCCAGGTAGAAGATGAGTCATGTAGGGCTCTTCTTGATGTGTCTTTTGCAAGTCCTTCCATACTGAGATGTGAGGACCCCAACCCACAGAGAGAAGACCCGTGTCTGAGAAGTCCAAAGATGTGGCCGGTGTGGGCGTGCGGTAGGAATCTAGCTCCTTGAAAGTTCTCAAATCCCAAAGCTTCACAACCTTGTCAGCACCGGCCACTGCCATGTACTTGCCTTCTCTATCTATAGCCAAATCTCTCACTGGTCCTCGAGAGCTCTGTACCTTGGCCACAGGTTCAGTAGCTGACGGCGTCCAAAGAGAGACAACACCATTAGCGTGGCCCAAATGCATGACGGCGTTCCAAGGATTTTGTTTCATTGCCTGGGTTGGACCTAGCTTTGTTTTAAGCTCTTTCACCATTGTACCAGTTGTAACGTCGTGATATTTTAAGACACCAGTGTGTCCAGCGCCGACAAGCAAAAAATGGTAGGGTAAAAAGTCCAAAAGGGTATGCTCCATATGCTGCTTCAACCTGTGAAGCTCTAGTCCTGTTCTGTCATACACGAAAGTGTACTTTTTTTGCGCTACAGCGAAGTATTGATCGTTATGGAAGTACTTCACTGCATTTACCGTTTCATTAAGAAAGAGCTCACAATCGAGTTTTCCAAGCCGCCAATCCATAGCTGCAACGTGACCTTTTTTGCCTCCGATCAACAACTTACGTCCATTTCTTGAGTAGTCGAGGGTGTAAGGGCCAAACTCTGGAAGCTGGAGATCAAACTTCTTATTAGAGGTACTGACATCCACGGCATCAGCAATGTCATCCTGCTTAAACTTCATCGTCTTTTCCATGGGTCCATCAGCTTCCAAGAAACCTGCCTCCTCTTGCAACAACATATCAGTTGCAGCAGCAGAGTTGACGAACTCCTTGTATTGATTGTCAACCTTCTTCATTCCCTGAGCATTTTTGCGGTTTTTCGCCTTGGACAACTTTTTTGGGAATTTTCCCTTGTCTCTCTCATATTTTGAAGCCTTTCCACTGTCTCGGGAAGGAGCCATAATGGTTTGATCGAATGTGAGGGTAGGTCTTGCAATTTGCGATGAGATGCGCACCTAACTTAGCGTAGTAGAAGTACTAGCACGAGAAATCCTGAAGTGACATCTATTTCTTTATTTTTACATTGTTTGCCTTTTTTTTAACCTGTCAAAATGTCATAAAGTTTTTCAAAGAAAAATGAAAACGAAAACTTAAATTTTAGATCTCGTTCACCGTATAATGGCTGCAAGAAAGAACGCTAACGGTCGCACTGGACTTGATCACTGCCACTTCCCAACAAATGGCCATTTTTACATTTTAAATTTCCAAGAATAATCTTATTTCCATCATATCACTGAATGATTTAAGTTTTCTCTAAATTCTTCTCTCTCACCTATCAAGGCCCTCTATCACCTGATTCGTGCCCGTAATTTGGTATTCTCAGTCAATCACAGTACAGGAAATTCAAACGACCAACATCAACGCCATGAAACGGTTCTTCACTCGTTCGTTCACACGAGGTGTGCCCAAACAAAAAATCCCCACACTCAAGGCAAGTATCGTTCCTACACCTGTCGCAGTTACCTTCACCGCCATTGGTGCTTCTATTGCTGCGTACTACTTGTTCGATGCTAGAGCCGGTATTCACGAGTATGTCTTTTGCCCATTGATCAGAACCTTCACAGATGCAGAAAATGGACATAAATTGGGCATCAAGCTTATGAGTCTCGGTATTTCTCCAAAATTGAAAGAAGAGTCTCCTGCCAAAGAGAAGGAGTTTGACACCATTTTGGGTGTGGACATTTTCGGCACTCACATGAAGTCTCCAATTGGTCTTGCTGCCGGTTTGGACAAACATGGTGAGGCTGTTGACGCCCTCTTTGACACCGGCTTCTCATACGTGGAAGTTGGTTCTATCACCCCGGAGGCTCAGCCAGGAAACCCACAACCCAGATTTTTCCGCTTGCCCAGAGACGATGCGGTTATCAATAGATATGGTTTTAACTCACAGGGTCATTTGAGCGTCTTGAATAACTTGAGACAAAGACTCCGTATTTGGAAAGATTTCCCAAACCTGTCACAGAGAGAAGGCAAGCTTTTAGGTGTGAACCTTGGTAAGAACAAGAACGGTGACGAGGTGCAAGACTACGTCCTGGGCGTAAAATTATTTGCAGAGGTGGCGGATGTGTTGGTTGTCAATGTCTCCTCTCCAAACACTCCAGGCCTTAGAGACCTTCAAAGCGAGCTGAAGCTTACAAATCTCTTGAAGGCAGTTGTCAAGGAGAGGAACTCGCAAGATGAAAACTACAGCGGCAGAAAACCTCCCGTGCTTGTGAAGGTTGCTCCTGATTTGACCGAGCCTGAGATTGAGTCAATCGCCAACTCAGCCAAAGATTCCAAGGTTGACGGTATCATCATTTCCAATACCACGATTCAAAGACCAAATCATCTTTTGACCACGGATATGAAGCTTGTGAATCAGACTGGAGGGTTGTCAGGTAAACCTTTGAAGCCTTTGTCTTTGCAAGCATTAAGAACTTTGAGAAAGCACACCAAGGACAGCAATTTGGTTTTGATTGGTTGTGGTGGTATCTCCTCTGGTAAGGATGCACTTGAATTCGGTAAAGCTGGTGCCTCTTTCGTTCAATTGTATACCGCTTTTGCTTACAAAGGTCCTGGATTGCCAGCAAGAATTAGAGATGAATTGACAGACTTGTTGAAAAAGGAAGGCAAAACCTGGCAGCAGATTGTTGGTCAGGATGATAAATAATCGTATATCTATAGAGTACACGATCTGAAGAAAGCTAATGCAAGGACGCGCTTTTGGCTAAGTCTTTATTTGTGTTGCACGTGACTCACATAGTTAAGTGCTTCGCAAGATTATAAACAAAACTTGCACTCCAGATATACCCCCAATCCCAGAGAATAGTAAGAAGATACTATAGTCATGTCCTCGAGGCCAAATACACCCAGCCATCGTAGGCGAGACTCCAAAAGAAAATCACATAGATCATCCGGCATTCATCTCATACTTTCACCTTCGCCTGATGTCCACTATCCGATCACAGAAACAACTCCCCCATTGGAATCTGACCGGAACATGGAACGACTAGAAAATTTGTCCGAGTCAATAGGACAGCTCAAAAATAACATGACGGAACTTTCAAAAATTCATGAAGCCATAAACACCGGCTTCAATGAGCCCTTTGCAGGTTTTCTATATGGTTCATTTCTCACAATGTTTTGCAACAGTTTCCCAGGATGCCCGACATACGATCAATTTGAAAGCATCCTTGTTCTACGTGACAACGAACAAAAGATGGAAGATTTGCGCAAACGTATAAGCGAAGCTAAGCAAGAGAACGTCAGACTCCAACGCGAATTAGCTCAGACCAGGCCACATAGGTCAAAGGCAGCTCTTGGAGAGCCAGGCCGCACATCATATTCGAAACCAAGGCAGCAAAAAGCACCTCTTCGAAGAAGCTTATATCCCACGCCAACGAGGAAAAAGGTCACTGTGGCTCATGACGACACAACTACATCTGAGTCCTTTGTCGACACACCGTCGAACAAAGCTATCACATCTTCCAAGATTCCTCAACCGTCTCTGCAAAGCGGGACGGGACCTAATCTTGATCAACCTCCTCGCTATATGAGGGGGCTTTTTGACAAGACACTCTCCACGAATGTCGGTAGTGGTGTTCACCGTAAAAGTGACAAACTGTCAAGCACAGCGTCTGCCCACCAGAGAAGGAGGCCAGCAGTGAAACAAAGACCGCCATTCCGTTGATCGTTCCGTTTTGCATCAATCTCCATTCACAAGCCTTTGCATTAATTCATACTTCACTTGCAGCACGGACTTCTGTTGCTGGCTCGCAATAATAAGCAAATAATCTTTACTCTCCATCAGATTGACAATCTTCTGTCTCCGGATTTGCTCCTGGTAGCTCATGCAATCCTTCATCGAGAAGCAAGTTGTAGTTTCCTAAGCTGAACTCCAATTTTGGTATGCGCACTCGGAGGTGACATACATCAGTGCTGAGGTACAACTCACTCCAACAATCAACTAGCATGTCCGATATATCAGCAGAGGAAAAAAGAAGACTTTTACGTGAGAGGCGCCAGGCCAAGATGGCCAAAGGAAATGCCAGTAATAGACTCAATGAGATTCTTTCTCAAGGGTCCTCTGTGAAGACCAATGCCAAATCGGTCCTTGAAGAATCTGAAAACCAAGACGGTCCACAGCCAACCGTACAACCTTCAGGTACACCATTGCACGATGACCCAGAGGTTCCTGATATCTCAACATTGCTTCAGTCTAACACACAGGCTCCAGAAGGGACGCCAGACATGGAAGAGGTATTCAAAAAGATCTTTGGGGGTGCAACTGGCCCCACCGCTGATGGCACCAACGGCGAGGGTGCTGAACAAAACCCTTTTATTTCTCAGATTGTTCAAATGATGTCGGAGGGCGGCGCTTCACAAAATCCAGCGGGTCAGCAAGATGAAATCTCGTCCTATCAAAGCCAACTACTCAAGTACCAGGCTTACAAGGAGAAGAAACTCAAGGTGCATTTCTTGATTATCAGATACATTGTTCACCTTTTCAACTTTTTCTACCATTACCTCAATTACACTCTGTTCCAGTCGTCACCTCACTTGTACATCCGTGGCCTAAGCATCAGTGTGGAAACAAAGACATTTTTTAGCTACTTCATGGCGTCGGAGATTGTGTTCATTTCTGTATACTTTGGACTTTTAGCCAGCAAAGGCCTCTTGGGAGCCAATTCGAAGAACCATTTTGTGTCGAAAGCCTTGAACTTCGGATCCCTCATTCTACCTCAAGTCTCAAGGTTCCAACCAATGGTGGAAAGCATTCTTGTCTACTCCGAGGGTCTCGGTATATTTGTGACAGACATTGCATTAATCGTCTTGCTATTCGGATTTGTTAGTATTTACGGTTAGATCTATGTACAATTAAGATAATTAGAAGTGTTTCTTCATATCCTTCCTCTTTGCATCAAGTACTTTCTCGGCACTTGCAGTACTTCTCTTCTTGTAGAATGTCCAGAAAAGAAGTGCTGTGCTGGCTATGGAAATTCCAAACCAGGTGATCAAATATTGCATGTGGTTGTTAGTGAAGTTGACCTTGGGAATGGCCGCCAATGGGACTCCCTGCTCGACAAATTCAAATTCTTGATACTGAAGAGTAGTGTCGGTGTCTGAGTCTGGAAGATGGTCAGCTTTACGTGTTGTGTCTTTGGAAAATAGACTTTTCCATGAGCCCTTCTTTTCCACATTCAGGCTAGGTCCCTCCCAATCCTGCTTGTCCTTCAATGAGTACATCATTTGAGCATAGATTGGCAAACTGCCAGTTTCTACCGCCATGGCGTCAACATCGGGGATATGGAAAAGCTTGGTGCCTGGCTCGTGTTCGTATTGCATCTTGGACTTCTTTGGCATCGTTCTGAACATAGCTTCGATCTCGATTTCACCTTGTGGAAAGGCCAAGTGCGAGAGGTAACCCTTGTTACGGGTTTCTGGAATAACCTTTTCTTTTGCAATCCATCCTCGTTCTATGAGTATCGGTTTTCCACCATCAGCACGAACAAATGGGGTGATAAGAAGGTAGCCCAACTCGCCGTTTCTGATACGAGGGCCCAAGAAAAGCTCTCTAGAGTAATCGAAATGGCCTCTTACCTTAAAACGACGATACTCGAATTCCGGTATAACTGATGGATCCAATTGCTGGGGTAGGCCTTCCAATGGTGGTTCCGCCAACAAATGCTCGCAACGAGCTATAAGGTCAACTTTCCATTTAAGACGCTTCACTTGCCAGCATCCCAACCAAAATGTGATCACAGGCATGGCTATCATGAGTCCCAAGATGAATCTACGGAAGCCTTTCAGCTTCTCCTGATTCTCTGCTCTAGCCAAGTTTGTAACGGAGGACTTGATGGGCTTCCAGTCTATAGTAGGGGTCTTGACTGTCCTTCTAAAGACAAACTGCGACGATGGCCTGGCCTTGGGGCCGAACCCACCAACTCTGATTCCCAATCTTGAAATCATAGTTGTCTAGTGAAGTAGTGCGAATAGTTATGCACTTTACACTTATCTCCCGTCATGCCATCATCAACGTCTCCTAGAAGCCAAAGTATATGATTGACACAATTTTCCGTTTATCAAGGATCGATTTTTTCTTTGTCCATTTTAATGGCATAGATGTGTAATACACGTTGTAGCCGACACCTCAAACAGAAAAATACAACCATCCCTACTCTGCTTTGGACGGATTTGTCTCAGCGAGTCCAAAGTATGAAGATTGAAGTCATAAAGATCTTCGAGAACATCATCCGACTCCAGAGTTAAGGGCTGTCTCAGCTTTGATGATCTCAGCCTATTAGCACTACAGTGTAGGTGCGAGACCTTACAGATCCATCGCAGTGCCCGAAGGGAGCTACGTAAGGGTATCATAATCACATAACAAGAATGTTTTTGTCGAACATAGCTGTCAAGGACCCAGGATACGATGCCTAGAATGATTTAGAGGTCTATAAACCGATGCTACATTGTATGATCATACCCTAGTTCGAAATTCTGAATCTGAACAAACAATTGTAATTCCATTTGTCTTTCATCGATTAACCAAACAAACAAATAAATAAAAATCAGGAAATAAAATCTATCTCGATATCCTAGGGGACTTGTTTATGATGGTCGTGTAGAGCCCCATCGTCTCTCCTGCACCTCTGGGGGATGCCCTTGGTAAGATTTTTTCCCAGTGAGAAGATCCCATCGGTACCCTACATCGAATTTCCCTCAAGCACTCGTTCCAGCAGACATACGGAAGATCTAAGATGGCTGGTATCGATTTCCTTCTTTTTGAGGAAGCTGCGGGCTATGCTATATTCAAGGTCCTGATCCAGCAGGATGACATTGCAAACAGACAAAAAGAGGTGCAAGAGGCTTCCAATGACTTGGGAAAATTTTCCAAGATGGTTGAGCTCGTCTCCTTTGCTCCTTTCAAGGGTGCAGCCCAGGCTTTGGAAAACGCCAACGATATTTCTGAGGGTTTGGTCTCTGACTACTTGAAGTCTGTCTTGGAGTTGAACTTGCCAAAGCCTAAGAAGGGTAAGATTACCTTGGGTGTTTCTGACAAGAACTTGGGTCCTTCTATCAAGGAGAACTTCCCTTACATTGACTGTATTTCCAACGAGATTGTCCAGGACTTCTTGAGAGGTGTTCGTGTTCACGGCCACAAGATCTTGAAGGAGTTGCAGGATGGTGACATTGAGAGAGCTCAGTTGGGTTTGGGCCACGCTTTCTCCAGAGCCAAGGTTAAGTTCTCCGTGCAGAAAAATGACAACCACATCATTCAAGCTATTGCTCTTTTAGACCAATTGGACAAGGACATCAATACCTTCTCCATGAGAGTGAAGGAGTGGTACGGCTGGCACTTCCCAGAGTTGGCCAAGATCGTTCCTGACAACTACACTTACGCCAAGCTTGCATTGTTCATGAAAGATAAGGCTTCCTTGACTGACGAGTCTCTCCACGAGGTTGCCGCTTTGGTCAACGACGACTCCGGTGTTGCTCAAAGAATTATTGACAATGCCAGAATCTCTATGGGTCAGGACATTTCTGAACTAGATATGCTCAACGTCTCTACCTTTGCTGAGAGAGTTGTGTCCATCTCCGAATACAGAGCTAGATTGTTCGACTACTTGACTTCGAAGATGCACACTGTTGCTCCAAACTTGTCCACCTTGATTGGTGAAGTTGTGGGTGCTAGATTGATTTCTCATGCCGGTTCTTTGACCAACCTTTCCAAGCAAGCTGCATCTACCGTCCAGATCTTGGGTGCTGAGAAGGCCCTTTTCAGAGCTTTGAAGACCAAGGGTAACACTCCTAAGTACGGTTTGATTTACCACTCCTCTTTCATTGGTAAGGCCTCTGCTAAGAACAAGGGAAGAATCTCCAGATACTTGGCTAACAAGTGTTCTATTGCTTCCAGAATTGACAACTACTCTGACGAGCCTTCCACCGCATTCGGTCAAATATTGAAGAGACAGGTGGAGGAGAGATTGACCTTCTACGACACCGGCGCTGCCCCTATGAAGAATGCTGATGCCATCAAGGAGGCTTTGGCTTTGACATCGGACTTGGCTGACGAGATGGATGTTGAGGCTGCACAGGAGTCTGATGACGAGGAGCCAGTCAAGGCTGAAAAGAAGGAGAAGAAGGAGAAGAAAGACAAGAAGGAGAAGAAGGAAAAGAAGGAAAAGAAAGAGAAGAAGGACAAGAAGGAGAAGAAGGAGAAGAAGCGTAAGGCTGATGACGACGAGGACTCCTCAAAGAAGAAGAAGAAGAAGAAGTCGAAGGACTAATTATGCTTTTTTGCATCAACTCCTCATTTCAAGATCAAACCATGCACAAACCGAGAGCTACGACGTTTCCAAAACATCATCAATTTTTGTAACCAATATCAACATGCGTATAGAAGTAATTGACATACTCCACGAAACTCCACTAGGACATTCTTGACTGAATGCAGCTAGAATATACCTAGGCAGCAGGATGGTTTCCACCGTTGGTATTTTCGATCGACTGTGACTCGTCAGCACCTTCTTGGTTCTTGACGAGCTTAATGAGTATCTTTAACGACCTCTTGAGTTCACTCGATTGCTCCGCAACTCTTTCTGTACCAAGGGACTTTTTAGAAATTGCCTTCTCCAACATGACATTCACGGGAGAGACGAGTGGATCTATCATAGATGGTATTACCGCCTTTCCTTTATCATTATGCGAAAGATAATGAACCAGAGCCCCGACATTGTTGATACGCTTCACTGTTGGCTCTACCATACCCTTGAGAGTGACAAGATGAATCATCTCCAAAGTGCTCTTGGCCAGCCGAGTCATGTCGTCAATTTGAGATGATGACAAGTCAAGCATCTTGTCAACAGAGGTCAATTTGTGGTCACAAAAAGAGTCCAACCAGTTTACGGCCTTTTGAGTGGGCTGGAGCAGAAACAAGTAGCTCGATACTGGGGCAGTCCCTTTGGAAACAAAAGCAACGTATTTGCAATCGGAGAAAAACGCATAACCTGAGTTGGCCCACTCATACTTCAATAGATGTTGCAAGGTCTTATTATTGATTTCACGCTCATCAACATTGACAACAATCAGAGAAGGTGACTCTGGGCCATTTACGTTTGTTTCGTTAGGACTAGGTGCTTGGCCAGACATCGTGGTGTTCAAATGTGATGAAGAGGAAATATATTATAGTGGAGTAGAATGTTGATAATTATACAAACACAATTTATAGTGTGCGTGGATGGGTGCAAACAGACACAAGCGACTGAGTGCGAGTTGTGGTACTTTCAAGCGAAATTGATCTCCCATCCTAATTGCTTAAGAATAGCTAGCCAGTCAACAACCTTATCACCATCGGGATTCTGTTCCCATACTTGTTCCATAACGTATTTGATTCTTTGAACATTCCAAGGTCCGTAAGTCTCCATCATCTGATTGAGGATGTCTCTCATATGTTCTCGATCAAATCCAGCGACAGAATGAATGCCTGCAATAAAGAGTGGGAAAACCAAAGTTGCTTGCATTGGAGTCTCCACCAAAAGATTGATACTCTTCATGAGATCATTCATGAGAATCTGAGATTCTATAGCAGAAGGGTTCATTTTCAATATGGATTGCCGAAGGAAAAGCTTGCAGCTGATCTGATAAGCCTCAAAGCACATAAGTTGCATCTCTAAATCGAAGTCATTGAGATTTTCCAAGTCATCAGGGTCAGGCTTTGCGGTATCGATCTTATACTCAATCTTTTTGGCTCTCGCTGTTATAGAATATAGAATTGAGCCAACCTTGCCGTGATCGCTCACTTCCAGTCCCGTTTCATCGAATGGCTTGTGTGCTTCTGGAGAAGTTGAGGTGATTCCATCAAAGTTGTTGGGGGTGACCTTAGGTGATTGGCGCTTATAGTATGAGTCAAGTTCGTTTTTGCAATCGAGCGAAAGTGAGCTGATCTCCGCAATGTATCTGTACAATATCTTTGATACACCGAGCAAGGGATTCAAATTTCCCTTAGAAACACCCTGAGGATCTTTGAAAATTTTTTGGTAGATCTCAAGTGGGAAATACGTGCCTCGCTCGTTGACGGAGCTGGCAAGAACATCATGGTATGCAAAATTAGTGATAAGCCAGTGTTCTTCCTTGTTGTTGTCAAACTTTGTGATACCACCGTTGTCTTTGAGGAGTTTCCAACCCCAATTGAGGTAAACGGACCAGTATTTCACATCTCCTCGACAAATTTCAGCACCGCACAAGATTAAAATGACAGCTAGTTTATTAAGAATTGCACGACGGTCCTCATGGAAAGCTGGTAGAGTACCGCTAAAGTCAATGTCTTGCGTGAGAAGTTTGACGGCAGTTTCTGCGTACATGGATGCCTCAGCTGTCCATTGTCCACCAAGATGAAAACCAGCCCAAGCGAGAATTCCACACAAGACGCCCTTGTCTCTTTGAGCTAAAGGTAGGAATACCTTCTGATAGGAGTTGGACTCATTTTGACTTATTGGTGCGATGGAAACTTTCTGAGAAAGGGTGTTGACGTAGTAATCATACAAGTAATGGCCCGAGGCATCGAGCTCGGGAAGGAGTGGAGGGGGTGCTTGTGGTGGAGGAATGAAAGTGGCATTAAACGCTGATGCAAGTTGATTAAGTTGTGATGCGGAGGTTGCCAGCATCTGGTTGACCTGATCCAAAAAACCAGGAATGTTGAACGACGGTGAAAACTTCACCATGTTATCACCATCTTTATTTGGCTCATCAAGTGTATTATTGTCTCCCTGTGGCGATGGATTGTTGCTGCCGCCTGTGAACATAGAAACCTCTTTGAGAAAGTTGAGGAGACCCGATGGAGTGCCTCCAGATGTAGAATCATCAAGGGCCTCAAGTTCCATCAAAGCAGGCGATAACGCACGAGGAGAGGGCGATCTTATGTTGTCTGGTGTTAAAAAGGTACGATTTCGAACAACAGCATTATGATGAATGTCACCCAAATTAAGACCCTTGAGGTCATCTTTAAAAGTCAAAGGCGGCGATGTGGAAACCGGATAGGCTTCTCGTAGAGCCCGCACATAATCTAAAGATGCAGTGGATGTGGTTATTCCAGGAGCCTCATCCTCAGTATGCTTTACCTCATAGGCTTCAGACTTAGCGGGTTCTGCGTCAATTTGGAGCAGCGATGGTGGACTTTCAACTTTGGACACATCGTCGTCGGCCATGTCGTCATTCTTTTTACCCTTCGAGCGTCGAATACGAACCTTATTCAAGCTTTCTTGTTCCCTCACCCTCTTTCGAAGACGTCGTATTTCATCGACCTCCATAGTGTCATAGTCTATCCAGACACATTCCTTGTTGAACCGGCGACAGTCTCGACAAACCGGCTTTGTTCCTTCGCATTTCTTCTTTCTGACCTTACAAGTAATGCATCCAAACTTCGACTTCCCTCTCTTACTGGGAGGCTTTTTAGTCCCCGACAGTTGAAGACTGGAAGTCTCTGGCGGACTTCTAGGAACCGAGGTGGAGCGACTCTTGGACGAGGCGGGCGTGTCAAGCCCACGAGACTCCTTCATACTCAAGACGTTACCCCGTTTGGAGTCGAACTTGGAAAACATATTCAGAAGAGTCCCACAACGTTGGTCTAGCGGTCTCGGAGAACCCATCTTCTTCAAGATAACGCCTTGTGGGTATGCAGGACAAGCTCTTCGTATTCGCCCTTGATGTGGGGTAAGATCGAAGGAAGACAAGAAGCCCTGAAAACAGAAGATTATTTTGACCACAATGGTAAGAAAAATGGCCACCTCTTAAGCTTTGTTCGACCCCAGACTTCGATGTCGCCTCGACTACGCGGGACAAGGCTTAGCATCTAGAGCATTTCGTCCGGTATCGGTCTCAAGAGAGGTTTGGAAAAACGGAGAGATTCCTTGCAAGTGAGATTGTTGAAATCTTGTAGTACATTTCGAGTAGTATCGCTTGACTTTGACAGATTTGTTTACAAATGTCCATGCTCCAAAAGCGGACCTGCGTGCGAAAATCATAAATGAAACATCCATTGACATACCATGCCAAAGGAGTGGCAAACATCTGAAATGTGGCCCATCCTCTGAAAATGATACATTCAACGGTATTTGAAAATTGGTCCTATTGTGAGACCCTTATGCCAGTTCTTGTCATGTGACATGGAACACTATGGAATCTGATATATGTTCCTGCATATTCCTGCTGGCCACCGAAGCGTTGTACCGCAATCAGTTTTTTTCCTCTTCGCTGCTGCAATATCTTTTTTCTATCTTTCACAGTTTTCATAAAGCTCATTTATATCAATAGTTTATCATGTCTTTAAAGCGTATTAACAAGGAGTTGCTCGACTTGGGAAGGTATGTATTCAGATCACCGAGAATAGTCCTCGGACTCCTCCTGCCACATTTGAAACTGTCGACTTTGTTGTCGATTCTTGTGAACTGGCATTGACATCGAATCATCGCTAGATCAAGATTCTGTTTGATCCGCTATAACCTCCATCAGACTACTGCCAAGGTAATTTCCATTTGGTTCTGAGATGCAAAATAAAAACTGTGGATCAAATCAGTCACAAGACTTCAATATCATGGCGACTTCACAAGCACAAAACTAACAAAACAGAGACCCCCCATCTTCATGCTCCGCTGGTCCAGTCGGCGATGATTTGTATCATTGGCAAGCATCTATCATGGGTCCTCCAGACTCCCCATATGCTGGAGGTGTGTTCTTCCTTTCGATTCACTTCCCCACTGACTACCCATTTAAGCCTCCAAAGATCAACTTCACCACCAAGATCTACCACCCTAACATCAACGCAACTGGTTCTATCTGTCTAGATATTTTGAAGGATCAGTGGTCTCCTGCCCTTACCATCTCTAAGGTGCTTTTGTCCATTTGCTCCTTGTTGACTGACGCCAACCCCGATGACCCATTGGTCCCTGAGATTGCTCACGTTTACAAGTCTGACAGACCTAAGTATGAGGCCACTGCTAGAGAGTGGACCAAGAAGTATGCTGTCTAGGTGAGCCACTCGGGGATTTACACGAAGAGCGGTGATACATAGAGTACGTATAATTGCATATCCACCACTAGGAAAACATACCCGCTCAAGTATGCAGCAATAAGTAGATACTTTTTTTGAAATTGAACAGAAACCCGTGTAGTCGCTTGGTTTGTCCTGCAGGCGCGCCTAGGCTCATGGTCAACAAGTAAAAGGTGGACTCTATCGAATTTTGCATCCATTTGTGATCCCTTTATCATTGAACTTAAGGACTTTAATCGAACGTTCGATAAGAAGCTCAGCTTCAGAAAGAGTGGCGAGCATTTCCTTCATTTTGTATTATCATTTTCAATTTATCACAGACACTCGGTTCAAGAGACGATCCCAACATGGAACTGCTAAGAAGCTTTCTGCAAAGCAACTCCCATGGAATATTCCATCTAGCAAAGGAACTCCTTCATCGAGGATTTTTCAAAAGGCATCTTAGCGAATATCAGTTCGTGATTGTCTCGCATATCCTCAAACAAGACAACTTCGAGCTCTGGACGCAATTTCTTGAGGGTAACTGTGTTTTACATATCACAAAGTCTGACCAGAAAGGTTCGGATGATGAAGATTCGGTCGAGGACGGTACTAGGCCCATGATCAATCTTGCTTTCCACATGAGATACATTCTCTGGGAGAAGGCCATCGATTACTTTTACGAGGACAGTCTAAAGGGCACTGACCATTCACTCAAAAGCCAGAGAGACGAGTCTGGTACTACGTATGACTTGATCGACGGTCTAGATGAGGTTCCGGTTCAAGGCGGTCAGCAAGTGGAAAACGAATCTGCTGCCTCAAAGCCTGTGAGAGAGGAAGAAGAAGACTACGACGATGACGACGACGATGACGATGATGAAGACAAAAATAATGGCCAAGCCAAGCAGGATGAACAGGACAAGATTGAGAATGGACAGCTTCAGTACGAAGACGGACATGTCAAGGTGGAAATCCTGTCAAGCGAATTTGTCACTAAGTCAACGCCACCCCCAGAGCCAAATAACACAGATCTCGAAGATGCTTCGACAGAGGGAGCTGAGTTCCCCGCTAATGCTCCAACAATGAATCTCGAAGACCAAGAAGCACTTGTGAAAGAATTCAACAAGGTGTATCACAATTTTGAATACGACAAAGAAACCCTCATCAAGCGCAGGAAGCTTGAGAAATCGGACATGCAAATAGAATCTCAGAAGCCTGCTGGTGACGACCCCACAAACCAGATACCGATCAATTTGGGTTCTGCGTCACATTCGCTACAACATCTTTTGGGTGTTATTCAGGATCGCCGTGATGATGTGAGTTTGACCGACCATGATCTTAAAAAGTTATTCATGGATGTGCGTAAAAACAGGGGCAAATGGGCTAATGACGAACGCATTGGACAAGAGGAGTTATATGAGGCTTGTGAAAAAGTTCTTCAAGACCTTCGTGGATACACTGAACATTCTACACCTTTCCTTAATAAGGTTTCTAAAAGAGAAGCGCCCAACTATGGTCTTATTATCAAAAAACCAATGGATTTGAATACAGTTATGAAAAAGCTCAAAAACCTTTCCTACAATTCAAAGCAGGAGTTTGTGGACGACTTGATGCTTATATGGAACAACTGTTTGACCTACAACGCAGACCCTAAACATTATCTCCGGGCACATGCAATCGCCATGCAGAAGAGAACTCAGAAACATATTCCAACAATACCTGACATCACGATAAGGAATAGGTCGGAGGTAGAAAAAGAGGAGGATCTCGATTCTGAAGCGAAGGCTTCTACGCCAGCTTTAAAGGGCGGTAAGAAAGCTTCAAAAAAGGGGAGAAAAAGAAAGCGGGAAGAAATCATCAAATCTGAGGAGGTCGAGGGTGTGAGTGACGCCCAGCTGTCAGATATTCCCTCCAATCTGGAAACCCCGGCTCCGGTATCGCAGCCAACCCCAACTGAAAATGGGAATAGCATAATGGAGGACAATCCCGCGGAGGAAGAAGAAGAAGAAGCGGCTGAAGAAGCTGATACCGATATACGCGAGAACGAAAACGAGGACGAACAAGATCCAGAGCTTCAATCATGGAGGACACTAACGGCAAAGTCACGGGCTAACTATTGTGCTTCTCGTGCTGCCCTTTTTGACATTGATGGGAAGCTTAAGCTTGATGCTGAAGCCATTCTTCGAGAATCGAACAAAATGAAAAATTTTAATCAATTCCTAGACAACAAGGAAGTGGTTTCGAAGACAAATAAACTTCTCGACAATGACGAGCCTTATCTTCTCGAATACGATGTTGCTGGAGGCATTCCTGGAATCAAATACCCTGGCATTGATGACCAAGACCAGGACAGACTAGAAAATGAAATGGTTGAGCTGCTTTTACTGAAGGGCGAAGCTGATAACCTTTCCTCGGGATTGACCCTTCCATTGGAATCTGGTCTCAACGGCCTTTACCGTGGCAACATCACAGAAATTCAAGAGATTCGAAAAATTTGTTTCAAAATCTCCTTGATTCGGCAGATGCAAACTCAGCAATACATGCACCGTACTCAGATGCGTCAGCCAGAGATAGAATATATCAAGGAGGTCGATGTTGACCCAGTTTCCAAATTGCCGAATCACAATCTAGATTCCCACGATGTACAATACGCTTCTCTTAGAAGAGGTGTCGCCAAAATCGCAATGCACACTGGGTTTGAGACAACTGAGCCTTTGGCTATTAATACTTTAACTCAAATCGCTGAACGGTACATGCTGAATCTTGCGAAATCAGTCAAAATGCACTGCGAATCCTCGTCGACGAACCAGTTGAGTGACAAGGCCATTATTCTCCTCAGTTTGCTCGAGAACGGTGTCGAAAGACCTGATGATCTATACACATTCGTCGTCGAAAAAGCAGTGAAACAAAAAGCCAAGCTCAAGGACTTGAGGCAGAAGCTTTCAGGATTTGTGAAGGAGTTGTTGAGACCAAGTTTGCAAAATCTTAGTGAACAGAACTTCGAAAATAACAGCGAGCAATTCATGACTGGAGACTTTGCAAATGAAATAGGCGATGATTTCCTTGGTCTCAAGGAGCTTGGTTTGGATAAGGAGTTCAACATGTTGAGTTCCTCTATTCCTACTTACTTGTTGCACTCTCGTTTGCAAAGCTCCCTTTCGAACACGGATCAGGTCAATAAGAGTACTAAGTATGAGGATTTGAAGGACTGGGTGCAGCCGAAGTTGACTCAAGCCGACGTCCCCAGCCAAGTCGGCGTTTTGCAGCCATTCTACGAAGGGTTGGTGCAGAAGAGCGAAACGTTCCTCATCAAGCAGCAGAAGAGAAAGGGCGAAAGCTCCGAGCTTCCACCACCCACAAAATTATACCTCATCGAAGACGAGGAATTACCACAAAAACAGAGAAACATCCGTCCGCGTCTTCCACCTACTGGCAAGATATCGTCAGTCAAGAAAAAGCTACTCTCTCAAGCTTTCTTTTTGCCAGATGAGAGTGTTTCGATTGAGGGCGGAAATGAGTCCTTCAGTGTCGAAAACGGTCTAGGATTCGACGCTACTATGAAGAGTGAGGATTAAACCCCATTTAAATAAATTGGGTCGCCTTCCCAAATCATAATAAACTGTATTTAATTAGAACACAACGTGGAGTAGATGTTTGCCTAGCGCGCGCTTATCTCATATATACTTCTGGAAAAGATCCGTTACTCATTTTCTCCAACTAGATCAGATCTACTTGCCTCCGATAGATTTGCCACGAGAATACCAGCCGCCAATGCAGTAACTCTGATGACCAAAAGCAAAGTTCGTCCAGGTGACGGCCGTAGCAAGAAAATCAAAAATAACATTCTCAAGAGAGATGTGTTCGGAAGGACAGTGCTTCATGCCACTGTACTCTGCGATCAACCTGACTTGATGAATCAGGTGTTACGTTCACCGGAGGCAAAACTGATAATCTTGGCTACTGACTGTGAAAATGGATGGAACGTGCTTCATTATATTCTATACCACAAGCGGTTCCGTTGCCTTGCTGTACTCCAACAGTACTTGGACAGAACGCTGGTGGGCAACTCTTCGACACTTCACGAGCTATTGAAGAAGAAGGACAGATGTGGTATCCCACCCCTTTTCTTGTTGCGAAACGATATCAAAGATTTTGTGTGGATTCCAACTTACATCAATGAACATAACGAGTACCACTTGCAGTATAGGTACCCAGAGCATAACAGTGAAGATGTTAACACTCAGAGAATGAGACGTTCTTGGCAACTAGATCACATAATGTGGAGTCCAAAGCGAGGTGCTTCAGATATGTACGTTATGGGATCTAATGTGAACCATTCTCTCGGCGTTGGCGATTCCACCGACAGATCTCTCCCTGTTAAGGTCCCGCATAAAACTTTCCAACCCTCACATTCAGATATTCAACTGTTCCTTAGAAAGCCACGCTATCGTGACTTGAGAATATCAAAATATCATTCTCTTGCTTTAACTACAGATGGCCGTCTATTCACTTGTGGGTTGGCGTCCAAAGGAAGGCTCGGCGTCGGGCATTCAAAAAACAGCTTTTGTTTCTCGCATGTGAGCCTTTTTGAAGAAGAAGACAGGTTAGTTTCTCAAGTTGCCGTATCGACAGGTCACAACTTAGCGTTGACCACTTCTAACGAGGTTTACGGTTGGGGTCTGAACGAGTATAACCAATTGGGCTTTACGTCTTCCGATAGCCAGCAGTATAGAACGGGTTCGACCCGAGAATTTCAGAATGTGCCTCTTCTAATTACCACTGGAGAGCTCCGAAAGAATACAAACCCGATAATTGGCATTGCTGCAAGCAAAATCCACTCTGTGGCATATACCGATGATACAATTTTTATGTGGGGACTCAACATTGGCCAGATGGGATTAGAGGCTGTTGGTGAGGATGATTACAGTCTCAACTTGCATGGCACTATAGTCAAGGGAAAAGTGATTGAGCAGCCTAAATCGGTGGCTTTCAAAGAAAAGGTACAACTTATCGCCACCTGCGAGAAATGCACTTGTATTGTGACAGATACCAACGATCTCTTTGTTTTTTATCAGCATCACCGGTACAAACTCCAGAAACTTCCAACAAGATCGGAGTTCGATAAGTTCGACACATATAAGCCGTCGAGGTTGACGGTGGCTCCTAAGATCCGGAAGATTGCTATGAAGTCTCCAGAGAATGTATTTCTTCTTCTCGAAAGTGGCGACGTGATGTCTTTCGCAATTCCGGCTAAGTTTGATATGAAGGCGGCTCGGAATATCAAGTTCCAATACATTTGGCGAGCATTCGATTCCAATCTTCGAGCAGTTGATATCGATAATTCTTACGACGGATCAATTGTTCTTTGCACGAGAGATGGTTCTGTCTTTACCAAGTTCACGTCATCCTCGCAGTCTCAACGTCGCCCATCGCTAACCTCCAAGACACCATCGTTGGCGATGACATCCAAGAACAAGTTTCGGAAACTAGAAGGTGTTAACAGGGTTGTTAAGGTAAGCTGTGACGATCAGTTTGTTTCATTTGGCTTCATGAGAGATGAAACCGATATGCTACCTCTAAAGCTTCAAAAAAATGATTTTAAAATGGACTTGAACTACTTGAGTGTTTTGAGTGAAGCTGACTCATACCGCAAACAGGATCAACTTCTTGACACAGATCATGACATGAATTGCTATGTATCTGATTTCATATACCCGTCATGTCCACGCAAAAGAAATGATGAACTCCAGTTCTTGGCCAGATCTGATGATCACGAGGACGATGAAAGCCTTGAAAAGGTGGGAACAAGCGACAGGCTTTATCAAGGCTTTCTCCAGCACCATAATTATTCTTCCCGGAAAAAGATTCCATCCGCAAGCCTGTACCAGGCTCCTGACATCGACGAAATTTCTAGGCTCAATGATGTACTTTCATTAGAAACCGCATTTAATTCACTAGTGAAAGTGCAAGCCTCTTTTAACAAATTTCATGACGCCACGATTGAATTCCAGAGTTTGCCAAACATTCGTTTGAAATTCCATTCCAACATCTTGGCATGCCGCTCGGATTTCTTCGAAAGGCTCATGTCTCAGGAAAACGGCGAGGAATTCTTAGCTCATGGCTTCAAAGGCAGCTATGATGTGACGAGACGACTGTTGACATTCGAATCTGATGTCGATGTTCGAGCCGCCGTGGTGTTTTTGCACTTCATCTACACGAACAGTGTTTTGCGTTTCTGGGATGGTTTTCCATTGGGGTCAAAATGCCCTCCGTCTGTGAAGAGATCGAAAGATCATTTCGCAATATTGATGGCGATTTTTCAAATGGACTCGCACTATGGGAAAGAGGAGAATTTCATTGAGCTGTTCCAACGCTGTATCAACCACGGACGTGGGGACTTGACGATAATTTTACTGGACGGTCAAGTGCGTTGCGATTCTTCCATCCTTGTAGCAAGGTCGGCTTTCTTCGAAACGTTTTTGTCAGAACGGTGGGAAACAATCGCCAGTGATGATTCAGACAGCTCATTTGAAGAAGATCAGAAACAGGTTAACTTAGAGGGCATCAACACATTGCAATTCGAGGTGATACTACGCCATATATATGGCTGTGATGATCTAAGAGTATTTGATTGCGTATATGATGTGGTTTCCTGTGATGACGACAGCGACGATTTCATTAATTTCTTGCTTGATATGATAGAGATCTCTGACGAGTTGCTTCTCATCCAATTGAAGCATATATCTGAACTTGCTATCAAAGACCTCATCACATACGATAATGTTCTTTTGCTACTCACCCATTCATCTTATTTATCGGCTTCAAAGTTGTTCAAGAGCTGTTGTTGGTGCATTTTCAACAATCTTGACATACTCATTTTTGAGACAGCATTTCGAGATCTTGACGAAGAAATACTTGCTGCCTTAGAGAAGGAGATGAGGTTTTTACAATTGATGAAACAGAATGACTTTGTTGTTGGAGATCTCGGAGAAGTTAACCTCAACTTGATCAGATCATTGAATGGTCCATTAGTCGATACCGATTCGTTGTCAGACTTTTCAAACGCTTTTAATGATGTATTTTTGACGGATGATCTGGCTTTCAAACCAATTTTTGATCAATCACCCGAACCTCTTGGAGCGGAGGAGAAGAAACGCAGATCCTCTTCGAGAAAGCTTTCGAGAAGGAGTAGTACTTTCGAACTCCCCAAAGAGCTTCAAAATTTGAACATCGGCAAGTCCTCGAGGAAAATAAGCGACTCGGCAATTGCTGATGACATCACCGGTGAAGATGACTTCGAAATGGTGACATCAAGAAGACGTCGCAAGTCGAAGACGGGCTCAAATACACATCCAGTGTCTCAAAATGAAACGAGCGAAGTTGATTTGAGTAGGGGCCAAGTTTTTGGGTCCCTGAAATCAGAAAGCTCAAGTCCGCCCCCACTGGGTGCTACTCTAGGTACTGGATGGAGCGCTCGGGACGTGTCGACCAGTCCCATTGAAACCACCCCATTCGGGCCCACCCTCGGTGATAAAATAACTGGTAACAAGTCCAAATCCAAAATCAAGTTTTCTGGTATCAAACCATCACAGAAGCAGAGAAGGAAAATTGGTGACTTAAACGCGGATCAGAAGGTTACAGAGGACATTGTTGCACCCACGCTTAAAAACCCGTGGAAGGCTGTTTCTCCCCCAGCTGCTCAAATAGATTCTGCAAGCAACATGCCCGTGCTTGGCAGTGCAAATTCCGAGGCGGGTAGCAGTTCCAGCTCCATGACTGCCATAATGCTCGAGGAGTCGATGAAGATTGAAAGACAAAAGCAATTTGAGGTCGAAAGAAAGTCACTTCAAGAAATTCAGCAGGAGCAGGAGTTTGCAAAATGGTGGGAAGAAGAATCCCGGCGTGTGCAACAAGAAATGCGTGGACCCAAAACATCACCCACTCCAAATGGTAATGGCCAAAAACACAATCGAGGCCGTAGGCCTCGCAATGGCAAGAAAAGTAAACCAGTGTAAATACAATTGACAATATAGAACGTTTATTCGATGTCATCAGGAAACCAGCCATATTCCTCCAAATCAACTCTGTGCTTATCCAGCACCAGCACCCCTTCTTGTCTGAGCAACGAGGCCTGCTCGAACTCACCATTTTCTCTAACTGAAATCATTCCAGCACTATTTATGACCCTCCACCATGGAATGTCTCCCAATGAAGCTCCTTCTTGGTTCAATAAGTTTTTCAAGTGAGAAAGATGTTTAAGAGAAGAACCAACTTGACGAGAGTTTTGAGGTCGACCAATCAAATAGGCTATATGGCCGTAAGAAGTAACATGTCCAGGCGGAATTTGCTCTACAGCATTGTACACTGCAAAGTGGAATGCCTTCTTTTCATCGTCTAGCATCTGTTGTATTACGCGAAAATTCTCGAGTGGTCTACAAATGCGAATTAGTCCTGCTGTTTATTCATACTAGAAGCTAAGCTGCTTACAAAGCCAACAAAGCACCAGCGGCCAAGGCAACGGCACCGGCAGCGTACTGCTTGTTAGCAGCACCCTCGTAAGAGGAGACGTTAGCGGTGGCGGTGTGGTTCTGAGGAGCAATAGAGGACTTGGCTGGGCAGTCAGTGACCTCTGGGCCACAGCTGGTGATGGTGACCAAGGTAGACTGGAGGTCGGTCTCGGTGACAACGGAGGCAGCGGAGACGGCGGCGACGGAGGCGGCGGCAATGGCAACGGTGGAGAACTGCATTATAACGAAAGACGAGTAGTTGGAAGGATCAAGTAGATGTGATGAAGAAGAAAAAAAAGGCTTCGAAGAGGCGACGACAGGGCCTTTATATATTTCAGTCAGCCCACTTGTTGTTGACAAGCTTTGTTTTGTTTCAGCGCCCGCCCGCCCACGGCACGCAGCACAGATGCGTTACAAACAATGGATTCTGCGCTGCGTTGCCCCACTAAAAATGAGCCCGGCGGTTAAAACGCGGGCTTGGTACTTTTGACGCCGCTATTGCCGACCGTGCTCCTGCCCAGTGCGGTCCAATGTCAACAAGCTCTAAAAAATTAGGCTTGGTGAAAACGCGAATCGCTCTTGACACTGCCGGTGCCGACTGCAGATACAAGCCTGCCTCGCTACTAGTCGCGCCTGGCTTTGGTTGTTTGTTTGTTTGGCAGCTAAGCGAGCATGGCGTGACGGGATTTAGACAGCGCTTGAGCCTATCACAATTGAGAAATTTGCGTGCCACGAGCTATGCTTCTCCGCTGACCTACTCTTGCTGCAGCTTTCCGTTCATGATTTGTCACCTCGTGCTGCACATTCATTGATGTTCTCTCTTAGCAATGCCTTTGTTCGATGGTCTAGGCAGTGGAATCGTGTTTGTGCGAGATCCAAGGACCTAAAAGTCGGCGCATTTTCGCCAAGGCTTGGATCTCTATGCTCGACTTTGACAGTCTTGTCTCATTTTCGTTTGTTGCAAGCCTTGGAAACGTTCGTAACGCCTCACAATTAGTCTCAAAAACGCCCCCATTCCATTGATCTCATTGTTAAGGCTTGACAAATTTTGCTTGGTACACGGTGCATTCCTTTCAACCACCCCTCTTTTTCTTGACGACATCGGCTATATCTGATGGACCTCTGCTCCTGTGCTTCTAGCATCAGCGGCTAAACCTGGATCCCGAATACCCGGCCTAGCACCCCTATTTTCATCCTCGCGTACGTCGATCTCCTCAATCTGTACCTCTCCCGCATCATCCTGGAAACGCTCTTCCGACAGGTCGTTGCTGTACTCTGGATCTCTTGGTTCCGCGAATCCGTCTGCAGCGGCAGCGTGCCCCGCTATCGTGCTTAGTGCTCTTACCTCCTCCGGGGAGGCCGAACACGCCCTGAACACGGTGAAGTAAGCTTTGACAAGTTTATCGCAATCCTCAGTGGCATATAAGTCGTCGAGCAGACCTTCTACACGCTCAATGTATTGCTTCACACTTGCGTAGTCTTGTCTGTGCATAGCCTCCTCGATAAAGTTTTTGATTCTAGCAACAATGCGTTCTTTCGTCTCGTTCCGTCTCGTGAGATCCTGCTCTGTGAATGCCGTCTCAACAGTCGGAATTATCGTGGCAATAAATAATATCACTAAACTCAAGAGTTCTTTCAAGGCTGAAGTGACATAAAATGATACAGTGTCGGTCCTCTGGGCTGTTCTCTCGAGAAGAGTTTCTCTCGAAGGTCTCAATTGCATCACTAAGTTCGAGGTGAAATTGTACATCCTGTCATAATTGAAGTGATACAAATTATAGCCCCCTCGTATTGTGTTGGAAATGAGCCGAACGATTCGGAATGGTATTGTGTTTGGTGCCCCCTCGCCAAGGATCCAGTGGTCAAGCCAGTCGCTGATTTCTCCGCCTCGGATGAAGACCGAATAAAGAAATGTAAAAGCGACTGCCGCTGTAGCAAATTTGGGTATTGTGAGGAGCACAAGCATATCGAACCCTATCATAGCCATAAAGAAAATATTGATACCAATCCTTCGAAGGTTCTGGCGATTGGCCATGGCGGCTGCAATGAGCCTTGTGAAAACAGTCTGTCTCTGTCCCGCGATATTTCTGCGTTGATCTCTCTCTGCTATCTCTTCTTCAAGCTGAACAGGGTCAGCTTCTTGGGCCCAATGCTCCCTTCGGACGTGATCATCCTGTTGTGGTGGTTGCATCACTTGTGGCTGAAGAGTCGGGTTAGTTTGGAGCACCCTTTCTGCTCCCTGCTGCGATCCATTGATCTGTGATGAACTTCTCTTTTGCGCTTTCAAAACCCTGCTTCCCCATTTGTTTCTGAGTCTTGAATATCCCACCGGACTTATGAGAACATATCCCTCGTTGTCATTGATGATACACTCTGAAGAGTCGAGTTCGACCGTTGTCCCTTGCAAGCTAACAACATATGTGCTGGAGGACAAAGTTGATTGATGGACCAATCTAGTTGATCCATTCTTGTCCTCGACTTCGACAAAAGTATTTCCTGTAGGGGCCCATTCCTCCCCATTTATAATTGTTGTCGCTTCATCCTTTAGATCAAATTCGATTTCGAATGTCAGATCTGGGGTTGATCCAAGCTGCAAAATGTCGAGTATTGTCCTTTCATCCCGCTGAATCGAAGGCTCTGCAATGATGTGCGCTCTATATGCGAGTCTGACGAGATGCTCAGGGACAGCAGCATATCTCGAGGCAACAAACTTGACCTCCTGTATTGTAGTAGCATTTGTGATATTAATTGATGCAAAATGTCTGCCTGATGACCTTTCGGTGATCTTTAGTAGTTGTGTGCCGCGTTCGACTAGTTGTAACTCAAGACGCTTGTTACGAGGGAGTGGAACGTCGAGCCCCAAAATGTCTCGAAGTGTGTTATCATCGTCGCATAGAATGCCATCAGGTACCTTCAATCCATAAGCAGAACGATCTAGGGAATATTTTTCGGCGATTTGATCCTTAATGTCTCTCACGGTTGAGCCCAATGACTCCCGAAGTAATGTTTGCCCTCTTGTCCCATTGATTAGAGATGAGACAAGCACATCAAAAAACAGTGGGATGGGATCCCTGTGTGGGATAGCTGGAGACCCGAATAGGGTGTAGTCAATGATTACTGACAAAGCGTCGATTGAATTGTCATATGCTGGAGGCTCAGTGAGACCTAGGATGGAGTCCAAAGACGACAGATCACCGACAGGTCCTCCAAACATCTTGATCCTGAGAAAGGGTGGTGATAGACTGTGGTTCTCGCTGTGGATCCAAATCAGCTCCTTTATTTCATAGATAGTTGTGCTTAGGAGAACACGAATCTCCCATACCTCTGGAGGTGCTGGAACATGATCCGGTTTGTTGATAGGCTTCACTGCAAGCTTTAAAAGAAAGGCGTCGAACATAACCAGGAGATATGGTTGTGAGAAGGGATCCAAATCTGGAGATATGACACGCATTGTGCACCTACTACACCCATACATCCTCTTTGGTGGCCATGCGTATGCACATATTTTTACCGCTATTTACAAGAATTGTCCCACGGCTGGATAAAAAATTAAGCTCTGATAGCATGGTATCTTTTACCTCTGAAGGCCATTAGCTTGTTGTTGGCCTGGAATGATTCGGTAGGGTTTATGTCTACCAAGTCAATCTTCGTAGAGCCAAAGATATTATCAGTTTTGTTCATGAGAATGTCCATTTCGTCGTGAAGCTTGTGGTTTTGCAACCAATCGATCTCTCTCTCGATATCCACATCGTGGTATCCAGTAACATGCACAGCACATTTGGATTCCAAGAGACCCTTCAATGCTTTGTCCCAGTGAATTTCGTCCGCGGTCTTGAATCCAGGGTGGAAAAGGAAAAAGACATCTAAGTAAGGGTCAAAGGGGAAGAGATCACCTTGGTCGTAGACCTCGTGGAAATATTTTGTGTGATGTATGAGCGTAATCTGCTCATCGTGTTTTCTGACCATTGGTCTTCCGTGTGGTCTGTTGGAAGGCATGAAGGCTTTGGCCTCAACATCGAAGTATGACTGAGGACCAATGAAGTGGATTTCAAATTTGGTTTCGGGGAAAAGATATCCAAATTGCTTCCACACATATCCTGGTAACATGGCTTCCATTTTTGCACCCACGAGAAAGATTCTCATTGGTCTATCCTTGAAAGTGACCTCCTTGCTCTTCTTCACAGGCAGGGAGTACAAAGAATACCTCAAGGCAGCTAATGAACGCAAGCCCTCCAACGTTACGGGACCTTTAGGGCTCAAAGCGTATGGTGAAAACCTGTGCAAAATCGCAGCTATGGTAATCGGATAAGTCAAGACCTTGGTGGCAGCCGCCAAGTTGAACTCAGTATTCATTGGATTGAAATCTCTGGTGTAGAAGAAAGTATCCCAATTCTCCATGCTGACAGTAAAATCACGTTCTTGTGCACCAGGAAATATGAACTCATCAAACTTTCTCCCTGATCTCAAATCGTGCTCGTATAGGTTGACCTTTTTCAAACGGTCAAACTTCTTCTGCTCATGATATTCCTTGTCATCTTCCCAAGCCTTGCGATCATGGTGAGTTGGAATTCCTGAAATGGGACACACATAATTAATGGGTTTCTTTGTTACTGGACATTTCGCCATCGCTCTTATGTAGGCTGCTCTTGTTCTGATATCTGCATAAGGTGATTCATCCCATTTGATCACTTCGTGTTTGTCAAAGTCACTATTTCCAGAGTCATCCAACAGAAGCAATTTCTTAAGGAAGCTTATTTGTCTTGTTTGTGACGATGAGCGTCCCGTTGGGAAACTATTAAGCGCAAATGGCTTTATATGCGAAAGGCGGAGTAACATGATCAGATTCTGAGTCCACCACAGTATTCAGGCTGTAATTAACAGAGTGTTGTCCAGAAATGGAAGGGTATACAACTTTGCCTTGCTTTAACTATAGCGGTATGCAACTGACACTCGTACTTTTTTAATCCTCGATACTTTTTCTACTGATTTTTTTTAGATGCCAGATCGGTGCGCACTGGCACCATCAAGCATAATACTGTCAGAGATAATGATTTCTATATTAAAAAAAAACCAATGACTATTCCCAATAAACCTTGAGAGTTTGCTCAGTGCCCTCAACCTCCACGATAACATCAACCGGCCCTTCTTCGGGATCTCCTCTTACTTCCTTTATATCTTCTTCTTCAATATTCAATACCATGGGTTCCTGATCATCGGAAAGACCCACTAGATGATCCTGTCCAGTGGAATCTGCTGACACTGTTGATTCCTCCGGTTCATCCTCTTGTGGGACTGTGACTGTTAAGACTTCTTTCAAAGTAACAGTCTCCGCATCGGGCTTCCCATTCTTACCGGGAATCTCACCAGCAGCACGCCCTCTTCTGAAGTATTGATAATTCCAGAGGTTATGAGGGGCTTCGTACCTTGTCAGATCAAAAGCCATATCCTCTGGTGGATCACCCTCAATATCTATCATAGAAACAGGGTCGATCACTTGTAACATGAGACTGGCTTGTGGTAAGGACCCGTCTCTCACGGTCCTGATTAAAGCAACGAAATTACCAAAGAAGTCATAGACCTCAAGCCAGATGGTAAAGGAGTCTGTCCACAAAAGTCGCTTCTGTTCGTCATTTTCGAAGTGAGGCGCGAGTAGGGTTTTGCCAACAGCATTGTAGAGTGTGCGGCCTAATTGATAACCCAAGTCACTCAACAGTTCTGCAAAACCATTGTAAATAATGACATTTCTGTTGTTGTAGAATGCGCTTGTTGATCTGTAGCCTGTTTTGCTCTTCGCTAAATAGAACCCATAACCCAACGACATCAATGAATGATCGTCGACGGAGATCTTGTTGTCACTTCTGACTGGAAAGCTGTCATGATCTCTCAACTTCACATTTGATGTGAAGGACTCAAATGAAAATGAGCTCTCTACACTGTCGTCGTTGCTTTCCCCGTCAACTAATTGACATGCCAAATCGACCAGCGATTCCTTGACGTTTCTATGAGGTGCAAACTGTTCCAAAGCACAGAGTCCGGGGACATGTATCACCACCTTATACAGACATGTTGTCAATTCCGGAACATCAATTATCTCGGGTTGAGAGAATCCTTGTGCTTCTGGATCACATTTATAGACAATTTGCGCTGAACGGAACTTCTCGGTGAGATCGCAATGAGAGCCATGTTCCAACACTTGCAGAACAACTTTTTGGGCAGAGTGATGTCTAAATGGAGATGCTTTGTCCTCAGAAAGGGTGAAGGACTCCCTGCCGTGTTTCTCGTAGGTTTCCCGTTGCTTCGTAGTGGCTTGGTTTTTGAATTCCACGGTTTTCAGGGTAGGCTCTGAAAACCGACCTAACACAAAAACCTCGTTGGGGAATGCCGCAACATGTCTGTAGCGTCTCTCCTTGGGAGGAACTTGCTCGTGATACTGGATCACTTTGTCGGCAAAACAGTACGCGTAAGTCCAATGGAGGCCTCGAAGATCATATGTATATAGACAGCCTTTTTTGGGGAAAGACTGGTTTATAATATCCACAGCTGTCGAGAGTAGCTTTTCGTTTGAGGTGTCCGTAGTTTGTTTAGATTCCCTCTTCTCAATCGATTCGATTCTTGCACTAGGTATCGAACAGATGTATTCATCAGATTTATTTCCTCTTTGGATAAAGTAGCTCTCAAATGTATTATCAGGATCGTTGGTCCATCTATTCTTTCGAACACCCAGTTTTAGATCCTGAGCTATATGTCGGGGTATGAACGATTCGAACTGACGGATTTCGAATAATGTATGTGAATGTGGATGGGAGCACAACACTCCGAGAACAAGAGACACGCTATATAGTAGTTGAAGCGGTTGCATGCTCGTATCTTGAAGTGGCTGGTGTTGTATAATCTCCACAACCGATTTTACGCACGTACGCATCAAAGTCGTCCTGTAGATATAGAAACCACTTCTTCGATATCACTGACAATGACCGAAGCCACTGGGACAAAAAACCCCGAAGGCAGTGAGACGGCTAGCGAGAGCAAGGTGGCTGGCTTGAGTACGCCAGCTTTAACCAATGGGGAGTTCATAGATGCCTCTTCAGAATTGCCTCCTAAGGAAGAGGAGAAGGAGAGCCAAAACCCGTCGATAATCGAAATTGCTGGCGATCTCGAGGCAAATATTAAGCGAATGATGGAGATGATGGAGAAAAATGATACTGAGGTCAGTCGGAGACTAGACGATCTTGGTGACCGTATCGAAGTGTTGAGGAGGAAATGTGCCACGAGCTCACAAGAAAAGTGAATCACGTTAACTCTTAAATGATGGATAATATGGGACTCCCCTTGATCATAGAGAAGTATTCACTTGGGGATATTTGGTTTCTACAATTCTAGGACAACCAATCGTGATGATGCCGGTAAGTGTGCGGTCGTTGTGTTGCTTTAGATGAACTTTTTAATAAAAAAAAAGTAAACTGGCGAATTATTGTACGTTCTGAATTGAAGAAAAAGCTTGGGCTCCTTCATTTTGGGTTTTTCGTTCTCGTAGCCAAAGTAAATCTTGATCGATTATATGCTTATATGCGCACCAAAGACATCTCATCTCACACTATTCATTAAATGGCACCCAAACGGTCCAAGAACCAGATCCGCCGTGAAAAGGCAAAACTACGAAAGGTTCAAGACAAAAATGATAGCTCCCCACTGTCTTCAGCGCTGAATACTGCTAAGTCCGAAAGAAAGTCAGACGAACCATCATCGATAGACACACTGACACAACAGACCCAACCTTTGAATAATGGCGATGGGGCTGATGACAAATTGGCTAAAGAGTCGGAGAAAGATACCCATACTCCACGGGCCAACATCAAGCAGACACAAAGCTCAGTTGAAAATGGAAACTCGTCAGACATCCCGAACCTTACGGGTCAGTTTCAGCATGTCTTCGCTAAGTTTGAGCAGCCTTCGAAGTCAAGTTCCCAAAGCCTAATACCTCAGTCTCTCGCAACAGAGCATCTGGAATCTTCTGATGAGGAAAGTCTGAGTGAAGAGGTCGAAAAACCAATCTCAAAGAGGCAACGTCGTAAATTAAACAAGGTATCAATTGCCGAACTAAAAGCATACTCCAATCGACCCAACTCAGTTGCTTGGTACGACGCCGACGCCCCAGATCCATATATGTGCATTGCATTCAAAACCTCCTTCAATTCAATAGATGTGCCATCCCACTGGCTGCAGAAGAAGGACTATTTATCGGGCAAGAAAGGGTATGAAGTTCCACCATTCAAGCTACCTAAATTTATTCAGGATACTGGCATTGCTGAAATGAGAAACTACGATCCTGAGTCCCTAAAGAAAGAGCAGCGTGATAGAGTCCAACCAAAGATGGGTAAGCTAGACATTGATTACCAAAAATTGCATGACGCTTTCTTCAAGTATCAAACCAAACCTCGATATTTGAAATTTGGTGAACTATATTGGGAGGGACGAGAGAAGGCTGATCAACATCGAGAGACTGTGATGCATATGCGGCCAGGTGTCGTATCGAAACGGTTGAGGGAAGCAGTTGGGCTTTCAGGAAATGATCTTGACGTAATTCCTCCGTGGGTCACGCTCATGAATCTGATCGGTAAGCCACCCGCCTATAAACACTGTATTATCCCTGGCGTCGATGTGGTGTACAACAACGGCGGGTATCGGACAAGCGAATCGTCCGACTTTAATTTTCAAGATGAAGCCGCTTGGGGAGCTTTCGAAAAAGTTGTCGAATCCGATTATGATGACAGCGAAAGTGAAGAAGAAGCTGATAGTAACGATGATGATGAAATTTCTTCTGAAAAGTCTGTTGAAGAAGAGCCAGACGTTGAAGAGCCCGAGAAGGTTGACATCACTGAGTTCAGCAAGTACAAGACGAATGCTTCTGACAACAGTTCAAAGGATACTTCAGGCTCGTTGTACAAAGTCTTGAAGGAAAAAGCTGTTTCTGATTCCAAGGGAGAAGACAAAAAGACAGGTTATGAAATTACTACTGCGGATGATACCAGTCCAATGCAAACTAAAACTATGAAAGACGACAAAAAAGAAGACGTCGAAGATTTTGAGTTTTAAAATCCGTACGAACTTTGTGAGTCTCCGTTCAAAAAAAGGCTAGACTCGTCAAATCCTAGCTGGAACTCGGTAGGGTTCATGAAGCGGAGGAAATCACGATCAAAGTCTTTGAATATGTCGGTGCTGGATGCCATTGTGAGGTCTGGGAATTGAGGTAAGAAATCCTCCGGATCGAAGCTTCCTCCGCTATCTGGGGTATTTTCTTGTCTTTTTTCGTCATCATTTTTAACTTCCACCTTTATTCTTTTTCGACTATTGGAGGGAGTTGAGGAAGGATCTTTGAGCTTTTCCATTTCTTGTCCTTTCATTGTCTGAGTGATGTTAATGTAATCGAGCTTCATGGTACTCTTCAGACTCTCGACAACCTTCTTCCATTTAACGATCTTGTCGACGATAAGCTTGACTCTTGTTGACGCGATAGAGTCATAGGCATTGCTATTAACTTCAAGAATTAATTGAACGTGATAGATGTAGTAATCGAACTTCAGTTTCATCTCTTCAAAACCATCTAGTTCAAAGCCTTTAGCTTTAGTTTTAATCAAAATTAATAGTCTCACAAATGAAATTAGGGCATGAACGCAGCGATACTGCAACCATGTTGGGTAGTTTTTCGAGGAGATCAGGTTCATCTCGATATAATACTTGAGGATGGAATCGCATGCCTCCTTGAACTTGTCAACATGATGTTTAATTAGAGGAATTATTTGCAGATTGTCTGCGTCCGGTTTCATGTGGAAGATTTGCCAGCTCAAAAGAGTATCGTGGTTCATCATCATCAATTGATGATAAACGATGATGAGGCAGTATTTGCGAACATCAGCCTCTGGTCTCGGAGTCAACGACTGAGGGTCAATGAGGCCGCTTTCTGCCATTGTTTGGGTCAAATCGACTTTGAAGCGTTCCAAACTGTTTGTGACGCTTGCAAAAGTAGTGTCATCCGAGCGACATCTGGTTCTAGCCCCTTCTGTGCTCAAGAAGCTCACTGTCACTCCATGAGAAATAAAGTAATCAAAAATCTCTTGACCTTTGCGTACAAGACGTGTGAAGCAACACACGAAGATGTCTTCTGGAGTTGGAATGGAGTTGTCGTATCTAGTGAGAAGCTGCTTAATCGCGATATCATGTCGAAGACACCATGAGACAATTCTAAACCTTGGTAGTGAAAAGCTTAAAGACCCACAACAGCTATAGACGGCCAAGAATGTCCGCAAATTGTTCCTCTCCAAAGAATTGTCATCTGCAAGTGCCTTGATCTGATACGTCGAAACATTTCCCACATCAGCGCATAGTGATACACCATGTGCGTTTACGAGATCAACCTGGCTTTTGAATTGGCCTTTCCGATCCGAAGGGATGCCCCATAAGGATAGGAGCAAACAAGAGATAGCCAAATGGTATGAGAATGCCGTGGCTCTCTCAAATATGTGTTTCGAAATTTCAGATGTCACATAATGATTAAGCGTCTCGTGAAGTTTTCTGTTAGAGACTTCCGTGGGTTTCTCGTCAGATAAGGCATTATCGTTCACTGTAGTGATATAGAGACAGGTTAGAAGAAGTGTAGAGTTCGTCTTCATTAAAGTGTCAAAATCCCTGAGCTCCAGCAGTAGTGCCACGATGGGAAAGAAAGGAAGCATATCCTCGATGAAGTATCTGAATCGTCTCCTTGCCTCTTGGTCGGATATAAGCTTATGAGTGTAGATTAGCTCATGCGCCATGTTTGTCTCCGGGTGAATAGTCGGAAACTCTTGAAGCGTCGACTCTTTGCCATTGATACTGAAGCTGTCTGCGAGTCTTGCCCCTGCCAGGTTTAACTTTGCTGCTAGAAGTGAAAGCTGTGAGTGATGGTCACTGTTCTCTTGGGGCTGCTTTTCCTCAAAGAAGTCGAGCTCCTTCTCGATACCGTCGAGTAATTTCGTTATCCTCGACGCAACTTGTTGATGGGTCCTTGTGTGTTTCCTTTTCCTTGCATTTACTGCTGTTGGGTCCTCGTCAACGGAGCATTTGAGTCCTAGATTGAAGCACCTCTTGCAGGTTTTGAACGTCGGATCCTCGTAAACACACTTACTTTTAAGCCGGTGACAGCGAGCGCATGCTTTGGCAACCCTCCATTTAGATGAGAATTGGTCTTCCTGCTGTGATTGTGATTCCATTTCATGAAGAGATGATCGTATGCATTTACTGAATATGGGGTAGCCTGTATGAAGTCTGGAGAAAGTGGGACAAATTACGAGAATGCCGTATACAATACCCAGATTTAATTTGAAGGCTTCAAATGTAAAGCATCGAAGTTAATGATTTGCTTCTCGTTGAACAATGAGTTTTTCAAGCGAGATCTTACAGAGCGGTGAGCTCACCATGACAATGGCGCTCGGTTTACCAATTCCGCGCTACAGAATGCCAATTGAGATCCTAGATTTGAGGAATTATATCTTGTGAACTTTCTAACATCCACACATGCAATGGGGGTTTATGGTACAGTCGCGACAACGTTTATCATTAGATGTCAACCAATGGCTTTGGGTCCTTGACCTTGTCGATCTTAGCACCGAATGAAGACACACACTTAGCCATAGTGGGCGAGGATCTGGAGATCACGTCAGTGAAGTAGAAGTTTTTGATAGGGTTCTTCAATGGGATACCAGCAGCCTTGAAAGTCAGAAGTCTGCCAGTGATATCCGTGAGACCAACCTTGGCGATGTCCTGAGAAGTAGGCTCAATGACCTCATGTCTGATGAAGTGGGGAGCAATCTCTCCCAATCTTTCTCTGACAGCGTACAAATCATCGTAAGGCAATGGAGCGCCAACGTACTCAGAAAGAGCTCTGATGATCTTCCAGTCCTCACGCGAGGAGCCTGGGGAGTTGGTGGCAGCTCTGGTGATTTGTGCTCTACCCTCAGTGTTAACATATGTGGCAGACTTTTCAGTGTAAGCAGCACCTGGCAAAATGACGTCGGCAAATGATGCACCGACGTCACCGTGGTGACCCTGGTAAATGACGAAAGCATCCTTAGGAATGTCAGAGCCCTTGATCTCATCGGCACCAAGCAAGTAGACAAACTTGGGCTTCGAGGTCTCAGGTGTGAATTTCTGGAAACCAAGGTCCAAGGCGGCCGCACGAGAAGCCTCGCGATGCAAAAGGTTGACACCGTTCCATTCCTCGGTGTTGAAGTTCTTGTTTTTAGATGCAAAATCAGCGACGGTGTGGTAGATGGCGTTAGCGTCCTCGGATTCGGCAACACCCGAACCGACAATAATCAATGGGTTCTTGGCCTCACCCAATCTCTTACCGTACTCACCAGTCAAAGCCTTCTTCAAGTCGTTAGCGGAAGCGCCCAAGTTCTCGTAGTTGAAGGTAGCATCGAATCCCTGACCGACGACACCAATCTCCAAGTCTTGTCTCAACCAAACCTTTCTGATTCTAGCGTTCAACACGGCAGCCTCGAATCTTGGGTTGGAACCAACGAGCAAGATCTGATCGGCATCCTCAATACCATCAATAGTACTGTTGAAGACGTAGTTAGATCTAACGTCAACACCATGAGCCTCGGTGGCCTGCTTGACATCAGTAACAGTGTTCTCAGAACCCAACTTGTTAACCAAATCCTTCAAAGCGACCATGGCCTCGGCATCGGCAAAAGTACCGGCGATGGCCTTCAATTCGTCACCATTAGGCTTGAGTTTGTTGTAGGCTGCGGCGATGGTTGAAAGAGCCTCATCCCAAGTGGCAGGCTTAAAGCTGTCACCATCCTTGATCAAAGGATTCGTCAATCTCTGGGTTTTCAAACCGTCGCAAGCGAATCTAGACTTGTCGGAGATCCACTCTTCGTTGATCTCGTCATTCAAACGAGGCATCACTCTCATGACTTCGATACCTCTAGCATCCACTCTAACGTTAGAGCCAATAGCATCCATGACATCGATACTCTCAGTTCTCTTCAATTCCCAAGGTCTTGCTCTGAAAGCATATGGCTTGGAAGTCAAAGCACCAACAGGACATAAGTCAATGATGTTACCAGACATCTCGGAGTTGATGTTTCTTTCGATATAAGTACCGATTTGCAAATCATTACCTCTACCGGTAGATCCCAATTCAGGAGCACCGGCAACGTCGTTCATGAATCTCACACATCTAGTACAGTGAATACATCTGTTCATCGATGTCTTCACCAAAGGACCAATAGCCTTGTTCTCCACAGCTCTCTTACCAGTGACTTCCTTGAATCTGCCTCTGTCAGAACCGTATCTGTTTGACTGCTCTTGCAAATCACACTCACCACCCTGGTCACACACTGGGCAGTCCAAGGGATGGTTCTCCAACAACATTTCAGTGACACCTTCTCTGGCTTTGTGGATTCTTTCACTGTCGGTGTGGACGACCATGCCATCTTGAACTGGGACAGCACAAGAGGCAATCAATTTGGGCATTCTCTCGACATCAACAAGACACATTCGGCAGTTACCAGCGATGGCCAATTTGTCATGGTAACAGTAACGAGGAATGGTAACGCCAGCTTTGTCAGCAGCTTGAATAATACTCGAGCCAGCTTCTATCTGAACTGTTTTACCGTCGACGGTAACGTTGACATCAGCCAAGCGCCTGACTGAGCTCGACAAAAGTCTTCTCGAAGAAACCGAATAAAGCGATCTCAACATTATGCAAATATTTATGAAGGGGTAAAGCGTTGGAAGATGAAGAGCGGGCTGGTTTGTGAGTCGGGACGCTTAGAGTTCTTTTTTTTTTTGTACGCTAGAGCTTCAAGTTTTTGTATGTAGGTATGTTTTATGGAAATTCTCTATTGGTTTTTGAGCAGCCTTTACTAATGAACCAATATTCTGATTCTGATAGGCTGCCTGCACCTGCGCGCACTGCTAAGAGGTCAAAGGACGACCTTCGAAAAAAAAAATCGAATTACGACTGAAAGATTATACTTTTTAAAAAAAAGGAGTTTAGATTAGTGTAGATTTTACTTCACTTTTCTTAATATTCTCTTTCGAAAAGTCGGACTTGTCCCCGTGGAGCTCGGTCATGAAGTCCAATTCCGGGGTCTGTGCGCAGAGCGTTCACAATTGGAGGACCTCCATTGGCTCTGCTTTCGCAGCTGACCTAGTCCGAGCTGCACTTCAAGAAGTTAAAACAGCGTCATGACTTTATGTACTAGACTTTTCTTTTACTGTCTGAGATATTAGTAAGCTAGATTTTGGTTCAATTTTGTGAACAAAAGTGTTTTCTTTCGAATTATTTACTCTCAACAAATATGAATTGTACTGTCTCAAGTGAGTGCACATTTTCTACGCAATATTTTCAAATGGCTGCAAAATAGAATTCTCTTATATTTTAAAATCAATTTAAGTCAGTATAAGGCTCTGAGGAGTAAATTGGCCAGAGACCGAGCTATGCTGAATGTACTTCGAGAAGCTAATCAAAGGAAAGCTGATACTTATGCATCCCAATTGATTAAAAGAATAAAACACTCATCTGCTTTGTAAGTCTCTCGAAGGCACATATCAGCATGTCGTAAACTCCGAAATGGAATAATTGTCGGGGTAAATATCGAATTGTGTGCTGCGTTTTGATGGTCTGAGAGCTTACCCCGGTGTTCCAAAACACACTCCATTAACCTTGTCACTCATCAACATCGTCACCGTCCGAATTGTTTACCTACACCAATTTCTTTCAATACAGACAAACTAATACGCAATTAGTTCAAATTCTCTCTAAATCGTGTATTCCGCATTAGTTTTGCTTCTTCTCTTCCTCAGGGGCCATGATCAAGAAGAGACCGAGTGGAACAACTATCCACATCCAGTTCTTCTGCAACCACAGTCTTTCATCCTCCTCAATCACTTCTTCGATTTCTTCTTCAATTTCAGTCTTCTTACCGTCTATCTCAACAGTCTTTTTCCGGATGACTTTGTTTCACTGGCTCTGCCTTCGGCTTTTGCTTCTGTCTGACGAAGGGTTTCAAGTTAGGCAAAGGAGCGGATGATGACTCAATCAATTGACTGTCCCAATCTTCTTCCCCGGCATAAAGAGCAATCTCCGTGAGCTCTCTATCACCATTCAAGAACAAGGCGAATTTACCCTTGGGTGTGGTCTCGGTAGTTTCAAGATATGTAAAGCACTCTTTACTTGGAAGCTGCTTTGTACCTATGCATATGCTATCATGGCTGGGTAAGTCGTTTGTGGCTAGGTACTTGGTCGTATTGGTAGCCGTGTCATACTTGATCTGGCCCAAGCTGACGATCGAACCTGTTTTGACAGACTTGCTGTAGATATCGAGTGATTTTTCAGCTGCTTGCGTATAGCTTGCTAGGGCAAGTAGGGAGAAAAGGATCGATTGTAATTGCATATCGTGCTTCAGAGTACGAGTTGACGATATCAGTTCGCATTTTGAGAACCAAATATCAGTAGTGTATTTCACGCTTGAACTATATGGCATCACTACGAAAGCATCTAAGCCGACATGCCCAGCAAAGATATAGATCTTGCGTAAGAGATATCCAGACGTCCAAGGACTATCTCGAATATGTCCGGATCAATGACAAAGATGTCACCACGACGATCTTCAGAGGCACCCTCTATGAGCTTTATGCGAAAGAGTTTCTAGAGAAGAGGCTAAACTGCTATGATATGACGAGAGTGGGAGGAGCAGGGGATAATGGTGTCGATGTTTTCGGCAAGTGGAATCTTAATACTTATTGGAAGTCACTCTCCGATGTTCAGAAGTTGAAAAAATATCCTCGTACATCCATTCTAACCGCGTCGAAACAATATAACGACGCGATTGACAGCGAAGCAACACGAATTATTGATCTAGAAAGTCTGATTCAAGTATTTGTGCAATGCAAAAATTACAAGAAACGTATACAACCTGCCACGATCCGGGAGATTGCAGGAGTATACGACTTTCATGCGAAGACAGCATTGGACCGCATGAAGTCGTTCTTCTTTCTACTACTGCCATTTCCATTGACAAAGCAAGCACATCGTCAATTTGATACAAGCCCAGTACCACTATTGCATTTGAAAATTCCATCTTCACCTGTGGAATATGTCGACGAGGACGATGAAAGTGTGGACAGCTTCGGTGAGCCAGCTCCGATCTACATTAACCAAAAAGCTCGCAAACTTCTACGAGGCCTTGAAGCCGAAATCATCAAATTTTAGTATATTTCAAAACATCAACGTACAAACTTTATTATTTTTCTTTACATCACCGCTTAAGTAGCGCAGCCCTCCAGCTTTAAGCGGATGGCTGGGCCTCCACAGTCTTGGTGGAGTAAGCGGTGGACACAACTCTGGTGACAGTCACAACCTCGGTGACCACATGACCATCAACGGTGTTGACTTGAGTGTCACTAGAGCAGGAAACACGAAGAGTGGTGAAAGTGGTACCTGGTCTCTGCTTGGTAACAGTGACCATTGGACCCTCAGGAGCGTTAGTGGTGGTAGCATCGGCAGCAACAGTGGTCTTGGAGCTCTCAGCTGGAACACCGGGAACAGCAGCAGCACCGTTGTTACCGTTAGTTGGCTTGGCCTCCTTGGAAGAAGAAGCCTTGGAAGAAGAAGCCTTGGTAGAAGAGGCAACAGAAGTCTGGGTGGACTTGGCGGAGGTGGTAGCAGCAGAAGTAGTGGCAGCAGAGGTGGAGGAAGTGGTGGAAGCTGGGGTGTCCTTCTCAACATTGTCCAAAAGGTAGTTCTTGAGCTGCTGAGTGAAAGAAACACCGTCGCTGTTCTTGTTGCTGGCACCGGAAGAAGCATCCCACAACATGAAACCACCAAAGTTCTTGTTGTTCAAGATGTCAGAGCCAACGTTCTTCTTGACCTTGTCGAGGTCAGCGTAACCAGAGCCAGCAGAGGTGGTGTCACCGGGCAATCCAACGTACAATTTGATGTCCTTGTTTGGAGAGGTCTCCTCCGCAAACTTTTGCCAAGTGTCCCAGTTGAAGCTGTCACCGAGAGCACAGTAGTTGTTGTAGAATTGGATGAAGGCAAAGTCAATCTGGGTCTCAGCCAACAATTCGCCCTGGGAAGCATCTGGGTACACACATTGAGGAGCAGCGGCCAAGTAGTATTGTCTGGATGGGTCGTTGTCGAACTGCTTTCTCAAGGAGTTGGACAAAGACACGGTTCCAAGAGGATTGTTGTTCTCCAAGTCGAAGTCGAAACCATCAACGATGGCATCGTCAAATGGTCTCTCATCATCGGAACCGGCACCAAACTTGTTCCACAAGACCTCGGCGAATTTTTCGGCATCTTCATCAGCGTTCGGCTCCAGGAAGCCGTAGCTGCCGGCGGCACCACCCAAGGAAAGAAGAATTTTCTTACCCTTGTCCTGACAGGTCTTGATGTCCTCACCAATCTGAGGGCAGTGGAGCACACCGTTGCTGAAGGATCCACCACACTGGTTGGCAAAGTTCAAAGACAATTCAGGGAAACCTGTGACGAAAGAGACAAGGATGATGTCAGTGTCGTCGTTGTCACAGTAAGCGCTCAATCTCTCCTGGTTTCCGTAAGAGTTCTGGCCCCAGTAGACGGCCATGTTCTTGTTAGAAGAGGCGGAGAAGGCGAGAACCTTTCCAATGAGCGAAACGAGGAGTAAAAGGAATGTCTGGGAAAACATTATTCACTGGTTTGGGGTATTAAAAGGAATGACTATGGGTATCAAGTAGTTAAGGAAGGACTGAAGTTGGTGATAAGTCAAACCACAAGGGTAAGCCTGGGGTATAAGGAGTGACTGGGATTAATTAAAGAAAGACTGGAAATCCTAAAGAGAAAAAAAAGCCAACGAGAGGAGAGACCAAGGGTATTTAAATCTTCAGAAGGAGGTTAGACGCGATTGTAATTGGTGAAGGGGTCCTACCCACTCAGCTCCAGGTTACACCGTGCATGCATTGTTTGCGTGAACCTCTGTGAAGGAGAGGCAAGCGGCCGCATGCGGACACCGAGTGTTCGATTTAGGCTTAGCCTTCATCGCAACGGGTTCCATCTGGCTGCAAAGACCGTAAGATCCAGCACTTTTTGCAACAAGTGTGACGCACGGAGTGCATGTAAACAGACCGAAAGCCGTGTAGGCGAATTGCGTGCGTGAAGGCCGCGTCGGAAAGGCCACTTTCGCGGTACCACTAAACACAAAGAGGTCTCTTATTCGTTAGAAGACTCCTTTTTGCTGCGCGGCGTTGTTTCAGTACCAGACCACTTCAAACCACTTTGTTTTGCTTTTTTTCGAAGCGGCAGTTATTGTAAGTTTCACCTTGGCGCCTAGCGCCAGCCGCCGCCTTTCAACAAAAAATGGGCTTATGGCGTTTTCCATGATTGTTTTTCAACTGCATGGAGGTTTGTGACTTTAGTCCGTTGTGGTGTGGTTCGGCATCTGGTTGTTGCGTGCGTCTCGTTTAATGCTCCGTGGACTGAGACAAATGTCAAGAGGTGCTGGCTGACAGCACCAACTGGGTGAAGTGTTCCCAAATAGTCCGACTAAATTCCCAAATCGATGCAACAGAAGGCTCTTCTTGCTGTAGCGAGACTAAGCCAATAATTTGTCATATTGGTTGCTTCGTCGTTTTCATCGTAGACCTGTCCTATCCGGGGTGCACTAGTTTCGCAGTGGCTGGTAGTGTTTTACGAGCGCCTCACCGCCTCATACTAGGTTTAAGCTACTGCTGAACAGGCGGACCGGTAGAATAGGAGCAATCATTCTGATCTGAATCTATATAGTCAATTGTCATTCTGCGAGACTTAGCCACGATGTTTACGTGTGGAGAATTCCGCTAGTGTGGAGTACTCCTGCCAGTGGAGGAGTGGTGAGAAATGAGGTGGTGCGAGTTGGGAATGGCTGCAATCTGATATCAACTTACACACATTGTAAACGCAATTGACCACCTTTGCTCACGTACCCCTATTTCCGGTCATTCAAAAAACCAAATGTGTTGGAGAGCATAGACAGTTGAGACAGTCTTTGTGAGGCACAAAGGTGGTGTAGCGTGGCTGATCGCGAAAGATTCATGGTTACGCATTCTCCAACCTTCGCAGGCACCAGTCACGAAAGCAGGAACAAGACGCGAGGAGGTGTAATTTCTCCTTGTTTTGGAATATTGATTTGGCGCCCGTGCCTTGAAAAATGTATATGGGGTTTATTATTTGCAGTGTCCCTTGATCTCCAGGGTGATCTGGTAAGCAGCCCACGCGGTACCTTCCACTGTATATCCGGCCCACACTAGTGTAACCGCATCCATATGGCTGCAACATAAACCCAAAGCTGCAGCATACACAAATAAACAGAGATCATCGAAACAAGCTTTTGGATGCAGCCTGATTCAGTCGAAACAACCACATCGGAAAGATTAAGGTTTGGCCCGAAGCCAATCTTGATCCACGTCAGAGCAACCTGTGCACAACCACCCCAAATTCCTTCCTTCGTCAACACTTCATTCCGTCCTCTAACCTCTTTGTGACGTAGTCCATCAAACCAGAGCTCCCTGCTTTAGAACGCCTTATAAACTACTCGCAAGTAATTCTAGATTTACATAGATCCCTAGGTCGAGCAGTCCGTACGGGAGTGTCTGGGAACACAAAAACGAAGCCGCCATACCGCCGGGAACCAAATACAGCAATAGTAAATATGAGAAAGTTTATGGTGATTGTGAAAAGGCTATTGTAACAACTGCGTTTCTGATACGTTTGATTTTTTGACAATTTGTCATTCCTTCCTTTTGATCTTTGTTACACCATTTTTACATGCGATCAAGCAGGTTGATCTCCAAGTCTAATGATTTTCTAACAAACTGAAGAAAAGGCCGAGTGCATGAAGAAGTCGTTACAACAAATGGCTCTTTCGGAACTGACCTAATCTAAAGTCTGCCTCGGATTTTTATTCTTGCCCTACGTCATATATCTTTTCGGTACCATGTTGCAACCTCGGAATCATGGGCGCTGCAAATTCTCATTGTTGGGGAGCTTAGCACGAATAAGCCGAATCAAGCAGGATGAAATAATATGGGGTACGTCTCACACGGGCTTCTAACATAATTGTAACACATACACTTCGATAGTATTACAAATAAACCTTCCCCAGGCAAACAAACGAAGGATTGCTTGTACAATTTCAAGAAGTCAGAATGACTCGGATGTTTAGTGGCAATTACGTAGCCGGTGCAGCTCTATCCGTTGTCTCCACCCGCGATCCACTCCTTGCACGTGCCTCCCCCTAACCCCCAATTCCAGCTGATTCAAACGGATCGGTATGAGGCTTGAAAAAAACTGAATATTGATCATGATAAGATTTTGGTAAACTATGGCAATTGCGATCAATTGGTTCTGTGCTTCCCCTATTTCTTTGAGATACACATCCACGGTACACGGCCTTAGGGATTGCGCAGGAAATACCGCAAACACTGGGTTTTGGGTAGCCAATGGAAATCCAGCCTGGCGGCTGAGGTGTTCAACAAACACCCAAAACAGTATTTGGCCGGTGGATAGCATGTGAAGACCTGCATGCGACAGAGCCACCCGCCGAAATTTCGGCGAAATTAGGCCAAGCTGCAGGAAAGCCAGGCCTAACCGGGGCCATGTTTTGCAGCTAAGCCCAACCCTTTGGGAGTAGGGGGTCCCATTTTGCAATATATAAAGGTGGGCGATTGCCCGCTGATTCTGTTCTCTTCTTCTTTTTTTCTTTCTCTATCCAGTTGGTTCTTTAATTTATTCTTCAAACATGTCTGTCAACTTCAACACCAAAGCTGAGACCAAAGACGGTTCTCTTTACACCAAGTTCACCTACGAGTCGGCCATTGTCGAGAAGAAGGAGGCTGGTTCTCTTTCTGTCACTCCAACTGCCACCGACTACGAGTTCAAGGTCGACTTGGAGACCCCAAAGACTGGTTTGTTGTTGGTCGGCTTGGGCGGTAACAACGGTACCACCTTGGTCAACGCCATCTTGGCTAACAAGCACAACATTTCCTTCGAGAACAAGGAAGGTAAGGTTGAACCAAACTACTTTGGTTCCGTCACCCAGGCCTCTACCGTGAAGCTCGGTGTTGACAAGGAAGGTAACGATGTGTACGCTCCATTCAACTCGATCTTGCCAATGGTGCACCCTAACGACCTTGTCGTTGGTGGTTGGGATATCTCCAAGATGCCATTGGACCAGGCCAGTAAGAGAGCCAAGGTCTTGGACGTCGACTTGCAGAGACAGGTGGCTGGTTACACCAAGTCCATCGTGCCATTGCCTTCGGTGTACTACCCTGACTTTATCGCTCTTAACCAGAAGGACAGAGCCGACAATGTGTCCAACGTCGACAGCAACGGTGAGGTCACCACCAAGAACAAGTGGGGCGATGTCGAGAAGATCAGAAAGGACATCAAAGACTTCAAGGAGCAGAACAAGTTGGACAAGGTCATTGTCTTGTGGACTGCCAACACTGAGAGATACTCCGACATTATCCCTGGTGTGAACGACACCGCCGACAACTTGATCAAGTCTATCAAGGAGTCTCACGATGAGGTTTCCCCATCCACCGTGTTCGCCGTGGCTTGTATCTTGGAGCAGGTTGCCTACATCAACGGTTCTCCACAGAACACCTTTGTTCCTGGTGCCATTGAGTTGGCCGAGAAGCACAAGTCTTTCATTGGTGGTGACGACTTCAAGTCTGGCCAGACCAAGTTGAAGTCTGTGTTGGCCCAGTTCTTGGTTGACGCCGGTATCAAGCCATTATCCGTTGCCTCTTACAACCACTTGGGTAACAACGACGGTTACAACTTGTCTGCCCCCAAGCAGTTCCGTTCTAAGGAGATCTCGAAGGCCTCCGTCATTGACGACATGATCCACTCCAACGACATTTTGTACAATGAGAAGAAGGGCAATGGTGTGGACCACTGTATTGTCATTAAGTACATGCCAGCTGTGGGTGACTCTAAGGTTGCTATGGACGAGTACTACTCTGAGTTAATGTTGGGTGGACACAACAAGATTTCTATCCACAATGTGTGTGAGGACTCTTTGTTGGCCACTCCATTGATCATTGACTTGGTTGTGATGACCGAGTTCTTGCAGAGAGTCAGCTACAAGAAGGTGGGCGAGAAGGAGTACGACAACTTCTACGCTGTCTTGACTCTCTTGAGTTACTGGTTGAAGGCTCCATTGGCCAAGCCAGGCTTTGAGCCCATCAATGGCTTGAACAAGCAAAGATTGGCGATCGAGAACTTGTTGCGTTTGTTGAGGGGATTGCCCTTGGTGAACGAATTGAGATTCGAGGAGAGATTGGTTTAAGGCGTGTCGTAAAACAGAAGAGTTTTTAAAATAATAATAATAATAATATCAGTGATTAATAACAATGTTCCTCGTAATAATAAAACCCATCTTGAGCGATCGCAAGTAAACCGCCAAGGCGCCGTATAGGCTACCACTAGCCAGCCAGGACCCGGCATGTGCGACCCAACAAAGCAAATCCACAATGGGCGCGAGTTTAAACAAAGCATAAAATGAGGGCAAGAAGGTGTGACGAACTGGGCACGAAAGGAGCATAAGCCCAGGAGAGCCGTTCCTTTAGAGGAAAGGCGATCGAAAGCCGCGGCTCCTCGGCGTTTGTCGGACCCCCGTAGTGCTGTCTTTATTTTGGGGCAAGTGAGTAGAAGCGAAACGAAAGAACAAATCAGAAAAAAAGATCAAGCTAAGACCGAAATAGATGCTTCAGGATAATCTCGCACAATCTGCGCTCGAGATTCTGCGTCCGAGGAACCACCTTTGTGGGGCAGCCACTCGGTTCGAATCTCTGGGCAGTGGCATTTTCTTTGTACCCAAAAGCGCACCGTAATGTGAAACTTGCGCACAGCAAAGCACCAGAAGCTGAATACTGACCCAACAAGATGGGAAAGTTCGTCAAAAGCGACAAATCAAAGAATTCGACAAGAATTCATGTAAATTTTTGCCAGCCTGAAACTCGGCATTTGCTCCGCTTCAGCCTTTCCTCTTTCTGGTCATGAGACTGTCATCGGGGAGGGCTCTGACGCCCCTGTGCACAACCGATTATCTTCCTCTCCGCCCGCAACTTATATAATACCCTCGATACCCAATTGTCCCCCTCAGCGTACCGCAAAAAAACACACAAACACACACACGCAAAAACATCATGGGTTTGGTTACTGTCGAAGTCGGCGAGGCCAAACAGGGCGAAGGCGCCCCAAGAAGAAGAGCCGCTCAGAGAGATGCTCCTTTGGAAAGACCAATTGACTCCAAGGCTACCACCCTCCCCGAATTCTTCGAGGAGTGTGTCAAGAGAAACGGTGACCGTAAGGCCATGGGCTGGAGAGACTTGAGAGAGGTGCACATTGAGACCAAGCAGGTGACCAAGATTGTCGATGGCGAGGAGACCAAGGTGGACAAGGACTGGGAGTTCTTTGAGATGGCTCCTTACAAGTACCAGCTGTACCCCGAGGTGCTCAAATTGATCAAGCAGTACGGTCACGGTATGGTTAAGATTGGTATCAAGCCTAACCAGGAGAACAAGTTGCACATCTTTGCCTCCACCTCCCACAAGTGGATGAAGACCTACTTGGCCACTCAGACACAGAACATCCCAATTGTCACTGCCTACGACACTTTGGGTGAGCAGGGTTTGACACACTCCTTGGTGCTCACTGAGTCCAACGCTGTGTTCACCGACAACAATCTTTTGAGCCAATTGATCAACCCCTTGAAGAAGGCCGAGAATGTCAAGACCATCATTCACTCTGACAAGATTGACCCCGAGGACAAGCGTGCCGGTGGCAAATTCTACAAGGAGGCCCAGAAGGCCAAGGAGGAAATTGAGAAGATTCGTCCTGACATTCAGTTTATCTCCTTCGACGAAGTTGTAGAGGCTGGTAAGGACAAGGCCTCCGAGGAGATTAAGTACACCGCTAAGCCTGAGGACACTTCGTGCATTATGTTCACCTCTGGTTCCACTGGTGACCCTAAGGGTGTTCTTTTGACCCATGCCAACATTGTTGCTGGTGTTGCCGGTCCTTCGACTTGTGCAGGCAGAGACTTGGTCTCCAAGAACGATCGTGTCATTGCGTTCTTGCCATTGGCCCATATTTTCGAGTTGGTCTTCGAGATCCTCACCTTCTGGTGGGGTGGCTGTCTTGGTTACGCCAATGTCAAGACTTTGACTGACACTTCCGTCAAGAACTGTAAGTCTGACTTACAAGAGTTCAAGCCCACTATTATGGTGGCAGTCGCTGCTGTGTGGGAGACTGTCAGAAAGGGTATCTTGGCCAAGGTGAAGGCTTTGCCAACCGTCACCCAGAAGATCTTCTGGGCTTCCTACAAGGCTAAGACAGTCTTGAACAACAATAAGATCCCTGGTGGCTCTATCTTTGATATTGTTTTCAAGAAGGTGAGAGCCGCTACCGGTGGCTGCTTGCACCACGTTTTGAATGGTGGCTCCCCAGTCTCTAGAGACACTCAAGTATTTATTTCTACCTTGATCGCCCCAATGTTGATTGGTTACGGTTTGACTGAGACTTGTGCTAACTCGAGTATTCTTGAGCACAACAAGTACGAATACGGCTCTGCTGGTACCATTGTCGGCTCTGTTACTGCTAAGTTGATCGATGTCGCTGAGGCAGGCTACTTTGCCAAGGACAACCAAGGTGAAATCTTGTTGAAGGGTGCTCCCATCACCAAGGAGTACTACAAGAACGCTAAGGAGACTGAGGAGGCCTTCACTGAGGATGGCTGGTTCAGAACCGGTGACATTGGTCAGTGGGACTCCAACGGTGCTTTGCAAATCATCGACAGAAGAAAGAACTTGGTTAAGACTGCCAATGGTGAGTACATTGCCTTGGAGAAGTTAGAGTCTGTTTACAGGTCGAACTCTGTTGTCTTGAACATTTGTGTCTACGCCGACCAGAACAAGGTCAAGCCAATCGCTATCGTCATTCCAAACGAGGCTCATTTCAAGACTCATCTTAAGGAGGACAAGGTCTACTCCGAGTCCGAATTGCAGACTAAGGAGCTTGCTGTTTTATGCCATGACAAGAAGGCCATCAACTCTGTTCACAAGGCATTGGTGGCTACTGGTAAGTCCCAAGGCTTGAAGGGTATTGAGTTGATCCAGAACGTTGTCCTTGTTGATGACGAATGGACCCCTCAGAACGGCTTCGTGACATCGGCCCAGAAGTTGCAGAGAAGAAAGATCTTGGCAGCCTACAAGGAGGATGTCGATAACGCTTACAAATAATGGTTATGCCCGCCCCAGCAATATTTTATCTAGGAGTTTTGTTGTTTAGCAGCAGTTAATTCGCGTATTATTGAAGGAGTGTAGTCCATCAACCACCGTAAACACCGGCAAACACCTTGCGGATACGCTTTATGTCCATACCAGCGTTGAGACAGAGTTGGAGGAGAATTCTGCTCTTCTGTGGGTTGAGATAACCCCCGGCAATCAAATAAGTGTTGTTGTTCTTAGGCATGGATCCCCGAGGAACCATACCATCCATAGATCTCTTGGAGTATATGATCGGGATTCCGTGAAGGGCTGACAATTCGCCCAATTGGGCATTCGTCCTATCGGGAAGAGAGCCAGCTCCCATAGTAGCCATAACAATGCCGGCAACCTTCATTCTGTCGACAGCCATATTGATCAATTCATTGTTGAAGCTTTGATGAGCGTACAAGATGATTACCTCAGGCATCGTTTCCTCGAAAATCGAGGTTTTGAAGGAGATTCTTCCAGTGGGGAGAGCACTAGGATAGTAGTAGTGAACTTCATTGTTAACGAAATTACCCAAGTAACCGTGTCCCAAGGACTTGAAGGAGTCTAACGAGTTAGCGTCGCTCTTAGTGATGTAGTAACCAGAACCAATTTTATCATTCAAAGTGACCAAGACACCTCTTCCTCTACTTTGCTTATCAGCAGCAACGACACAGGCCTGATACAAGTTAGAGGGGCCGTCAGCGGATACTGAAGTAGAAGGTCTCATAGACCCACAGATCACCACAGGCTTGTCTTGAAAGTCTAATGTAGCATCTAAGAAGAATGACGTTTCTTCACACGAGTCAGTTCCATGCGTGATCACCACACCGTCATGATTGTCGAGGGCTTCCTGGGTTCTGGCCTTGAGTGTCAAAAGCTCTTTTGTTGTGATCTCTTTCGAGTCGAGATTGAAGACCTGCTCGAAATGCAACTCACATGTGTGGGAAAGATCTGGAATGCTAGAGATGAGATGCTCAATGGTCAAGTCCACATGATATCCTGCTGTTTGATAAGCCGTGGAGCCCTTGCTGGCAATTGTGCCGCCAGTTCCAAGAATCTTGATCACGGGGAGTCTTTCTGGTACACTGTCTTCAAAAGACTCGAGCGTTCCAGAGGAGTTCGTCCGATATTTGACGTGAAAGACGGGATGTTCGATGTCTCTGACATCCTCTTGGATATCGAAAAGACCTGGTCCACCCGTTGGTAAGGTCATGGAAAAGAAGAGTTGGGAAACACCACACGAACAGTGGGGTTTACGGCGTTTTGATGCCGTGTGCTGCCATGCAGGGTTTCCAAATACCACAGAGTCCACATTTCTACGTAAGTGTGTTTGCATTAGAGGGAAGAAATCGGAGGTAAATACTATGTTTTCTCTCTACATTATATATCCGGGTTGGATAGACAATGATGAACCTTTAAGCGAAAGTGGCTGCGAAAATTGTGCAGAGAGTGGGATCGTGAATTCCGCCATTACGTGCTTTCTTGATATATAAGAGGTAAGGTCTCATTTTATACTAATTTTGGTCGTTTAATGAGCCAGGTCACATACAGACCACATTATTTGAAACTCTGGGTCTTTTGCTGGGAGAATATCTCTTTTGCCCATACGCCATGCTCAAGTACTTCCGAAGTTTTGGACATTCGGAAGACAGTATGGTGAGGAGAATCACCCGACAATATCTGACAGCTCATGTAAATTACAAAAATCTATGCTCCCATGTACCAAATAAGAATTACAAACAAGGATTACCGAATGGTAGAGGAGGTTAGGCTTCTCTACACCCGTGCACCATGCGGTATCAAGGCTTCTGAGGCTTCTTAGGCTCCTGCCCTGACATCGAATTCATTATGGGCCTTTTCAGCAAAGAAGAAAAGGTGGTTGATCCACCTAACAAAACAAAGCGGAAGATCTGCTGGGATGCCAGGGACAAATTCTTTGACTGCCTCGTGAAGAACAATATCGATAACTCTTTGGATCCCAAGAAGAAGGATGAGGTTGAGACCCAGTGTGGAACCGAGAGGGCCGTATTTGAAGAAAGCTGTGTGGCGTCATGGTACAAATACTTTCAAGAGAAGAGGTATAATGACATTCGCAGACAGAAGTATATTGAGCAGCTAGAAGCTGAGGGTGCAAAGCCATTGCCTATCAAGTTATCTGGAAAGTAACCGCAATAATGAAGTCTTCCTTACATGTATATAGAGTTTTCAAATCTTCAAATCAAACCACAGTGATGTAAACAGGCTCTCTTCCAACAGTCTTTTTGCCTGAACCGTTAAAGTCATCGAACACACAACCCCATTCATATTTGCCCTTTTCAAGTACCATGAATCCTAGTTCCAACTCAACATGCCCGCTTGGAGCAATTTGTTTGGGGCCAACAGTTTTTTGAAGTACGCCATTGAAAAGGATCCTTTGATCAATCGATATGTCTGGTCTGTTGGATTCGGATGTTGGGAAAGGGACGTGGCGTAAAACTCCCGAAAGTGCCGTTTTGGTATGATTAACTATCTTCGTCTTTAGGGTGTAGAAACGTTCCTTATCCAAACTGTACTCATTCTCTTTCTTGTCAATTATCCCTGGGGTTCCTTCGACACTCCAAATGCTGTGTTGAATCAGAATATTGTCGTATACCAATGCATTTGCCATCCTGGAATCCAAGCGGATGTTTCTGAGGTCAATTGTACCTGATCTTGGAGAGGTTCTCGTGACAGTGTGCCAAGAACCTTCAAGGCATTGTAACAAGAATGATCTGATCCAAAAATTCTTTCGGTTTTGCTCGTCCTCTTCCGCAGTGATGGAGTAGTTCTTGACATATTGTTTCTTTCGTAATGAGGGTATAGGGCGGCTGACATCAACATCCTCGAGGCACATCCTCCGAATAGGAAGCAAGAGTCTGCTGGTCTTTGTGGACTCAATCTTTTCGTTCACAACGAATGCCATATCACTTTGCACTTCATTTGTTATCTTGAGAGCTAGCTTTTCTTTCCATAAGTTGCGAACGTCAAGCACCAAAAGGCAATATTGAGAAATGTCGTCATCGTCGGATTCCTTAGCTTTTGAAATGAACTTCAATAGATCGCTGATATTCTTTTCGATAAAACTTTCTTTTTCAGGATGGTTGCCCAATTGAAAGCCTTGCAATGATGTCGAGAAGAAAGGAATGACGTCACATCCAATGATCTCCAATGAAGGCTGTACTGTGATGTTGAGTGGCACGCTGATTGTCTTTATATAGTTCTTGCGTTTCTCATCGGATGACCTATTGCAATATTCGAGTATCAACCTCAGCTCGGCCATACCCCTTTTGCCGTTGATTTGGTATTGAAACTCGACAATAGACAGCGGCTGAATGATCTTATACTTGGACGATATTTCTTGTTTGTTCACAACTGTGAAAGGTTTGTTCTCCAAAAGCTGCCACTCAAGCTCATGGACTTCCTCGGCTGAGAGTTGATTCGCACCTGCGTGATTCAACCTCGAATTGATAGAGTCGTTTGTGGAATCCCAAAAGGAAAATGACAAGTAGTTAATGGGGATATTGGAAGTGTTCTTTAACTTGATTGAAAATTCTTTCTTTTCGCCCTCAAGAAGCATTAGCCACCCGTTAGAAATCAGGTTAGCCACAAGGGAAAGTGATGCTTGTGAAGGTATCACAGTTAAAGTGAGACGTCTCGTTGTTGCTCGTCCAGCAACATTTTTGTGTTGAAGGTTGTCAGCACATTTGTCAAGCACGTTGCTTGGATCTTCTTTGGTGGGATTGATAACCAGAAGCCTTAAATTTGCGTTCGATTTTTCCAGATCAATTATGCTAAATCGTTGCGGCTCTGATGTACCAAAAGTGACGTCAAATTCTGAAATTTTGAAAACACCAGGTTGAGTGATTTTGAATGCGATGACAACATGACATAAGGAAGATGGAGGAACAACAACATTGTTGGTGGTCTCCAGAGCACGCTGTTCAGAGTCGTAAAGCTTGCTAGGGTGGAACTGCATCCCATTGAGCTTGCTGAGATCTTGCTTATTGAAGCCAGAAACACCAACGACTCTCATCAGCGGTCTTACTGTCTCGACAACTCTTTGGTCGTCAGCAACGATGCTAATGTCAGACACATTCAAATCAAAAGCGAATGGATTTTGGAGGAGAATGACAACCTGGTGTATATCATTCACGCAAATGAGTTTGTCTTTGGAAGGCAAATCCTTTGGCACTTTACTAAAAGGATTGAAAATGAGTGGATCATTCCCACTTGTGGGGGTTGTTGAAGGAGGTGTCTGAAATGGAACAAGCTCATCGGCTTGCAGCTGGAGAACGAATTTGGCATTTCTAACCATGAATGGGTCTGGATGGGGAATCAGAATGGAGTTATGACTTTCCTTCGATAGAAGAGCAAGCCAGTCCATTTTCCTTTTCAACTTTATCTGATCCTCGTTAGGTAAGCAATGAGTATACCTTGATAGTATCAAAACGCATATCTTAGCCAACATTTCATAGTCCTTAAGTGATTCTGTGATACGTAGGCATATCTTGAGGAGCAGAAGCTGGAGGGTGATCCAATCAGAATAATGTCCTGCCGCCTCAATATCTTTGGCTTCAGTCTGCCTGCCAATGCTGTACATCTCAAAGAGGAATTCGAAAATCTCTGTGAGTCTCTCTGCTGTTATGAAATCCGGTAAATGAGCGTTGTGGTTTAGTTTTGGTAAAAGAGCGACTAGTAATATGCGAAGTATGAATGCACGTTTCCGACGAAGTCCCAAGTCTGAGTAGATGATCGCCAAAGTATAGTAGACACGGCATTGCTTGAAAAATTCCAAGTCAATGAGTTGCATGCTGAAAATTTGATCAATGAGTGCAAGAATTTCACTCCGCAAGACTGGGTCTCTGTGACTTACACTGTCGAGTGGAGCGGACTTTATCGTTGCTTCGAGGACTTGCAGCTCTGAACCTGCACCAGCCTGATAGATGTTGATGAATAGCTTAATGCTTCGGAGAAGGAATTCGATATACACCAAATCAGGGACGCCGTTCTCGAAATCTGAGTCGCTGAGGCTGTAAAACATGGCTGTCTTGTTGCATAAAATCCTAAGGAATTCCGTTATTGACGAGCCACTAAGCTCTACTTGCCCAGAAGTTGATGTCAAACTTGCACTTCTAGATCTGCTGGTTGAACTCCTTGATTTGCTTGTAGAGTTTCTAGGTGACAGAACACCATTTGAATGCTTACTGCCCAATGAATCAGTTGACAAACGTTTTTGCGCTGAAGTGATAGAGCTGAGCTTATTCTTGTGAATGTGTAATACCGATGCAAGCATAGGGTTCAGAGCCTGATGTGGTATACCCAAATATGAAAGCATCAATGATGATACCGCAAGACCCTCAAGAGCGCTGCCCAACCAAAGGTTATCGTCAGACTTCCTAAGATTGATGGCAGCATCGGTGAAATACTGCAATGCGTCGTTTGCCTGACCTGCAAGGAGCAAAAAATTTCCCATGAGTTTAGCTTGTCTACCTGTTTGTCTTTGGGAAGCTTTGACCTTCAGATCTGGTGTCGACAGAAGCGTCTGATTCTTTGAGAACGAGACTTTAAATGAAGATCCCGAAGTCACCTTCTTTTGAGCGTAGGTGATGGTTTTGTGTAATGCTGTGCCATCTCTCAAGGAAACGGGTGATCGAAGAGTGATCTTTTCGTAGGAAGACACGTAAGATGCTAGCGCTTTGAGATATAGTTCGGTCACATAGCACATGGTTGTTTCTAAAGTAGTGATATTTTGATCTTCCAAAGATGGCACAAAGAAGACATCCTGGGGGGCCAGTGATGCGTGCTTCTGGGACTCGATCTTGTCCGCAGGTGAGTTAAAATAAATGCAATTGTGAACGATAGCTGTAGGCTGGACGTCTGAGAGCTTTTCGACAGCGTTCTCTTCGAAGTCCTCGTAACTACCCACACCTAAGACAATGAAGGTTTTCCTGAATGGTTCAAAGTCATGTAAGAACAGGACATCTTCGTCTGGCGGGCTCGCACAGAAATCGTAGAGTATCCTGCCCTGAGGAAAAGCTTGAGGATTGAAATTTCGGGCTTCAGGTAGCGGTGCCACGTCTAACAAACGTATATCGTTGGCACTTCGTATTTTGTCATAGTATTGTTGGAAGTCAGGGTTTCCTTTGTTCAACGGTACCACTAGAACTCGCGTCCTCGCAGGAGCAGCAAAATTTAGCGATTCTGCCATTGAATAAGATCCTGGCAATTCAGTTCTGTAGGAGTAGCTCGGTGCTAGGTTTTTGCAGAGAAACCCGATTTGGTGTGCGGCCTGTGTTGGTGTAAATAAGACAGCGCTGCAGTGCGCACAAATAGACCCTTCGATGGGGCTGTGAGGAAGAGCGTTGATTCTGAAAAAAAGATATCAAGAGTCTTTGAAGAAACTAGTTAAACAAATTGGAAAAATGTAACGATTGTGTTCTTCTGGTCTTGATATCTACCAAAGTGCTATCCTTTCAAGGGTGGTATCGTGGTGCACCCGTGCCTCCGAAATCTTGAACTGCGAACTGGAGGCAAACTCTCATACCAACCACCATAGCACCCTACAACTTCGTACCCAGGCTATCAATCAAAAAATGCCTGGCTTAAGTTTTGACAACTACCAGAGAAATCAATTTCTCTCGGCCAATGGCTATGCAGCACCCAAGGCCACCTCGACAGGTACCACCATTGTGGGAGCCAAGTTCAAAGGAGGAGTGGTGATTGCAGCTGATACCAGAGCTACTACCGGCAGCATAGTCGCCGACAAGAACTGTGAAAAGTTGCACAGATTAGCTCCAAGAATTTGGTGTGCTGGTGCCGGTACAGCCGCTGACACTGAGATGGTAACCCAGTTGATTGCGCTGAACTTGGAGTTGCACGCTATGTGGCAGTCTCGCCAACCTCGTGTGATCACTGCATTGACGTTGTTGAAGCAACACTTGTTCAAGTATCAAGGTCATTTGGGAGCTTACTTGATCGTCGCTGGCTCTGACCCCACTGGTTCTCATTTGATGTCCGTGCAAGCACACGGCTCAACCGACGTGGGTGAGTACCTTTCGCTCGGTTCCGGTTCCTTGGCTGCCATGGCCGTTTTAGAGACGAACTGGAAGCCAGATATGGCTAGAGAAGAGGCAGTGAAGTTATGCGCTGACGCCATTGAGGCGGGTATTTGGAACGACTTGGGTTCCGGTTCCAATGTGGACGTTTGCGTCATGGAAACGGGCAAGGATGCTCAGCTATACAGAAACTACTTGACTCCTAATGTTAGAGGTGCTAAGACACAGTCGTACAAGTTCCCTCGTGGTACCACGGCAGTTCTTAGAGAGAGCATACGCGATTTTGTCGATGTCGAGGAGACTGTGGTTGAGTTGGGACGTCTGGACGCCATGGAGGTGGATGCATAACGAGAGAAATATAAATCATGAAATGAAGTGAAGTCAATTGTAGGTGGAGCAGCTTGTACTGTGGTGGATGATTCTAGAAGAGTGCGCACAGTAGATAAGTCGTTCGGCTAGTAAGTCTCATCATCAAAATGGTCGTTAACAATCCTAACAACTGGCACTGGGTCGACAAGAACTGTATTGATTGGGCTAAGCAATACTTCAATGAGCAACTCATTGGTGTGAAGGCAGAGGGCAGCAACGGCACGTATGTGCAAGTTGATTCGGTTTCCTCTTTAGAAGGTGATGTGGAGGTGTGCCAAAGAAAGGGTAAGGTTATTTCCCTCTTTGACTTGCGAATTATCTTGAACATCGCAGGTGTGTCAGTTTCTGATCCCGAAAAGACTTTCAAGGGCTCTGTCACTGTCCCAGAATTGGCTTACGACACTGAGGAAGATGAGATCCAGTTTGACGTCAGCATCTACAACGAGGACGCTGATCTGGAGAAGATGAGGCTTTTGGCTAAGAAGGAGCTCTTGCCAAAGCTTAGAGCTAAGTTGCTGCGTTTCGGCCCCGACTTGATCTCCACTCACAGTAAGGATATCCAGCTTGAGAGCGACAAAGTAAACTCCGTCTATACCAAAGAAAACCAAAGTCAGGCTTCCAAGCCATCAAAGCCAGCGGAAAAGCCAAAGGCTGCGCCTGCCCCCGTTGCGTCTAGCGCACCACAATCAAGCAATGGCGTTCCAAGGTACAACACATCTACGCTACATCTTGAACCAACATTCAACACGACTGCTGAGCAACTCTACATCACGCTTTTGGACAGAGAGAGAATCGGAGCTTGGACTAGATCAGCACCTCAGTTGGAGGCATTTCCTCCCAAAGAGGGCTCTGAGTTTAAGTTGTTTGGTGGTTCGATTACAGGAAAGTTCACCAAGCTCGTGCCTAATGAGCATATCACCCAGCTTTGGCGTCTTGAGGAATGGAAGTCGGGACACTATGCTCAGCTTGATATTCAGTTGAAGCAGGGAGCTGGAGAGACGACCATGGTCGTCAAATGGACCGGTATCCCCGTGGGCGAAGAAGACAGAGTCAGAGGCAATTTTGAGGAGTACTATGTGCGCTCGATCAAGATTGTGTTTGGCTTTGGCGCCGTCTTGTAGTTAGCAAGTAGATCATAGAGATATGGCAACATGACATCATCTAGCTAAAGAAAAAAAATAGTGGTTGTTGAAAAGTTTGATTTTTATGTCTTGGAAGAGAATTCCGTAAAGCTGATAATGGTGTTTGCCTACTGCATTAAATTCACGAACCGATCGTTCCCTCAAGACGTTTCAATTTGTGATGGATGGATATCGCCAATTACATTTACGCTGAAATCACAAAAAGCAGAGAAAATTTCTTGGGATGAAGAAAAAAAAAAAAAAAAATGCACAAGGCGATGAGTTATGCCCGTATGTTTTCGCCACTTGCGTGCAGCTTACTAAGACTTTTACTATTGGCTGCGAAAAGTTAGCAGTGCCATTTAAAGAAGCGCCCTAGGTAACAGGACGAGGAGGTTTTATCGATCCCAATGTAGATGAAAAATCACACGCTCTAAATATCTAGTCGAGTCAAAGAAGAGATCACTTTTGTTCCCAAAGCGGATAAAAAATCCACTATCTTTGTCTCACTATCGAGCAGGGCGTGCACTGGCTAACGGAATCCGACTCCCGATTCGGTTGCTGCCTCCGTCGAGCAGGTCGGTATATATAAGCAGCAGGAATCTTCTGATTAGGAGTAACCTAACTTCATCAAATCCATCACGAATGTCTGAGTCCACCGTCGGGAAGGTATGTTATAAAGCAAGGCACTGTTGCTGGTAGGAATGCCAGCATTGTATTGATTGCCTAATTCAGCACACCCTGGTGGCCATCTGTTCCACGCAAGGCTACGAATTTGACCCTATCTGGAAAATGGCATGCATCTTGGGCTGCAAAATCGTTTAATTGTTACTAACTGAAGCCAATTACTTGTCAAGCCGCCGTTGCTTGGGAGGCTGGTAAGCCTCTTACCATTGAGGAAATCACCGTCGACCCTCCAAAGGCCCACGAGGTCAGATTCAAAGTCCACAACACAGGTGTGTGTCACACTGATGCCTACACTCTCTCTGGTGTCGACCCAGAGGGCGCTTTCCCAGTGATTTTGGGACACGAAGGTTCTGGTATCGTTGAGTCTGTCGGTGAGGGAGTCGAGAATGTCAAGGTCGGTGACCACGTTGTTGCATTGTACACTGCTGAGTGTAAGAAGTGTAAGTTTTGCAAGTCTGGTAAGACCAACTTGTGTGGCTCTGTCAGAGAGACTCAGGGTAAGGGTGTCATGCCAGATGGTACCCTGAGATTCCACTGCAAGGGTCAAGACCTTTTGCATTTCATGGGCTGCTCCACATTCTCCCAGTACACCGTCGTTGCTGACGTCTCCATTGTTGCTGTCAACCCAACTGCTGAGTTCGAGAAGACCTGTCTCTTGGGTTGTGGTATCACTACTGGTTACGGTGCCGCTACCATCACTGCCAATGTCCAGGAAGGTGACAATGTCGCTGTCTTTGGTGCTGGCTGTGTCGGTTTGTCCGTTGTTCAGGGTGCTAAGGAGAGAAAGGCCAACAAGATCATCGTTGTCGACATTAACGACAAGAAGGCCGAATGGGCTGACAAGTTCGGTGCCACTGACTTCGTTAACCCCACCAAGTTGCCTGAGGGTACCACCATTGTGCAGAAGCTCATTGAGATGACTGATGGCGGTTGTGACTACACTTTCGACTGTACTGGTAACGTCAATGTCATGAGAGATGCCTTGGAAGCCTGCCACAAGGGTTGGGGTACTTCCGTCATTATTGGTGTCGCTGCTGCTGGTAAGGAAATTGCTACCAGACCATTCCAATTGGTTACCGGAAGAGTCTGGAAGGGTGCCGCTTTCGGTGGTGTCAAAGGCAGATCCCAATTGCCCGGCATTGTGGACGACTACTTGAGTGGCAAGTTGAAGGTCGCCGACTTCATTACTCACAGACACAAGTTGGACAAGATCAATACTGCTTTTGATGACATGCACAAGGGTGATTGCATCCGTGCCGTCATCGAGTTGTGAACCGCACGCGCAAGGCTCTAGGCAATGAACTCTTTGCCGGAAGATTTCGGTATTTATGACGCTCAGAAACAGAAGAGAGGTGCTCTATGTGAGCTAACGCTGAGCGAAAAGTATATAACAGGGTAAGGGAGGACAGTACCTCAAGGTGTTGTAGATCTGCAGTTATCATAATAACGCGTTCAAGCTGCGTTAAGAAAGGTTATCGAAACACAACAGTCGGCCTTTTTTAAAGGCCAAGGATAAATAAGCTGTTAATTTAAGGAACTGTTTGCCCCATTGGATTAAGACGTACACAATGGATAGCTAGATCCCCGAGTCACCAAAAGATGGCTGCAAATGCTTATATGAATACTACGGATGAAACCTTCTCAAAAGTTAGCTTCAAAAATACAGATTGAAAAATCGTTGGTCAACTCCGAAAGCTATTTTGACGAGTTTACTCGTATCACCAACTCCGAGGTCGTTTTTCCGTACAAAATTTTTCCGCATAGGTCTTTATTTTATACACAACCCCGAAACATCCCGAACCTAGCGTTCATCGGAGCCCTTTGCATCATGACTACAAGATTTCATAATGTGAAAAATCAAGAAACAAGAAATTAAGTAGTCCGGTTGGTTTCAATTTGTCTTGCTTGGTAATAGTGACTTGTAGTTCGAGTAAAGCGCTACCTCGGGTCCGAAATCCAGGAGCTGATTTGATTGGACGCGAAATTTTTCGGTGTACATGCAAAAAGACAGAAACACTTATGCTCGAATCTAGTCCACGACTTCTTCTTCACTGCCATGTTTAGACAATTAGCCAAACTCACCGTTACTCCAGCTCCAAGATTCGCTAGATCTTACATTGCCGGTCAGTTTACCGGTCAGAAAAAGGACAACGGAAAGTACACTGTCACCTTGATTGAGGGTGATGGTATCGGTGTTGAGATCTCTCAGGCCGTCAAGGACATTTACGCTGCCGCCAAGATCCCAATCGAGTGGGAACCTGTTGATGTCACCCCTCTCTTGATTGACGGTAAGACCACCTTGCCCCAGGCTGCTGTTGACTCCGTGAACAGAAACTTGGTCGCCTTGAAGGGTCCATTGGCTACCCCTGTCGGCAAGGGCCACACTTCCATGAACTTGACTTTGAGAAGAACTTTCAACTTGTTCGCCAACGTCAGACCATGTAAGTCTATTGTCGGTTACGAGACTCCTTACGAGAACGTCGACACTGTCTTGATCAGAGAGAACACCGAGGGTGAGTACTCCGGTATTGAGCACACCATTGTCCCAGGTGTTGTCCAGTCGATCAAATTGATCACCAAGCCAGCCTCTGAGAAGGTCATCAGATACGCTTTCGAGTACGCTAAGAGCATCAACAAGCCCCACGTGTTGGTGGTCCACAAGGCTTCCATCATGAAGTTGTCTGACGGTTTGTTCGTTGAGACCGCCAAGGAGGTTGCCAAGGAGTACCCTGACGTTTCTTTGGACTACGAGTTGTTGGACAACACCTCTTTGAAGTTGGCCCAGGACCCTGCTGACTACAAGAACGTTGTCATGGTTATGCCAAACTTGTACGGTGACATCATGTCTGACTTGGCCTCCGGTTTGATCGGTGGTTTGGGTTTGACTCCTTCCGGTAACATGGGTAACAAGGTCTCCATCTTCGAGGCTGTCCACGGTTCTGCTCCAGACATCGCTGGTAAGGGCTTGGCTAACCCAACTGCATTGTTGTTGTCCTCTTGTATGATGTTGAGACACATGTCTTTGTTCTCCGACGCTGACAGAATTGAGACTGCTGTCTTGAAGACTATTGCCTCTGGCCCAGAGAACAGAACCGGTGACTTGAAGGGTTCTGCCACCACTCAGCATTTCACCGAGGAGGTCATCAAGAACTTGTAAGTTATATAAGTACATTCTATAATTGCTAGATATCTTTTGAATCTGATATAGTAGTATTTACAACCCTTCAAGAGCAAGGTTGGTGCCCTCAACGATAGCCTTGTGCTCTGTGGCATGTACCCTGTCCTCGTACTGCTCCAAAGACTCTTCTTTGCTCAACTGAAGCTCTTTCACCAATATGGGCTCACCACGGTCCACCTCTGCGATGACATAATGTATCATTACACCGGCAACCGTGATTTCTCCATCCTGTCCGGCCTTCCATGCTCTGTCAATGGCATGAGTACCGTCAAAAGCGCCTGGCAAAGCTGGATGCAAATTTATGATGGAAATCTTAGCCTCTTCAAGAGGATGCAACACTGCTGGCGATAAGATCAACATCCAGCCCGCACATACAATGAGATCTGGTCTTTTGTAGCTGGAGTCTGGCTTGTTCTCAGTATTGCCGTGGATTAGAAGACTGGCCAAATCCTTATTGAATTGCTCACGTCTCTTTTGCCTTTCGTCCTTCTGCTCCTTTGTAGTACCCTTGTAGTAGCTCTTCAAAGTGTGAACCTTGTGGGAGATACCAGCCTTCTGTGCTCTTTCCAAACCGTAGGCCGTCTCGCTGGAAGATATCACTTGGGTAATTGTGCCCTTCAAATTTCCGCTAGCCTGTGCATCAATTAGTGCTTGCAAATTGGAGCCAGAGCCCGAAATAAGGACTGTAATGTCAGGCATCACTGCTATAAATGAAGTTGATGCTGGAAATCGCTATTCTGACTCTGTCTGGCGCTATATGTAGGGAGATGAGTTAGAACCACCGCTATCCTCTTCATTGGTTCCACTCGGTCTCCCTTTTAATTTTTTTGAAGCTCCTCTTTGTAACGGGGACCGATAGATACTATTTTGTAGTGATTGTTGAACGAAATTTTTTTGTCCCTGTAATTGGTAATTTGCAACTATTGATGCGAAATTGATTAATCGAATCAAATCATATCAACTCACTAAGATGAGAATGATAGAAAAATTGAAAAAAAAGAAATAATAATAAAAAAGAACATAAAGATAAATGCGTTTTCACAGAAGCTTTTCAATTATTAACGAATCGATGTATAGAATCGAATTTCAATTGTGATCAACACATGCTTGAGGTCTGACAACTTAGGGCACCGACGTCTAATAGGAAGGGGAGAGCAGACAGAACAATATCGAGCCAGCATAGCTTGAAAGTCTTAAATATCATTATATCTGACGTTTAGCTCTCTAACTCCGGATTTAGCTTAACCTAGTTACAGTGCAGCGGATTTTGCAGCCAAATTACCGTTATCACAAATTACCTTTACATGTCGAAAAAACTGTTGCAGGGAAGCATCTTGATGCAACGCTTCAGGCTGATTTTGAAAATGCCAACAGATAATAATTACAAAAGCGTCGTGATGCATTACCCCAACGAGGCGCCTTGAGACCCAATTGAACCTAAGGTTTCAACAGAAGCTCATAAAAAAAGGTCCCAGTAAGCAAACTCACTCCTTAAGGCAAAAAGCTCAGTGAATTTGCCTTCCACTCACGTCAGTTTCGTGTGTCAATTTGACGCTTTTAAGCCTCAATGCGTATTATTCATAACCCCAGCCATTTCATGACCCTCTCCGCTGTGGCACAATGAATGCAAACTCACAATTAAGCAAGCAGAATCACTGATGTAGCCGCCCTCGCCAATTCTCCTCACAATGACCAACCGCCCAAAAACGGTCCCCTCTCCGCCTTTAAATGGAATCCCGGATAGGAAGATGCCTACTTGTTTGAGAATTATTCTTGTGTAGCTACAATTCAGGTTGAAAAAAAAAATCGATCAGATGTAGGGGGCAATTGACCTGATACAACAGGAAAGAATAGGGCCTTCAATTAATGCAATTGGGCTGAAATCAAGGCTGATGCCTCCAATGCGCATACTCTGTATGGGCCTCCTGATCCCCAGGCGCTGCCATTAATCTGCCGGGTAACTTTTTGAGACTGAAATTTACGCGTACGGCTGGTGCTTTACTGTGAGGAAAATTTTTTTTTCTCAGATGGGCCTCGTGCGAACACCTCTGGATTGAAAAAAGAAGTTTTCCCTTCTTCTTCCTTCTTGGTTATCAAGTTTACACCAACAACAAGTTCAATATGGGTATGTCTTACAGCAAGAAGGGTTTTAGGTGCTGAGCCTTGACAAATTGGTTCGTTTTCTACCAGTTTTCAGCTCTAATCTGGTGACGATAAGAAGGCCTCTGATTCTTATCTCAGCTCACTTAAAACAGCCAATCAGCTCCAATTGGGACCATTTACTAACTCTGTAGTTGCTTTCACTATTGACCAAATCCGTGGCTTGATGGACAAGGTTACCAATGTGCGTAACATCTCCGTCATTGCCCACGTCGATCACGGTAAGTCTACTTTGACTGACTCCTTGGTCCAGAAGGCTGGTATCATCTCTGCCGCCAAGGCTGGTGACGCCAGATTTATGGACACCAGAAAGGATGAGCAGGAGAGAGGTATTACTATTAAGTCTACCGCTATCTCCTTGTACGCTTCCCTTACCGATGAGGACTGTAAGGAGATCAACCAGAAGACCGACGGTACCTCTTTCTTGATTAACTTGATCGACTCCCCAGGTCACGTTGACTTCTCCTCTGAGGTCACCGCCGCTTTGAGAGTCACTGACGGTGCTTTGGTCGTTGTGGACTGTGTTGAGGGTGTCTGTGTTCAGACCGAGACTGTCTTGAGACAGGCTTTGGCTGAGAGAATCAAGCCCGTTGTCATCATCAACAAGGTTGACAGAGCTTTGTTGGAGTTGCAGACCACCAAGGAGGACCTTTACCAGTCTTTCTCCAGAACTATTGAGTCCGTTAACGTCATCATCTCCACTTACGCTGAGAAGTCCGTCGGTGACGTTCAGGTTGCCCCAGAGAAGGGTACCGTTGCTTTCGGTTCCGGTTTGCACGGTTGGGCCTTCACTGTTAGACAGTTCGCTAACAGATACTCCAAGAAGTTCGGTGTCGACAGACAGAAGATGATGGAGAGATTGTGGGGTGACTCTTTCTTCAACCCTAAGACCAAGAAGTGGACCAACAAGGACAAGGACGCCGACGGAAAGCAGTTGGAGAGAGCCTTCAACATGTTCGTTTTGGACCCAATCTTTAGATTGTTCTCTTCTATCATGAACTTCAAGAAGGACGAGATCCCAACCTTGTTGGAGAAGTTGGAGATCAACTTGAAGGGTGACGAGAAGGAGTTGGAGGGTAAGGCTTTGTTGAAGGTCGTCATGAGAAAGTTCTTGCCAGCTGCTGACGCTATGTTGGAGATGATTGTCATCCACTTGCCATCTCCAGTCACCGCCCAGGCTTACAGAGCTGAGACCTTGTACGAGGGTCCATCTGACGATGAGCACTGCCAGGCTATCAGAAACTGTGACCCTAAGGCTGAGTTGATGGTCTACGTTTCCAAGATGGTTCCAACCTCCGATAAGGGTAGATTCTACGCTTTCGGTCGTGTCTTCGCTGGTACTGTCAAGTCCGGTCAGAAGATTAGAATCCAGGGTCCAAACTACCAGGTTGGTAAGAAGGACGACTTGTTCTTGAAGGCTATCCAGAGAACCGTCTTGATGATGGGTGGTAAGGTCGAGCAGATTGACGACTGTCCAGCTGGTAACATTGTCGGTTTGGTTGGTATTGACCAGTTCTTGTTGAAGTCTGGTACTCTTACCACCTCTGAGACCGCTCACAACATGAAGGTCATGAAGTTCTCTGTCTCCCCTGTCGTGCAGGTTGCCGTCGAGGTCAAGAACGCCAACGACTTGCCTAAGTTGGTTGAGGGTTTGAAGAGATTGTCCAAGTCCGACCCATGTGTTTTGACTTCTATTAACGAGTCTGGTGAGCACATTGTCGCCGCCACCGGTGAGTTGCACTTGGAAATTTGCTTGAACGATTTGCAGAACGACCACGCTGGTATCCCATTGAAGATCTCCCCACCTGTCGTTTCTTACAGAGAGACTGTCCAGGCCGAGTCTTCCATGGTTGCCTTGTCTAAGTCTCCTAACAAGCATAACAGAATCTACGTCAAGGCCCAGCCAATTGACGAAGAGACCTCTTTGGACATTGAGAACGGTGTCATCAACCCAAGAGATGACTTCAAGGCCAGAGCCAGAATCTTGGCTGACAACCACGGTTGGGACGTCGCTGACGCCAGAAAGATCTGGTGTTTCGGTCCTGACGGTAACGGTCCTAACTTGGTTGTTGACCAGACTAAGGCCGTTCAGTACTTGAACGAAATCAAGGACTCCGTCGTTGCTGCCTTCCAGTGGGCTACCAAGGAGGGTCCTATCTTCGGTGAGAACGTTAGATCCGTCAGAGTTAACATCTTGGATGTTACCTTGCACGCTGATGCTATCCACAGAGGTGGTGGTCAGATCATCCCAACCATGAGAAGAGCTACTTACGCCTCCATGTTGTTGGCTGAGCCAGGTATCCAGGAGCCAGTCTTCTTGGTTGAGATCCAGTGTCCTGAGAACGCCATTGGTGGTATCTACTCTGTGTTGAACAAGAAGAGAGGTCAGGTTGTCTCTGAGGAGCAGAGACCAGGTACTCCATTGTTCACCATCAAGGCTTACTTGCCTGTCAACGAGTCTTTCGGTTTCTCCGGTGAGTTGAGACAGGCTACCGGTGGTCAGGCTTTCCCACAGTTGATCTTCGATCACTGGGCTATCTTGAACGGTGACCCAACCGACCCAACCACCAAGCCAGGTCAGATCGTCAAGGCTAAGAGAGAGCGTGCTGGTCTCAAGCCTGAGGTTCCAGGCTACGAGGAGTACTACGACAAGTTGTAAGCTACCTCGCGGTATCGTCCGATTATTGTTCATATAATATAACATCGTTGCTCTGAAAAACTCATTGTAAGGACCGGCTCCTTTTTTTGCCGATAGGTGCGTCGCAGCCTCCGCGCGCGCCGAATGCGGCTGCGTAACAAAGCCAAGAGATCCCATCTAAAATATATTACGTGCATATAAGGCGGCTTTCGTTTATAATCGGGTGGTCAGAGCTTTTTCGCAACCTCCCGAATGTTCCGGATCAACCGTTTTTATGTAGTGTAAAGTTTGTTAACTTATGACCGGAAGTAGGTTTAATTGCTGTAAACACAATTTAGCTGCAGTGACTAAAGCAGGGGCACATTTCTCGTAGAAACGGAAGACCCGGAACTTGAATCGGACGCATCGAGAACACTTGCAGCCTGTTTAGCAATAGAGGGGACGGCTTGTCCGGAGGCGAACAATAGAGTCACTAGGGTGGGGCGGTTTAAATACGGGGAAATTTGCTGGTCTTTTCCATCAGTTTGTTTTTTCTACCAGGGTCCTGATTAATTTCCTAGAAACCGTTTGACTCTCATCGCTGATAGTGCCTCGTTTGCCCACTTTCTGAATCTGGAACACTAAAGGCGCATAACCCTCATCGAGCGTCGTATATAAGTCGTTGCGCTGCTTACAAACTCACGTCTATCAGATTTTTTTTTTCCACACAAATCAACGACTCAATGTCTTTAGAGCTAACAGGACTCCATGGTTCGCTCCTCTGTGCCGCTGGAGTAGCATGCTCAATAACAGCATTGGCCTACAGGCGGCTCAAGCTCAAACATTTCGAGATTAAACGGCCGCTTCTTAGAGTTATGGCAGCTTGCGCTGCTTATATTATCGCGTGTGTTGCTACACCACACGGGCGCCTAATACCCCTTCCAAACATCGACTTCATTGAAACTCCAGTCGAACTGATAGAGTCCATCATGAGAATTTCTGCCTTGCATAACAGCGCTATCAGCATGATGGTGTGTGCAGCTGGCCTTACCGTCTACTACGCATCGGGCCCCGTTACAGAGAAGTGTATCATGAAGATGGACGAAGTGCTTATGAAAGATGATGAAAAGGGAGCACGGTTGTTGCGCCTGAGGGAACATTTGCAGGGCAAGAGTTTTCTCACCTTCATCATTATCCTCACCAGCTTTGTGGCGTTTTGGCCAACAAATTGGCTTCTCTCGTTCACATACACCATTGCTAAGTACGACGAGATTGAGCTTACTACTGACCATTTGTATTGGGCTGTTCTAACATTCGCGTTAGCCAAGACAATTTCGGCGCTCATCCACTACTTGTCTCACCCCACAAAACTGTTTTCCAACGGAGTGCATCTATGGATACATCTCTGCTGGTTTTACGGCACCACGTTGACAGCAGGTGCAGCAGTTTTCTGGGCTGTTGCCCAAGATGTTTTATTGGTCTACATGTACAAGGCTGCGATGCTCATACAACACCAACAGGGTCCCGACATCATCTTGGTGGACGGCATTCCCAAACACTTTAACGTCTTCACTGGTCCAATGGCCGACTTCTTGCTTGAAGGCGTTTTTTCACACAAACGCGGCTCTGCGCTTATTACTCTTCTTCACGAACAGTTGAAGCTCTACGAGAAGGTCATTGACGATTCACTTTGGATCGTCTTGCTCTGGGTCACCGTTTTATTCCCATTCTGCAAAGGCGTCGCTGTCTACTTCACCTTGCGCGGGAAGAATACGGAGTAATTTACTAAGTCACGGTTCACGATATATAGCATGCATAGACAACAGGAATTGCAAAAGGAATTTGTATTGTTATCTGCAATTGTCCATTCGAGGGAGGACGAGCCGATGGCGGGAGCATTCCCTTCCGCAATTGCGATTGCCCCTCTTACATTGAGAAATCCGTAAATTCTTTATCTTTGATTCGCTCATTTTTCCAGTTGATGGATTTCCATCGAGGATTCCGTTACCAGATAAGCACAATTAGTGCGCACGCTTATCGCGATAGGATGCCCGATGCGGCAGGCTTATCCTGACATGAGGAAGGATAAATATGTGGGGGTGCCGTGTAATTGTCTCCAATTTATCAATTAATTAGCTTTCACCATGGAAAGGTTACAACAGCTTTCTTTGCACGCTACTGCTAGCACCCAGCCGCCAGTGGCACCTCCACACCCTTTGGACCCTCTCACCACGCAGGAGATCAAAGCTACTTCTCTGGTGGTTCGCAGCCATTACAAGGGCAAGACTTTGGTTTTCAACACGGTTTCTCTTAGAGAGCCAATCAAAAGAGCTTACTATGATTGGAAAGAAAGAAACGGTCCCAAGCCTCCCAGATTGGCTTACTTTGTTGTCACCGAGAACGACCATGTTGGTGTTCACGAGGGTGTGGTCGACTTGCCTTCGTTGACAGTAATCGAATCGAAGGCTACTTCTGGTGTCCAGCCAATTTTGACTCCCTCTGACCTTCAGAACACTGAGGATATCGTTAGAAGTGACCCTCGTGTGATTGAACAGTGTGAGATCTCCGGTATTCCAAAGGAAGAAATGAAGAACGTGTACTGTGATGCTTGGACCATTGGCTATGACGAGAGATGGGGCTCCTCTAAAAGACTCCAGCAGGCTTTGATGTACTGGAGATCTGACGAGGATGACTCTCACTACTCCCATCCATTGGATTTCTGTCCCATTGTGGATATGACGGAGGGGAAGGTGGTCTACATTGATGTCCCAGGCAGAAGAAGAAAAGTGTCCAAACACAAGCACTCTTCTTTCCACCCCAAGCACATCTCGGAGAAGTTTGGAACCTCTGAGAACCCATCTGGTTTCAGAGATGATGCCAAACCTATCAACATTACCCAACCTGAGGGTGTCTCGTTTGCCATGAAGGGTAACGTTATGAACTGGTCGAACTTCAATTTTCACATTGGTTTCAACTACAGAGAAGGAATCGTTCTCTCGGATATGAACTACAATGATCACGGTAATGTGAGACCTCTTTTCCACAGAATTTCCTTGTCTGAAATGATTGTCCCTTACGGATGTCCCGATTTCCCTCATCAGAGAAAGCACGCCTTGGATATTGGTGAGTACGGTGCCGGTAACTGTACCAACCCTCTTGCTCTTGGTTGTGACTGTAAAGGTGTGATCCACTACATGGACGCCCATTTCACCGACAAGGATGGAGAACCTTTAACCATCAAGAACGCTGTTTGTATTCACGAGGAAGATGATGGTATCTTGTTCAAACACTCCGACTTCAGAGATGATTTCCAAACTACCGTGGTTACCAGAGGCAAGCGTTTGATTATTTCCCAGATTTTCACTGCTGCCAATTACGAGTACTGCTTATACTGGATTCTCAGACAAGATGGTACCATCAAACTAGAGATCAGATTGACTGGTATTCTCAACACTTACATTTGTGCTGAGGATGAGGACATTGGACCATGGGGAACTGTTGTATACCCACAGGTTAATGCCCATAACCACCAGCACATCTTTTCTTTGAGATTAGATCCACGTATCGACGGTGATAACAACTCTGCTGCCACATCTGACTCAATTTCTGGTCCAGGTGCCACCGGTTCACCGGAAAATGCCTACGGAAATGCCTTTTGTGCCGATAAAACCACCTTTAAGACCGTCAGTGACTCTCTTACCCAACCATCCACAGCCAGAACCTGGGATATCTTTAACCCTTCAAAGATCAACCCCTACTCCGGAAAACCATCTTCTTACAAATTGGTATCTACATTTACTCCTCCACTTTTGGCTAAGGACGGCTCACTTGTGAAGAAGAGAGCTCCTTGGGCTGCTTGGGCCACGCAGGTTGTTCCATACAAGGATGAAGGCGTTGGATATGGTCGTTTGTACCCATCTGGTGACCACGTTGCCCAGTGGTCTGGTGATGGCGCTAGAGGTATGAGAGAGTGGATTGGTGACGGAAAAGACCAGATTGAAAACACAGACATTCTTTTCTTCCACACATTTGGCATTACCCATTTTCCTGCCCCTGAAGATTTCCCTGTCATGCCCACAGAGATCTTTGACCTCATGTTGCGCCCAAGGCATTTCTTTACCGAGAACCCATGTCTTGACGTGAAACCATCCTACGCCAGAACCACAAAGGAAGTCAAGGCTGGAGACAAGGGTGTCGACGAATGCACCCTTGATGTCGACAAGACATCTCAATTGGCATTTACAAAAACCTCTGGTTCCTGTTGCAAGAAATGATCAACTCAAATTTTGAGATATAGTATAGTCCTTTAATATGAATATCATGGTGTCTTATCTTATCTGTAGTAGTCCAATGCTCATCGCGAAATTCAACTCCAACTACCAACCATGAAATACATCATCGAGCATATGGAGGAGGGGTTCTCTGAATGGGTCATTCTTGAGTATTCCCAAATTCTACGTGATGTTGGTTCAGAAAATCTCGTGTTGACGTCTTTGCCTGAATCCACAACCGAGAAGGACATCCCCCAACGTCTTCTTGATTTGGGTTTGCAATGGACAACCAAGGAGTGTGTGACCATCGATGGTGGTTTGGATAGCTCCAAAGTTTGCTTGCTTGACCCAGCTGCTGAGACTGATTTGGTACCAGAGGATGCCTCCAAGTTTGACTACTTTGTTTTTGGTGGCATCTTGGGATCGCACCCCAGAATCGACAGAACAGGTTTGCTTAGAGATAAGTACGGCTTTAGCGGTCGCCGACTCGGTGCTTTGCAGATGACAACCGATACTGCCATTAGAACCACTCAGCTCATTGCTGAGAAACAGAAGAAGTTCGGTGACATCAACTTCATTGACTACCCCGAGATCAAGTTCAGCCAGTATGAGTCGACGGAAATGCCGTTCAGATATATTGTCGACAATAATGAGGAACCAATTCTACCAGAGGGAATGCTTGAGTTGATCAAGCATGATGCCGAACAAAGCATTGACGACCTTTTAATGGAATAGACCAGGAAATAAATAAAATTCTATTTGTATACTTTGACTTTTTTAGCCTCAACAGATTTTTGCAGTGAACTAAGAATCTCTTTCATGACAAAACCAGCAGTATCCTGGTCTTCGAAATATGATACATGTGCACTAATAGCTGAAATTAGCGCTATGCTGAAAACACCAGTAGGTAATGAATAGTCAACCCTACCCGAGCGATTGAATTCTGTCAAAACTTTTATGTCGTTATCAGAAAGGTAAGAGTCCTTTAGCTCGTCTTTCAGATCGTCGCCCAGGCCACTGGACAATGGGCTTGCCAATGTTGTAATGATATCTCCCAAAGCATTCTCTTCGGATACATTGTTCTTTATCATTTTGTTAATCTTACCATCTTTCTTTGATCCAAACCAGTTCGAAAAGATCTTTTGTTGTACCTCATCACCAAATGTTGTTAGGCTCTTGACCTGGGTGTTGAAACCCTTTAAGGCAAATGGAACCTCTTCCGGCTTCATTTGTGAGAAGGAGGGTTTAATAAGTGGCTCCATCCTATAACTGACCGGATCACATGGATGGAAGATATTGTACAAGTTCACACATTTTGGAGAAGACACCTTCAGGTCAGCGTCGAATGGATCATAGTCCTTATCAAGGCTGGCTCTCGAGACAATATTTCTTCTTTGAAGCAACTTGAAGGCCCCAACTGGAGATCCAACGCAAAAAAGATTCTCAACTTCGAAGTCAAGCTTAAGTTTGTGGTCCCCCGGGATTTGCATCGAAAGCAAGTCGTATGCAATTGCTGAACCCAACGAATGACCTAATATATGTATTTTGCCATCGAAATGAGGGTTTCTCTCCTTGTACAACCGATAGATCCTGTTGAGCTCCTCGACGACAATCTCGAGAATCTGGTGCATGAACTTTGGTTCATAATATAGCAACACATCAAGGATGACATCGCCAACAATGTTTCTCAAGGGTCTCACACCATCAACATTAATGTCGGCTAAGCTTGGAAGCCTTTTGTCCCCTAGGTTGCCAAGATCGTCAATTCTTTTACTGGGATGAAATAACACCTTATGCCTCCAAGTCACAGGTAAAGTTTGGATCCTATTGTTGGTCTTGTGCTCCTCATTTTTGGGATCAAAAGTATCTCCACTGGCGAGCTTTTGATACTTCTCCTCATTTTGAAAGACGTCTCTCATGGTTGATCGCAAAACATTAATGCTATGAGTGAAGTTGACGGATTCGTATTTGTATCCGAGAATTTGACCGATTCCATGAACACAAAGCACAAGATGGTCAATTTCCCTATCATTGGTTTGGGTGACTTTAAGCTCTTCAAAGTCAGATTCCATAACTGATTGAAGCATCTCGTCCTTGTCCTTCTTGCTCGATTCGGACAAGACTTTTTCGTGCTCCTTCAGCGGTGAAAACAAGTTGGAAAACTCTGTCAGAAAGATGTCCGTCAAAGAAGGCACCGGCGCTTTTTTAATACTGTCCATTATCGAGGCAGCAAGGTCCTCAGAATAGCCCCTCTGAACTGGCGTCACGCCCATGAGGGTACCAGACTTACTGCCCATCTTTCTTAGGATACCCAATTGGACGGGACTGATGGTAGACGGAAACAAAGCAGCTTGGTTGTTGTCAAAATACACAACAGCTTGGCCATCACCCAAATCGACGATGTCTCTCTCTTCTGAGAAGTCGATTTTGTCTTGCTGTACTTCTTCTTTTATCTCTTTTATCTCCTTGTTGAAACTTGCGATAAGGTCCTTGGATTGTTTCTGAGATGTACCTTGTTGTTTGATATGTTCATACGGACGACGAAGACTGTAAGCATCTTCAATCTTTTTGGCCAAGTTGGACGGAAGCGGCATTCCATCGTGGTCAAACCAAAGCCCTCTCCTTACCTCGTACGTGGGACCTTCCCAGTACACTGGGGAAAGAACCATGGACTTCAAGTCAACCTCAAAGAGGCGGTCCTCCTTGACCTCAACAGTCTCTAAATTTTGCAGGTAGGCATTCTCTAAATTCTTTTCGTCGTGTTCAGTGAACGGAATAAACTTGGTGGGTTTCTTATCTTGCTCGTATTCGAACCAAGCGGGTTTGGTGATCGGTGCGTCAGAACAAAAAAACCAACGAGGCCTGGGGTCTGTTGTCTTGGAATAGTGTCGTGTGACTTGTATGCGAAAGAAGGGACGAAGAGCTATGATCAGAGCTCGGCCAAAACTCATCACTTGTCTTCAAGAAAGGGCATGTTGCAATGTTGCTGCGAACACCCATGAGACGCACCGCACAAGCCGCTCGGGTTGTCAAAGCCTATTTTATCGGACTGTGATTTTTCACGGCCAATCTACAAAATCTTGAATAGTACAAGCGGACTGATTGAATGCAATGGTATTTCACCTATTTATCATTTCAATTGATGCAAATGAAACAGTTTTGACAGTGGGACCACCAGGACACGGTCGACGCCATTCAACTACTTACCTTCACGGATCTCGTCCCACCTGCTCTTAGGCTTGGAGCTTGTTGAATTCTTCTGCTCGAGCGAGGGGAACAGATCATTCTCCAGATCCGCTTGGTCACTTTCCAGCGCCGTTGCGTTTGGAAAGTTGATCTCTCTCAAGTGTTGCCATTCAGAGGTGTCCTTTTCCTCTTTCTGCTTGGACTTGTCGAATCCAATGGGCTCACTGTTGGGCCGATAATATGGCCTGTGGATATCCTCTTCCGTGAGAGTACGTGGATCCTTCATCTTGAAAGCAGGATCTCGACTTGTGATCTCGTAGTATTGCCCCCAAAACATACTTTGAGGCCAAGGAATGGCATTCCAAACATTGAGTAATCTTCTTGATTTTTCAGCTTCACTGCTTCCCTCGTTAGCCTCCTTTGACAAGCTTCTTCTCTTGATCTTAAACAGGGCATACACTCCGACTGTAAGAGCAAGTTGAAACCCAATTACACCCAATCCCAAGGAAAGAAGTGGCGATTTCATCAATGGTGCTCTTATCGGCATGTGTGGTGGCAACCTACCAGTGGGACCAATCCTACGTCTCACGAGACGATCTAGAATAGTTGGACCTGCTAACATCCCCATTGAGACAGCAAGAGCTCCACTTGCCGTGAAACTATTGATGTTGAATAGCTCTCTTGCGAGCAGCTCTCGTTCGCTTTGCAGCAAGACATGATCAGCTTCCCAGAACTTGATAGCCATCGGCATATCGCGTTGCATAATGATATTTAGACGCTTGTCATGAATCTGGGCTTGTTCTTGGTCTGTCGAATTGCTCTCCATCTCGTTAACTAGTGATGTTAATTTGAAGCCGAATGAACCGTGTAGAAGCAATCCAGGATTTGCTTCGAGATCTGACCATATCTGCATACACGTGAGCGTCTTGCAGCCATTTTACCGAACGATTACTTTACTTGTCCTTCAATTTATTGCAGAGCTCTAGCTAATCAGTTAAACCAACTTGTTGTCAACCCTGAACTCCTCCTTCAATCTGAGCAACTGCTTGACAACCTCGTCAAACTTCACTGTCGCATTCTTACCTTGCTCTTCCTGGATGTCTCTGTTTCTGACATTCACACTCTCCTCAGCCTGCTCCTGCTCACCAACGATGAAAATGAAGTTATACTTCAATAATTGACCACTTCTAACCTTCTTTTGCAATGTGTTACCAGAGAGGTCCACATCAGCGTAGAAGCCATGCTGCTTCACCAACTTCTCCTTCAAGGACTCGGCGTAGTCAAAGTATTTCACACCTACAGGAACAACCAAAACCTGTCTAGGAGACAACCAGAATGGCCATCTGCCCTTAAAATGTTCGGTCAAAATAGCGGTCATTCTCTCGACAGATCCCAAAATAGCTCTGTGGATCATGACTGGTCTTGCAGTAGTCTTCTCCTTGTCGTTAGAGTCAGCCTTGTACTCCAAGTCAAAACGCTGAGGCATTTGGAAATCCAATTGAATGGTGGCACACTGGAACCATCTTCTCAATGCATCACTGATCTTGATATCAATCTTAGGACCATAGAAGGCACCATCGGCAGGGTTCAACTCCCAGTTGCCCTCACCCATAAATTTGTTCAATGCATTTTCTAAGTTCTTCTCGGCAGCATTCCAGGTCTCCAACTCACCGACGTATTTCTCGGGTCTGGTAGACAATTCCATCTTGAACTCGAAGCCAAAGATACCATAGATCTTTTGCAAAAAGTCAAAGACACCAGCAATTTCCTGCTCGATTTGGTCTTGTTGACAGAAGATGTGAGCATCGTCCTGTTGGAATCTACGAACTCTGGTCAAACCTGAAAGGGCACCAGAGAACTCGTTTCTGTGAATGACACCAAAATCGGCAACACGCCATGGCAATTCTCTGTAAGATCTCTCTCTGCTCTTGAAAATGACACAATGACCAGGACAGTTCATAGGTTTCAAACCGAAGGTTTCCTTCTCCACGTCAAAAGAAAACATGTTCTCCTTATAGTTACCCCAGTGACCGGAAATCTCCCACAACTTGGTGTTATACATATTAGGGGTAATGACTTCTTCGTAGCCTCTTTGTCTGTACTCATTTCTCAACATGTCGACAAGGGTGTTGTAAATTCTGGTACCGTGTGGCAACCAAAATGCCGAACCAGGCGAGACTTCATTGAAGTAAAACAATTCCTGCTCTTTACCGATCTTTCTGTGATCTCTTTCACTTGCCTCTTTCAAGAACTTCAAGTGCTCATCCATCAACTTTTTGTCTGGGAAAGAGATACCGTAGACTCTCTGCAAAGAGTCATTGGCAGCATCTCCCAAAAAGTAGGAAGAAGAATTCTTCAAGACTTTGAAAGCCTTGATCTTACCGGTGTGCAAGATGTGAGGACCTCTACACAAATCGATCAAAGGTCCACATCTGTAGACGGTAGTAGATGTTCCATCTGGAACCTTGTCGCTGATGAACTTGACCTTATACTTGTTGTAAGCAAACATCTTCAACAATTCTTCCTTGGTCATTTCTAGTCTGACGAACTTCTGCTTTTCCTTGATGACCTTTGTGGAGACCTTTTCAATGTTGCCAAAGTCTTCCTGGGAGACAACACCCTCTCCGCTGTTGATGGACATGTCATAAAAGAAACCATCCTCGGTGGGTGGACCGTAGGACAAGTGGCAGCCGTAGTGGTTCTCGCAAGCCTCACCTAGAACGTGAGCAGACGAGTGCCAAAAGACCATCTTACCTTCGGGGTGCTCAAAGTCCAAGAACTCAAGTTCAGCGTCGCCCTCAAGGGGTCTTTCCAAGTCCCAAAGCTCGCCATTAACCTTAGAGATCACCTGTCTCTCAAGGAAAGATTTGCCAATGCTGTTGGCGATTTCGAAAGGACTTGTCTCGCAGGCAGTTCCCTCTTTCACAGAACCATCCTTCAAGGTAATTTTGATTGGTTTTCTTTCACGAGCAGCAAATTCAGCATCTTGCTTAGCTTTAATCTCATCGAAGATCTTCAACCTGTAGTCCAAAAACTCTGGTGGAGGGTCCAAGAACAAAGCCTTTTGCGGCTGTTTGTCCTTCTTCTTTTCCTTCTTATTCACCTGAGGTTGAGGCTTGGCCTTCTCTTCAACAGAAAGCTGGTTCACGCCGTTCACAACTTCAGCCATGCTATGTTATATTCAGGGTTGAGGATATCACTTCGTGAGTTTCAAAAAAATTTAACAGAAAAATGCGTGCACATATGGACGACCACCGCTACCAAATCGCGATTATTCTGGTTCCGATGAGTCGAACTGGCTTAACCTAGAAAACCTCGAAAAAAGTTTCATTTTTTAAATAGACTTAACGCGTCTGGCGACTTGAACATAACTTCACAAAATAGTAAAGAAGTGGCAACGGTCTACATCACACCCCACGGATGCTTTCAAGTGGCTGCAAAACGCTCTGATTCAATTTCGAGCATCAAAGCAAGACAAGATTCCATGATATCGACCATAAAGCCAAATTTAATAAGAGTTCCTCTTATTCCTGTCACAAAGGAATACTTTTTTTTTGTCTCCTTCCTTTAATGTAGTTTTTCCTGTCGACTTCTATTCTTTTGAATCCCTTCATGAGTATGCATCAAACCATATTGTACTGAAATAAAAATAAGCTTCTCCTTTCAGGCTTTCTTCGCATCACAGCATAAGCGTGTTCAAGGAAGAAAACCCACCTAGACTGCATTTCTTTTCGTACCTACAACACTTATGATCCTTTTCTTTACCTTCAATATTTACATGAAAACTACCCACAGATTAAAAAGTCTTGGGGGCTAGCGTGGCAATCTTGTTAAACTGCAAGTCCTTCAACTCCTTGGCCACGACGGAGGAGATTCTGGTTCCTAAAGGCTCGCCATTCTGGTTGATCAAGACACAGGCGTTGTCATCGAAACGGACGACAGATCCATCTGGTCTTCTGTATGGTGCTTTAGTCCTGACAATGACTGCTCTGCAGATGTCTCTTCTCTTGACTCTATTACTCGATGACTGGCCCGTGATGGCAGATGAAAGAGGTCTAGCTTCTTTCACAACGACGGTGATCTTGTCCCCGACTTTGCCAAAATTTCTTGGACCGTGACGAAGGACCTTGATACACTCCACAACCTGGGCACCAGAGTTGTCAATAACGTTCAAGAGTGTCTTCAAATAGATCATTCCTGGGGAGTGGGACAATTTGATATCGTGAGATTTTCACACAACTTTTGTGCACCGGCGTGCGAACCTCATCTGATCACTAACATCACGAGAGAGTATAAGTATAGGAATGAATGCTGACCTCACCTAACGGAAGCCAATGCATAAACCAAACCTCCTTTTCAAAAAGCCCACTCGATGTCTAGGAACAATCACAAACTGGTATGAATCAAAAGTTGTGATGGACAGGAAGTCGAAGTTTCAGGCTCGTCATGCTACGTTGAACCATCCTGATGAGATTCCCGGCATTCTACAGCAATTTCTTCAGCAACACCGAAGAATCACAAAAACTTCAAGCCATCCCCACATCATTGCTTGGAGAACGGGCGATCTTGTAGAAGATGTGGCTGGAAAAGGCCGAAAGAATAGTACTGATGTGAAGTATAGTAATGTTCAACAAGGATTCAACGATAACGGAGAGAAAGGGGCAGGCTCAAAACTTCTAGAACATCTTGTGCAACATAATGTCATCAATAAATTGATCATAGTCACAAGGTGGTATGGCGGGTGTCCTATAGGATCGCTGAGATTTCGCCATATAACAAACACAAGCTTTGATAGCTTGCGAAGAGCCGAAGAAGCTTAGTTACTCGATGTGATGAAATTTTTATAATTTTCACAACTGATGGCTTCTCAGTTAAACATATTTGCATTTGACATCAGACAGCTCATTGAAGGTCTCAATCAATAGTACGCCCGGAAGAGCATCAAGCGCTACTGCACGTGAAGCGATATACATTTGCAGCTATTTGAGTCATTGACGGCCACAGTATATACGATAGCTGCATGAGAATAAGTAGTAGCATAAAAAACTGGAAATCTCAAAGGCCTCAATTCTCGTAGCACTTTATTAGCATTGATCCGTGGCTGATTTTTGATCAACATGCTATCAAGATAGCGACTACGTACAGTACAATCAGTTTGTGTGCGTTTCTGAGCGTGCAAGAATATTTAATTTTTCAGATACCCAGGTCCCACCTGAACGTCGCTGAACATGATCAGAAGTAGCTTGTTGCTTGCCAAGCGCACTTCTGTTGCCAGGTGTGCTTCTTTACTACCTAGAAATGTCATTACCCCAGTTCGTTTCTACGCAGCCAACAAGAGTGTCCCGCTCACCGCAGAGACTTATAAGGATAAGGTTCTGAGAGATCCTCGCTACAAGAGCTTGGAAGAAAGCGATCTTGGTTTCTTTCGCAAGGTTTTGGAAAATGATAACTATGTTGTCACTACAGAGGAAGATCTCGATTTTTTCAATGAAGACTGGATGAGAAAGTACAAGGGCCAGTCCAAGTTGGTGTTGAAGCCTAAGACCACTGAGCAGGTTGCAAGTATTTTGAAGTACTGTAACGAGAAGAAGCTTGCTGTCGTTCCTCAGGGTGGTAACACTGGCTTGGTCGGTGGATCTAATCCTGTTTTCGACGAGATTATCATCTCTCTCGCTAACATGAACAAGGTCAGATCCTTCGATAATGTCAGTGGTATTTTGAAGTGTGACGCTGGTGTCATTTTGGAAAATGCAGACAATTTCCTTGCTGAGAATGGCTACATTTTCCCTCTTGACTTGGGCGCCAAAGGCTCCTGTCACGTTGGTGGTGTGGTTGCAACCAACGCTGGAGGTCTCAGATTGTTGAGATACGGCTCCTTGCACGGATCGGTACTTGGCTTGGAGGCTGTTTTGCCCGATGGAACTATTTACAGCTCCATGGATGCTTTGAGGAAGGATAACACCGGCTATGACTTGAAGCAATTATTTATTGGTTCCGAAGGTACTTTGGGAGTCATCACCGGTGTGTCTATCTTGTGTCCTGCTAGACCAACTGCTACAAATGTCGCTTTTCTTGCTGTTTCGTCTTATGAGGCTGTTCAGAAGGTATTTGTTGGTGCTCGTAGGGAGTTGTCTGAGATTCTCTCTGCCTTTGAATTCATGGATGGAAAGTCTCAGCTTTTGACCGCTCGTTATTTGAATGCTGATCACCCTATTGAGTCTGGCGAGTACCCCTTTTATGTTTTGATTGAGACCAGCGGCTCCAACAGAGATCATGATATGGAGAAGATCGAGACGTTCTTGGGAAATGCTATGGAGGAAGGCTTGGTTGATGATGGTATCATCGCTCAAGATGAGACACAGCTTCGCAACTTGTGGTCTTGGAGAGAGTCAATTCCTGAGGCTTCTGCCCATGCTGGTGGCGTTTATAAATACGATGTCTCTATTCCTTTGGCCAATCTCTATGGCTTGGTGGAGGCAGCTTCCCAAAAGTTGAATGAAGCCGAGATGGTGGATTTCGATGATGAGTCCAAGCCAGTTGTTGAGGCTATTGGCTACGGTCACTTAGGTGACGGTAACTTGCACTTGAATGTGTGCGTCAGGGAGTACAGCAAGGACGTGGAGAAGCAATTGGAGCCATTTGTGTATGAGTGGATTCAACAAAACAAGGGATCCATTTCTGCTGAACACGGCCTCGGCTTCCAAAAGAAAAACTACATTGGCTATTCCAAGAGTGATATCGAGATTAAGATGATCAAGGACGTGAAGAACCATTACGATCCAAACGGCATCCTCAACCCATATAAATATATCTAAGGTCGGTAATCCATATAGTCATCGAACAAATGCGTTACAAGTTTTCATTTTTGATTAATGATCCTTCCTCGTAAAGCTTCTCGAGTCTCTCTTTGAAAAAGATGCCGCAATTGGCTCTCTTAATTTTGAAGGTTGGTGTGACGACACCATCTTCCACCTTCAAGGGATCAATGCCAATCTCTATGTTATGCAACTTCTCCAAGCCGTGCAATAATTTAGAAACCGAGCCATTCGCCTCCATCAAGAACTTTCTTTTAACTTCACGTTGGTTCAAAAGCTTAACCAATTTCGCCTGATCCTCGAGGTCCGCTGCTTTATACCCGAACTTTGTGGCCAACCAGGGCTTTATTGACACGGGATCAACTCCGACTATACCCACCAAGTACGTCCTTAAAGAGTCACCATGAGCAAAGAAAGCTGTAGTTAATGGGTAACACGAGAGGTAGGTGTTCTCAATTTTCTCGGGAGTAATGTACTCACCTTGAGCCAACTTAAAAAAGTTCTTCACACGATCAATGATGTAGATACGACCATTCTTAGGGTTGACGCGGGCAACATCACCAGTATGGAACCAGCCATCTGGATCCAAAGCCTTCTTAGTATCCTCTGGATTCTTGAAATACTCCGTAAAAATTTGAGGTCCTCTCAATAACAATTCACCACGAGGACCAATGGAGTCATCAGCGGTGTAGCCCATCTCTGGGAGGTCTTTCAACCTCATTTCTGTCGTGATACAGATAGGGCCACATGAGCCTGGAGTCGCTTCAAATTGCAAAGAACTGCTTACGCCAGCAAAAGATTCTGTCAATCCGTAACCTTGAGATACACCTGTGTTCAAGGCAGCTTTCAAAAACTTAACAGTCTCGGGAGAGATTGGAGCAGATCCAGTGGCAATGTTAGTGATGTTTTCAAAACCAATTTTCTTACGGAGAAGTGCAATCAAACGGTCATACAACAAGTGATGACCAGCTGCCCCATCCTCTGCGGCTTGCCTCTCCATCTTTATGTTGATAGCGTTCGTGAATAAACGCTGCAACATAGGTTTCTCGTCATTTTTGATGGTCTGCGCTTTGAGGGCAGCCTCCAATTTTGTCAACACACGAGGCACCAAGTTCAATGCATTGGGCTTCAAATGCATGACATCATCAAGAAGTGTTAATGGAGAAGGTGATTGAGGCATACCGATCTCGGCACCCAACATGAAGGCTGCTTGATTGGTCATTCTTTCGAAAATGTGAGCAAGTGGTAAGAAGCTGTAGCCTCGTGGATTAACCATTGAACTCTTCACGTTGGATAAGCAGAAGGTAAGGGCGGAGATCGCACTTCTATTTGAAAGCACAACACCCTTTGGATTTGAGGTTGTACCTGAAGTGAACGAGATCGTGTAAATCGTCGAAGGAGTGGGCCGGATGTCTGGACGTTTATGAATGTTTCCAAGTTCTTCAATATCAGTGAATTGACTTAACTCGATGTTCTGACTGATCGCTTTTCTCTTGAGATCAAGCAACTCGTCTGGTTCGAGTGGGTCCATGGAGATAAGAGATATCAAATTCTGCATGTCTTCTGGATGATCTCTCTTGATGTTGATCAAGTTTTCAATCTTATCCTTCGAGCAGGTCACTACTGGCGATTCAGTTAAAGCCAAAATGTAGTGGGACGTGTCTGGACCCAAGGTATCATACAAACAAGTGTTCGTGATGGAGTAGTTGATACTGGCCAAATCAGCAATGAGCCACTCCTTTCTGTTGTGGGAGAATTGAGTGAGAATGAAAGTCATCTCGTTAGCAGCTGCGAGCTCCTCATGTCTGTCTATCTTCTGGTGGGAGGGAGACAGTGTCTTGAAGGCATTGTTTTGCAATGAGTAAAGAAGGCCAGCACCAAAGTTCCGTTTTCTGGCAGAAACCTGTGCATATGTCTCCCATTCGTAAGGTCCATACAGCCCATCGCTGCGCTTGTGCCTAACGCCAATAGCCTTCTTATCAGCAAAAACAGACGCCGAGCATTCAAATGTTTCATACAAAGTGGTCAAAGCCGGATGTGGAACATTGATCAAACCATCGACCGCTGCTTTGTTGCGGTAGATTGGTGAGTAGCCGGGCTCTTTGGAATTTTCAAGAGCAACGGCGTCCTTGAACCGGTTCAGGTCCATCGGAAGGCTACTCCTGACTTGATCCATCACCGTCTTTGGCGCAATTGGTAGCAACAGATTCATGACAAATTGTGAACAATTGATAACGAAAAATAATTTGACGTATGCCTGGGGTGTTGCCTTTATATGTGGATCAACCTCGGTTCCGATGAGGGGTTCTGAGAATGGCGTTGAGATACGCAATGCGGACTCCCATGGTAACAATTGTAACCCCGCACAACTTATATCAATGGGTTAAAAGAGCGAAGTCACACGCTTGTAGTTGCATATTCTCCAAATTATCTTAGTGATTTATGGATGGCGGAGATTATTGTGCGGACTTAGTTGAAACGGTGCGCGGAATTGGCTGCAACCGCCTCGGTAGAAGGAAACTTACGTATGTCTGAACGAAAGTAGACACTTGTGAAATGCCTGTGCAACTTTCTGTGTCTACCCCGTGGACTGGAGTTAACCGGAGGTAATCTTACGTATGGCCTTTGTGTAATACATTCGCAAAGCTCGGCTTGTTGTAACCGATTGCGCCGATCCGTCAAGGCTTCTTTTCGATCGCGCTATAATCTGGACGTGGTAATTCAAAGCCCTCGGTGACACGGCCGTACGTTATGCCGCCGAGTCTCGCAACCGGTTGCAACTTGCCTGTGTCTACAGTATTCTGGTCCTCGTTGAGCAAATCCTCACGCACATGAATCTTCACACCCTCAACAATACACATCACCCCCGTAGCCAAGCCGTTTCTCTTCAGCTTCCATTCGTGACTGTGTACAAGTTTGGCCTCCACACTGAAAGCACTCTCTGCCACATGCGGTGGTTTCACCTCTGTACTCTCTGCTGGTGTCAAGCCACTGAGCTTCCACTCATCAACACCATAGGGCGAGTTAACCGCACAGAAATTGGCAGCCTCAATAAACCACTCGCTGATGATGTTGATAGTGAGCTCCTCTGTTTCAAGAATATTCTTGAGGGTATCTTTAGGCTTCACCTTACCTCCGCTAAAACCCAAGGCAAAGATGGGAGGGTCGCTGTTCATCACATTGAAGTAGGAGAAGGGAGCGAGGTTACGCCCTCCTTCTTTACCTTCGGTCGAGATAAATCCAATTGGACGTGGTGTAATAGCGGAAATAAACAATTTGTAGTTGTCCACAGGCGATCTTGTCTCGGAGTTTGGATCAATGGCAATCTTTTTGTGCTCGCTCCATTCTTTTGAAGAAGCTCCCAGACCTTGCTTCCATTCTGGAGCATTCGTCTTGGTGATTTGCCATGGCTTTAGTTCGTGATCTGGTCTTGTAGCCTCGACCTCTTTGAAAGGTGGATGCTTTGAATTGGTGTTTTGCGTGACAGTCATTATAGAAGAAAAAGTGTGGAGTCAAATCGCATAGTAGGAGAACCGCAAAAGTCTCACAACTGGCTGCGCGGATGTTGAATGCCCGGGCACCAGGCGAGATCTACAAAAGCAGTTATCTCTACTACAAGGCAGCTTTCGAAACTAGAGTGACAGCTCGTAAAAGCTCATAAATCACATTCGGAAGTTCGCACCGGCTGAAAATCAACCAGATACTACTCCACTATGGCTAAGAAGATCCTACTTATCAATGGTCCAAACTTGAACTTGCTTGGCTCCAGAGAGCCTGAAAAGTATGGAACCACCACATTGAAAGACATTGAGAACACAGCAAAGGATCAGGCCAGTCAACGCGGTGCAGAGGTACTTGCTTATCAAAGTAATACCGAAGGCCACATTGTCGACCGCATTCACCAAGCCGCCAAAGAAGGCGTTGACTTTGTCGTTATCAATGCCGGTGCTTATACCCATACTTCTGTGGCTATAAGAGACGCATTGCTAGGCATTGCCGTTCCTTTCATTGAGGTTCACATCACCAACGTGCATCGCAGAGAGCCTTTTAGACACCACCTGTACCTTTCCGATGTGTCTGTCGCCGTCATCGCCGGCTTGGGTGCTTATGGATACACTGCTGCTATCCAGTATGCTCTCGATAATTAGACGCCAATGGTAATATCATACAAGTCATTTCAACCGTAGAGTCCCTCTTCCATGGCCAGTGGAACTGGCTTATCACCATAGACACCAAGCCAGCTTGCAGGGGTTTCAAATACAAGTGGTGGGAGATTCAACATCTCTACAACTTTTGCAGCTAGGGCCTTCGCTTCATAGAAGTTGTCCCCCTCGTAGACGAAAGTCTCTAACACGACAAGATTGGAGATTGATTTGATACTCTTTTCGAGGGCTTTGGTGTGATCTGAGAAATGCATTTCGGCTTCCGAGAGTGGTCTTGCAGAGTTCTTGTCAATCAGAAGAGACAGGAAGGATTCACTCAAGAGATCTTCGTTCGTGTGAATTCTAACCTCTCCTTGAGGAACGCCCTCGACCAAAGCGCTGTTCGCTGAGTCTAGCACAATAACATGTTGCGGGTTCGATGCTTCGATGAAGGGTACTATGACATCTGATACATGCTTCTCGTTGAAGCCTGGGATAATTGGCGATCTTTGTTGAATCAACGTAACATGGTGATCAATGCTGTAATAAGCTTCAATTGCAAAAGAAAGCCCAGCTGGTGGTTTGGTTGTAACGGCATGATCGACTGGGGATGCAAATGGGAATAGGAATTCATCGCTTAAGGTCGCCACCTTCTGGAAATTGTAGGTGTGAAGCAAGAGGTCTGTGCTTAATTGAGGGATATTTCCCACTGAGATTGCGGGTACAATTAACACAGAGTCCTCTAATGCAGAGAGCAGAAAGCCGTCTTCAAGGATCATGGAGTAGTTAGTCTAAAGGTTACTTACAAGTCTCACTGTAGTAATAACGTCACGTGCAGAAATAACGACGAAAGCTGACAGTGGCTATAACATTAAAAAACCAAGAGAATCGTATCACATATAATGGCAATTACTTTATTCACAGCATTATAGAGGAATTGTGCTTCTGTGAAATCGAAGAAGTTCGATCGCACTGGTCATGATCTCTAGGTGTATCCAGCCACCATGAGATAAAAAGATCACTTACCAACCAGGGTAATTGATCAGATTAAAATTGGCCAAAAGGCCACCGTCTATCTTGTCACCAGGCGATGGTGCGTTCTGCCCGAGAGCTATCAGCGATAACAGAGCTGAGGGTGCACCAATGTTATCTACCTTGAACTCACGAAGATCATGAGTTGCAGCTTTCAAAAGCTGTGTCGGATTGAGGGTTTTAGCTGCGTCAAGCTGCATACCTGGCAGCGGTGGAAGCTGATTTTGTAGCGAATTGAATGGGGGTAAAGGACCGGTCAGACGGGTCGGAACTGCCAATGCAGGGAGCTGTGTTCCCATATCTGGTTCGTTTAGTAGTGGAGATAATGGCATCATAGGCGCAGTGTTGCTCTTTGGAGCTTCACCAAGGTACTCATCAACCATACCAGCCACGAACCTAGCCACAGCTGATTCTTTCTGCTCGTGTGTGAGGTTATGGTTCTGCCATATGTTGGCGGAAACTAGCTTTGCAACCTCGGTACTCATCTTCTTGACAATCTTATCCAAGTACTGTGGTGAATTGTTTTGAGAGCTCAGATGCGGTCGGTTGGAAAGCGTGACAAACATGTCTGTAGCCTGCTGTTCTTCAAGCTCTTTCTTAGACATAAGAAAGCCATGTTCAACCGGGTGATTATGCAAGTCATTGACTACCAGCAAAGACCACGTTTGTGTTCGTAGCGAATGATTCCCCCGGATTCTGAAGGGACAGTGGGCTGAGCCGTCTCGACATCTGAAAACAATCTTGACATTATCGGACCTCTCGATAACAACTTTTAGGTTTTGGCGGGCTAGTTGCTTGGAGAGCCACGGCTTGATCTCCGCTCGCCTCTTGAAGGTTTTTGTGTGGTCAAATTCGAGAGGAACCTTGTACATGGGAGGTAATGGCTACATTAGGTGCACTCATGCGAACATGGGTTTCAGCACCAGATATCTACACTATGATCAAGCTTCGACGTATATGTACAGGTTGATGGTAATTAGATGCTAGCAAGTTGGCTGCCAAGTTTACTCCAAGACGATCTTGGCACCTAATCCCTCCAAGGTGGCCTTAATCTTTTCAGCGTCTTCCTTAGCGACGTTGTCCTTCAACACCTTAGGAGCAGCCTCGACAAACTTCTTGGACTCAACCAAGGACAAGCCCAACAAGCCCTTAACCTCCTTGATAATCTTTGGTTTGGCCTTAGCGTCGAACTCTTGCAACTTGATGGCGAAAATGGTCTTCTCCTCAACCACCTCCTTGACCTCCTCCTCAACAGGGGCGGCTGGAGCTGCTGGAGCTGCACCGGCAGCGGGGAGAGCAATGTCGGAGATATTTAATCTAGTCTTAAGCTCAGAAACCAAGGTGGAGGTTTCCAACAAGGTCAATGTGGAGATCTGGTCGACAATGGCGGATATCTTGGGGTCGACTGGGGCGCTCTCAGCAGCAGCCGAGTTGAAGCGCACGGCCTGACGGAAAGAGCTTCTTGTAAGAAGTCTGGATGCTGGTCTGAGAGATTGGCGCAACATTATTTGACTCGTGAGTTCACACACTGATTTCGAAAATTTTTTCTATAGGTTTTCTCAATTACATGGGTGCACGGGTGCGACCAAAGGTATAGAGGTGGACTGTAGGATATCAACGTGTTGAAATCTACTCTAATCTCTCCTCAAGATTATAGATGAAGCAATTATCAGGCCCTCCTAAATTAACTTGGCTGGTACACAAATGAAGACTTCTCTCATGCTTTAAATCTCAATCGGATGGAGCCCACAATTGGTTCATGATCTACCTTTCAAAGAAGAGCAAGTTGAATTCAAAGAAGTTCAGAGTTGAAGGTTCGTAGAACTCTTCTCCTGATGAAATCTTCATCTTATCAAAATAAATCAAGACACATATCTACTTGTCAAACTGTGGAGGTAGTGCGATGCTCAATTTTCAACTACTCGCTAGGAACATGCAACAAAACCTGTAGATATTATCAGGGTACGATCATGGCTTCCTTCCGCTTCTGTGCCGAGTGCAACAATATGTTGTACCCCAGAGAGGATAAGGATAATGCTAGACTCCTTTATTCGTGCCGAAATTGTGACTACACGGAGTTGGCTGAGAATGCCAAGGTCTATCGTCACGAACTTATCACGAACATCGGTGAGACCGCTGGAGTGGTGCAAGACATCGGCTCTGACCCAACCTTACCGAGGTCGAATAAGACATGTCCGTACTGTGGAAACCATGAGTGTGTGTTTTTCCAGTCACAGCAGAGAAGAAAGGACACTTCCATGATCTTGTTTTATGTGTGCTTGGATTGCAAAAAAGTTTTTAGGTCCTAGGACCAAAGATAGTCGAGATAGATGGGGTACCATAGCTTGTGAGATATTGTAATATAGACAAACTGGATGAAAGTTTCTGGTAAATAAAATTTTATTTTTGGTTGGTCGTCATTGTATGAATTTAAAGGGTAAAGAGAAGAAGTGAATCATGAAACGCCTTAAATCGGCTATGTAACCTTAGCGTAAGTGTCTAGAAGTCAGTGAACAAGTCTTTGTAGTTATCCTCGCCCTGACAGCCGTATTCCAATTGTTCTTCGGGATAGTGATCGAAGAGAGATGAGTCTCCGGTTCCTGCTGTGATAGGAGGCTCGTAAGGAGTTTCGATATCCTTGGCCAAAAGCTTTTCCCACACAACTTCAGAAAACCACGGGTGGTTTCTAATGTCAGCAGGACCATTTAACAAATTCCCTAGTCTGTAGGACAAATCGGCAGTGATAAGTCTGGAAAGCAAATCCACGACGTCATGGTTGAAAAAGCTTGGGAAATGTATCTTACCCGACAAGATTTTTTCGTATGTCTTCATTGGGGTGGAATCGTAAAATGGGGTGTAGCCAGCTAACATCTCAAAAATCAAAACGCCCAAGGACCACCAGTCAACTGACTTGTTGTAAGGCTTCGTAGTAATCACCTCCGGTGCAATGTAATCAGGGGTGCCACACAAAGTCCACGTCACTGTGGAAACTTCCTTTGCAAATCCGAAGTCTGTGATCTTGATATGTCCGTTTCTGTCCAAAAGAATATTTTCAGGCTTCAAGTCACGGTAGATAATGTCATGAGAGTGTAAGTATTCCAATGCCAAGACGACTTCAGCTGCATAAAATTTGGCCACTGGGTTGGGGAACCTTTGCGATTTTCTCAAAAGCGAAAACAATTCTCCACCTTCGATATAGTCCATCACCATAAACAAGTGCTTAGCATCCTGAAATGTCCCCCACATTCTGATCAAGAATGGATGCTCAACAAGCTTCAACATTCTTCTCTCGTCATTGGTATGTTCTACCTGTTTCATCTTCACGACCTGATGCTTCTTCAATACCTTGATGGCATAATATCTTCCGTTATGCACCGATCTAACCAAATGAACTCTACCGAAGGAGCCAGTTCCCAAGGTTCTCATGATAGCAAAGTCGGTCAAGGCATACTTTCCTTTTGAGACAGTAGATCTGCTTGGTAAAAGCGAGAGGTTGATGGCATTATTGTCAGCCTCCTGTTGCAGACCAAATTGCTGCGTCTGTTGTCCAGCCTGCTGCAGAGACATTTCTTGAGGGTACTGAGACTGGTAAAGTTGAGATTCCAACTGTTGTTGTTGGTTTGGGAATTGCGCTGAGCCCTGTTGGGATACTAAAGTTGGGTACACCTGTTGGCCGTCGTTAGTGTGTGGCTGATTGGATTGAGCAGGATGAGTAGGCTGGTTGTAATAACTCATAGAGTCAATGTTATCCAACGAGTCAACAGTGATTTCTGCAGATTCGGGTTGAACAGCGCTTTGGCCAATGTTCTGTGGAGTCAGTCTAGTCAAATGGAGTTTCTTGAGAATGCTCGACGACGGCATTTAAAGATCTCGTTTGTAAAATACAGCAAGCAGTAATTGGTTCGCAGGTTAGCTCGAGACGCGTTAGAAGCTCTCTGAGTACCACAATGGTTAGGGGATTGGGTTTTGCAACTCAATTGAACAGTTTGTGGTAGATGTTGCACTTAGGGATTGAGGAAGGATAGGTCAATACTTTGAGGAGCCCACACCTCGAAGGTACGGGTGTTTCTGCGAGCAAGTGGAATTTGATCAGCGACCAGTGAACTCTCCTCAAAGTGGAACTAAATTGATATAGTGACTTTTTTTTTCTCAAAACATTCGAATGCGTTGGACTTTCCATATTCTACGTCTGTGTATTTTTAGGCTCCTGAAAGTGCTGGCTGATATCAATTATGTGTATGCTGTGCATCTGCATTTTTGGCCGCGTCAGAATGGACAGCTTATCGGAGTATTCTTTGTTCCTCGCATTATTCGAAAGGAAATCCGAAACCCATTTTACAAGAACTACATCCGGTAGTAAAAAGAAAGTATTCCCCGTAATCTTGAAAACAATCCAAGAAGCGTTCAACATTCATTTGTTATCCAGAATTGGTCAATTTCACATTTTGTATTGCATGTCGTACATTTCAAGAAAAATCCAAAATAGTATATGAATTCTATGCGGAGTATATACCGGTTTGAGCCATCGATACGATCGAATAAATGTTTAAACCTGACACAAAAAGCCAGATAACAACCAAACAAACACTAGTGACCCACGAGTTTTCCATCTGATGGTAATCTACCGCGTCACTTTCCTCTGAAATTTGTTCTTCACTTCCTTCGTTACCTGCGGATGAGACGATGGCATCACCTCTCACCTTCTCGACTCTCATGATTCTTTTGTTGCAAGTGAAATAGATGAGTGGCATCATAAGAGGTGGGAGAAGGAGTGAAATGACAATCTGCGAGACATTAAGAGCAGCGCTCAAAGCGGGACGGCCAATGCAAACTGATATGATAAGACAAGGCACAATTGAGATGGCCCTGGTTGCCAATCTTCTTATCCATGGCCTACAAGTCCAATTCAAATGACCTTCACTCACCATCTGTCCTGCAATAGTGCAAACGATACCAGCGCTTTGACCCGACAAAAGTAAAGCCAACATAAATATGGTTCCAGCTACTGGAGCTAAGATTTTCAGGAGCAAGTCGTGGATAGCATACAAGTCTGCTCCAGAGGCCTGCGGAGTACCGTATAGAGAACCACCAGCCACAATGAGAATGGCCGCGTTGACAAAAACTGCAAATGTCATGAGGGTTACCACTAGCTCAATGACAGAATATTTGTAGCAATACTTGATAGCTGCGAACAGAGGTTTGTACTCCTTTTCAATAAACTCGGTGACTTTTTCATTAATTGTCGAGTCTTTTCCTTCTGTAGACTCCACTGACATCGGTGAGAGGCCCCCATGCTGTGCATCGTACTCTCTGAGACGAGGCTGCACAATTCCAGAACCCAAGAAGAGAGAATGAATCATTACTGTCGCACCGATAATAGAGGTTGCAATGCTCAAACCCCCATTTTCTGTCATCTCTTTCGATGGAACAAAGCCTCGAAAGACAAGCCCGACTGGTGTAGTCTCGCGAGGAAGGTATGCCAACAATGCAACAAAGCACGATATAACTCCGATGACTAAAACCGCTACAGCATATTCGAAGAATCTGATGAAGTTTGCCAGAGGCTGATCAGACTTATAGGCGGCAAGAACCACCAAGACATCAACGATCGTGATCACAACACCTGCTGGCAAGGGAATCCTTAGCAAGATATTGAGAGCTATAGCAGATCCAATTACTTCTGCAACATCAGTCGCGATGATTGCAATTTCTGCAAAGAACCACATCACGTAGTTGAGTTTCCTGGGCAAATATTCACGACAACAACGGGCCAAATCATAGCCAGTAACCGTTCCAAGCTTGATACAAAGGGACTGAAGGAATATTGCCATAAAATTGGAGATCAAAACGAAAAAAAGTAGCGAAAATCTATTATTGGCCCCGGCTGAGACACCCGTGGAATAGTTTCCAGGGTCCATGTATGCCACCGAGATCATAATGCCTGGACCAATGAAGCTAGCATACTTCTTCGCGATAGCTTTCAAATTGTTCAAACGTGCATAACCTCCATGGGCAAAGTGTTTAGCCATTCTAGCGCAATTCCAAATGGCTTGAAGGACAAGAAAAAGCGTAATGTGTCAAAAAATTAGCACGTGCAGAAGTCCTGCATATCGGCTATGCCAAATCGGCTATTCAAAAAGCTTGCAGCACCTTAACTCGAAGAATAGGAAGCCACGGCTTTGACCAGAGACCTGTTCTCTACATAGTTACCGTCACAAAACCACACATGTGGGGTGGGGAATGGAAACTGTGAAATGTTTCGACGAAAATCTCACAAGCTACTCATCGTGGGAAAACCGAGCCGGTGATATTAGAGCTCACAAGCTCTATCCCACATATGAGATCGACAGGGTCTTGTTCGTTAAGATCTCGTGTCCGAAAGCGGAACATCATGGTTACCCGCGGGTGTTATCAAGAACTTCATTACGATAACCACGGTCGCGATACAAACCCGTGGATAAGAACAAACAGGCAACCACGGCGTATCAGCACGATGTACGTCAATGCTTTTCCGGACTTGCCACTCCACTCGAGGCTGGTCATGACAACGATGCAGCGTTGAAGTCTAGTTCGCATTCCCCTTCATAGTTCGCTAAAGGCTCTTTTCAGGTAATGAACGTATGTGATGCTGCGACTGGCAACCGATCGGACTTATTACATATCCGAATAATGGTCGTTGCTTGCTTTTTACGGAAGGTAACAATGGTGCCGATTTAAGGTGAGTGGAAACATCGCGCAGGGGAGGCAGTTTCTTTTCTTTTCTCAATCACGTCAATGACCGCCTCAGAATACGTGGAATACCCAACATGTTCCAGAAGCACAGCTTTGCTTGAGGAGAAGTGCTTGCAGTACTCGAGGCCCAAGACGATCCAACCGACGTACTAGGAAGTTTACTGCATGTATTGATGACAAACAAGCCCAGATTGCTGGTCGTATCTACACAATTACATCAACGAAGCAATCTACCTATTTTTCAGGTATTTTGCGCCACGACGGTTCAGACTGTGACATTGGAACGTTGCTCGTAAGAGCCGGTGCAAAGTGCTGCCAAGCACTTGCAGATTATGCAAGATCCCGCAGAATGAGTTACATGCCGTAACTCTGCAGGGACCCTGAACTGTTCCCCCATCCTGAGGCTCGCTACTGCAGCAGTGGAGATACTTAAATACCGCCAGGATGCCGTGGTGAAAAAGGTTTAGTAGAATTATGAAAATGAGGCACATACCACCTCTAAAACCGACCACGGATATGCTGTGGACTTAGTTGCTAACAATACAAGCCACACCACAGTTTCAGGTCGCGACCCAGTACAATCCTTTTTTGTGATGTTTGTTGTTTGAGGCGGCATTATCTGGCGCAATTCAGCTGGATAACATATGAAAGCGCACCGTAGATCTCTGGGATTGATAGATTGTACCAGTTGTCGATCTTCAGACATATAACGGTGTTCGCAAATGCACAACTTGCATGGATTGAGGAGAACAGGCTTCCAGGACCAGACCCTCTCTACGAAACAATACCAGTCACTCTACGCAAATAACACCGTAGTTCCTCATTTGTATAAATATGACCCATGTTCATCTTGAACGGTGATAGTTCAAATAACAACAGATCATCCTCGCTTGGAATGAGATCGCTTGCAGCAGATAATGTAGCCGCACTTCCGTGGCTTTCAGCGAGAGAAGACTTGGGGATGGTCAGGGATAAGAGATTTGAGTCAGGCTTCCATACACCCCCCTATAATCAAGGATTCCATGCCTTTGATCCTTCTCAAACCGCTTTCAATTTGAGTCCTACGATCCACCTGAACCCTGCCAGGGAAGCGGACCACTCTCATCAAGCAAAACGATTGCATGTTGGTGAGGAATGGGGTTCCTTCACAGATAAGCAACAGGGCCAACCTTCGCAGGGTCTCGCATTGTACTACCCAACTTTAACCCAACCGGACATTCCTGGTAATGTCCAGGACGACTACTGGAGAAACCAAATGTATCAAAACTTCGACCAAACGGTGTCTCCACAAGTTGCAAACAGCTTTTTATTCCCGGATGCAACTATGTCTTCCACAATCTCCAAATCTCCCCTCTATTCCAGCCAGACCCAAGAATCACCAGCGAGCAGTATCACTTTTGATTCCTTGAAGTGCCAAGATGGCCCCAGGCTGTCAAATGCCAACTCAGAGACCAATCTCTACTCAGAATATTTTGACCAAAATGCTAAACCTATTCCATGGCCCAGTTTGGACCTTCTGGATGGTATAGTGCCTGCTCAGCAGGAAGACCCTTTCGAAGCCCTCATCAGTATTCCATCAGAGCAGCTTAGCTCTGCTGAAATTACACCCAGAGCGCAATTGGCCCTGCCATTTTCCCAGACTGAACATACTGAGTATGCTGACCCACCGAAGGTAATTGATAGAAAGAGAAAAACTGAGGAGCGCCTTAGAAGTCTCTATGATCGCGTGGGAGAGCCTGAGTCTTGCGACCAACCTATTGAGTGTGGATGCTGTGGTAAGACTGTCAATGGTTATATAGAATTGGCCAGGCATATGGACGAGGAGAAGCACTTGAGGGAGAACTTTTGTCCAGATGAAAACTGTACCTTTTCCATCATTGGATTCAACCGCCGGATCGCATTGCGAAGGCATATTTGCAACCACCACCTCAAGGATTACAATGCTAGAAGAAAAATGGACCAGCACTATTGTTCGCTTCATGAAAACAAGGATGATCGGCTGGACAAGATGAAAGAGTTCTTGGATCTCGTTTACATTTGTCGTGTCCCGCAATGTTCCAGGGCGTTCTATAGACTGGACAGTCTATTACGTCATCAGAGGTGTGTCCATCAGCCAGGACCACCGCATGTTATGAAGCACCACTACTGAATCACCGTTATATATGACTTCATATGTATACATACGCTACATGAATATACTGTACATCAACGAAAGACTTGAAGTGTATAAAGTTCTAAGTGGTCTAAACAAAAAGTCCCGCTTTCTAGCACCTAATTCTCGATATAGTCTTTGTAGCTCTTGCCGCCGTCGACAATAGACTTGACCTTAGCAAGGATCTCAGCAAAGTCATTGAACTCAGTGTAAGGAATGTCTTCCCTTCTGCAGTACTTGATCAAGTCCTTGCCGTGCTTGGCGAACAACAAGTTGGTCTCCTTAGCAGCGGACAAATCACTGACACCATCACCACAGTAGAACAAAGGTGGCATGTTGGACTCATTGAAGCCCTTGTCAGTCAAGTACTCCTTGATAGAGAGAGACTTGTCGTGGCCAAAACCACTCTCAGGGTGCTTGTAGACAATGTTCCACTTACCAGCAGCCTCGTCAATCTTGACATCATTGGACATGATCAAGATCTTGCTGACAGCTTCAGCGCCAACCAATCTCTCGAGCAAGGCATGAATAATTGGGGTCATACCGCTGGACACAACGACAACGGGGATCCCTCTGGAGTCGGCCCACTGGAAGAATTCCTTGAAACCAGGATCGAGCTGAATGTTCTTCAACAAGAAGTCAATGCACTCGGGGAAAGGAGTTGGAATCGAGGCCAACATCTCAGAAAAACCTTGCTTGAAACTCTTCTTGCCGTACAAGATCTCGTCGTTGACCTCCAATCTCTTGGGGCGACCGAAACCGAGATTCTCGGTCAAGTAGTCGTTGGAGTCCTGGAGGGTCACGGTACCGTCCCAGTCAGTGAACACAATGGCAGGAATGTTGGAAGACATGTCTGAAGTAGTAAGATTTGGATTGCAGGCCAATTGGCTCGGTTAGAGTCGACGACGGTTGTTCTGGGCGCACGTGCCGCAAGCACGTTACCCTTATTCACGTGTTGCATACTATCTTTGTGTCTTAGTTCATTCGCCACAGGATTCGCGTAGTCAAGTTTATGCGGTAAGGGTGCCGCGGCAAGGGTGCCGCAAATAAGGTTTTCCCTTGTGTGCAGTGACGAAGAGTAAAACATACGGATTTACAATTCGACAAATGGAGTTCCGTCGACGTGGACTCCGAAGCTTGTTCCACTTTCTGCAAAGACTGGTATTATGCTGATGCAGCTGTCTCACCACGGCTGTGTCTCAAATCAAGGGAATCCGAAATGACGCCTCCCTGCATTGGTCCCTTGCGGCAGAGGAGTTCCGCGCGGACTACTAGTCCGTTTTTCGAGGTTGCAAGTCGGTAGTACTAGCAAGTAGAGAACTAGCAAGTAGACAGGATGTGTCAGTGCAACGTAACGAAGTCATCATCGCAAGCGACTGAGGCATTGGTTTTAGGGCGAGAGGCGAGATGAAACCTAAAATAAGACAAAGAAAAACTGAAATAAGACAGCTATCTACCTCTCTTCATCAAATCTGCGTAATCTTATGTTTCAATGCTGATCTGAGACATGCGAAGCTTAAAGTAGGGACGCATAATTCACCGTGAAGGTGTCTCAAAAGGGGTTCTACATACGCCCAAGTGGTCCGCAGCAAGCTATGGCGAGAAATTAACTCCTGAGGCGAATGGGCCGGAATTCCGGCGGTACTTTGATTTGCTATGTTTGTAATTCATTTTAGAATGTCTCATCGATATGTGGTGGTTATGGAGCCTGTTATGAAACCTGGCAGCGTCGGTTTAGAGCCAGTGAGACACTGTCTTTCGTATGAACCGCCTTTCCGACCCTCACCGCACAAATAAAAAAAAATCATAGTCGGGATTGCCGCTATTCTCTGTATCGGAACTCCGTTCTAGGGCTAGGTTGTGGCGAGAGAGGCGCAGAAAATGCAAAATAGCCGCTTGTAAGGGTAGCAACGGTAGCGAGATATCCGCTGCACAAGCCACGGCATACTTGCACCGCGATAAAAAAAAAAAAAAAAAAAAAAAAAGAATAGGCCTGCCACACACAGCAACAGCTAGTGCTATTCGTGGGATCTGGACCGACGGCCCCGTTCCAAGCAATATTTTGCTGCCGGCCATGCGAAGAATCCCAAGCAAAATTGGCATCCAGGGTCAGCAATGAATGCATGCCATTATGACGTTAGCTAAAGCGCATCAATAGACCTCTGACGTAGTTTAAGCTTGTATTGCGGCTGAAGGGCCCATTACGTGGATCATAGCATGGCGGTGGAGGCTGGTGCTAGGGGCTGGTAAAGAGGCAAGTATGGGCACAGTAAGTAATATGGCACAGAACCGCTGCAGGATTCTTGAGGTCCGTTGCTGAAGGTGAACTCCAGTGGCTGCCTAGACTACAGCACGAGGGCCTAAGCACAATTTCTTGAATTGAATCCCCACTTATGACGACCACTGGAATAAAAATATCTCTTGCCGGCAGCATACAAAAGACGGCACGCTCGCTTCAATTAGACTATTACTTTATTTTCGAAAGTTATTCTTTATTTACCCCCTTGTCTTAGATTGTCACATACTAAAGCTGTGGTGCGCTTCTCACTGACTGAACAGATCCAATAGATTTTTTTCGCCTGGACGTAAGATATTACTTGCTTCCGCGCACAATCTATAAAACCCTCGCCCCACGCCAACTGAGGCACATTTTCCCATACCACAATGTTTGATAATTTGAAGGCGTTCATTAGACACGGAAAATCAGCTACACCTTCGAACACTACCCTGAAGAACAACATGGCCCACAAGCAAGCCAAGGATATGGCTTCCCTTGAAGTTGCGCCTGACAGCGTCGATGCCTCTGAATCTGCTTTTGCAGGTCATTCGACCATGCCTTCCGACTTGGACTACTCTGACGAGACTTCTAGCTCTTCTCAGGATGACGTCGGAAGATGTAAAAAGCATGCTCCCACGGAATGCAACCCGCTGCTGGACCACAAACACAAGAAGCAGCAAGTTGTCGAAGATCATGCCCAATATCAACAAACGGGCCACGATCAGTCCCAAGCTCAAGCTCACGGTCAGCAGTACGACCTCCGGGCGGACCAGAACAGAGATAACTACGAATATGCTGCTAGACTCGTTGAAGAGGAGCGCAGACAGAGGAAAAAGCAACTGAAGTACCCAAACCTCCACCAATACGAAATGATGGAGAAACTCGGTGACGGTGCTTTCTCTGTCGTGTTCAAGGCGCTTCACAAGGAGTCTGGCCGCCACGTTGCCATTAAAGTGCTCCGCAAGTACCAGATGGATAACGCCCAAAAGCAGGCCGTGTTAAAAGAGGTCATCATCATGAGACAACTTAAGCACCCCAACATTGTCAACTTTATCGAGTTTATCGAGAGTGAGCCATACTACTACATTGTCCAGGAGCTTGTCGGCGGCGGCGAAATCTTCACCGCTATTGTCAACTACACATACCTTTCCGAGAACTTGGCTCGCCATGTCATTTACCAAACAGCTTTGGCCGTTCGTTACTTGCATGAGGAAGTCGGCATAGTTCACAGGGACATCAAGCCAGAGAACTTACTTTTCGTTCCAACCGAATTTAAGCCATCGTACAATCCTATCGCCAAGTTGAGGCGTTCTGACGACCCCAAGACCAAAAAGGACGAGGGCGAATTTACCCCTGGAGTCGGAGGCGGAACTATCGGAACGGTTAAGCTTGCAGATTTTGGTCTTTCTAAACAGATCTGGGGCCACAACACTAAAACGCCTTGTGGCACTGTCGGCTATACTGCACCAGAAATTGTTCGTGACGAACGTTACTCTAAAGAGGTTGATATGTGGGCACTTGGATGCGTACTTTACACTGTTTTGTGTGGATTCCCACCATTTTACGATGAGCGCATTGAAACTCTTACGGAGAAGGTTGCCAGAGGTGAATACACCTTCTTGGCCCCTTGGTGGGACGAGATCAGTGCCGGCGCCAAGTACTGCGTCTCGCGTCTTTTAACAGTTGATCCTAGACAGCGTTATACCATTGACGAGCTTCTTCAAGATCCATGGTTGAGAGAAGCTGGAAGAGCTTATGACTCGGCACCTAAACCAAGTCAACCTAAGTTTTCCTCTCAGATTGGCAGATTGAACCTGAGCATGTACAGACAAGAGTTGTACTCTCCAGCCGCGACCGCTATGCGTGATGCCTTTGACATTTCCGCTGCAGTGCATCGTGCTGGCGAAGAGAACGCCCTTCAGAACCATAACCGCAATGCGCTCCCAGATATGGTTGAAGAGGAAGAAGATCTGGACAACGATTTCAAAGCTCAACTTCGCAACGACAGCGAAGATGCTGAGAAGAATATGTTCGACTTGAATTTGCATGGTGCATCGATATTGGAAAGAAGAAAGAACAAACCACTTTATTAATTTCCAATACATCAACAGACAACCTGTCACAGAGACGTTTGGATGAAGATTCATAAAAAGAAAAAAAAAACAAAAAATCAAGAAACAGAAAAAATAACACAAACATACGAAGACTACACGCAGACATTCGGTGTTATCAGGCAAACATTATAGAGGATTTTAAGTGAGTGTTTTCAACAGTCAATCAATCCTACTTTGAAGATCTCACTTCAACAGTCATTTCAATTCGGCAGTACAAATGGGTTTGGGGCTTTCTTTTATTTACAGTTTTTATAAATGTTACGCTTTATAAAATAATTTTGTAGCATCGAGTTACCGGAAGTCCGCGGAATAAAGCAGCCCTCGTAAATGGCTTGCGGGACCTCTAACCCTTTCTGAAATTTCACGGATGGCGAGTCACGTGCAAGGACGCCGCTAGTACAATTGATATAAATCGAAACCATCTACCCACCAATATAGATAAACCTGCTTTTTGCAGTTGTTCACTCTAGCCTCGTACTACTATGTCGGAGCCCGAATTTACAGATGTGGCGTCGGAGGTTTTGGAATTCGACATAGACCTCATACTTGATTACGCATCCTCCCAGGCAGACACCCATCTGAACCAAAGAAAGCCGAGACCTAACACAGAGGATAACACGAAATGGATACCGTTTATTGAACGTCAAGTCAGAACTAGACATAGATCTCCTATTGCGCTTTCTCATGAATCTCTTGCGGTGTATTCGGGAAAGGGCCTATCAAACCCCAAGCCTGGGGTCTTCGCCTTCAGCACTGAGGCGTTTGGCATGAGAGCTGGAACAATTGACCCTTCACTTTTGATACTCGATGGAAAACAAAGAAGTGCTTTGCGAAAAGGAACATTCATGTCACTAAATTTTGTGAACGAGATCGAACGAGCATTGGTGTTTAATGAGCTTCGTTTCATTACCAACAGAGTTAAAAAATGCCGTAATCATGTTCGTGTGTCTCGACTAGAGCTAACTATAACTCTAGATACAAAAACAAGTAGCATTGGCGTGGTTCTTTCCTATACTGTGGAGCTTGAGCAGCTGTTTTTCAGGTACTTTTCATCAGATGTATCCTCACATTTAGTGAAGGTGCTCCGTCCTAATATTATACCCTATCCAACTGACACTGACACCTTCTATCTGAGTTTTGAAAATTTACCGACGGATGCTCACCTTTTCTACAAAGTCATAACTGACAACACAAGTCGCATGGCTCCTGTAACAAGTTCGATGGCGCACCCACAATTATTCACAGACCTACTTCCGTTTCAAAGGAAAACTGTGAAGTGGCTTCTTGATAAGGAAAGTGTGCAATTCGACGAATCAAGCAAGACTGCAAAAGTATTACCCTTGCTTTCTCCAGACCTTGTACTGGCTGTTCAAAATTATCCAAATGTGGATCACGAAAAATTGGATAGGGAAATCTATCCCGTTTTGAACAAGCTCTGCTATGGTTGGAACCGTGTTCTATTTCGAAATGACATCTGTTGGGTGAATGAACTCACGGGAAATATTATCAATAGGGAGGCTATCATCAAGTTTTTGAAGGACAGTACCGATGAGCTCAACAAGGAGCCATTACCAGCTGCTGGCCTCTTATCTGAGGAAATGGGGTTGGGAAAAACTATCGAAGTAATTGACCTTGTGCTTCTAAATCCTCGTCCAAAGGAAGAGGTCGGTCAAGAAATAAAACTCCAGTTACAGAAAGAGGGAGACATTAGGACTGTGATAAAAGCTAAAACAACACTTATCACAGCGCCTCAGACAATCATACACCAGTGGTATAACGAAATTTCCAAATTCAGTCCTGGTCTACTGGTCACAATTTATAAAGGTCTTGGCAAATACCCGGAACTCGCAAATATTCCACGATTTGTTGGAGAATACTTGAGATGCTTCGACATAGTCTTGTTGAACTATGCTAACATGTCGAGCGAAGCTGACTATGCTAATTACACGTCAAAACACCTGACCACTCGCGGGGGTAAGAAGCGATCCTCTTCGGAAGCCAGGGATGAAGATAACTCCCAGGCTCGTGATCCGCTCTGTGCTGACAGTTACAAGGCTGGCTTCGAATTTGCAGATCGAGAAAAGGTCCAGTCGGAGGCTCTTTTAAGTCAAAAGCGATATGAACGAGCTGTGATGGAGGAAATGGCCGCAAAAGTCAGAAGACAGGACTTGAGCAAGATACCACATATTGAGTATTACGAATCGCCCCTCATGCTGAGTCAATGGTGGCGAGTGATTATGGATGAAGTGCAAATGGTTTCGTCAGTTGCATCTAACGCGTTTAGTACCGCTTCTTTAATTCCTCGATATCATTCGTGGGGTGTTTCAGGTACTCCTGCTCGACTGGTTGCTGTACTTCAGTTTCTACGATTTTCTCCATTCAACTACGATATTTCGAAGTATTGCTGGAAAAAAGTAACTCAGCATCCAGAAAGCAATGTCGATTTTGTCAAAATCTGGCTGTCTTTGGCACTTAGGCACACCAAGGCAATGGTGGATGATGACATCAGGTTGCCCCCACAAAGAAGAATCCTTCTTACAATCCCGTTTACGAAGGTCGAGCAAGATAAGTACACTCAGATGTTTGAATCATGCCTCGCCTCAATTGGAATCCATCTTGATAAAGATCAAAAAGCAAGCCGGACAGATTTGTCAACGTCGGACTGTGTTCATCTCAGGTCTTGGCTTGTCAACCTCAGACAACTTTGCGGCAATCTACAGATTGGCAACTTGCCAACTCAGAAGAAGAAAAATAACAAATTTTTGTTGCAGGGCTTGCCCGAAATGAAGACTTTGGAGAGCGTTCTCGACGACATGATGCATGGCGTTCTCACGGATATCAACGAGGGAGAACGAGCGGTAATCGGCAGGCTTCTTGACATTGCCCAGCTTCTTGAGTATGTTCTTCTACCAGAGAAAGTGATCGAAGTCTTGGACAACGGACTTTTTGAAGTTCTGCGATTGATTCACCAAATTGATATGCGCTTGCGTTGGGACATTTCGGAATTCAACAATCTTAAGGGCTTTTTGAAGGACAAGCACATACTTACCTCCAAAGAACTTGCTAATATCACGGACGATGAGGATGAGGACATGGCGATGGATGCTGAAGATACAGGCAAAGTCAAGAAGGAAGAGGTTGCGGCAGTGACTGACGCAGAAATCCACGATAGTGTCACGAAGTTCAACAAGTTGAAAGAGCGTATCAACGCCGACAAGATCAGACTCAGATCTTTGAAGATGCTTCAACACAAATGCTACTTTTTATTGGCTTCTGCTCATTTTCAAGTATGCGATGAAGAGTACCAGAAAAAGATCGCTGAGAAGAGAGTCGATTTTGAGACTCTAAGCTCATTAGAAAGCAACGTGATTGGTGTTAAGCTTCTCAAATCCGATGAGATTAACTATCTTAGGCTTCAAAATGGTGGCTTCAACAGCAGCGATTACGAAAGACCAAATTATGCTGACGACTTTAGTGCAACTGAGAATACCACACTTGAAGAGCAAAAAGTGGAACGCCATAAACATTTGGAGCTGAAATTTTATGAGCTTGCCGAGCAAAGCAGGAAGGATATGTTAAGACACTCCATCAAAGAAGTTCATGATGCGACGACAAAGCGTATTCTTAATAGACCCGTGATGGATAGAAAAAAGATGGTCAATGATGGAGTCTCAAGTTTTCCAAAGACCTCTAAGCGGCTCCTAAAGGGTGTCCCCATTATTGACATAGAGCAATGGCAGTCCTTGGTGGGTACGACCAAGTTGAGGCAGATCATGTTTCAATTCAACACTGTCATCACTGAGCTCAATAACCAGGCTGAGGTAATATCCAGCTTTGTTGATCAGCTAATCGAGCTATTGTGCAACCCACTTCTTTCCGACGAAAAGAGTCCCGATGGTGAAGAGTACGAAAAATCTCTAGAAGATCAAGATCGTGCAGCCTGCCTCATGGTCGTTATATCTCAACTTCTAATGGATAGATCGAATGCGATTTTGGAACGCAAAACAAGATCGACAGAGGTGAAAAAGAAACAGGAGAAGGATTTAAAAGAAGAAGCTCGTCGAGTTTCTGATAGGGGGTTTTTGAAGGTACTTCAAAAGAGCCGTGCAGACAGTAAACCGAAGTCTGAAATTTCGTTTGAGGAGCTCTTGCAAGACATTAGACTTCTTGAGCATGAAATGCGTCAGGACGTTCAAGGAGAAGCATTTCATGAGGCTGCTGAGGCTCTCAGAAGAATTTTTGAGAATGAAAAGACATGTCAGGAGCTTTTACAGAAGGAAATGAGTAGCTGCTACAACTCTGTATTCAATGCAAGAGTGGAATACTTCAAGCAGTTACAACAAATTTCTGATAGTGTGCAAGGAAAGACTTATTGCACTGAACAAGATGCTCTTGAGCCGAAGAAGGTTGACTCAGAAGTCGCTTCACATTTGATGCTCTTTACCGCAGCTCAGAGAAGGCTAACGCGAGCTATATCTCGTTTTAGATATCTATCAACATTGATACCCAAAGATGAGCTTCTCAAACAAGAGGCTGAAGAATCGACTGACGATTCAAATGATTGTGTCATTTGTCAATCACAAATAGTTGTGGGCTCTCTTACACCTTGCGGGCACAAGTTTTGTAAGGCATGCCTTGAGGAATGGTTGAAGGCACGGTCTTCGTGTCCCATTTGCAAGACATACACCACAAGGGATACAGTACATCATTTCACCCATTACAAGTCTGATCTCAAGGCACAGCCTGTCGAAAATGGCACTCATGAAACTTCATCACACAAAGAATCCCCTGAGTCTGCCGCCGTTCATCAAATTTACAAACAATTAGACGACGAGACATTAAGAAGAATATCTCAGATCAAACTCAAGAATTCATATGGTTCCAAGGTCGATTTGATAGTGAAACAAGTTCTTTACTTGAGGAGCCAGGACCCTGACGTGCAAATTGTTGTATTCAGTCAATGGCAGGATTTATTAGTTATTTTGGCGTATGCATTCGACATGGCTGAGATTAGCTATGTATCTGCCAAGGGTTCACAAGTTGCCAACTATAAAAAGAAGAAGGAGGACCCAGTGGAAGAATTCAAGAGAAAAGAAAACATCAAAACATGCTTTCTATTAAATGCACAGGCCCAGGCAAGTGGGCTTACCCTCATCAACGCTACCCACATATTTTTGTGTGAGCCATTGGTGAATACACCGGTCGAGTTGCAAGCTATTTCACGTATTCATAGGATTGGCCAAACCAGAATCACCACGGTGTGGATGTTCGGTATCGAGAACTCTGTCGAGGAGAATATTGTGGCATTGGGAACTCGAAATCGTATCGAATACTTGAAAGCAAACGCAAAGGAAGCTAAGAAAAGCAAACGAAAGAAGAGAAAAATTGACTCAGCCACAGTATCAAGTGTCTCAGAGTCCGAGGTCGAATTAGGTGGAGATGCCCCATTAGCGGACTCTGAGCTCAAAACGGCCGAATCATACGCACTCTCCCTTGGGTTGACGTCGGAGAAAAGTACAGGCAAAGTTTTTTCGGGAATCAGTGAATCAGTGAGTGATTCTGATCTCCGTCAGGTGTATTTTGGCAATGTTAAAGAGACATAGACAAATTCATAGAATCAATACTGTCATTACCTATATTATTTATACACTCAAAAATGAACCCTCATCATATCCCTGGTAGATCTTTCCTTGTTCAGACAAATGCTGGCATTTTTCTCTCACCACATCGATTGGAACGCCCAAAGTGTCACTGATCCAGGAAATAGGAACACCCTCTTGCATCGAGCCGGTATTGTCATCGATAACTTTTTCAATTCTTTTGGTAACGTCTGAAGCGCCATTCGATCCGTTGTCATTATCCTGAACAAAAAGACCATTTTCTTCCTTCTTCTGGACGCCACCCTTGCTCAAGATACCCTGAGCCTCCAAGTGGTTGGAGATGGCGTAGAGCATATGATAGGCGACTTCGTTGTGATCGACGATTTCACGAATTGTAGCATGCTGAATACTCTTTTTAGAATTGAATTCTTTCAAAGCACCGGTGATGTACACGTACTTATTCTCCAAAGCAGAGAATTTCTCAGCCTCCTCTGCTGGAGTGGCTATCTTCTCATCAATCCATCTCTTAACATCCATGGAGCCAGTACCGTCCTCAACAGTGATGGTAATAGCACTGCTACTGCTCTCAACCTTTCTGATGACACCAATGAACGATACCATGTTCAAAGACACGTTGTGAATCACGAACTCGCCATCAGGGACAGGCTGGGTGGCCTCGTTGATCTCTTTAATGGTCACCGGGCTTAAGGAAGATCTCGTTTGTTGACGTTGCGAGTTATTATAATCCGTGTACTGAGCATCAGCGTTGAAGCCGCCGTCTCCGTAGTTGTCATAATCCATGCTTAGCTAAGTAGTTGAGGTGCGTGTTGGTGATCGCTACATTAACTAGCGCGTCTGTCACGTGTGGCAGTTGCAAAAGATGGGACGCAAAGGTATTGACTACTTCGAAAAAGAATCGAGATAAATTAATTGATCTATTTCAACCAGAAATGCAAGGTACATAAAGCATGCTAGTCTGTTGTGGGTAATGGTTCTAAAAATCGTTTAAATGCAAATCTCCTAGAGGACGAAAGCGTACTTGGACTTTGCTCTAATCGTCACACCGTAACGGTAGAAGAGGAATGGCACGGGAATCATCGCCACAGACAAGCATCCAACCAAAGTACTAGCCCATTTGATTGTCATGTTTGTGAACATCTGGCGGGCGAAAAGTGGGAAAACAGCACCAAAGGCAGATCTTAAAAACGTGTTACCAGCCAAAGCGGAAGCAGCATAAAGAAGATAGCAATCAATGATGTAGTTCATGCAAGGCAAAAATATCATAAGAAGACCAATACCGATAGGAGCAGCACCAATGGTAGGCACAATCCAGTGAACGTCATTTGGGTAATCACCAGTCCAACCAAGCCAGAACAAACCAATGGCAAAGAAGAACGAACCAACCATCATAGGGGGCAATCTAGCCTCTGGCACTGGCACTCCGTTGTTTTTGGCCATAGCCTTACCGTAGCCCTTCTCCATGAAGATCGTGATCACACCTCCGATGAAGGTACCAATAAACATAGCGATATATGGCAATTCAGCAACACCTTGGGAAAAGCCGTATCTTCCCTCAAAGATTAAGGGCACGGCAGTCAAGAACAAGTAAAGCATACCGTAGATGAATGCGTTGTAAAGGGTGATCAAGAATAAGATTGGCTCCATGAACAACATAACCAAAGGTCTGGAAATATTCTTCTCGACAATCTCCTTGATGGACAAACTAGTTTCCTCATGTGGAGCGTGGATACCCCAATTTCCAGTTCTTCTCCGCAATGTCTCTGCCTTGCTGACCAAAATTATGGCAGAATGACTTTCATCCAAGAAGAAAACAATGCTAATGAGTGAGACAGCTCCAATCAAGCCGGCGATGTAGGAATTCCATCTCCAGCCCATGTTAGGATTCTTGGCAACGAAACCACCGATGATAGGGGCCAACATGGGACCACCAAACAAAACCATAGCAAAAATGGACATTGCTTGACCTCTAGTAGTGGCAGGGAAAATATCAGCAAGCACAGCAGGAGCAACGACTAAGGGAGCTGCTCCGATGAAGCCGGCAAGGAAACGACAAATCATGACCGTTTGGATATCTTTAGCGGCACCGACCATCATACAGAAACAGACATAGCCAAAACTGGAGGGAATAAGCACGATTTTTCTGCCGTACAATTCAGACATTGGTCCCCAAATGACAGGACCAGATGCAAAACCAAAGACGAAGAGTGAAGTGCCGAGTGTTGCAACTGTCGAGCCGACATGGAAAAGTTCCATGATTTGAGCATTACCCTCAGCAAACATGGCGGACCCAAGAGACACCGACAAGGCACACAAACCAACATTAAAACAACATGCAATTTTCTTTTTAATGCTCCAATTGTGTGGGAAACTAGGGTCATCTGGACCATCGTAGGCGACAGCGTATGGGTCTCTTTTAGGTAGCATTGGAGGGTAGTCTTTTCCTCCGCCCATCTTGGGCAAAGGCTCGTCCGTCTTCATGGCCTCTTCCTGGAGTTCATCTGTGTTGTACAATCTCCTGGACATCTCACGAGATAACTGTTCATCGACAAGTGACTGTGTCTCAAAAGACTTGCGGTTAACGTCCATTTCTTCGCCAGTGAATGCTTGTGGGGTGTTGTCAACAGAACTGCTGTTGTTTTTTTCAAGGTTCTGCTTCAAATTCCCGTCAATGGACTGCCTAGTTGAGGAGGAGACGGAGTCAGATATATTAGTGGGTTGGGGTTGGGCCTCTGTGGCATGCGGCGGACTTGTGAATTCTGGGAAGGCATTATTCTCATTGTTATTGGTAGCCATTATTGTTCAAAGACGGTTAAAAATGATGCAGTGTGGGCGGGCCGGAATCTTGTGCCTTATATAGGTGGGCGATGGGGGACGCAAAACGGGGCTTACGCAGCCGGCCCAAATGCAAAGTTTGCCGACGGAAAGATTCGAATTTTTTTTGCTTTGAGCCGTGCCGATTTGCACGGCCAAACGCACAGAAATGGAGCTTAGGGGACACGGTCAAGCTACAGAATAATAGGGCCTGCGCCAGCTTCTCCTTATCAACTTTCCCTGATTCTGTTGCTCTGCGGTGACTTTCACCTGGCGTTGCCGTGCGAACCGACTCTTATTGCTGTGCACTTTGACAGCTGATTGCCGAGCCCATCGAGCTAGTACGGTTTGACGCCCTGGCGCATTGACAGGTTGCTGAAAGTTAGAAATGTAGAGTATCTATGTTAGCTGGTCTTTATTACAGGCACAAAATGCTTATTCCCAGAAGCAGCATGTGGGTGCATAAAAGAGCCGCCCATGGAAATGCGTTTCACGTCTGGGGCTTTTGAGCAATGGGTTGGAACGTGGCCATGGTACCAGAAAATCAATTGGAAAGTGTTGCCATAGCAGAGAATTTGGTCGTGGCTGAATTTTTCGTTTTACCCCTAAAAAAGGATAATACCTTGGAAGTCTGGACCTTACCGATGGGTTACTGACCAGCCGTTCGCGCTGGTGCATGATTCTAAAAGTTTGGCAGCATTGAGCGCCTCGTCAGAGCAACCATCCTGAAACTCAGCCTCGACCGTTGCAACTTCCGGAATTCCCGTTGTACAAAGCGTAGCTTTCAAATTCGTAAACGACCACTCAATGTCATTTGTTGACTCATCAAATATCAAAAGTTGGACGTTTTTGAACAAGGTAAACGACTGTTACGGACTGCATTCGGCATGCGTCATCGGCTGCACCTTTCATGATAGCAGCGCCCGGGTGCGACAGAGCTTGAAACCCTTTCGGAACTTGAAAGTTCCGGAACAACCTTCGAGAATACGAAAAATTGTAAGCTTTCTTTTTTTGGGGAATTTTTCAGAAGTCATTCCGGAATACCCTGACATTCCGCTGCTGCCGGGGTGAATTTGCATGTTCAAGCGGGGTCGAGATAAGCCGAGGCGTCTGTTTCGCTAATACCAGCCTTTCCCGGAACGGAGGTTGATAACCCCGATTGATTAAAAATACCAGTTAGGTGCAACTCACTTAATTCCATAACCGCCGCGTGGCTGCAAAACGCCCATTCTGTGGAAAACCAAGGAAAATTTTTCTGATCGGGGGTGACACGGCATACTTCCGAATCACCGAAAATCTCGGTGACACCGGTCCAAACGTCGCAGTGTACACCGATCAATGTGAAAGTTCAAACGAGGCTGCAAGGCTCTGACTCTTCATACAAGAGATGTCAATTAAGCAAATCTGGAGACCGTCTAGACACACCTTACATTCGAACGCGTCCTACACCTTGACCAGTCTGGGGTGAAGCAATAGTGCAACTTGACAAATCCAAAAATATGAGTATGTCAGGCTCTTGGTAGTTTAAGATGAATACAAAATACTTGTCAATCAATTGTATCATCGATCTGTTTAATGTTGTTTGCCATCAATCAAGGTCAGTGTACTTCCTAGTGGTTGCAAAACTGACCAGTACACTTACTGCACAGACGCCTCCATTAACAACATGGTCGACCAACACGATGTCGAAGACTTGTCCAACCAAGCCGATCATCTAGGTGATAATTCGGCTTCTGTAATATCTGCCTTAACCGATAGCCCTACAGAGAAAGATGCAGCGGTTCAAAACATCAAAAACGTGTTTGAGTTTGAGGAGTTCATTGACCGCCTGGGTTACAACCGGGCAGCATTGGACGCCTTGAAAATGGTTGATCTCCAAAACTTGGGAAGTACCGCTACCAAAGAGACAAGCAGTTCAAATCGTGCTGCCAACGTGTCTGATGTCTCGTCAAGCGTACCTCAGCTGGATACCCTATACCACATTGCATATAACCCAAACGAAAAAGCGAAACGTCTAGGAAGACCAAGGAAACATTTGGGTGCCACAGATCAAACTTCTTCTGGTGACACTGCACTGCAGAATCTTGAAACCTCGAAACTACTAAAATTTCGGCTCGATAATATGCCTTTAGAAGGTCCTGGGTCCCGTGGAGGCAGCCCTGATGATAGAAAAAGAGTGGGCGTGCTCACAGAGTCTGCTGCTACCAAGAAACGCAAGCAATCCTTGCTAAATTTTGCTACAATGAATGATCATACATCCGTTGGGCTTCAAACTACTTTTGAAACGAACAATTCTCCGAGCGAAACGGAGCCTGAGCCGTTGAAGTCAGAACAACTGTCCGCGGTCATATCTGAAGCGGAACCTCCTTCAGTTGCTGAGCTGGCCGGAAGTCATCCTGATTCGGAACCAGAGATTGTTCTGGAGTCAGTGAAATCTGAGCCTGCTCTGCTGGATCTGACTACTGCATCCACAGAGGTGAAGAATCAGACCGATGAGCCAATAGAAGAGCTTGAACGGCCAACGAAGAAGGCTGCTCAACCTCATACAAATGGCAAAGCCAAGCCCAAAGAGACAAAAACACGAAAGGTGACGCTAAAGTTCAAGAATAAGATTACTAGAACTTCCATCGTTCGCGAGAAGAATAGAATAACAAGAACTTACCCTGGACCTTTAGTGGCTGTTCATTATGACCTTTACGACGACAATCTATTTGAAGCACAGGAGAATTCTACCGTGGCTCAAGAGCCAATTGCACTCGGCTTCAACGTAAAGCGGAATCCATATCTGGGTGACGTCATTTTCATCATGGCATTTCTAGCTAAGTTTCCTGAGATCCTCTACGTCGGTCATATTGGCCCGCAAGACATAGAAGATGGATTAGGCCTCTCGAAAGGCTCCAAACAAACAGAGGAAGGAAATGAGGAACTACCTGGAGTCTCTCCTCTAATGGACAATTTGTTCTGCAAGCTACTCACATTAGTCCTCAACAGAAAGAAGATCATCACGCCTGGAAACTATAAGAGCGGCATACAGGACCTCCGATCCAATTACATTGGTTTCGGTTTGCCCGAGGAATGGCGAGATGACTCGTTCACGAGAATTGTATCGTCATTGCCTGTTGATTCAGCTGATCACGTTGATCCATCTAAACCAGCCGTCTCTGAGGAGGATAATTATGAGTATCTGGCTCCACTGGAAAAGCTCAATCCTATGCATGAGAAGGCGTTCGAAGATTACGGACTTGCAGGCATTCCGAACCCCGTTGATAGATTGATCATGATGCGCTGCTTGGTCATCTGGAGTCTTTCGGCGTCTAACGTTTTGAAAGCTCATCTTGCACTGGTTGTTAACAAACAAGAAATTGCAGGAGAGAAAGACACTCTTTATGCATCAAGACCTATTCTCAAGGGCTTCACTCAGACTATAGATCTCAAGAAAGACCTCGAGGCTAAACTAGCCAAAAAAGGCAAGACCACCGCTTCTCCCCAGGGAACCCCCGATCCTGACTCTACTCAGCGCTATATCGACCCAACTTCCGATCCTGTGGTTCATCCCATGGCATTGCGTCTCAATGAATTTATTGTGGGGGATTGTGGATTTCGAATTGGTCGATTCTACTTGGTTCGTATGGCCGACCCTTCAGGTGGTGGACTTTCTAGTGTTGACAAAATGAAAGCGGTTGCAAAGGACCCCACGGGAATCAAGCTTAGCATCCCCTCAAAATTTAAACTTTACGTTGAGGATGTTCACTCAGTTCTCTTAGATTCTTTACGAGTGTTTGGAGTTGAGTTTGATAAGCATGGAAATGAGGTACATATGCCCCCCAGATACGATGACACGAAGCATTGGTATGAAGTGGCGAGCAACGGAGCTGAACTAACAGCATTTACAAAACACTTGGCCCAGAGGCTAGGATTGGCAGCTGGTGATTCAGGCAATATCACGACAATTTCTCAAAACAGCATCGCATACAAGCCAATTCTTTACATGTATCAATATCTATCCTTGGTTGCTCCACTATTGGAAAGTTTTGAACGCATGGAACAAAGCGCTGGCTCAGGAGGATCTAGGTCTGCAAAGAAAAAGGTTGATTACAATGTCTCAAATTCTAGCTCGTACGCGAACGCTTTTGAGGAAGGTTACGAGGAGCACTTGCCCGATGACGATGATGACTCTTACGACGAGGGAGATGCAGCAGATTACGACGACGAAGAATATCTGGAATAGACTAGTTGAAAGAAGTTATTTTAATTATTATACAGAATCTCTCATCCCTTTGCTAATTGTACAGTTCGAGCTTCACATCTTCTGAGCTCCCAACATGAGGTCAATTTTTTGCCTCAATTCTTGTTCATGTTCTTTGAAGTATTCTGCCTTTCTGACCTCTTCTTCATTGAAACCTTCCTCACTCTTCAAAGCCTTCAAAGTCTCGGATTGACTCTCCAACCACTTCTTGATGAATACAACGGGGTCTTCACTTAATTCTCTGTAGAAGGATTCCCTGTTGTTAGCACTCTGTAGTGCGACAACGCCGAGAGAAATACGTTGGTTAAGATATTGCACGAGCTCATCAGACTTTGACATGCTTTCAAAGGCTTTCTTGTTCTCATCGATAATTTCTTTTTCGATTTTGCTCATGGACAACGCTAATTCAACAGGAATGTCAATTACAACATCTCCCAAGGTGGTTGATCTAGTGGTGTCCACTTCATATTCGATAACAATTGGCTGGCGAGGGCGCAAGTGAGGCTGGATTAATTGATAAAGATCCTTGAATTTGAAGGCATCCACCTTCAACAAACCCTTCAAGATGTCATCGCATTGGACGACAGACAAATCCGTTTCCTCGTCACCCTGTGTGCCTAAAGCCTGAGATGAGAGGGAAGATGCTGAAACAGCGGGCACATTGGCGTAATGTTCAGCCTTCTTGAATAACTTCTTGAACAAAACGTACTGCCAGATCAGGTAAATCAATTCTTGTTGCGAGGCCTCACGCTTACCAGTAAACTGAGCCATCTCCTCCGAAACCAGAAGCTTGAAGGTATAGTCCTTTGCTAAGATAGCCACCTTAGCCTTGATAGGGAAAACACCTTGGCGCTTGACATCAATACCGTCAAACAGCCACAGTGGAGAGCCATTTTTTAGCTGAGGATTACCAGCATGATTGTTGTCTGCATCATTGCGCCACTCGATGATGTTTGACTGACTACCCTGCAATGATGGGTACTCGTTGTTGGGCACAATTTCGATAGAGATACCAGAAAGGAAAGAGCTGAACTTCATGTCCTCAGTCTCGGATTTTTCTCCATTATCCTTGATGAAACGTCCCTCCACACGTAAAGTCCACGATGAGTCGCTATTGGAAGATTCGTTCACGCTCGACTGGTTCTTCTGCCAAGGTTGGTTCTCGCATGTGTTGTAGACAAAAACACGCAAGATACCAGTCTCTCTTTTCATGCTATTTGGTTGCATTGAGGAGGCCTGAACGGATTGGAAGTCCAAGCCTTTTTGTGCTATGAGCAAATCTAATTGTTTTTCGGCATCTTGGAGCTTCTTGTAAAGGTCTAAGTTTGGCACCTTGTCGTACAATTTAGAAGGAATGTTTGTCTCTGTGGGGGTGTAGGAAACAGCTGGCGCAGCAGTGGCTGGTTGGTAAACCTTAGATGGTGCCTCGGCGACAGCACCTTGCTGCCGCTGCACATATCCCTGAGGTGACGCCATGGTTGAATATCAGATTGGCTGTTGAAAACAATTGACAAAATGTTTGAGGTGAGGTGTACACCTGTACACCATGAATTCGTGCACCGCCTTAGACAAGGGACCGTGGTGACCAAGGCCCTGACTTTGTCCGTGAAATAATTGATCGATCTGATGCAAAGTACAAATCTTCTTTGATTGATTCGCCTTGCTTCGGGTCATTAAATACCTTTAGGGTTGAGTAGTAGCACTTCATGTCCCTTGACTACAGCTTTTGCAGCAATTATGAGATGGTACCAAGAATGGAGCAATCTCTCAAACTGCATGGCTCTGAAAAATAGTTTCAACTTCATTGAAGCTAATCCTTATGAAGTCCATAAGTAGATTACTTGCGTGAATCTTGACGTGAGATTTGCAACCCAGTTCGCGAAGTACACGGAAAATTACTAAGATAGATTCTATTGTAGAGTTGTAAAAATGGGTGTTAGGCTCTAAATTCTTGTAAATTAGAACGGGAATGTTAGACATTTGCTAACATTTGAATATGATTCTATTCAGATAGGAGCTCTATTTTTGGAAATCTTCTTCAGCGCCGCCCGCTTACTTTCGCACCATTTCAAAGCCATCTCTTAGATTGGGATTTCACCATCTTTACCTGGGGATGTCATCACCAGCCTCTCATGGAGTAAAGGTACAGAAAAGGCGAATAAAGCCGTCAGGGAACAGCGATTCCCAACGAAATGCTCGAATTCAGGAGATGAGGAAGAGAAAGAAGAACTTCTTTTTGCGGATCAGTTACCCTACTGTGATCACATCAGTCATCTTGCCATTGGCTGCCTTCACCTACCTCCTACATCAGAAGCTCAGCATACTACCGCAGAATAGAGCGACGCTCTACTTCTGCGTGGCCTACCATATTTTCACTTTGTTAGCATTCACGGCGGGATATCATAAGTGTTACGCTCATACACTGTTTCGCCCGAAGTATGGATTCCTCCAAGTCTACTTCGCAGTTTTTGGAGCAGGCATCGGCTTGGGACCTATAAGATGGTGGGCAGGGCTACATAGGGCGCATCATCAGTATACGGATGATCCAGATAAGGACCCATACTCTATCAAAAGAGGATTTCTTTGGGCGCACTGGGGATGGCTTTTGAAACGGCCCAAGTCAGACGCCTTTTTCCGTGATTTTGTCGAAAATGAGTTCAGTATTGACGATGTTGCTCTGAATGAATTGGAATTTTCAAGGGAGCGGTCCAAGACGCATTACGAGAATTTTACAAGAGAGTACATCATTTGGCAAGAACAACGATACTGGCTCTTTTTCATTGTTTCGTCTATTATCATCCCAGTCTTGATTGCTGTGTATTTTTGCGAAGACACATGGATCAATGGTTTGGTCTATCCGGGTATTCTCAGGATGTGTGCATGTCAACAGCTGCTTCTAAGCAGTGAATCGTTCGGTCACTCCAGATGGCTCCCGCTCACAGTTCCAACGCAGCCTTTCAATGACAAGAATTCGCTGGTCAATTGTATGAACCCTTTATTCGCGATGATTTCATTTGGACAAAACCTGCAAAACTATCATCACGAATTCCCACACGACTATAGAGATAGTTCTGCATTGTGGGCTTACGATCCCACGAAATGGTTTATTTCAATCTTGGACCATTTAGGGCTTGTCGAGGATGTGTCAAGAACACCCACGAACTTAGTTGTTCAGCTCCAAATTCAGCAGCAGCAGGCTGTTCTCAACAGACGAAGGTCTCAATTAAACTGGGGAACGCCAATCTCTAAGCTACCCATGATTACTGCAAAGGAGTTCAACAAGCTATGTGGTGCCGCAGATAACAAGCACCGTATCTATATTGTCATACAAAACATCATTCATGATATTACGCCATTCATGGATCAGCATCCTGGTGGTATTGCGTTACTCAAGGCTTCACACGGTAAAGATGCTACTAAAGCATTCTACGGCGGTGTATACGGTCATCTGACAGCCGCTGTCAATCTTCTAGCTACAATGCGGATTGGCGTTTTGGCACTGGGTAACGACGAAGATGTTTGGAGAAGGGTTGCTAGAGAAGAAGGCGAGGTCAATGACGGAGACTCAAGAAGACAACAAGGTGGACTGCATTCGACGGCCGAGGCCGCGTAATTACTAAGCTAATAATTTAATTCTTATCTCTTATGTCGCAGTAGTTTCGCAGCCGACCAAAGCTCGATAAAACCTCAACTATCAAACACTCCTGCACTCCCTACACCCATCCATGTCTTCTTCAGTTCATTTTCCAAAAATCGACTACCGTGGTGCTACGGTAGAAGATTTAGACATTCGCCCAGCTATTTCAATCAACCCATCTACCCTAATCAATAGAGCCTTGGAGGTGTCATTCGAAAATGAGTTCACATACTTGCCAGTTATCGATGAAGACCATAAAACTCTCCTCGGGGTTTTGAATGTTGAGAACTTAGAAAAAAACAAGCTCACTGATGTCGAGCCTATCACGAAGAACTATATGCTTTGGTTTAGTCAAAAGGCCAGAGAGAAATATGAGAAGAATTTCTCAATGAGAACAGCCACACCCCTCAATTCGAAGATCATCAAGCCAAAGCCAGGTAAAGGCAAGCATTACCATGTCCTTACACCATTGACGCCCTTGGAGACCCTCGCTGAATTCTTCAATGCTGGCAACTTTTTCGCCATTATCACGAACGGAGAAGGCAGTTTAGTCTATGGTGTGGTGACGCCAGAGGACCTAACTAAATACGAACACTCAAGGCCTCGCTTGTAAATTTTTTCATATAGCATCTAATGAACATACTTACTGTGGAATTTCTAACACAAGTTTACCGGTAGTCTGTCTGCTCTCCAAGGCTTTTGCAGCCTTCACGTAGTCCTTCAAGGGATAGGTTTCAAGCTTGAACTTGATCTTTCCATCATTGACCTGGTCGATCAAGACCTTACTGTAATACTCCCACTCGTGCTTCTCAGTGATGTACTGAAAGAGTTGTGGTGAGGAGATGCGTACGTTCTTGGGGCTCAGTCTGTAGATGGAAAATGGGGGGATGAAGCCGGATGCTTTTCCAAAGGTCACAAATGAACCTTTTCTGGCAACAATTTCAAAGTTAGTGTCCACGACGTCCTTTCCCACACCATCATAAATAACATCAGCACCGTGCCCGCCAGTGATCTCTCCGATTTTCTGCGCAACATCATCGTTCTTCGAATTGACAAGGAACTCAGCTCCAAGGTCCTTGGCTATCTGCAATTTCTCCTCTGTCGAAGCGAGCGCAATGACTCGGCCACCAAGAGAGCTGGCGTACTGAACGAAGACTTGGCCAGTTCCACCAGCAGCTGCCCAAACAACCACAAAATCTCCCTTCTTTATAGCATGAGCTTCGTGTGAGAAGGTGATGGCAGTCAACCCTTGCACTAGAATTGATCCGAACAACTTCAACTTATCCTCCGAGGTATCTTCATCCAACTTGCGAATGAAATGATACTTGTCACCGAGAGTGACCTTGGTGTATTGTGCAAAGGTCTTTGATGACAAGTAGAGCACCTTATCGCCTTCCTTGAAATCTTTCACATCTGAGCCAACTGCAGCCACAACACCCGAGGCCTCACGACCAAACACAATTGGGAGTTCAGCGGGGTATATGCCCTTTCTGAAGTAGCTCTCAATGAAGTTCACGCCAGCATACTTGTTCTTGATGATGATATCGTTGGGCCCCGAGATTTGAGGTGCTTCCACTTCCTTGTACTGGACGATATCAGGGGATTCGGAGATTTCCTCGGCAATTGCGACGAAGTGAGTTTTTGGAACTGTCATTTTTCTTATCTAAATATCAAACGTGAGCGATTGGTCTATATAGACTAAAATAGGTACGCGGGTGAATGGTTACTAATCACCTCCACAGTCTCACATAAGTCCGAAACCGAGCGCCACAAAATACAGCACCAACATGTGGATGCATGCCCAACAACTCAAAAAGAAAAAAGAGGAATTGAGCCCACAGAAGCGGATGTATCAGGAGCCTTACATGAAGCGATCGCATCCTAGAAGAAAATCTATGATGGCTTTCTTTCCATTTGTGTTATTTGTTACCTCCTTGGAGGTTTATGCAGTGGTTTAGCAAGCTCTTAGCCTATTGGCTCATATATGTAGACATGGAGGACTAGGAAGAACCCTTCTTACCTTTCTTAACTTTCCCGGATGTAGGCTTTTTCACGTTTGCTTTGGCCTTCTCCGCGAGAAGTCTTTCGGCGCTGTCGCCATGTCTTGCTTTGCCGTCCTTATATGCGTACTCCACGATCACTTTGTTGTTCATAAGTATTGCCCCATTCATTCTTTCTATTGCTTCGTCACTGGCCTCGAAGGTGTCGTATTCGACAAAGCCATGACCTTTAGAATTCCCGTCATCGTCTCTCATGACTGACGCCTCTAGTAGGTTCCCAAACCTACCAAAGGTCTCTTTCAAGTACTTATCATCAACCATCGGGTTCAAGTTCTTGATGAATAGTCTCGCTCCAATGCTCAAACCGACATCCTCTCCGGTGCCTGCACCAGATGCAGAGGGTGTGCTTGCTTGTGGGTCAGTCTTCTTCATTTTCAAAGTCTTGCCAAAGAGTCTTATACCACGGAGGATTTCCAAAGCATAGTCTGCATCTTGAGGTGTTCGTAGTTCAACAAAACCATAACCTTGATGTTTTCGCAGAATGCGGTCCTTGGGAAGGTTGAGCAGTTTCACTGGTCCCAACTGAATAAATAGCTCGTAGAGTAATGGCTCATCAACTTCAGCATCTAGATTGCCAATGTATAGCGAGGCTTGCAAATTTCGCTCGGAATCCAGGGGTTTCTTGAACACATTCATTAGAACCAAAGTGTTGATGCATCGAGCTCATCGATGAATCTACACCGCGCACATCTACCACACCTAACCAATATGACCATGAATCGTACTATACAATATTATGCAGAAAATCCCTCCTCTTCATCTTTATCTGATGATGCAAGAGCGCTATTTAATCCCGTGATGCTTTGGGGAGCAAGTGGTTCGGGTTCTGGATTCTTCGATGAGGCTTCCTCTGGTGCTTCAGCATCCGAGTCTGACGAGTCTGAATCGCTATACGACAGCAGACTATCGCTGGGGCTTGAGTCTGAATCACTTTCACTTTCCAGATCACTGTCAATGCCGTATGCATCCTTCTCTTCCTCCGTGAACTCTTGCCATGTCTCTGGAGAGAAAGTAACGTAGAGCTTCGGATACTCAAGCACAACCTTATTAGCAAGAGCTTTAGCAAGAGTATCGTCTGGGTTCAACTTAATTATGGATCGTTTACCCATGCTTATAACGTTCTCAATACTGAAATGGATCTTATCCTTCTCCACGCTTTCGGGATCAACACCTAACGCATTAGCCAAAGGCGTCACCGAGAGGGCATCTCGAAGAATGATATCCTCTTTTATACGAAAAGACGTGAAGCTTGTTAATTGGCGCCCATCCTCGTTGACAGGCACCCACTCCACAGTCCATGTATATGTTCCAGCTTTCTTGTCGTAACCGGACTTGTTTTGAGTTGCTCGGGACATTCCTGAAGGAAGGGAGATCACCAATACATTTTCACGTTTCAATGCATAACTTGGAGAGTTGAACATCTTATTCACTCTTGTAATTCTAGCGTCTGTGTCATCGACCCTCTGCCTTTTATTCTGACCGGGGTGTCTTTTGAACATGACCCTTGCGTTCTGCTTGGTATCGCTAACGCCAAGACCAATCTTCCTCTCGAAATTGAGCAAGTAATTATAGTCTCTGTTTATAAGCGATGGGTTCTCGGTCATCTCCTTTCGTGGCACGAACTTCGCTGGATCAACCTCGCCAGTGCACTCTGATCGAAGTTTATGGCGCTTGACACATTCTGCTGAGCATGTTTTGGTACCACATGCTGGACAAGTATACCTGGATTCTTTCTCAAGACATATAAAGCAGCTTTTATCTGCCATTGGGCAAGAAGAGATAACAGGTCGAGCGATGAGCATCAGATTCCTGTATCGCCTGTAGTATGGGGTACGCGGCGAGGTACTAATCAAGATGAACTTACAGAAAGTGCTATATTCTAGAGAATAGAGTCGTGGTTTCAACGGTAATTAATGCAGCTAAACATCCCATCTGTTGATGATAGAAAAGTCAGAAAAGAGAAGAGACTGGTAAGATATGCGCTCAAGTCTTTCCCAACGCTTCTTTTACAATAGAAGCTGCAAAATAATAGCTCAACTTTTATTGGCAACTAGTACGCTGGAGCTATGAATCAAGAGATACAGACATCTTGTCCATTACGTAACGACAGATTGAGCCGACTTGTTTCAAGGCCATGTAGCAGACTAACACCTGTGCACCAGAAAAGCGAGTAGTCCAAAATTTTCAAACCCATATACTGAAGATCAAATAGTGTTGACGATGTCCTGTCCTAGATTGCAACTCTCTGTGGCTAGGCAGTTTACACGGAACATAAGCAGGGGCAAGTCAAAGAAGGTCCCTGTGCAGTTACTCACAGACTTCCCACCACACGGTGTCAAGGGCCAGATCATAGACGTGGCTCCCTCTTTCATGAGAAATGTTCTCCACGTCGATAACAAAGCATGTTATATCACCAAGGACCATGGACCTCGGATTCCAGTTGTTGATGCTCCAAAGGTTGTTCTCACGAGAACCACTAAAAAGGTTAAAACAGCGGAGCCAGTTACACCAAAGGAGAGCCTGCCTGCATTATCTTTAGACGAATTGTCTGCTTTATTTTCCAACATGAAGAGTGCATCAAAACTGTCAGTCACCAACATGAATGCCTCTGCGGATCTGTCGGGTATCATTGCCAGAGAAGTCAACTCATCTGTCCCTGAGACCTTGAGCTTCCAACTTGGAACGCTGAAAGCCCCATTCACCGCCACCGAGCTTGCCGAACTCATATACAAGTCGAGCGGTATTGAGCTCGCAAAGGATAGCATAGTTCTTCAAAATTCGGCAGGCAAGTCTCTTGAGAACTTGTCGGAGACTGGAACTTATTACTGGAAGTACAACAGCAGCGATGGTGAAACTGACAGGAAGAAGATCATAATCAACTAAATCTGTATATAGAATAGATCATTAACTGGGAATTGCTGGTGAGAATCTCTCTGACGATATGTACTTGAAATGGTGCGAACTGTTGCACCCATTCACAAAGTCTTGCTTTTCATGTCAAATATACGATTCACTGCAGCAAACCTGTCAAGAATCAAAAAGCCAAGCTCCAACCCCAAGAAAGGACCCCTCTCTCCATTAAAAAGCAAGCCCAAACCGAAGCAAAAAGTGAAGAAACAAGATGAGGAAGATGGCTCAGAGGAACCACTACAAGTTATATCACTGAGGGCCGACCTTGATTTCCAGATCCAAAATTACACAGGAATAGTTGACGCTATTGACACTGTTGTGGAGAATCAATGGGCAGAAAAGACTTGCTTTCACAATCGTTATTATAGCGAAGAGGCTAAGGAAGGTAGCTCTTCTACCGATCTTCTTTTCTCACTCCGAGGACTCTCCATGGAAACAAAAGCCGAAATCATCAAGTATCGAAACCAGCAGCTACCTAATGGTATGCTCACTCTCAACCAGCTATACTCGATGTTTCAAGACCAAGGTAATACATTTGTGGATAGAAGTCTTGAAATGTGTATACGCGACGGTTTAGTCAAGAAGTTTATCATTACCAATGCTCTGCCGATTATTCTGAGGACCGGAAAAGGCGGACAAAACTCAAAAGTGACATACGGTTATGAAAACATTGAGGTTGTCGTAAAAATCGAGCATTACATTGCTTTAATCGAGGAAATTGCTGATAGTCTGGATGAAGCGACAGCAGCTGCTTTGCGAGAGTTTAAAGAATTCGTTGAGGGTCACCCTGAGGCACTTTCGATTTGTACGACGGACATTTCTGCTGATCATTTATCAGCATTGGTGAAGACTGGTGTAGTTACCCTAACTTCAAATCACCACAATGAGATCAACGTTCATCAGTACTCATTGGCATATCCTCGATGCGGTACGTTTCTTAAAATGATAAATTCGGGGCGTTCGTGGCTTGTGAAAACTCTAAGCAAATCAAAATTCAAGGAACTTCTTGAAGAACAGTTATTCGATAAATGGGAAGGTAAAAATAAGGCGAACTTCCGGAAACCGTTTTATGGCTATGACCTAATGTGGGTTTTGGCCGATGCTTTGGGGGCCGGTGTAGCTGAGGTATTCAAGACCCCTGTGGGCAGGGGCTGGCGTCTTACAGGTAAAATATAGAATAAGCATGATATTATTGTTGCGTGATTGCAAGGTTGTAAGTATGTCCTATGATATGGAGATCTAACTTCTCACCTTCATTTTCTTCATGGCTTTTCTCTGCTTTCTGTCTTGAGCTTTCTTCTCGGCCTTCATTTGCTCTTCTCTGGACAAGTTTCTGAACTTCTCCCTCTCTTGTCTCTTCAACTTAGCTCTTTCCTCGGCCTCAGCTTCCTTCTTGATATCCTCCTCAAGCTTCTCGAGCTTGGAAATTTCGAGCTCTCTGTTCTTGACCACCTTTCTAACAGCCTCGGGCTTGAAGGTGATCTTCTTCTCAGACAACTCGTCAACAATCTCGAAAACTGCACCAAGAACATCAGATACCTCCTTCAACTCTTGCTTGTTGCTGGTCAAGTTCAAAGAAATAACGACTCTGCGCTGAGGATACAAGTTGCGAATAGCTTCAGGCTTCTCATTTGGCTGATCGGTGAAAGCGATGAACCTCACCACAGAAGCCAAGCCCAAGGTCAAGGAGGAGGCAAGCTTTTCAGTGAAAGTCTTCTCATGGAACTCATTGACTTCACTCATGAAAACGAAAGACTCGGGCAATTTGTCAGAGTCACTAGTCTTAGTCAAAGCCAAGTAGTAGTTGAACTTTCTGTGGTCACTCATACCAATCTTTGAAACAATTGCACTGATAAAGTTCTCGTAGTCCCCAGATGGTGTAATTGAGATGTCGACCCTGTCATTTGGAGCTGGCACGGACTCGGTGAAAAAGCTAAAACCAGTCTCCATAATCCACAAGAAAATGTTCTGTCTGGGAGCCAATTTGAAGTTGATGTTGACCTTCTCGATGTTCTCGCGTCCTGATGCATAAGAGGAGTAGGACTCAGCACTATCCTTGACATACAACTTGCCGTCGCCAACGCCGTACTGGGCGAAATTGTCCTCAAAGACGTCCTTCACACCAGCAAGAAAAGACGACACCTTGCGGTAGTTATACAAATCACCACCTTTGTAGAAAAGAACAAACAAGAATGTGAATGCCAAGGTGAAGATTTCCATTCTCCAGTCGGAGATTTTCACTCTTTCGAGCAAAGTCATGGACGTCAACTCATCCAAGGTGTACGAAGAGTACAATTTCCTTACTGTTAGTGAATTGAATACTATTATTAACTGTGATATGAACATACCTTGGGGTTCCATCAGGATTGACAAGTCCAGCCTTGAAGTAATCCAAAATTGCGTCAATCATGGCTATGATGAGAGTAGTGGAATAGCGATTTGATATTTCGTCCACTGTAGCGACGTAATCCTGTATGGATTTGAAGCCGCCCGAAAGCACTACACTCCACTTTACATGGCAAAACGTCGATTTGAGGGAAAAAGTATTCTAAAGCTTTTGATTCAAAAATTAATTATTTTTGGCTTGTCGCTTTCGCTGACTCCGACTTTCCTGATCCTCAAACAGGCTTGATCAGATATTGCAAAAGACAAGGTGGTTCCCATTCTATTAAAACATATCAGCTCTATAAACCTGAGCTTCAACGCTGGCGCCCATAGTTCCGAAGAATACCTACTCCTTCCTTCTTTTGGCATCCGAAGCTTCGTCACCGTGGTATTGAGCCAAACCGTCTCTAACGGCCGAAGTGACAAGCTCTCTGAGAGCCTCTTCCGGATTTTCACTGTTCACGATAGCCTCCAACTTCTTCCTCCTCTCTTCGTCCATCTCGCCTCCTTCCTGGTCCTCTTCCATGGTATAACGAATCTGGTGACCCTCGGTTTGACCTGGTGCCGGGAGATTATCTAATAGCGAGGAAGATGGCTCATCATGCGTCAATGAGCGTAAATATTTAGCAAGTTCTGGGAACTCGTCTTCTTCTTCAATGTATTGTGCTGGCGTCTGACCCTCGCCGTTTTTGATCTTGTAGTCTGCCTTGAATTCTTCCACAAGAGCAGTAGCGGTTGCTAGATCTTCAACGTGATGTAAAGGGGTGTCACCCTCTTCATCTTGAATATTTATGTCGCCGCCTTGTTCGATGAGATAACGAAGAAGGTCGAGATGCCCGTAAGAGGCAGCTGCGTGGATGGGAGTGTAGCCATTAGCGTCTTTTATATTTGCGGTAAACTCGCCAGATTCAATGTACTTCTTGACAAGAGCTTGGTCGTTGTCGGCAGCTGCTACCCAGATGTTGGATACCATGGTGGTGGTTTATCGAGATGCTTTCTGAGAGTCCGGCAGAGATATCTCTTCGCAGCCTTAAACTTCACTATTTCTCGACTAACATGCTACGATTCAGAATGCGGGAAGTAGCATTCCTATCCTCCAGAATGAAGAACAGGAATCAAATCTAGATCTTTTTCTCTTGTGAAAGTGAATTTGCTTTTGTAAACCATTAATGGAACTACTCGCCTCTGTCTTCCAAACCTATCTCCTGCATAAGTACCGACACTCCAACACCTTCTTCTTCTCTATGGTTCAAGAACAATCGGCGTTGCAGACGTCACCGCCGGAGAAGCTCTCGGGGTTTGAATGGTGGAGACGCTCGTTGCTGTATAGAACAGGCTTGGGCATGTCTGATAACGAAAAGGCTCAGTTTGAACACGACTACAGAGAGAAACACATGAATACGAACTGTGAACTGTGTGATGAGAACAGAGACTGGATGCTCCGATACTCACCCAGTGTCAGATTCATGATGGATCATGTCAACAAACTTGGGGGCAACTTGAGCACGCAGAACATTATTTGTGACAAATGTGACGATCTCAAAGGTGGCGGCTTCCATCCAAAGTATGGTATTTTGTTGTGCTCAAATTGGATCCAGGACAAGTGGCAACTCGAGGATGTCTTGACCCATGAGCTTGTGCATGCGTATGACCATTTGAAGTTCAAGGTTGACCTTACAGATTTGAAGCATCATGCTTGTACAGAAATACGTGCTTCTATGCTTAGCGGGGAATGCAGAATCATGAGAGAGATTCAGAAAACAGGCTTGAGCAACTTCGGTGGGAAATTCCAAGACTGTATCAAGAGGCGTGCCGTTCTCTCAGTGGCAGCAAACCCAAACTGTAAGAACCAAGAGACTGCTCAGCAAGTCGTGGATACTGTCTGGAAATCGTGCTTTAACGATACAAGACCATTTGAGCGGGTGTATCGCTAACTGTAAATAGTATGCAAGGGTCCAAGGCAATGTTGCTCAGGCCAAGAATAAAATAGTGTATGGGAGGTGACGTGTGTTCCATTTTCGGACTCAATTGCATTCAGTAGCTAAAATTGGGCTTTACAAGTTGGTCTAAGAAAATGGTGACGCAATCGGCAATCATTTGAGATCCTTTGCCTAGTCAACCAGGCTTGTGTCACGCTGTCGGTGGCTTCAACTGCTGCCGAATGCGTACAATCGCATCGGAGCTTCTATTACCGATATGCAAATGTCACTTGTAGGGCTTAGTAAATTCGTTTGCTTTTCTGTTCTCCATATGAGTGGCTGAAAGTCAATCACGTTGACTGTCTTGCCTTGAATCGTATGACGACGTGCGCAACGCTTTTCGGATAAATCGGTTGAAAGCCTATCCAAGTACTTGCGAGCCGGAATAGGGCGGAAAAATGTTGGGCTAAACTGTTTTTGCAAAAGTTTGGCTTTTTCTGCCTTCCGTAATTCTGCCCCTCCTGCTTAAGCGCACAACTGCAACTGTTGCTGCGTTTTGTATGAGACTCAGTTTCAGAAACCTGCAGAATGCCAGGCAGTCTGTCCATATATTATGCCAATCTAGAATGTTCCAACAACTCATATAAAGCTTCTTTGTCTTCCTTTAAATATGGTGAAACGCTCAAGTACGGAGGATAACTTGGAAAGGATCGCCAACAAGGCATCTCAGACCCGGAAACCCTTATCAACCGACTTCTACAATTCCAGTTTGACGAATCTGCCCACAAACAGTGAAGCCTCAAGAACACCTGAGGAACTTCTGGATGAAAAGGCGCCGATACCGGAAAGTGTGGCAAGCCGTGTTCGCCGGAGAACTAGGGTGACGAAAGAGCCGGTGGCAGACGGAACATTCGATGCCTTGGATGACAAACTGACAGAGGGCATTTTCAATAAGCTCAATACAGTTTATCATGACCGGATGGAGCGGAACAAGAGAAAGGGGACGGTCTTCAAATCAAGCTTTGCTGATTTAAGTGCTGATCCCGTGCGTTACACCATTTTAGACTCGCCTTCAGTGATAAACTCCCAGTTCTATGGGTTCTTCATTTTGTTCTGGCTAGCAATTGCATTCTTCATATTGAGAGATGCTCTTCATGCTATCTTTGAGGATGGCCTTTTCATTTACAAAGCCCCGGTGTTTCAGATATTTGTTGCTGGACTCCCCAAGATAGCAATAACCGACGGCCTCATGTACTTGACCACTTACTTTTCTTACATCATTCAAAATCTTTGTCTCAATGGACACTTGAGCTGGTCTCGCAGCGGTTGGATCATTCAATCGATCTATGAGCTGATCTTTTTCTGTTTTTGGGTCAGTTACCTATTGTTATTCGACTTCCAATGGATTGGTAGGGTGTTTTTGGTGCTCCACATGTTCGTGCTATTGATGAAGGTTCACTCTTATGCTTTTTACAATGGCTACTTATGGAGAATCTTGCTAGAGTTGAAATTCTCTGAGGCTTATTTGGAAAAGTTGAATGCTAAAGCAACCAAGCTCCCGTCTCAATTCGAGGAGAAGCACATTAGAGTCGTTCTTAACGAGAGTGTTGCATTCTGCCGTTTTGAACTTCTTCATCAGTCTGTTGCGATCACTAACGAGGATGAGGTTGACCCACAGACTTTGGTAAGCAGCCTCGAAAGTTTGCAAGACGATAAACTGATAAAGTTCCCTCAAAACATTACCTTCAAAAACTTCTTTACTTTTACAATGTTTCCAACTGTTGTCTACGAACGTACAGAGAGAATTAGAAAATCTTTCTTGTTTGAGAAGATCATTGCAATCTTCGGTATCATTTCAATCATGCTTTTTGTGGCTGAATACTCAATTTACCCCCTTGTTGTGAGATCAATTGAATTGAGGAAAACCAATTTGAGCTTGCTTGATCGCCAGGTGGCATACATTTTATTACTCGTGGATATGATTCCACCTTTTATGGTTGAATACCTCCTTGTTTTCTACTTGATTTGGGATGCTATCTTGAATGCTATAGGCGAATTGAGCTATTTTGCTGACAGAGATTTTTATGGGCCCTGGTGGTCCTGTGTTGACTGGTTTGAGTACGCCAGGCTCTGGAATAAGCCAGTTCATCGGTTCTTACTCAGGCATGTCTACCATTCCTCCATCAGTGCCCTCCGGCTCAACAAGGCCCACGCAAATCTAGTGACCTTCATTATCTCCAGTTTCATCCATGAGTTGGTCATGTACTCCATTTTTGGTCGCCTTAGAGGCTACTTGTGGTTATTCCAAATGAGTCAAATACCGTTGGTGATGATTAGCAGGACAAAGTACATGCGAGACAAAAAGGTCCTTGGCAATGCGATTTGTTGGATGGGCTTCACATCTGGCCCAGCGATGATTTGTACTTTATATTTAGTTTTTTAATGCCCATGATTTTTCACTGCTCTTTCCAAATGGCTGCAAATTCAAGGTGCTGTCACGTGCGCGAATTTCTAAGGGAAAATAATCGCAGATCGCAGAGCTCATCTCAAAGTACTCCAAGATATAGCATGTCCAGGCCTGAAGAGATCGCCCCACCGGAGGTTTTTTATAATGACTCCGAATCATTCAAGTACACGTCATCCACTCGTGTGCAGCATATCCAGGCGAAGATGACCCTCAGAGCTCTTGAACTACTCAACCTTGATTCAGACTACCCCCACTTCATCCTAGATTTGGGATGTGGGTCTGGTCTTTCAGGAGAAATCTTGACAGAAGAGGGCTACAACTGGGTCGGTATGGATATCGCCCCAAGCATGTTGGCCTCAGCGCTAGATAGAGATGTTGAAGGAGACCTATTCTTGGCTGATCTAGGTAATGGTATCCCTTTCAGAGCAGGTACTTTTGATGCTGTGATTTCCATTTCTGTCATTCAGTGGCTTTGTAATGCTGATACTGCTGGCGTTGATCCCAAGAAGAGACTTTTACGGTTCTTCAATACATTATTTGCATCTATGGTTCGCGGTGGAAAGTTTGTCGCCCAGTTTTACCCTATGAATGACACACAAACGCAGAACATCCTAGAAGCAGCTAAAGTCGCTGGTTTTGCCGGTGGGTTGGTTATAGACGATCCAGAGAGCAAGAGGAACAAGAAGTATTACCTTGTCCTCTCTGCCGGTCAGTCTGAGAGAACACTCAACTTAACAGGTGCGCAGATGGAAGCTGATGGCAAGACCAAGAAGCTTAGCAGTAAGATGAGGAAGAAATTGGAGTCTAACAAGGAGTACATCAATAGAAAGAAGGAACTTATGAGGAGAAGAGGCCGTACTGTCGCTCATGACTCCAAATTCACGGGAAGAAAGAGACGGTCGAGATTCTAGTGGTGGCATAATGATTTATATAGTTTTAGCATAGTGATATACTGCATTGATAGAGTGCATTTGCAAAACGTTAATATTGGCCTACGAACGGTTTTCTCTGTGGCCTGCATATTTGCGATCACTAAAAAAATTGAAGCTTCCAACTACCCATTTCATCAGTACCAAATGCTTGGTTTGAGAGTTCCCGGATTGAGGAGCTTGGCTCAGTCTTTTGCTAGACGTGCCTATTCAACGCCGAAGCCCGTTAGTAAGGGACAAGAGGGTACGTATACATACTTCAAAATTACATTTTCATTCACTAACCTTTAGCTGTGTTTCAACCACTTCCCAAGAAGAGAAACGGCGAAAACGTCCTCACATTTTTGCATAAACAGCTCGTCAAGAAACATGATCCTACTGGTAAAAGATCTGCCTTGGTTGCTCCAGATGGATTAAGGGCAGGCGATGTCATAAGGGTTACCTACACTGACAGAACCAGCGTTCTTGGTCAGCTCATTGGTATCAAAAGAGGAAATCACAACATAGGTACAAATCTTCATATCAGAAACAAAATGAACAGAATCGGTGTTGAGATGAGAGTGCCCTTGTTCAGCCCCAACATCAAGAACATTGAGCGTGTCTCACTGCCCAAGAAGTACCCTTCGAGAAAAAAGCACTACTACATCAGAAACAATCGTCTCGATGTTGGCGATTTGGAAAATGCTCCAAAGCACAAAGCTTCCTAAATATTGTACATAGTTATCCGGATAAATTATTGAGTTTTGCTGAAAGTTCAGACGCAAACCTGTTGCGGAAACCGGGGGAAAGGTTGTCTAGAAGCGCTTCAAAAGTAGGGAAGAATTCACTTTTTCCTACTTCGTGCCATCCTGCAATGCATACAGAGATGCTGAAGTTCCTGTCTTCGTGAGTCATGAGCTTGATATGTGATACTGACCTTCGACTGAGGGCCCTGTCATATATACTATCTCCAGACGTCGCTAAGTCCGACTTCAAGTGAAGACTGCACTCCGGGAAGTACAGCTTGTACTCCTGGTGTATGGCTCTTAGTTCGCCATGTGTGTCCATGAAAAGAAAGTAGTGACAAAGAGAATGAGAAAAAAAAGATCAAGGATAATTGTAGCCACAACTGATTCCCAACGCTCCATGTAGAAGTCAACGTCAGGCGCCCAGCAACGTGCTTATCACTCTACGCTGGCGTCCCTAATGATTGACGTGGTGATCACGTCAGCCAAATGTAAGGAACGTACTTGCGATTGATGTTAAAGAAGAATCTCAGAATGCGACTCGCAAAGAATATATACATTTTTCAAGTGCGGGTAACGATGTGGGTGAGATGGCACCGTAGGGGCAAGAGGTCTACGCTAGCAAAATCCTTGGAAACAGAAGCTAGTGCCTGAATTGCTTCTACGAAGTGTAGCCCTGCAATCATCGTTCTTTCAGTTTCTCGTATGATATCCTCTACCGCCAAACTACTGATCATTCGCCCTGACTGCTAAATCTGGATCGTTATTGATTCGATTAGTATGTTAGAAATATATGTTCTAGATGTTGCCTTCGAAATGACACTCATCGATCGCTTCAGTATTTGGTTCGAATTCGAAAGGCTCGTGGATTTTCCACTGCCGAGATTTCATGCACACCAATATCTACTATCTTATCCATGGATACCCCGATCGAAAAGTTCATTGGAACGGCCATGAGGATTAAATTGCTCGATGAGCGAGCCATCGATGGTGTCCTCACGGTCGTTGACCCGTTTGGTAACTTGTTGCTCACGAATCTGTACGAGAATTCTCGAGACAAGATCGATCCAACGAGCATCAGGAGAAGAGAAGTGGGTTTGGTTAGTGTCCCCAGGGACCAGATAACGAAGGTCATGATTGACAAGCGCCAGAAGGGTATCTTGGGGGATGAATAGATTTACAGTGGTCATTGACGTGCCGTTGCTTCACGATTGCCTAGTTTTTCATTTAGCCAGACATGTGTGCCTCGTTCCACTCCGTCGACGTAAAGAGATACAAAATCGGACTATTTCAGTGATGTGCTGGCGATTACCATTTGCTCTATCGACGGTTCATGTCGATGAGGAGGTGCATCCCGCTTGTTGATCACAGAGCCATCCTTCATGAACTCGCTGGGCGTTCCTTGTCTCATTAGCCCTTGGTATCGAGTCTTGCTTCTTACTTTGGCATCCATTGGAGGATGGCTAAGCGAGGGCAAATGACCCCTGAATTCCTGAAAGTATTCTTGATACTGCTCTGGAGGAATGGCGTGGCGTACAGGGTCATGGGGTCTTCCATGCTCGAGACACGTTCCAATGAAATGATCTCTGCTGGCTTCAAAGTTTCCAACCGGGCATATATCGACTAGACAGCCCACAAGCGACTCCTTCAATTGGCACAAGCACAGAAGGTCGTGGTGGCTTCCAGGACAATAGTGGGCTACTTCGTTGATACAGCTGAGGAAACACGCAGGCGGGGTCGCCATTATAGAAGTCCAATGAAATACAGATAGAAGTAGTATTTTCAACATTATACGTAAAAGTGGTATTGTGCGAGTAATTTAAATTTTGCAGCCAGTCTCTACATGCGCACCCGAATTGTAAACATCACCAGTAAAATGCCATGTCCATTTGAAATTCAAATCAAATCAAGATTAAATTAGCGAGCTTTCTACAGTCGCTTTAGATACCGTATGTATTTTTGTAACTTTTTTTTTTTTTTTCTAGGCTGGGCAGAGGCTTGGGCAGAGGCGAAGCTACAGCGAGACCGCGGGCTCGAAGCAATAAGATTTTATGCCATCCAACAAAGGCTTCGAACAAAGGCTGCTTCTATGTCGCAGCCATCTCACAAGATCCTCGAGGCAAAAAAAATAGGAGAGTGCCTTTTTAAATTAAATGCCCTTTGACAAAAAAATGAATTTAGAGGAAGAAGTCGCTTGGCTGCCTAAATTTACTACACTGCGATCGTCCGTTTATCCAGCCTGCCCACTGTTCCGTAAAGCCAGGGTTCCTGCAGATACCCCAGGCTTCCGGTACCATGCTGTCTGTCGCGCCTTAAATCTATAGCTGTCAGACTCAGTGCTGTTTTCACCCTTTGAATTTCTTCAATCCACCACCTAAAGTTATTCTCGTCAAGGCGGAAAGGAGGCTTATACTAGGTAGAGTGCAAAGATGCAAGGCTCATACAAAAATAACGGCCTCCCCAGGCCGTACTATATGAAACCACATTCTAAACGAACCAAAGCATATGAGAAGATGCCCAGGCAGTTCTTCTTGACCAACTCCAGGAAGTTGTCAGGATATATCGTCATGCTCTTCTTTTTTGGCCTTTGTGTTTACATGATCTCACAGGAGTTGAAAGAGAAACCAGATATTGCGTACGAATTAGTGGACCCTCTTGAAAAGCAAAGTGATAACAATGGGGACGTCGGCAAACTCGTGGACTCCTCGAAGATGGAGGATCGTGCGGACGAAAAAGTTGCTTTAGCAAGCAAGGAGCAAAACATTGTCGTCGAAGCGCCCAAGGGCGGATCGGTGAACGAGGGTCCCATTGTGGGCAACGACGAGGGACTTGTTGTGGACGGAAAGCCTAGTATCAACAAGAACACTGGTAAAATTGGAGGCGGAAGTGTTCAGGCCGCTCGTGGTGGTCAGATCGCCCCACCAGATGAACCGTCGAACGATCGAGATTTGCTGAAACTTCTTGAGATCTCCGAGAATGCTCAAAACCCGGGCGGCGTTCCTCGAGACGATTCAAGAAAGAAGATTTAGAGGCAAGACGGCATGGTTCAGCCAAATGATTTATACCATCCCCAACGGCATTTTAGGAACGTCATGTTCGAATCATCGATCAGGTGTGATGAACATGACAGACACATAGTAATTTACGATTCAACGATTCGATATCAGCAATACTCTGTATTATAAAAATGTACCATTCTATGACAATGAAAAAGATAAACCACGTTCCATAGGTTACGCAAAAAAGAAGGTCGCACTGGGGATCGAACCCAGGTTGTGAGAATCAGAATCTCAAGTGATGCCACTACACTATACAACCTTAACTGATTTTTCCTGATTGCTGGTACAATATATTCCACAAAACTAAAGGTGGTGCAAAATCTCGATTAAGCCATCTGAAATTCTCAGAAAAGTGTACTTATGTTTTGATGATGTCTTCATCAAAGTTTCAGCATAATCCGTGCAAAATTGAGCAAGCTAGGGCAGTATGTATTATTCAAGGTCAGGCTGTCAAAGCTATTTGCTACCGCAGCCTTTTTTTTTTCTTTTTTTTTTTAGTTCAACCTTTTTAGGTTCATGATAAAATTAGCCAGGCCACTATTGACTCCCTGATATTGCCCTTCTTGGTGAGTTGACACGCGAGTTATGGGAAAAGTGGTACCTACCCTAATTTTACATACCTTAAGACCCCGAGAAATGTAATGAGACTCTCTCAGAGTAGAAGAATTTTGGGGTTCGTAATCTTTGGTATGCTGAAAGCTACCGAGAGGTATGATGATTTTGCTGAACTGTTCTAAAGGCGGAAAGAGTTTAGTCATCTCTGAAGTGAAGGTAATGCAAAGCATGCTCAAGTTAAGATGGCCTGCCATCCTTTCAAATAGGTTCTACTGATTGGACAGAAAACCACTCACTGGACAGAAATCTGGAGACCTCAGTTGCCACAGATCATTAAAGCATCATCAAAAATAAGAGCATAGGAGGACAAGTAAATCGCGCCAGAAGTCAAACATGCTTAACTTCAAATAATCAGTGGAATAATCAGCGCCCTATTCAGTATCAGAATCAGTTCAATTCTGTACAAATGTGATATGAGGTGTGCCTCTCGATTTCTAGACTCAGTAGAATCAGGGACCACCCAATTAGTCGATACTTTGGTGTTCGCCAGGTCAATTGCAATCCAATGGGTAACAGATTTGGACAAATGCATGTCGCTCTTATGACATCGATGGAGACAACTGTTTCTGACTTTGTATGGATGGCTACAAATAGATGCGAATGAAGGTCTACACCAAGAACTCCTAAATGAATTGGCGGTGGAACATCATAGAGTACATAAGTCCAGATACTGAGGAACAACAACAAATCCTCCATCCCATTACCAAGGCCTGTTTCAATTCAACTGTTGGAGCTGGAGAGCGAAGGATGGCAAAACGGGAAATACCATAGGAAAGAGAGAGAGAGAAAAAAAAAAAAAAAGAGTTCTCTGAGCGCATCAAGATCACGAAAATTGAATTTTCCAGATTCCACAATTGAGAGATTGGCAGCCCAATAAAGTAAATTATTCCTCCAATAGATACAGTGGTAACCTCGGTAGTAAGAGTTGGGTGCGAAAAACGTTATCTTCTGTGACAAATGGCTGAGATGCAAAAAAAGAAATGTCATCGTAAAGAATTTGGCGTGACCGAGCGGTGTTAGGGTAATTCGAGCTGGAGTTTCAGAACTTGGAGTTACCCAATCGGTTCCAAAGAAGCGTCGTTATATAGAGTAAGATCAGAGTCGGTTTGGTATGAGACACGTTGTGGGCGGGTAACTTACAGCGTGATGAGGTAGTCTCATATGGGTCTTCGGATCCCACCCGTACCTCCGGAGAATTTTGGCGGTTTCTCGTGCTATACTTGGCACAGAGATTTACAAATTTCAAGATTGTAAGAGGAACTTGCAAGCAGACCAAGCGCTGGATATAAACCTCTTTGCCCTTACGTGGCATAAGCAAAAGCAGATGGTCCACTGGCAAAAGAAATGCTGCAGTCCCTGCATAGATGGTGCCTGCTCACTGAAAAATTTTCCTGCCTTCTCGTTTTAATGTATTTTTTTGCTTTCTTTTGGCCTCACTAGCCAGTGCCAGTGCGACATATAAAAAAAAAAAATTCTGCTGACCTCTTCTTCTTTTTTTTTCTTCAGCATTGGAAAGAATGTCTGCTGCCAGTGAATCTAAATATTCGACTGAGGTCCTTTCCGAGTTGTTGAGCAAATTGCAAGTTGCCGACAACAAGGATGAGGCCGCCGCTAACGTTTCTTCGTTCTTGAACGGTTCCATCATCGAGCACGATGTGCCTGGGGAATTCTTCAAGGACTTGAAGAACCAGATCAACAACAAGAAGGATGTTGGTGTCGTCATTGCCGCCCTTAAGGCTTACGAGCACATTGCCTCCCCTAACGGCATGAACCCTTCTGTTGAGCCATACGTTGTCTCCTTGGCTTCTGACGTTGCCGCCAGAACCGGTGACAAGAACAAGGAGGTTGCCGCCACCGCCGCTGCTGCTTTGTTGGCTCTTGCCAAGGCTATCACCCCAACTGCTATCAAGGCTCTCTTGCCAGCTTTGTTGGAGAACTTGAGCACCACCAACAAGTGGAACGAGAAGACCGCCATCTTGGCTGCCATCTCCCAGTTGGTTGACACCGCCAAGGCCCAGATCGCTCTTAGAATGCCTGAGTTGATCCCAGTCTTGTCTGAGGCTATGTGGGACACCAAGAAGGAGGTCAAGGAGGCTGCTACCGCCACCATGACCAAGTCCACCGAGACCATCGACAACAAGGATATCGAGAAGTTTATCCCTAAGTTGATCGAGTGTATCGCCAAGCCAACTGAGGTCCCAGAGACCGTCCACGTCTTGGGTGCCACCACTTTCGTCTCTGAGGTCACCATGGCTACTTTGTCCATCATGGCCCCATTGTTGTCTAGAGGTTTGGCTGAGCGTGACACCGCTATCAAGCGTAAGGCTGCTGTCATTGTTGACAACATGTGTAAGTTGGTCGACGACCCTCAGGTTGTTGCTCCTTTCATGAACAAGTTGTTGCCATCCCTTAAGTCCAACTACAACACCATTGCCGACCCTGAGGCCCGTGGTGTTACCAACAGAGCTTTGAACACTTTGAGAAGAGTTGGTAACGTTGGTGCTGACGACTCCATCCCTGAGGTTTCCACCGCTGGTGACATCCCTGTCACCTTGGAGGTCTTCAAGGGTTTGATCAAGGACCAGAAGTTGTCTTCTAGATTCGACGTTGCCTTGAACTACATCGCTGCCATCGGTGGTGACTTGATCGACGAGAGAGACATTCAGCCAGACTCTTGGTTGCAAAACGTCTTGCCTTTCGCCACTATCTTCTTGCACGAGAAGGAGGCTAAGGAGGTCATCGAGGAGTTCAGAAAGAGAGCTGTCGACAACATCCCAGCTCCTCCATCTTTCGAGGATGAGGAGGATGATGGTGAGGACCTCTGTAACTGTGAGTTCTCTTTGGCTTACGGTGCTAAGATCTTGTTGAACAAGACTCAGTTTAGATTGAAGAGAAACAGAAGATACGGTCTTTGTGGTCCTAACGGTGCTGGTAAGTCCACCTTGATGAGAGCCATTGCCAACGGTCAGGTCGAGGGTTTCCCATCCCAGGAGGAGTGTAAGACTGTCTACGTCGAGCACGACATTGACGGTACTCACGCTGAGACCTCTGTCGTCGAGTTCGTCATCCAGGATGGTGAGGTTGGTTTGACCAAGGACGCTGTCGAGACTAAGTTGACTGAGTTCGGTTTCTCCGACGAGATGATCAAGATGCCAATTGCCTCCCTTTCCGGTGGTTGGAAGATGAAGTTGGCTTTGGCCAGAGCTGTCTTGAAGAACGCCGACATTTTGTTGTTGGATGAGCCAACTAACCATTTGGACACTGTCAACGTCGCTTGGTTGGTCAACTACTTGAAGACATGTGGTATCACTTCCATCATTGTTTCTCACGACTCCGGTTTCTTGGACAACGTTGTTGAGTACATTATTCACTACGAGGGTTTCAAGTTGAGAAAGTACAAGGGTAACTTGTCTGAGTTCGTCAAGAAGTGCCCATCTGCTCAGTCTTACTACGAATTGGGAGCCTCCGACATCCAGTTCACTTTCCCAGAGCCAGGTTTCTTGGAGGGTGTCAAGACCAAGCAGAAGGCTATTGTCAAGGTCAACAACATGTCCTTCCAGTACCCAGGTACTTCCAAGCCACAGATCACCGACATCAACTTCCAGTGTTCTTTGTCTTCTAGAATTGCCGTCATTGGTCCTAACGGTGCCGGTAAGTCTACCTTGATTAACGTTTTGACTGGTGAGTTGTTGCCAACTACTGGTGACGTCTACGTCCACGAGAACGCTCGTATTGCCTACATCAAGCAGCACGCTTTCGCCCACATTGACAACCACTTGGACAAGACTCCATCTGAGTACATTCAGTGGAGATTCCAGACCGGTGAGGACAGAGAGACCATGGACAGAGCCAACAGACAGATCAACGAGGCCGATGAGAACGCCATGAACAAGATCTTCAAGGTCGAGGGTACCCCAAGAAGAGTTGCTGGTGTCCACTCCAGAAGAAAGTTCAAGAACACCTACGAGTACGAGGTTTCTTGGAACCTTGGTGAGAACATTGGTATGAAGAACGAGAGATGGGTTCCTATGATGTCTGTTGACAACACCTGGTTGCCAAGAGGTGAGTTGATCGAGACTCACTCCAAGTTGGTCGCTGAGGTTGATATGAAGGAGGCTTTGGCTTCCGGTCAGTTCAGACCTTTGACCAGAAAGGAGATCGAGGACCACTGTACCATGTTGGGTTTGGACGCTGAATTGGTGTCCCACTCCAGAATCAGAGGTTTGTCTGGTGGTCAGAAGGTCAAGTTGGTCTTGGCTGCTTGTACTTGGCAGAGACCTCACTTGATTGTCTTGGATGAGCCAACTAACTACTTGGACCGTGACTCTTTGGGTGCTTTGTCCAAGGCCATCAAGGCTTTCGAGGGTGGTGTTGTCATCATTACTCACTCCGCTGAGTTCACCAAGGACTTGACTGAGGAGGTCTGGGCCGTCTTGGACGGTAAGATGACTCCATCTGGTCACAACTGGGTCCAGGGTCAGGGTTCTGGTCCAAGACTCGAGAACAAGGAGGACGACGAGGAGGACAAGTTCGATGCCATGGGTAACAAGATTTCCGGTGGTAAGAAGAAGAAGAAGTTGTCTTCTGCTGAGTTGAGAAAGAAGAAGAAGGAGAGAATGAAGAAGAAGAAGGAGTTGGGTGACGCTTACGTTTCCTCTGACGAGGAGTTCTAAGCTCTCTGAGTTCTCATCGTCATTTCTTCATTATTTCACACTTGTTTGAGTTTTAGTATTAATTTATTTCTATATGTTAATATTATAGATGCGCCTATACGCCATCGATGTAGAGCCTGTTTGTGCGACCAACTCGCCCACTCATGATACTTCTTAAGCTTCTTGGTTTAAATCACCTTGCACTTGCCCTATCTTTTATTCCTCTCAATATCAACTATCTGGTTGAATTGACAGATCGAGAACCACCAACCCCGGGAACCTACTCTCCGTTTCTTACACGATGTCCGACAACCAACCTCATACGCAAGGCAGACAAGGTATGATTCACTTTGATGGGTGTCAAGTAACGTACTGACAGTAGAATATTTGTCCATTAGAAGAGGACTACGTGAATAATCGCCGTGAAGTTATCAAACCCTACTTCGAGCAGCTTTCAGGGAGAATTGGAAATGTAAGCGAGAATATCGCCACACCAACTATTGCAATTGCCTTTTCAGGAGGAGGTCTAAGATCCATGTTATTGGGGGCTGGTGTGTTGAGTGCTTATGATACCAGATACGTCGATTCCCAGGATCAGTTGGGTGGTTTGTTGCAAAGTACCACATACATCGCTGGATTATCTGGTGGGCTGTGGATTGTGATGAACAACCTTCTTAGTAACGGAGAACAAATCAATTCAACTATACAGAGGCTTGAACTTGATTTGCAGAACCCCCTTCTTGAAGGTGTTCCCAATTTGGAGTTGAGAGAAATCCGTGCTGGAATTGAGTTGAACCAAAATCGTACGCATCAAACTGAGTCTTCTAATAATGCCTTTGGCGCCTTAATGGACAAGATTCTACCAGGTATCGTTAACAAGGTGCTTTCAGTTAACAACAACGAAAGTCCTTTTAACGTGAAAGAGGTGCTCAAGTTCTATAAAGATATCTCCTTGGAAACTCGTGTGAAGAAAGAGTCTGGTTTCAGAGTTTCACTCATAGATTACTGGGCTAGGATACTAGCAAGAAAAGTGTTTCCTCCAAACTTCAGGTCTACTGGTTTCACGATGTCATCCACCGCAAAACTTCTTTCCTTTCAAAATCATTCTCAACCATTCCCGATCATCACAGCAGTTGAGGTGGTACCTGAAGTAGAGGAAGGTAGCATTGACTCCCACATAATTGAGATAACCCCTTTTGAGTTTGGTTCGTGGGATAGTTTCTTGAACGCCTTCACAGATGTCAAGTTCCTAGGAAGTAATCTTCTGAATGGCAGGCCAATACAGGAGAACCTTCCAAATCTGAATGAGTCCACATGTACCTCCGGATTCGACTCCCTTGCATTTCTTACAGCCACATCTTCAGGGCTTTTCAACATTGTCTTGCAATACGTTTACAAGCTGTTGCCTGGTTCGATGAGTGAGCTGCTGCCATACTTCAGCCAGCTTCTCAAGATGTTTGGCTTTGTAAAGAGTCCAGTTTTGGATGAAACGGCATATTCAGAATTTGCAATTCATTCTCCCAATCCTTTCTACAATTACATCGGCGGAAATGCTAAAGGAAGGTCAATTAATAATGCAACAGCACTATACCTCGCTGATGGAGGTGAAGACGGACAGAACATCCCATTTAGTCCGCTCATGGTTTCATCAAGGCAAGTTGATGCCCTCATAGTCTTTGACATGGGGTCTGAAGTTTTCAACCGACCCAATGGTTCCTCGTTAATAGCCACCGCAAAGCGGTATCACGCTAACTACTCTGATTTGAGAATACCCCTATTTCAGGACGAAAGTGGGTCGCATCGCAGGATGTTCCCAATTATACCGACATCAGAGGAATATTTAGAGAGGGGCTTCCAAGAGAGACCTGTGTTTTTTGGATGCAGCATTGACGACTATCCATTGTACAATGGCAACATCCTGAATCAGTTTGAGATCCAAAGAAGCTTCATTCCTCCTCTTTTGATTTATCAGGCGAATTACGATATTCTGTTTCCATCTAATACCTCCACCTTCAGAACCTCATATCAACCGGAGGAGGTTCAAGGAATGGTCCGCAATGGGTACAACCTCGCAACTCATGATGAGGATCCTAATTACAAGCACTGTCTTTGGTGTGCCATCTCAAAAAGAAAATTCAAAACAATCCCAGATTCCTGCCAAAATTGCTTTGAAAAATATTGTTACAAGCCAACGACTATTTAGTCACAGAGTGACCAAAGAGTGCGCGGGATGAGTCGTATCTAAGGCGGTGCCGGCGAAAAAAGGGTATATTGTGCAGAAACACCTTATCTTGACATATTGAGGGAAAGACAGTTTGGAGATGCTGATCGAAGTTTCAGACACCCTGTTGGATGTCTCGATGGCAATCGACAGCTTGTTCATGCTTTTCTGTACCTATCTACTTCTGTGTATGGTACTTGGCATGTCTATCTTCTATTCTGGACTTATCCAGAGGCGCTCATCTTTCACCATTCTACTGGTGCCGCTCTTAATTGTTGCTGGCATATTTCTAGATTGGTTCATTTGGGGCTATTCACTTTGCTACTCACTGTCATCAAACAGATTTATTGGCAACCTTGGGTTTGCGGTCCTCAGACAACTTCATGACCCCGATCAAAGAATATACACCACGCCTCGAGGCGAGATCTTATCCATAATGCATTTTTTGTTCAATGGCCTCTTGAAGGTCATTTGTACTGTTATCACATTTCCTGGCTGTGCAGCGGAAAGAGGTAGATTGGTTCCTATGTTCGTCTTCATCTTCTTTTGGTCGCTCATAGTGTACAATCCGATTTCATATTGGTACTGGAATCAAAACGGTTGGCTTTCTACTCAGCTCAACAAGCTTCCTGTAATGGACTTTGCCGGTGGTACCTGTATTCATGTGGTTAGTGGCTTTAGTGCATTAGCATACTCCTACATCTTGGGTCCTAGGAATCCCAAAATGGTTGCAGATTATAGAAGTTGTAACAACAGCAACATGATTATCGGAATGTGCATCTTAGTCCTTGGATGGTGTGGTTTCATATCAGGTTGTGACTATAAATTATCTTCGAGGTCATTCTACATTGTTGCAAACACATGGCTCAGTGCTTGCTCCGCCGGCATAGTTTGGCTACTCATAGATCTTTATACATCAGCTATACCACTAGAAGAAGCAGGATATGAGGAGATTGAGCTACAAGATCTAGATAGCGCAGGACTTGGAATCGCTAGAAACGATACCCCTATCGTGACAACCAGAAAAATCTCCATGATTTCTTTCACTTCAGGAGTTATATGTGGTCTTGTCGTCTTCACACCTGCTGGGGGATACGTTTCCTCGCATTCTTCATTCTGGAAATGTATAGTTTTTGGTGTGGTTGGCGGTCTCGTGGGAAATCTTGCTACACGCATCAAATACTTTTTGCGGATAGATGACGCCCTTGACATCTTCGCAGTTCATGGTGTTTGCGGCGTTGTTGGGACTATTCTTGTTGGCATATTTGCTGACGAGTCATTTGAATCATCCGGCGGCTGGGTCGTTGGGAATTGGGTTCAATTGGGATACCAAATACTTGGATGTGTCGTGACCTCCCTTTATGCCTTTGTGGTGAGTTTGGCATTGCTTTATATCATAGACATGATCCCAGGTCTTCATTTACGTATTGACAAATCCTTCAACAGGAGGATGAGAAATAAGTTACTTGACCGCCACGGATCTGAGGAAGGCGACTTAAGTAGCCTTGATGACGACTTTGGCCTTGAAAGAGCTGAGCTTCTTGGCACCGACTGGCATGAGCTCAATGGAGAGTACTCTATGGATTTCATGGAATTCATTAAAGTGGTTGACCCCCAGGATTACGCAGATCAGATCTCCGCTGAGCCCATTAGTCCCGAAGAGAGTGATTTCAGTCAATTTGACACCAGCGATGCCCAGCTCAGGAAACGAGACCCGCTTACGGAGAGACACAGATGATGCATGGACAGATTAATGATCCTGATATATATTACATGAACGACCTTTACGAGACAATCAACTGATCATTCTCATCGTAACCTCAAAAGCTGCAAATGTAGCACCATTGGCTGGAGCAGCTCTCAATATGGTAGGAACAAAACCTTTGTAGAATCCTTTGATACCAGCCTTCTTGAAAATGTCTCTGGCAACACTGATTGAACCGGAATAAGCAGGCTTCGATAAGGAGTCTGTTTGCAACTTAGACTTCAACACATCCACTGGGTAGATCGAAGTCCACAATGCATAACCAGACAAACCACCAAGCATACAAAGCTTCCATGCTGGGATGTCGGCTCTTGTAAGGTATGTCTTACTCTTCAACTCTCTAGCAATCAACGCCTCATAGGTTGCAAAATAAATACCCAAGCCGATAGACTCTCTAGCCAAAGTGGGGACCAAGCCCTTGAATACACCTTGGATTCCGCTCAGCTTAGTGAGTTTCTTCAAACAATCGATGGGCCCATTGAACTGCTTGTTGTTGCCAGTCTGGGTTTGCAATCTGATACGAATGTGCTCAATTGGACCGGCCAAGAAGCCGTTAGCAAAACCAGCAACGGCACCACAGTTGAAAAATTGCAAAAGTGACAATTCACGACCCTGCAACTTCTCGTCATAGTATCTTTTCATGAATTCATTCACAGAAAATTGAACGGAGACACAGGCACCGACACCAACAAGTGGTGTTAAAGTTCCTTTGTAAAAGCCCTTTGGACCTTCGTTGGCCATGAGCTTCTTGATGACATCTCCAGCACCGTTATAGGTTCCATCTGGTGCAGATTGCAACCTCACCTTAACAGTGTCAAAGGGTTGACCAACAAGCACCTGGGCGATACCACCAACGGTTCCTCCGAAGAGGTCCTTGTAGACCTGCAAGTTATCAGTTAATGGAGGCTCTTCAAGTTCGATGGTCATTATGAGTCAAATGTGATGATGAGCGATGAGGAAGTGAAAAAACGCACTTTACCTCGCGGTGTCTATGAGCTGATATATAAAGCAGTCTTTTTGGCTAGATTTGACTTCTTCGAGGCCTGAAAAAATGCAGATTGCAAATTCGAAGAGATGGAGGGGTGCTTTTCTATCCACAACTATGACTCGGTTTGACTCTTTCCAGGACTGAATACCGTTGCGCATTCCCATTCTATGTTTGGTAACGATTTCCATGTCTGTAGTCGAACCTGGTTTTTCAGAAAATGGCAGTTTGTCCTAATTTCTTCAGCCTTGTAGACGTCTTCTGAAGTTTTGTATTTTTATAAAGCTCTATTTGTTCATTGGCGGCAGCCTACCTAGACTCCCACATAGAATTCCTTCTGGGTGAACATCCAGATCAAACTCGTAGAGGCCACAATTAAAGGTCCAGCCAAGCCCTTATCAAGCTTACAATTCTTGAAAACGAGCCATTCTGATGCAAAGTGGCCTCCAGCAACCACAAATGTCCAGATACAGAGATCATACATCTGTTTGTTGCCCACGATATTGTATGCACCGTAAAGTCTAACGATGGATGTCAAAAGAGTCCATGTTCCGAAAGTTCTTGCACTGAGATTGGTCACTTCAGTTGTTGGAGCTGCTGAATACACCTTTCTAGTGAGACTCAAGTCTTTGATCAAGTAGTTCTGAGCTGAGTTAAATACCGAAACAACCGAGATGAACAATAGCCAGTGGGGAAGAATTCCTCCCTGGATAGTAGTCGGAGGAAGAATTGACTGGAAAGGAAGCATTTTATCTGATTTAATGGAGTTGAATCAAAGAAATCCTAGGTGTTATCTTGATTCTATGAAGTAACTTCGCGACTACACTGTACGAATGCTACTCGAATGATGTTGCGTGTCTCGTATAAAAAACTGCTAAGTATATACTAAAATATCCAGATTGATACTTGATACAGCTTAGTGAACTGCTGTAGGGTCATGCTCTCTCAAAAGGTCGAGAGCTGGGCCGAGCAATCTTGTGAAGCCCGACTTATCCAAGGTTGCAACAATAACGTTGTCTAAAGCCTTGACTGTGGCTTGTCTTGGTAGATCGTTCAACAAAGCAACTTCACCGAAGTAGTTACCTTTACCGATAGTGCCAATGACACCCTCGCTCTGCTTAGAGATCTCACACGTTCCGCTCTCAATGAGGTAGAATTTGTCACCAGTAGCGCCTTCGGTAACAATGTTGTCACCAGCATGGAACATTTCCGTGCTCAATGCATCTGCAAGCTTGGATCTCTCTTGGTGCGTTAAGCCCGACAAGACCGTAACGTCCTTCAAGAAATCCTCGTACATGATTCTTCTGTTGAAAGTTCCTTCTAACAAGATACGACGGAAAGTCGCTCTGTCCAAAGCCCAGCATGTAACGTCAGAAGCAGCAGTAGCAGTAGCAGCTCTGGGGGAGTTGTACATGAGAGCAAGCTCACCAAATGAAGAGCCATCACCCGACGTGTTAACCTTGGTGCCGTTCACATAAAAATCCACGGTTCCAGACTCGATTATATAGAAATAGTCACCAACATCGCCCTGAGTAATGATTTCAGTACCTTGGCTGTACTGCTTTTTCTGTAAAGCAGATACAACGGTCGCCTTTGCCTTCTTATCTAATTGTTGAAACAAGAAGTTCAGCGAGAGGGTTTTAGCCAACTCCAGTCTTTGCTCATCGGTGAGGTCATTAACCGGAGGCTTCCAGGAGTCGGACTTGAACTTATCTGGGTTCATTGCTTCAGCAGAAACGGATGTTCTTCTGTTGGCATTGAAAGCTAATGGAAGTTTATTGGCGGGCTTTGGGGGTGCATCTTGTGGACCAGCAGATGCATTTGGGTCATTAGGGTCAAGTTCTGGAGTAGCTGCATTTTGAGCTCTTCTACCAGCACCGAAGCCCTTGAAAAGACCAGCACTGTCTTCTTCTTTGTGCTCCTCACGATGGTTGGTGTGATCAGAGTGAGGGTCATTGTCACCGAAGGGCGACTTGAACGATGGTTGGCGAACACATGGGATAGTACCCTGACCGTTGGCATCGATTGCCCCAGCTTCAAGCTGAGGGAAAACCTCGATACCTGCGGCCTTGGCCTTTGCTTCCACTTGCCATAAATGGTTTCTTTGCAAGGCTAATTTTGAATTGAAGAAGTTTGCGCAAAACTGCAACACATCAGTTGGGTTTTTGGCAATGATCTCTTTCTGCAACTGCTCCAACTCCTCTGTAGCAAAAGGAGCCATTGCGAATTGGTGATAATCGATGGGGAAAGATGGGCAAGAAGGAGTGCTTCGAAATGGGGTAATTGTGGTGGGCTGCGGGACGCCAGTCAATTATTAATCGGCGATAGCGTATTCAATTAACTTGCTGAATGTATTGCTTGCGCAGGCACCGTATATAAGAGGCGATCTTTAAAACAAGGAGGCCAGTAGATGTTAATTGCCGGGCTCTGTTTCATGACAATAGAGGGAGGTCGCACAACGTGAGATGTACGGGTGTACGGAGACATGAGGGACTCCACCGTTGGGTCAAACCACTATCTGCTGTGCCTAGGGGAAAAAAGAAAATCAAGTAAATTGGCGTAACTGAAGATGATCTTGTCAAATTCAGTGTAACTCGTAAAAACCTGTGTTGAAGATGAAAGAGTAGAACACTCTTGGTGACCGTCGTCAAGCCCCTCCCCAATAGGGTAATATGGTACTTTGAAGGTGGGGGTCCTGGTGAGAGGGGTCGGCCAACGGTATGGAATGGTAGGATTAGAAAAAATATGTAACGTCCCTCAAGCACAGTGGGGTATGACGAAAATATGTGACAACGGCAGTAAATTTAGCGAAGAACCCCGCTGTTTTCCATGAAGTATTTCTCTGTGTGTTACCGTTGTAGTTGTAGCACTTTTGAGCTCAATTCTTTGTAGTAAATGCGTTTTCAGTGCAGAGAATATCATCGAATTAGTGGGTTTATAAAATCAAAGGGGTTATCTCGTCAAATTGTAGGAGTTTTTCGATTCGTTCCTCATGGCGGCCCCTCAATTGAGTCTAACCTTCCACAAAGGAAGTGTGAGATAATTATGATACACCGCTAAGTCAGGGCAGAGTAAGATTATCTTTTTTTCATGACTGCCACATGACGAAAAATTGGTCAGGCGACCTCACTTACGCAAGGGTCTCGGACGATGTCTCACAGTAGAGGCTTTGACATCGAGATCAATTACGCCAAAGGGGCGATAATAACATTTTATCGAGATCAAATACTTCAGCATCTCTCTTCTAGAAGACTTAAACAGGTTACCTACCCTTTTCTCCCGCCTTCACTATATCCTGTCCTTGCATTTGTTCTCACGCATTTTGCAGCCATTTTGTGTACCCCACCTTGGCCTTGAAGAACACCTTTCCCCTCTCTTGCAACAATCAATTGAAAATTAACGAAATCTGAATCATTGTCTCACGATGTATAAGCATAAACTGGAAAGGCTTTTCCAATTCCGCTGCTCAGCTTCGAGTCAATAATCTACAAGCACAGATGCTCGAATGTTCAACGAATAAACTCTACAGTAACTTATAATAAGCTGACTTGTTCAAAACCAAATCCCAAGCTTTCGCCACCGCCACCAAGATTCAGGTGTTCTTTTATACACCTTTTAACTGGTGCCACGTCAACCTCTGGTAGTCGGTGTGCACAAAGTACGGCGCTTCTGTACACGTCGAGGTTCTTTCATTTTCCACGTCGCGACCAGCTGTCAATATAAAACTTGTTCATTTTCCCCGGTTTTTCTCACACCTTACATTTAGTCACATACTCTGCTGCCCATCATGTTTAAGAACAGCAGCAAATTTTGGCTTTCGGGTCTTACGCTCTTTTACGCCATGTTGTTGGTGGTGATGCCATTTTTCACTGCCAACGCTGGTGTCGCTTTGGCTGAGGACGACAACGAAGAAAGTTACGGTACTGTGATCGGTATCGACTTGGGTACCACCTACTCGTGTGTCGGTGTCATGAAGAACGGTAAGGTT